TTTTGGTACGATGCGTCAAACGTGCGAACCAGGTCAGTTGCCAACGATTAGAAATCTAATATCGTCACGCTAATAATTTCTAGTATCGTTCATCCACTCTGGGTCAAGACCCCTATGATCAAGGGTTTCACAGAATATCAAGGAGAGTTTGGCCAGCAGCTTATGAGCACGAAGATCGTTTCGGAGGCGGTCTTAGAGCATATTTTCGAACGGAGAAGTGGCCAGATTGTGCTGCCTCGACATCTGAGAGTTGCTGGCTCACTGAGGGATTTTCCGCTATGGCTGCAAGAGCCAGTAAGATCATTCTTTTCCAATGTTGTCAGACGGGTGAGAGACGTGCGATTTCATGAGAACTCGTAAGCCCTTTTAGACGATCGGTGGTGATTTTGCCTGTTCGAATACGAGATACGACAGACGATGGACAATTCTTACCGAGGATCAGCACTAGTTAGTCAATAGATGGACACGTATGTATAGCTTGGGAGTTCCGGAAGTAGAAGCAGGTCTTCGAAAGGACGAGATTTCTATTCGTGGGGTGAACTAAAATCAATTCCTTCCACGTCATCGATGCGCGGCAGGTCTCGAAACGAATAAACTTTCCACTCCAAGACCCAAAAGCTTTGATTTCAGCATAAAGGATCAACATAAAGCCAGCCTCGGTCTTGTGGGGGCATATCCGAGGCCTTCCGTGCGGGGTACCGACGGCAAGCAGGCCCGGCGGTCTAAGTGCTTACTGGGATTTCCCTGCAAGGGGCGATATGCCTCGTTGATTGAATCGTCAAACGGCAATCTCTTTTTTTTTCTGAAACTGTGAGAATAACAATAGTCAATATCACAGCCTGCAACAATGGTTCCATATCATTACACAGATATCAAAGTTGAAGTGAAGGGTCAGATCGGGATCATCAAAGTAAAGAGCCCAGGTTTCCTTAAAACAGTTTGAGATACTTACAGATCCTAGTTCAATCGTCCCAAGTCTCTGAATTCATTTGGAGGCAATCTTCTCGCGGATACTTTGCACGCAGTGCGAGAGCTCGAAGAGGATCCAACCACTGTTTTCACCGTCTTGACGGGAGAAGGTCGCTTCTTCTCGGCTGGTGCTGATGTGCGAGGTCAGACAATTCCGATCGCCTCTTTCTTGTGATAGTCTTGTTAACTATATGGGGATATAGGCTCGCGGCCACTTGACGAAGGGGCGGATCGCCTAACGAAAGTTCAACTGAAACTCGCCCACCTCGAACGTTTTTCATTGGGTAAGAAATATCTTTATAGAAAGAAATTAAAATTCTTTATTGACATGCTCTACTAACTCCACTAGTGATCGAGCTGCTCAAATCACTCATAGACCACAAGAAAGTATTTGTCTTGGCCTTGAACGGCCCTGGAGTTGGAGGAGGTGCAGCTTGGTTCCAAGGGATCGCTGACATTGTCCTTGCTGCCGAGAACACATATCTTCAGGTACCCTTTAACTCATTAGCTTTGGTTCCAGAAGCAGGATCTGCGACCAACTTCGCCAGACACATTGGTGTTCTTCGCGCGAACGACTTCCTCATGTTTGGACGAAAGTTAACCGTGCAGGAGTTGGAAAGTTGGGGCTTGGTCAATAGAGTGTTTCCCGTTGAGGGCTTCCATGATTCAGTCGTCCAATTTCTGGAGAAACAGCTTGAGATCAATGATGGTGCCAGTATGATGGAGACGAAGCGGCTGCAGAATATTCCTCTTAGGAGTGAACGGGTCCTGGCCGTTTACAATGCCACTGATGCGCTCTCAGAAAGACTTGCAAGTGGAGCGCCAGCTGCAAGGTTCAAGTCAAAGAAGGCCGAGCTTGAAGGTAAGAGTATAGGCTCCTAGTTCTAATCATTTTACTAATTCCATGCACAGCAAAATCCAAATCAAGGCTTTGAAAGACTTTGTGCTCGCTGTACCCACCTCAATTTATGAACAAGCCCAGCTCAGTGGTTTCCCGATTTTAATATTTTCCAATATGCACTCAAGCCGGTGCCACATAAAAAAAGAGTTACTATGAGAGTATTATTTCGGAACAATAATTCGTAATCGGAAAGGGCCTTCATAGAGGCATCAGGAAAGAAGAAATACTGTTAAAATGGATGTAAAAGCAACCGATCTTTCAAATTGCTCCATTCTATATTTTCTGTTCACATTAATTGCTTTTCGTGCATTCTACCTATACCTCACAGTCCGCAGATTATCTCGATATGTGCACCACGACTCATCCATACCTAGGTACACTACATATCCATGAATGTAATCACTCATTTCGAACCCCAATTCAATCGAGCCATCTAATTAAAAATTAAGCAAAATTAAGCAAAATGAAGCCCCCCAAAAAACCAGGAAGCACATCATCAATGACAACCACCACTTCGCATCCAGATACGGAAGGCGGTGTACTGCACGATGATGTAGCCCTCTCCGCAACAAGAACGACCTCCGCCTCCACCATAGAATTCAAGTTCTCCTCCTCTCAGCTCACCCATTCAACCCTCCCAAGAAGAGAGTCCCAACACCACCAACAATGCTCTCCCGCACAGCTCCCAGAATCCTCCGCTACACAGCCCGACCGACCCGTCTTGCCGCGCTCAACGCCCCACCAACCCGATTCCTCCGCCCGAGCCAAAGCTCAAGCTCCGATAGCTCTACACCAGCTATTGCTACTACAGCCCGCTCATTCCACTCTACCGGCTCCTTCTCCAAGGGCCTCCAGCCAGACACAGAGAACCCCCAGCCACCGCATAATCAAACTCCCGTTGCCGGCGCCGCAGCGCACGTCACAGAACCCACGCCACTCTCCGCGGAAGAGTATTATGAGTACTCGGAGCACTATTTCAATGTGTTGCTCGGGGAGCTAGAGAAGGCGCAAGAGGAAGGAAGTGACGTTGAAGCTGAGTACAGTGTGAGTTCAATTTCTTCCAACGTAATCCATTCCAAACCATTCCCACTAACTAAACCAGGCCGGCGTTCTTAACGTCTCCGTCCCCGGTACTGGAACCTACGTCCTAAACAAGCAACCGCCCAACAAGCAGATCTGGCTCTCATCGCCTCTCTCCGGACCTAAGCGGTATGACTGGATCGTTGAGGGCGACCGCATGCACGAAAAGGCCGAGACGCGGGAATTCGCCAATGGGCAGTGGATCTATTTGCGGGATGGGTCTAATCTGACGGAACTGCTTAACACGGAGTTGAACATTAATTTGCCGAAAGATATTTATTCGCAGATTGTGGAGTAGATTTGTGCAGTTTGGGCATGTCCCTGCCTGCAATACACGGCGGGGAAGGAATCTTGCGACGAGGAAAGGCTGCTTTGGTAGCTGAGAAGGAGAATTGATCGATTCTGTAGTTGTGATGTGATGCGTGGGTATGATGGCACATTGTATTTTAGGTTTTGGTTGCATTTACTATTGTGAGGTATGATTCATTGGCTTGTATTTTTTGCATTCCAGGGAATTCATTTGCTTTGTATCGTAGGTATTGTGAGGTATGATTCATTGGCTTGTATTTTTTGCATTCCAGGGAATTCATTTGCTTTGTATCGTAGGTAGGCTTGGTAGTCGATAGATAACTACTAGATGGGCCTCCTTCCTGATATCCAAGTGCAACTGCTTCGTAATCGAGTGGTTCGGCTTGGGCATCTCGGGTTTAGGGTGGGACATTATGTTTACCAAGTGATCAACAGTTCCATCTTACACACAAGGGTGTCTCCAAGCGAGTCCGCGGTCTCTTGATCAGCGCGTGTGGAGCTTGTAGCTTTTGAGTTGAACTGTTTCCGACAAACTCTTATCACGACGAGAACAACTCGTGGCGCAGCGGTCTCGCGGTAGAGGGTCTCTTCCGTCTGCAAAGCCCGTGTCCGTGGGACAACCAGATTCCCAGCGCGCATGCGCCTAACCAGACATCTCATAGAATAGATTGGCGTAGGCACGCGGATCCTGCAAAATCGATGGGTATCCGCTGAGCTCGGCAGTGTATGTGTGAAAGCCGCTGCGATGCGTCGTATTCGCCCTGTGCGTGTTCCATTCAGCAAGCACTGGCACTGGCGCTGCTAAGATAAAGTCGCAGCATGTTTCATTTCGCCGGCAGTGGCGCTTGCGCTGTCGAGGTAGAGCCCCAGCATGTCTCACGTTTATTGTATCGTCGCGGGACAACCTCATGCCTGTACAGCAACAGAGCCCGAGCCAGGTCCATCATCCGGGGCAGGAAGATCGCTCTATACGTGGAGAAAAAGAATTAGTCAGGTCAAATGTTAAGCAAAGCGCGCGTTCCCCCGCTTGCCCGCCTACTTTTCCTCTAGGTCAAACATACCAAGTCAAAAATAACCTTGATCATCAAAGAGCAACTCGGGCACACAGCAATTTCTTCCCCATCACGCAAATCATCGATGGCGATCTCGAAGCGGTCTCCGCATGGGCAGGGAAAGTGGTAGATCTGCATGGCGGGGTCGAAGGTCATGTCTTCGATTTCGATCTCATCGTAGATGGAGAGGGCGTCGTCGGCCATTTTGGAAGACTCAAGGCAGACTGTCTTGTCCTGTCTTATCTTATTTGATTGTTTTGAGGAGTGAGGGTTGAGTCAGGAACCAAGCAAGAGGCAAAAAGTGAAGCAAAGTTTGGTGGCGGAAAAAGTTGCGGAGGGTCATGTGACTGCGGAGTATATAACATGCAATAGTTTACAGTTACATTATACACGTAGTCTACGGAGCACATGATAGTATATTCCAAATAATTTTCAGTCTTTTTCCGTTCCGCTCCTCTTTTGGGGAGCCTAGCCTACTAGTATAAGCATGTTGAGACTTTCGTGCCTCAGGCAGAAATTTGAATCGCCTTGCTCCGTTGCGCCCGTCAAGACTCTTCGTTCCCAAATATCATGACCTCGTCGATCAACAAGAGGGGAATGGGCATGTTCATAGTATTAGACTAGCTGTCTTTATGGCTATTGGACGTCTCTTCGGATGCATCTTTATCTGCAGATGTTCTCCACCTAGGTTATGAAGCCTGGTCCTGAAGGACTTTTCTCCTCGCCTCTTGTACACGCATCTCCCATAATTTTTGAGTTTCCTTCCATGCGAAATAACCCTCTTCCGAAGGTTCTTCCTCTAACTCAGAGATGTCTTCCACTAAGTTCGAAGACCTTTGAGTTGGACTATCTCGTAAAAGTTGCAAAATCTCCTCTTTGCCATTCTCGAGTGCCAGTAGAAATGGCGTCTTGTCTTGAAAGCCTCTGTGAGTCACACTTGCATGGTTATAAAGAAGCAGTTTCACTACCTCCTCATGCCCTCCTCGAATGGCCGCTGTCAGTGCCGTCAGGCCAAGATGACCCTTTCTCTCAACTTTGGCTCCGTGATCTAGGAGAGCCTGGACCACATTGACATGTCCCATCTCAGCTGCTATAATAAGTGGCGTGAGGCCTTTGAATGTCTTTTTGTCAACCTTCGCGCCTTTTTCAAGAAGGAATCTCACCATCTCTTCAACCCCCAATTGAGAGGCGATTGCTAGAGGGGTTTGGCCAGATCTATCTCTCGACTCGATTTCAGCGCCTCTGTCGATGAGAAGCTTCAGAATTCCCGGCATTTTATAAGAAACGGCCCATAGCAACGGGGTGCAGCTCTTCCTATCAAAAACCGGTACCTTAACTCTGATTGGCGGGTCGCGGGCAGTCTCAGAAGCCAAAAGTTGCTCAACTTCACTGTAAACAGCTACAGCATTTCGAAGGGCTTCGTTGGGCCCCGGTATAGCCCCGTGATCGAGTAGCAATTTAACCGTTTCTTCATGTCCCCCACGAACCGCGCACAAAAGTGCATTCCCGTAATCAGAATGAAGATTGATATCGGCTTTGTGATCGAGTAGTAGTTCCACCACTTTATTGTGTCCATTCTCGGCGGCAGCCATGATGGGAGTTCTCCAAGGACGCCGCGGCTCAGTAGCAGCTCCACGATTAAGGAGCAGTCTGACAATGTCTTCGTGTCCATACCGAGCGGCATATTCTAAAGCCGATTTCATTCTCCAGTCACCTTTCTCGAGGCCTACACATCGATCGAGCCCCAGCCTTACCAGCCTTCCATGCCCTTCTCGAGCAGCATGGCTGATAGCCTCGGCAATTGTCTTATTGCCAGCCCCTCGATCGATGAATAGCCTCATAGTTTCTTCATGCCCACCCGCAGCAGAACGAATCATAGCCTCAGAATCCACGATGCCCGCCTCTCTATCAAGCAATACTTTCAGTACGCCTGTATTTCCCTGGTCAGCGGCAAAATCAATGGCCTCACAGGTTAGGTTTGAAGTAAGATAAACCTTGGCTCCTCTATCGAGTAATAGCTTTGCGATTGCCTCGTTTCCGTTGAAAATGGCTATACGTAGGGGATTTATTCCGGTGTGAGGTGAACAGAACTCGATATCCGCCCCGCCTTCTATCAAACTTTCTGCAACCTCACACCAGCCATGCTCAACCGCCCAGAACAGCGGTGTTCTCCCCAACCTATTATCCTCCCGCTCTAGATAAGGGTGGCGTTTGCAGTTCAGCAGAGCTGGCATACAATTTGAAAGCCCAAAGAAAGCTGCAATGTGCAAGTTCGTCATTTCAGACACCGAGCGGAATTCACTATACATAGCAGTAGAGAAGAGTATAGCTTGTGAATACGCCGCTATCAGCTCCTTTTTCTGAAGGAGGTTCCAAGCTGGCTTTTGGGTCTCAATCAAAGCCTCTTTGGCATGGTGTCCCCAGTGTAGAGCGGCATATTCATAGAGAGTGTAAGTATTCAGTCGCTTTTTGAACAAGAGCCCCGTGGGACATGGACCGGAGTCAAAAACCTTCAAGGAGAGATATGAGATACAGGCCTTTGCTACTACAGCCTGTGATTTTGGAAAACGGTCTTTCCAGGTACGCTCCAAAAATTCTTGTGTGGTGTAATGGACCAGGCGTATAACATGGCTCTCCTGGTCAATGATAACCAACCCGCCACATACCGAAACTGAGAGTCCTATATCTGCAATGTTCTCTTTATCAAACTCTGGCAGACCTATCTCAATAGCAACGGCATGCTGGAGCTCCGATGGTGTCAAGTTTCTCTTCGCATGGATCACCCACGACAGGACTTTTTTAGCAAGGATGAAATGTTGCACTTTCTGGTGTTGGATTCTTTGTAGTGCAACTTCATATGCATGGTCAAGTAATGTTGTTTTTTGTTTGCTCGGGTCTTTGGAATGATTGGCAATTTGCTCCCATTCTGCCAATGCACGTCTTATACCCTTAGGAGTTGTTTCTGAGGCAAGAGTATCAATGTAGAGTTTTGCAAGGAGGAACCTATCGCATATCCAAGTTAGCAATTGTTATTTTTCATTCTTTCTCAATCCAGATTTCAGGGTTAACAATGCTCCTTACATTCCATCGATGACGCCTGTAATCTTGTCTTTAACCTCTTCCTCAAGAGAGATGTCATTAAACACCTTTGATTGAAAACTTTTTATTCTCATTTCAAGGTACTTCCGTACGTCTGCCTCTTCTGCACGGATTATCCGCCTGGAGGCCTTCTCGAAGAAGTCTTCAATCAGATGGTTGGATCGCGAAGTCGCAAAGATACTGCAGCTGGTTCCAGTGTGGGATTGGAGGCGAAACAGGTCTTTTAGGAAACGCCCACGATCTTCATTCGCCTGATATTCGTCCAAAGCATCCACGAGAATAATCACTCTTGAGTGCATGGCGATGGTATCATGCAATGTCGTAAGAAGATCTTCAAATGACGGACGCTTATTTCCGCTCTCGAGACGACTATAAAGCTTTTCCGTCGGCTCAAAAAATTGATTTTTCGCTAACTGCCTCAACAAACTTGCGATTAGGTTGTGTGTCGCTTGCTGCTCTTGCTGTCGAAAGTTGCAGAAAATATACGCAATGCCAACACCCGGGTCATTCTGGAAGTGACCTTGTAGATAGGAAATCACAGTTGATGTGATCATCGTCTTCCCAGCCCCAGTATACCAGGACAGAAGAGGGTATGGTTATGGTCTTCGGTTGGGGTTTTCACCCACCGTTGAAATTCATCCGTCTCTAAAAACCATGTTCCGGTTCCCTTTTGACAACGACTGACAAGATCACTCTGCTGAACAGCGTAATCAATTGGCGTGAGCCATTCCATAATTCTTTGATAATTCTGCTTTTCCTTGCTTGAATGAAGATCGGTGACAATCTCGAAGGTATTGGTTGTTGCCGTTCTAATCTCTTTGGTGTCACCTCGAATTCCGTTTACTAAATGCTTGTTGATTAGCATCTTAGCAGTTTGGTTCCATAAACTAACCACTAACCAGCAGCCAGAAGTTCTGAAATCTTCTTCTCGGCCTCAATGTGCTGTGGGGCAATTCGATTCAGAAGATCTTTTGTGTAGGCTGCCGCGACCATCGCAGCATACCCTTGCCACTCTTTGTTCTTGTGTGAGTCCGAGTAATCACATATGCCGCGAATTACAAGGCAGGGGAAGTTATTCATTAGGCCAGCTGCTTCCATTTCAAAACAAAGGACATCCTTTTCCATAGCAAGTTTATCCCGGGCGTGGGCGTCTTTCATCAAGCTATTCGAGGATGCGATGAGACCGTAGTGAATCATTGGATTGTCCTCATCCTCACTTCGCTCTTCCCGCATAATCAGAAAAGACGGGTCATCATCAACGTGATCACTTCTGTACAGCTTATCGCTAGACTGATCAGGTCGTTTATACTTCCTGATCAGTCGTCGGTTATTTACCAAGACACGATCAATTGCCTGGTCAAGCTGATGGCCTTTCCTCTCATACTTGGTTTTAAGTCCAGCAACCGCTGTGCGAAGCACAGTAGGCGGCTGGTCTAAATAACCTGTAAGTTGAAAGCTTTGGCCTTGTATAGTTTTACCGAAGTCAAACTGCAAGACGCCTCCGTATCCGTTGCCAGGAATGCTAACCACAACATCTCCGAGGCGGATATCATGTCTTTGGCTTGGTGCACCGCCACCAATGCCCACCAGTAGCCCGATGCGAATGTTCGGAAAGCTATGCAGCATCTCTTCTGCTACGCGCGCAGCCGATGCAATACCATATTCGCCCAATGGCATTGTAGCAATAGCCACATTGTGCTTACCAATTCTTCCGAGGGTGTATTCATTTTTGCTGGGGGCGGGTAATGACTCTAGCCCGTCATGCTCCTCATCCAAAAACTCCTGAGCGGCGAGGTATTCAGTAGGAAGGGCACAGATCCAGCCCACTGTATAATCTTTTGGATTTGACATGACAACTGTACAACTGTACTCATAAATGGACCTCGGGCCTGAGGAGACAATCCTCTCTGGGACTTTCTGTCTGGGTGTTGTGACAGCGAACAGCTTACTATGCTGAAATGACCAATGGCCCCCATTACCCCTCATTCAGCCGCTAATTATCACGTGGATGCATGTGTCTTTTAATGAGGCTGAATTCTGGCTGTTTCGTCAAATGAAGCGCTGGAACTAGAAAAATAAGTGGTGCATATGTAGAAGTATTTAGGACCTCGGCTGGTTGAGATAGAGCATGATATCGATTTTGCTAGAAGATTGTAGATTATTTCAGCATTTATCACTACCACCATAATTGAATAGCATTTCCCTTTTCAAGATCAATATACCAGTACTTGTCTGACGTTTCTTGGAAAATTAAACATACTACTATAAATAACTGCCAGGTGGGCAATTCTTAGTAACAACATGTCATCCATAGAGCCGTGGTGACGTCATGGATCTTTCTTGTTTTATCCTTGGCAGCACCCACCACATCGACTAGTTCAGTGCTAAGCTTTCCACTTGAACTATATTATATCATACGATCACTGCCCCGCAGTCAGTTCTTGTATTATTTAGTCTGAAAGAAGCCCCAGGATTCCATCGTTATTTACTACTCGTACATTTGATTCTCTAAACACTACTTTACACGGCATATATCATCCAGCATGTCGACGAAGAAGAATGAAGTCTCCCACAACCTCCATAAGTAAGTATATCACAGCTTAAAGCCAACTTGAAACCTTGAAACCTAACCCCAGAATCAGAATCGGCGGATGGATGCATCCAGACCACACCGCTCACCGTGAATGGCTCGGCGATATTATCAAGCACGTCGACAAAAAAGAACATACCCTGCACCCAGTCCTGGAAGAATTCAAACACCTAATCGAAACCAACACCCGAATCTACATGCTCATCGAAGGCATGCTCGAAGAAGTCCCTCATAAAAGACCATACCGACAAGACCCTACCGGCCACCCCGAGATTCGCGACTATCACCATTTCCTCCGCGTTCTCAACCACCTACTCACCACCGCACCATCATGGACCGACAAAGCTCACCGAGTCGGCTTAGTCGGGTTACCCATAAACGCACTCCTGGATTGGCCCATGGGCACACCCAGCGGTTACGCAGCATTCTTGGACCGAGAAATCAACGCAATGTTAAAGAAAGTCCTAAACGCATGGGGCGACTTCCTACGCTCACCCGCCTCCGCTGCCGTCCTAGACTCATCTTCTCTCGGATGGTTCGGCGAAACGGGATATAGTGAATTAACAGCCGCGGCAAAGATCGGCCCAATAGCCGCAGAGAATCTCGAGTTCCACCAAATGTTCAAATGTGACCCGTCAGCGCCAAATCACGGCTTCAAGTCCTGGGACGACTTCTTCACGCGAACATGGCATGATGGCATGCGTCCAGTCGCAGAACCTGGAAATGGAAGTGTCATCGCTAACGCGTGTGAATCAAAGCCATACCGGATTGCTCATAATGTCAAGGCTCGTGATCGATTCTGGATCAAGTCTCAGCCCTATTCCGTTCTTGATATGCTGGGCCATGACTCTCTTGCTGGGCAGTTCGTTGGTGGAACCATTTACCAGGCGTTCCTTAGTGCATTGAGTTATCATCGTTGGCATGCGCCTGTTTCTGGAAAGGTGGTTAAGGCTTATGTGGTTGATGGGACTTATTATTCCGAGCCTCTATTTGAGGGTGTGGGAAATCCGGCTGCTCATTCTCAGGATATTGATCTTGAAGGCCAGGTCATTTCCCAGGCGTATATTACTGCGGCTGCAACACGTGCGCTGATCTTTATTGAGGCGGATGAGCCTGCTATCGGACTTATGGCGTTCATTGGTGTGGGCATGGCGGAAGTCTCGACTTGCGATATCACTGTCGCGGAAGGTCAGCGTGTTGAGAAGGGTGACGAGATTGGTATGTTCCATTTTGGTGGGTCTACTCATTGTCTGCTTTTCCGGAAGGGCGTTGATATTTCTGGATTCCCCGAGCCTGGGAGGAAGGAAAATGTGCCGGTTTGTAGCCGGTTGGCTACGGTTGCTTAAGAAGTGGGATTGCGCAGAGACCCGGACACTGTTCAATTACGCCAGCTCTGATAGATAAGGGAAACTTGATTTTAGTCTGTAATTTTTGTATTCAAATTATGTGTCAAATATTGTCTTCAAATAAAAAAACGTCCTCCAATAGAAGAGCTGTCAAGCATGAGGTTGAACTTCAGACATTCAACACTTCATCATGCTTCAATATGCAGTCAACTCTCGTAAGCCGCACACAGTCACCAATTGGAAACACATTTTCTCCAGAAATCATTCCCCGATCCTCGCAATCTCCATCCGAACATTCTCAATCTCCTTCAACAACCCCCCATACCGCCGCGCAATCTCCGCCAATGTCCCTTCATCACCTCCACTCCCCTCCTCAACTTCAAATTCCCCAACATCCCCATACTTCTTCAACTCCTCCTTCGCCACAATCTCCCGCTCATCAAGCCGACCCCTCAATTCCCGCAAATTATCCCGATATTTTCCCAGCGCAGCAAGCGTCTCAGGGGTATAAAGCATAGCACCGATCTCAAGTTTAGTAACCCTATCGTTCAAACAAACAGATTAGCCAAATCCCTCCACAACCTCATGATAATGACACTCAAACATGAAGATGAAAAAACACAAAAATAATCCTAAAGGGGAATGGGATGGGATACATACTCAACCTTCCCCTCCACACCCCTCGCAACAATCCCCAAATGATCCGCGCGAGCCTTAATCCTCCTCGCCAACGCCCCATGCATCCCCCTCTCAAGAACAACAACCACCCGTTCCAGCAAAACAGTCTGAACAGCCAACAATTGCGCCGCCGTCGCTGCCATCGCGCGTCGGGCCGTGGGTAATTCGAATAACTGTCTCTGGCGCAGATTTGCAACCTGGTCGGCTAGTTGCGTTGATAAGGGTTTCACGGGTGCCATTGAGGTTCGGAGTCGTTTTTCTCGGGCTCGGGTGCGGGCGTGGTGCGTTGCTGATGTTGAGCGGGAGGATGGGGGTTCGTTTGAGGTTGAGGTTGAGGTTGAGGGTTCATCGTCGCTGGATAGTGAGCGGAGTTCTGATATTGAATTTGAGAGTTGGGTTGAGAGTTGGAGGGAGAGGGTTGGGATTGTGGTGTAGAAGGTGTCGAAGTCTGGGGCTAGGAGGGAGAGAGCTGTGTTGTCGGTGTTCTTGTTCTCGTTTTCGTTCTCGTCCGTAGCTGGTGCTGGTGCTGGAGCTAGTGGTTCAGGCTCGATTGCGGGGGAAGGGGTTTCGAGGTATAGCGATATTATGGCTAGATTATCGTGGCACTGCACGGAAAGGAGAGTATCAGTATCAGTATCAGTATCAGTCTCGGTGTCCCATGGGAAGATCCCAAGTCGTTTGTGCTGCCCTACTCACCTCATCGGGTATCCCGCTGTCTGAAGCAAACGCCAGTTGTTTGAGGATGCGCGCCTTGATTCGCCTCTTACTGCTCCGGATTTGACATTGTTTCAGGTCCTATTGACACGACGCGAGGGTATTCGTTAGAATTGGTGCTCTGTTCGTCGTACAGCCATACGTATATCCACGATATGTTTGTTTGTTTGGTATGGTATACCACGGCGGTGCGCGTCACCCGACTTACCTCCGCAATGACTGTGCGCGCCGGGTCGGCGCTGTGGACGCGTGTCGAGCCATCCGGATTGAGGATATTGAGTGTCAGGTTCTCATAGAGTCGTTTAAACTTGGGGTTGTGTTCGAGAATGGAAGGGTCGCAGGGGGAATCATGGTGTGGAGGGAGAATGAAGGGAGGTTCACTTCACCGCCGGGGTGAACCCGAGGACATCGACAACCGCGTTGGTTACTCCGGAGTAGTGGGAGCTACTACTTACTATGCTGCCATTGGCTAACTATAGTGTTAAGGAACGAGACAGTGTTCAAACTACAATACGCTGAGATTATTCCAGGGCAGATTTGAATTTCAAGGAGCTAAGCACCAAAAGCAGATATTCGGCATTTGCGCGTTTCTTTCATAATCATACAAGTGAAGCTAAGCTGCCTGCTTCAGTTTTGTTTCGAGAGACGAAAGAAGAAAGAGAAAAGTATGTACAAGAAGCGAGTTAGGGTGATTGGCCCTAGAGACTTCGCATTGAAGAGAGAAAGACGGCAGCAGAGAAGCAGAAAAGGGCAGGCAGCTCCAGCGATCCGGACCTTGGAAAGGGAAGTGTCGTGGTCAGGGAGAAAAAATGGTGGAGATTTGAATTGAAAGATTCGCCAGTAGAAAGGAAAGTCAAAACGCTCAAAACGCAAATAACAGCAAAAGCCGCGAAAAGGTGGGCGGGTGGGTGGAAAACCAGAAGAGGGTATTTACTCCTCTTCACTCTCCTCCGAGTCATCATCCGACTCATCCTCACTAGAGTCCATGGCCTCGACCGAGGGCATAGGGTCGGGTGAACCGCCGCCGCCACCACCGGCAAAGCGAGAAAGGTTGCTCTCCAGCATGTTGATCTGAGCTTCCTGCTCGAACTTGCTCATAGGCTTGTTTTTCTTGGGCTTCGCGGCGGAGACGTGCGGGTTTCCGGGGATCTCCTCTTCGTCGTCCACGACATTCGGGGCGTTCTTCTTAACGAACTTGAGCAGGAGAAGGAGGACGTCATTAGGAAGTTCATCGATATCCAGTTCAATCTCGGCCTCTGCAGTGTTCTGTAGAAAGGGAGAACCCATGTTAGTTAAAGTCCACAAATTAATATGGGGGTCAAAAATGGAATGCCTACCTTCAAAGACGGAACATTGCTCTGGATGATCTGGAGGGCCTGCTGCATTTTCTTGTCGGGAAGAGCACTAATGCCATTGGAGATAATCTGCTTCTCATTGTAGGATACGAAGCGCGCCTTCTCCGGCTTGGCGGGCTTGCTGGATTTCTTTTCCTTCTTAGTGGTAGCTTTCTTCGAGTCCTTCTTGACAGCCTTGGTCTTGGTGCCGGACTTCTTGCTGGTAGGGGGGGTCTTCTTTTTCTTTTGGGTAATCATTTCCACCTGACGGGACATCTCGGCGATCTTCCTCTGGAGTTCACTGAGCTGCTCATCATCCTCGTCACTTTCAGCCTCCTCTTCACTATCATCCTCGGAAGAATCGGAGTTGTGCTCGGGGTGTGGCTCGTGGCGATCCAGATATTCCTGCTTCTGTGCCCACTTGAGGTCAAAGACGGCCTCAAGGGCCTTGCCGCACTGGTAGGTGGGATCTCCAGGAAGGTTAAATCGGTAGCAGTTCTTGAACATGAGACGGACATCAGCTTCAAACTCTTTCGAGTTTTCGTACTGGCCGGTAGTCAGCTTGCTCTTGATGCTAGTCATGTCCATCGGCTTCTTGATAATGCTGTGGTAGGTCGGGATGTTGAGTGCGACAGGGTCAACGGGAGCATAGAAGGGGATTGCATTCAATGAATACTTGGGTTTCCAAAGCTCTTCCAGGGCTTCTTGGCAGAATCGCAGTTCCCACTGGTACTTCTTCTTCTTGGGCTTAGTAGCGTAGGGAAGGTCTCGCTTGGGAGGATGGATCGAACGCTTGGGGCGGCCATCCGGGTTGGTGGAATCCCGGCGAATGACGGGGAGTCCCTTCCGGTCCCAATGCGAAGGTGGTACTCTGTGGGGAGGCTGCTTTGGCAGTGGTGCTTCCAAGCGAGGTGCGAGGTTCCCGCCGAGCGGCAGAGGTCTTCTCAGTCGTCTTCTTTGTCTTCTTCTCCTCAACCTCATCGGGCTTGGGAAGGTTGGTCATCTGCTTATGGAACGTATGCTTTAACTTGTCACCCTCCTGATACACCAGGTGATCGGGTCCGTTGAAAACCAGAGAATTGTTGACCATCAGATCAAAATCGCGGAAGACCTCCTGGGTAGATGAGTACAAGTTATTCTTGAGCTTCTTCTCCATGGTGCTCAAGTCCATTGGCTCCGTGATGACGTGGGGATAGTTGGGGATGTTCAACTTCACCCAGTCGACTGCTTCACGGTAGAAACGCGAATCATGCATGCGTTTCAGGGTCGTCAGAGACTTTTGGATGAACTTTTGTTGCATCTTGCTGATTCTGGCTCCACTGGTCGCGGACGCCGGTGCGGGAGGTGCGGCAGCAGGAGTGGGGGGCACAGCCATCCTGTATTCCCTGGAGGCAGCATCTTGGCCTTCAACCCTGGTGCGCTTTGCCGCTGGTTCCTCTGCGGGGTCGGCCTCACGCTCACGAGAGAGCTTGGAAGGAGACATCGGGGCGACTGGAGCATCCTTCATTTCGTGATCGTGATCAGTTTGAATTGACGGAAGGATGGGGGTGGTGATTTCGGTGGTGGTTGGGTGATGAGGAAGTTGAGTTGAGGGAGCTGCTGCCTCAGCTGGACTGTCGATGGCCATTTTGTCCTCACTTTCGGCGGGTTTGTTGTCTGTAGCAGCTAGTGGCGCAGCGGGAATATCGGCAGAGCTGTTTGTAGAGGGTTGAGGTTCAGGTTTAGTTTCAGGTTGAGGTTGAGGTGTGTTGTCAGTAGGAGTGCTCGCAGTTACTGAGGTCGCAGGGGGTTGCGATTCAACTGGAGCAGGGGTCTCCTCAGACTTGTTGATCTCAGGTGTTGCAGGCGAGGTCACGCTCGCGATCACACTTGCGCTCACTGCTGGTGGTTCACTTGTAGCTGGCGCAGTTGGAGGTGCCGAAATGGAGAGGAGAATTAGGCACCGGTGCGGGAGACTTTGGAGGTGATGCGGCTGCACTGGTTCCGTTGGTAGTCGGAGGCGCGCTGGGAGAGTGACCATTTGTCGCAGGAACATTCTCCGTTGCGGGGGTGGGAGTAGGAGCGGGAGAATCTGTCTTCAGGCCAATCGCTGCATTCTGACCACTGAAGAGGAAAGTCAGCGCAAGTGCGCGGGGCCAAGATGGATGGGCAAGATGGGTAGATGGCTTACCTAGTGAACGCGACATCTGGGGCAGACGCTCCAGTCGGTGAAGGAGGCAGCTGAGGCTTCTCTTCCTTGACGACTGGAGCAGCCTCTGGAGGCGGAGTGGCCATATGGAGCAACGAGAGGATCAAAGTACAGGCTTTAAAAGAAGTCACGGACAGGTGAGAGATATCGGGTTGCGCGAGCTGGAAACTGGATACACTCTGCTCTCCGCGCGCAATCACGAGCTAAATTGGGAGAGTCGCGCGGGAGGAATCAAAAACACGCGATGAAATATGAGATGGAGAAAGGGTAGAGGGGACAGAGAGGGGTAGGTTGACGATAAAGATGGAGCTGGTAGAGAAATTGGGCGCAAGATCCGAAAGATAGAAAGAGTGGAGAATGCGAACGGGGGCAAAGAAATTAATACTGCCAAGAAAGGCGGTCGAGTGATCACGTGGGTGGGAGGAACAGGTAAGTCACGGGATCAAGGTCGATAAGGGATAAGAGGAGAGCCCTGGGATGCCTGAGGCTGAGATCGAGACTGAGGTGGGAAGGTGTGGCTCGGACTCGGATAAAAGCAGGGAAAGCGGAATTATCAAATAATAATTGGGGAAAGGGGGGAGGTGGGGGAAGTGACCAGTTAAAAAATAAAAAATAAAAGGGGGGGGCACGCGACGCGTCGGAAGATCTGTGTTATGTTTTAGGGGGGGAAATGGGACCAAAGGGTGACCTTGGATACGTGGGCGGTCAAGGGGGCCAGGAAAGAAAATAGGTAAAAATAGGAGGGAGCTCCAAGAAAAAGGCTCGGAGGGGATAAGAATCCTTAAGTACAAACGCACCGAGTTCCACCAGGCTCGTTCGCCCGGATTCTGCTGGGTCCGCTCATCGTTGATTGGTTGGTGGCTGGCTAGCCGCCCCCCCTGATTGGCCCGCCCTGGGTACCGTACCGTATTGCAGGGAAAAAAAATTTGCATTCAGCTGGATTGGTCTGGCGGTATGCCTAGAGTACAGTACAGAGTATACTGTTTTGATTTGTTTTTCTTTTTCTTTTCTTGCTTTTTTATTTCTTGCTTTTTAATCCTTGCTAAAGAATATATTCTTTTGTGACAGTTGACATTCTAGAAGCATCTTAATCACAACTCTGCTTTGTGGTCTTTGTTGCAATCAATGAGTCACCGAATCTGCAGGGGATGGAAATGACCATTCAACTCCTGACTCTAATTGTCCTCCTCTCTCCTCTCTCTCTCTCTTCTCCATCTGGCCCTGGTCTAGGTCTGCCCTGGTCAGCCCTTGGCTCGAGCGTCTGATCCGTCGAGTCCCAACGTCACCACACGTGATCTCCCCTTCCGGCGATCGGCTGTATACACTCTGTGCTATGGATGGATGGTGCACAGTTAATTATGGTCCATTATGGGGTTAGTATCTAGCTCTAGTAGTAATCATAATCATAATTATAATCATCATCATAAGCTACGCTCCCTATATAGTAATACAATCTCCAACAAGCGAGGTATAGATGCAGACACCATGCTAGCGCCTGTCATCCCCGAGGCCCGAGAGACGCCAAGCCTGTTGGGGAATTCTGCTGACGATTTTGGATGGCCTTTTTGCGAAAAGGTACCATCGGCATTCTTTGCAGGGGCACAGGGCCATCGAGGCCAGCTTGCCTATAGTCGAGGTCTGCCGTTCGACTCGCCTCGGCAGCGGATCTTTTCTGCCGACCCGAACAAGATATGAGTGGTTACTGACCAGCACTGGTTAATCTAACAAACTTTTCGAGTACTCGCATTCGCTTATATTATAAAGAACACGATGGAATTGATAACAAATAAAAAGACCATTATTACTAACACAGGAAATGGAGAAACCGAGAGGACCGCAAAGCCCTGGTCATGTTGGTACCCACGTCAGATCTATAAACCTTCCACTGCTCAACCTTGGAAGCTTCAAATTTACTACAAGTATGGCTCATATTTCATTTTTTGATTTGTAATTTTCAGCATTTCTCCTGCACGGTGACCTGGGGGCAGTTCTCCAATCATCATCTCCCATTTCCGACCCTTACAGATCAGGTCAAGGCCATCATCAAAAGAACCCTTGGAATAGAGGCAATCCGAGAAATTCAAAACAATAATTCGCCTTCAGCTTCCAGTGGACCATTGAGCGGATATTCTTGTGGCTGTATGTGTAGAAGAAACTTGAACTAGTAAACAACTTGAAAGCCCGCCCGGGCATTTCAATTTCCACTGTCACGGTCGTGACCGTTTCAAGAAATATATATACCACCTGGGCAGTACCATGTAAGCCTACCCGGCACTATCCTACGGAGACACCGAACCTCAAAACACTTCACACACAGGTGTGACATGTTCAGGTGGAACTGTAGATAGTGTGACCGTGAAGAATACTTATTGATGAATTACTATTCTTAATTATTTATTTCTATTTCCAACTTGAACTATTGATATTATCGAATCTCCCCGGTTCCTGCTGGTGCCACACTGTGGCTGACTGTGGCAGATAAATGTGGCTGAACCCGATTAGATAAGAGCAGACCACCGCGCTTACCACATCAAGACTAGCTCCAACCGGAACCTACTCAAACATTTTTTTCCTTTCCGCATCAGACCTCCAGAGTCCCAGAACCTCCAGCCTGTCGTCCCCCGGGCTTTGTGATTTTATCGTGGGAATCTCCTTATTAATTCGGGGACCGTCAATTACCAGTTACTTCGCCTCCACACTTATTCCTCGTCACCCGACAAAAAGTCGTGAAGGAACCCGGAAAAAAAAAGCTACCGCCAACCGCAACCGCCAAAAAAATGGGCAAGAAGACATCTCGCCCCGCGAGCAAGGTCTCGTCGGCCGCATCGCCCGCCGCGGGCCTCTCGTCAATCGGTAGCAAGTCGTCTATCCTGCGAGCTGCATTCTCTCCGTCGGAGTACCAATTGGCGCTTTTCGCATCCGTCATCCAAGGACTCGATGCGCAGCACCTTCGCATCCACGATACCAACACCGGCCGACTACAGTGCGAGCATGCGCTGAGCCCGAAGGAGACAATCACTTCGTTGGACTGGGGGTATTATGGAGGCCAGGGAAAGAGTCGCGACCAGTCCAAGAAAAAGCGCAAGCGTGGATCCGATGTCAACGGAGCCGACGGTCTGGAGCAGGGCGATATTGTCGTTGCGTTCGGTACCAACACCTCGGATATCCGCATGTTCTCCCCGTCCGAGGACAAGATTGTCGGCACCCTGACCGGCGCACATGACAAGGGTATCAAGGATTTCAAGTTCACTGCTGGAAAGCCCGCCCAGGAGGCTTGGAGTATTGGAGGTGATAACAAGCTTGTCCAATGGGATTTGCGCACAGGTCAAAGCATTAAGTATGATCTACCCCGAGGACTCGAGTCTTGTTTGACAATTCGTTTTATTACCCTTCCATTTTACTGACAGATTCTCCCATTAGGACGATTCACCTGCCCACATCTTCTATCTTCACTGCTCTCTCCCGCCCCGTCCCTTCTAACCAGCCCGTTATCTGTGCCTCCCAAACCCCCTTCTTAATAGATGTGGAAAACTCCGACGAGCCGGCCAAGTTCCCCGCAATGCGCAACCAGATCCACACCGTCATTTCTTCTTCCCAAGAGTCCGCTGGCACGGGCGCATTCCTCGCCTCCGACGGCGATCGATTCATCAACGTCTTCGATGCCGGAGCTCAGAAGCTTGTGCGCAACCTCGTGGCCGACCAGGAAGTCTCATCAGTTTCTCTGAACGCTAGCTCCGCCGCCCCCGAGAAGCAAATCCTGGCCGCCGTCACCGAAGACGGTACCATCGAACTTTTCACGAAACCCTTCTTCCAGCCCCAGAATGCGCAGTCCGGCAGCAGCGCCAAGGCTAACCGGAAACAAATGACCCAAAAGGCCAATGCCACTCTTAAGATCACCCGCTCCGACTCCTCAGATGCCTGCGTGCCAGTAGTATCGACCCTCTTCAACGGCAATGAAATTATCGTCGCCTACACCGAGGGTGGTGTCATCCCCGTTTTCGAGCGCGTGAAGGTCATCGACGAGAGCACCGACGAACTCGCATTCACAGGCGCCAAGGCCGTCGTGAAGAGCAAGTCAAGCCAGGCCGTTACCTCGGTTTCCACAAATGGCGCCAAGGGCTCTGGCGAGAGCCGCGTTGATGAGAAGCACATGGCCGTGGAGCAGGGTAACATCCTGGACGACGATATCGAGATGGGCGAATTCCGCGACGACGCGGCCTCCGTCTCTGGAAGCGAAGACTCCGACAACGAAGACGTCGTCAAGCCCACCGAGAAAAAGAACAAGTCCACCAGCAACACCACCACCGCCCCTGAATCCGACGTCGAGATGAACAACGCCGCGTCAGATGACGAAGAGGAGGAGGAAGAGGCAGGTGCCGAGCCCTCCTTCGGCGAACTCATGCGTGCAAACGCAGGACAAGAAGTTGACGTTGAGGCCGAACTCGACGACGACGTCTTGCCCGGCGCCCTGATCCCCGGCAAACCCACAGCGGCAGTGCAGCAGATCCCCACCGGCGTCTCATTGGCGACTGTCCTGACTCAATCCCTCAAGACGAACGATAACGCCATGCTTGAGTCCTGCTTCCACACTGGCGACACCTCCATTATCCGCACAACCATCCAGCGCCTCGAGTCCTCGCTCGCGGCGACTCTGCTCCAGCGTCTCGCTGAGCGTCTCTCTTCCCGCCCTGGTCGGTATGGACACCTCCTTGTCTGGGTGCAGTGGACCTGCGTCGCGCATGGCGGTGCGTTGGCTGGACAGCCTGAGCTTCTGAAGCGCATGGCTACGCTGTACAAGGTCATGGACCAGCGGTCGTCCAGTCTGCCCTCGTTGCTGCTGCTGAAGGGTAAGCTGGATATGCTGGATGCGCAGCTTGGTCTGCGACAGTCGATTCGCGGTGGAGACGAGGGGATGGATAGTGAAGATGAGGACAATGTTATTTATGTCGAGGGTCACGATGATGACGAGGATAGTGAGACCGAGGCTAAGCCTCGGACGAAGTCTCTCCGTGACCAGGCCTTTGACGAGGACGAGTCTATGATGAATGGTGTTGATGAGTCGGAGGATGATGAGGATGATGGAAGCGAAGACGACGACGACGATGAGGTCGATGATATCCTTGACGTCGAGGCGGAAGAGTCGGCTGGTTCTTCCGATGCCGAGGAGTCCCTTGAAGAGAACGAGGATGATGATGAGGACAGCGAGGGTTCGATGGTGGATTTCGTCGCTGATACCGAGGATGAGGTATCCGATGATGCTGTTGAGTCTGTGCCGCCGCCCACAAAGAAGCCCAAGACGGGTGGAAAGAAGAAGGGTGGTAAGAAATGAAGCGATTGACTTCTGGAAAGAAAGATGAAGAAGAACTTGAAGAGGGATGGAATTCCTATGTACGAATTCGGGGAAAGACGTTTTTTTCTGTTGGCTTTTGTTTGCATGTTTATGTTTACTTTACCTTTTTTTACCTTTTTTCTCCCAAAAGAATTATATACTGGCATGCATGACCTGCGTCTTGTCTGGTTTGTGGAAACTATGTCTATAGCCACACTGAATCGACTCAATTGAATGAATTTACAAGCTTGACGTGTCTGTTCTTTAGATTCGTACTCAAAAGTGTACTAGTAGTTTTGTCTTCATAAACCCATCACAGACTTCGTCTTTCAAGCTTAACTACCTAACTACCACTGGTAGGTACACATACTATATACACCCATCATCCAAATCCAAATCTAAATTCAAATCCCTCCATTCAACAAGATCAAACCTGCAACTCCACCCCCTTACAAGCCCCATCATGCAAAACAGCATGACCAGGAATACCACCCTGGCCAAGGGGAATTTGCAACGCAACAGTACTCTCCTGGGAAGGATACTTAGTAATATGACCCAGGGAGCTAACATCCGCCGTATCGAGAGCGAGAATAGCCCCATTTTTGCCGCCAGGTATGTATGCCTCTGCCGTTGAGTTGGGGAGAGTAATATGGGCTAGTCCTGAGAGGAAGACGACCCATCTGAGTAACGAGAAGAAGAAGATGCGATTAGCTACTATACTCTTTCTTTTCTGCTCTTTTCCAGAATCAATCCTCTCCCAAGGTTTCGGGCGGATTGAATGCCAGAATAAACAAATAACAAAATCATCAAACGTACAGTAGTGCGGGCGCATTATGTCTCCCTCCATCGAATTTAGCCGGGAGAACCGAGTACGAAGCATTACCGGCATTGAGACCGCCGACAGGACCTAGATTGAGGACTTCGGTTCCGGATGTTCCGGCTGTTGTGGAGGTTGTGAAGCCTGGTTCTAGGGCCCAGCATTCGATGGTTGAGCGGTTGTTGTGGGCGGATAGGACGGTGATGTTTAGGGTGCTTGCCGTTGCGAGGGTGATAGATGCTAGGAAGGGGGTCAGGGTCAAGAGGCGCATTTTGGCGGTGGCTGGTTGGAATTGATATTGTGGTTGTGATTATACGATTGAGAGTTAATGATTTGGTGGTAGGGGGGGTTGAAAAGATGAGGATGCCAGTGATGATGCCAGTGATGATGCCAAGAAGATTCTTGAAGAGGTGTGGGGGGGGGGATCGACGGTAGATGATCGATCTTGACTTGGTGATGATGGCTCGGGAAATCTTGTCTCCTGATTTAGTGGATCGGAGGGAGCTACTTGGCTGGGTATTTTGCGGAAAGGATTTGCTTTTTCAAGAGGTTGTTCCAAGGTTGGTCGTTGGGTTGGTTGAAGCTTTTCGAACTTGTACGGAATGAAGGGGGTGGTCGTGAGTTATAAAATTTCTTTTTTTCAGGTGTCAGCTTTGGAACACTTGTTTGTCTCATTATGAGAGGATTGTCCAAGCTTCAGTTCTTATAATACTTACTAGTAATGTGACTACTCAGTTCCGGCTAGTGCTCGTGTAAGCTTATTTCGAGTAATCTGATATTATAGTATACTGCCCCAGGCTACTGCTACTAACTACTAGGTCACTAGGTGTATATGCTTGCTAGAAATACCACATACCCCACTTTGTGATTGAGGCTGCAGAAACCAGCATGATCAGTCCTAATTTTGTGATTGAATTGATGTGTTATTTCGGAATTATTCGACTGCCTGCGTGTTTTAAAAGGTATATTCCATTTAAGATCCCAATGTTGAGGTGCTAGCCCCACCAAGATATGTACATCTTCCGTTCTTACTGGCTGCCCCCTCCACAAGCCGCAGGCTTGATGGTGACTTCAAGGCCGAGATTACGAGAACTGGTAGGACACCTCTATCACCTATTCGAACACCCTCTCAGTCCAATTTGGAAAAGCATGGTATGTGCGATACTAGGAGGATTTGTATTGTTACCACGCCGCTGTTTTGACTGCGTTTTTTGGCCATCACTTATAGTGCTGGTGTGGCGGTGGTGGTAGAATCCTTAAAGTATCGATGGTACTATTTTCTCCCGCTCGCCATACAAATTTGTATAGCGAGCAGGAGAAGGTTGAACCATCAAAGCATTTTTGATGTTCCACCACCTGTATGGAAAATTATTTCAGCAAAGTTGTTGTAATTTACCAAAAAGCTACCCTATCGGCGGAAAATGAAGTTATTCGCAACTCTACAGTCATATAGCGGGCGCTGTATCAGTCACAAACCACTACTATACATTGCCATTATGCTGAACCATGTAAATCTACAATCAAAAGGAAATCAACCCCTGTATACTATATTGTACTAGCACCGAGGGTCTCCAGACCTACGATCACTCACGATTGCGACCGTATACAACATGGTGTATTCCACCACTACGACGACCGCCACACAAGCTATACGTGATGGCCAAAAAGAACACCCTCAAAACGTCGATTTGGTAACAATACATATCATCCCAAGTATTACATATACCGTGCCATTCCTAATTAGGGATTGGGGGTGTCCGAATACTGGTTAGGGGTGTCCACCTACCAGTGCTCTCGATTACATACCCCTGGACCAATGCATGGATAAGCCGAGCTTGCTGATTTATCCTGAATACAAGGGAGATTTTAGATCGCCGTAAAATCTATAAAAGACGGCAAACTTACCTTGACTTATTGTATTCTTCATTTGCAGAACCTCCATTTTCACATTTGGTCTTCAACCGCTTACTTTACTACTTTTCCACTATCTTAGATTACCACCATATTGGGTGCCACTGGAGAATAGGGCGTTTTCGTGACAAATTCGATATTCACCGATCCCCAGCTCTCGAATGGGCTCAAACATCGTAGCATTACTCGCGATAGTTACCACAAAGAAGTAGGCCCAAGGCCTGGGAGGCCGTGGCGTTGAAGTGGCTACTGTAGATTTCCCTCCGCATCTGCGAAGCACATCCTTTAAAAGAAAAAGAAGTAATGAAAGTCACATTTTCATGACATTTAGGCAGATTTGAGCTCACCTGACTCTTTGACTACGGCCATCAAGGGCTCTGACACTGTTTTCCTGGTCACCAATTACTGGGAGGCCATGGACCGCGACGTGGAATATTCTCAAAGCAAGAACTTTGCTAATGTTTTTAAGACCCCTGGCGTTTCTCACCTCATACTTTCCTCGCTGCGCACTGTCACAGAGGAAAGTGAGGGACGTCTCACTCATGTTCCCCACTTCGATAGCAAGGCCCGAGTGGAGCAGTATATTCGTGACTTAGGCATTGATTGCAGCTATATCCTTCCTGGGTACTTACTACGTGAGCAATTTCACAAAGTTTTTCAGACGGGCCGAGGACGGCTCTTTCCAATTCTTTTTTCCTGTCGGAAAACAGGCTAAGCTTTCTCTCTTTGATGCCGCCCAGTATACGGGCCACATGGCCCAATTTTTCGTGCTTTCAAACAAAGACTGACCCAGAGGTGCAGGACATTTCGTCAAAACTTTCTTGAAGCATGCTGGTGAATTGAAGAACGAGCAGATACTGGCCGCTACTAGTTATTTATCATACACCGAAGAGATTGTTGGAAATATTCTCTCGGATTTGGGAAAAGAAGGCTATTTTCATTCAGGTATCCAATGAACAGTATACGGCCCCGTTTCCAACTGCTGTTGCACAGGAGCTTCTTGAGAACCACTTGTTGTAGAGGAGCTTGATTATGATATAGGAGAGCCTCTTGAGTCGAGTTTGGACCTCTTCATCTCTAAGCCGAACGCATTCGAGCGATTTTCTTAGAAGAGTCTGTCTACCCGGGAAAAAGAGTTAATGGGATATATGGGTGATTAGGTACAGGGAAGATCGAAATCAGTTTCACCACTTGGCTCTCATAGAATCTATCTCGAACCCTAGTCCGAAACACACTAATCCATTTCCGACTGAGCTCCGTCTCAAGTACTGAATCGTATTGAAAGGCGTTATCACGTGCAATAATGCTCATAATTCATTTGTAATACTCTTACCGAAAATACTATCATCCTGTGGCCTCTTTGAGCTTGTTGATGACGTTTCCATTTACTTGTTTCATTATTTTGTTAGAAGTTTAATAGAACGATGAGGTCAATTCCCTTCGAAAAGTGTGTACCAAGTCAATTTGTGAGGAGACACTGCTTTGGGAAATACACATGAGGCAGAAAATAACATAAATTCCTAGTATGATCTACGCATCCATATGCGCCTCCTTTACTATTCCCTGCCGGTTTCCCACTCCTCATCCGTTTTCTATTCCCCTTCAGTCTCCCGTGTCACTTCCGTTTCCCATTCTAACAATGTTTCAGAATTAGATAAAGTAGTGGGATGGTTTTGGCCGAGTGTTTGCTTCTGCTTGGTTAAGCACTCTCGTAGCAAATTGATGGCTTCGGCATCGTGAGCGGAAGATTTCCAGGTGAAAGCGAGATTCGCCATACTGATCAGCGTGTCGGGATGATCCTCGCCGAGCTTCGTCTTGCGAGTCTTCATCACCTGCATCTCGAGCTGCTCGGCCTCCTCCCACCGGCCCTGGTTCCAGTACGTCAATGCTAGGTTGGCCATACTCGTCAGCGTATGGGGATGGTCCTCGCCGAGCTTCGCCTTGCGAGTCTCCATCACCCGAACCTCAAGCTGCTCGGCCTCTTCCCACCGGCCCTGACTCTGGTATGTCGACGCTAGGTTGCCCATACTCGTCAGCGTATCGGGATGGTCCTCGCCAAGCTTCGCCTTGCGAGTCTCCATCACTTGTACGTTGAGCTGCTCAGCCTCTTTCCACCGGCCCTGGTTTAAGTACGTTGATGCTAGGTTAGCTATAATTGTAAGCGTATCGGGATGGTCCTCGCCGAGCTTCGTCTTGCGAGACTCCATCACCTGCACTTCGAGCTGCTCGGCCTCTTCCCATCGGCCCTGACTCTGATACGTCGATGCCAGGGTGGCCATAATCGTAAGTGTATCAGGATGGTCCTCGCCGAGCTTCGTCTTGCACGCCTCCATCACCTGCACCTTAAGCTTCTCAGCCTCTTCCCACCGGCCCTGGTCCTGGTATGTCGATGCCAGGTTGGCCTTAACCCTTAGAGTATCGGGATGGTCCTCGCCAAGCTTCGCCTTACGAGTCTCCATCACTAGTATATTGAGCTGCTCGGCCTCTTTCCACCGGCCCTGGTTCAAGTACGTTAACGCGAGCTTGGCTATAACCGTCAGAGTATCGGGATGGTCCTCGCCGAGCTTTATCATGCGAGTCTCCATCACCTGCACCTCGAGCTGCTCGGCCTCTTCCCACCGGCCCTGACTCTGGTATATCGACGCTAGGTTGGCCATACTCATCAGAGTATAAGGATGGTCCTCGCCGAGCTTCGCCTTGCGAGTCTCCATCACCTGAACCTTAAGCTGCTCGGCCTCTTCCCACCGGCCCTGACTCTGGTATGTCGACGCTAGGTTGGCCATACTCGTCAGCGTATAGGGATGATCCTCGCCGAGCTTCGTCTTATGAGTCTCCATCACCTGAACCTCGAGCTGCTCGGCCTCTTCCCACCAGCCCTGCTTCCGGTACGTCGTCGCGAGGTTGGCCATACTCGTCAGCGTATAAAGATGGTCCTTGTCGAGCTTTGCCTGGTGAGCCTCCATTACTTGCACCTCGAGCCGCTCAGCCTCTTTCCACCGGCCCCAGTCTGAGTATGTCAACGCGAGGTTGGCCACACTCGTCAGCGTGTAAGGATGGTCCTCGCCGAGCTTTGCCTGGTAAGCCTCTATCACCTGTAACTCAAGCCGCTCAGCCTCTTCCCACTGGTTTTGCTCCCGGTATGTCGATGCCAGGTTAGCTATGATTTTCAGCGTATTAGGATGGTCTTCGCCGAGCCTCCTCTGGCTTATCTCCATCACCTGCACCTGTAGCTGTTCGGCCTCTTTCCACCGGCCCTGACTCCGGTATGTCGACGCTAGGTTGGCCATACTCGTCAGCGTAGAGTTATGGTCCTTGCCGAGCTTCGCCTTGCTCGTCTCTACTACTTGTACCTCGAGTTGCTCGGCCTCTTTCCACCGGCCCTGGTCCGAGTATGTCGACGCGAGGTTGGCCATACTCGTCAGCGTATGGGGATGGTCCTCGCCGAGCTTCACCTTGCGAGTCTCCATCACCTGCACCTCCAGCTGCTCGGCCTCTTGCCACCGTCCTTCGAGCGAATATCCTCTCGCTAACATCGCAGTGCTAGCAAGGGCTTCTTGATGTTCTTCGCCTAATATTTTTATCCTTTGCTCTCTTGATTTTGATGCCATTTCTCTTACGTCTGCGATGTTACCGCATTCTGACGCATACCATGCACCTCTATAAAGCAATGCAGCCCACCGTTGTAGACACTCACGTGATGCTGGCCGTTGTGACATTGCAGATTTGACATGAGGAAACAGTGACCTGCATCTCTCCCAGTTTTCGTATTTACCGGTGGGGAACGCTTCACATAGGTTGCTAATGAATTTCTCCCGCCATTGGACTAATTGTCCATGAGATTTTAACCACGCATGCGTAGTCACTTGCACTAGCCGGTGGATCGTAAAGAAAGCGCTGTTCTCATTGACAGATATAAATGAATAATCCCTCAGTGTCATAATATCATCTTCAAAATCAGGGCCTACATCGGATTCAGATGTCTCCCCGTCACTTGAGTCGTTCAGAAGCTCTGAACTTGATGTATGGTTGTCCTTCGGTTGGTGCCGTATAAGGCTCTCTGGTATTCCTTGCCGATCGAAAAAACTCATGAGAGAAAGTAACTCAGCCGCAGATGGCTTTGTCTGACGTATATAATCGAAAGATATTTGCCACGTCATTAAAATCGAATTCTTTGCTTCCCAGTCCCGGTAGAGATGGCCTGCCTCTTTTTTCAGAAGCCGTGTCGCTTCACGGTCGCTCCTTTGGAAGTCTCCTAGGTATTGTGATACCGAATAGCGAGGCGCCCGATTTCGAATATAGCTAGCGGCCTGTACGATCGCTAGCGGTATAAACTCAAGCTCTTCTACTAACTGTCGGTTCTCTTCGGTTTCCCCTGGCACTTCAAGCTTTCTTTGGAGAAGCTCCAGTGCCTCGGGCTTTTCCATCCTGTTGACTTCAATAAGGTCTCTATGATTGACCAATTTTAACGCAATCTCTCTGCTCCGACCTGTGATAATGAGAGATCCATGCAGGCTTTGAGGGAGGTATTCGAATAGTGGCTTCGTCGGGGCGTTATTCTGATCATTCATCTGGGCCAGCTGACTCGTCGACGGGGGCCCGCGAAGGAACTCTTCATCATCGATATTATCAAGGATTAGAACCCATTTGCCTCTCTTCTCATGCTGGAGCCAGCCTTCAACTAGTTTAAATATATTGACGTTGAGATCCCAACGCCCAGGAAGCTTAACCTGGTCAGCTATGTCGCGGAAACTTTGCTGAAATCGGGCCGCGTTACTCGCTTGGACCCAGAAAACCCATGTCGCTGGCGATTGAGCTCGGATCTGGTAGGAGTATTCGATGGCTAGTTGAGATTTCCTTTTAGCTGTCAGCAATAAACCAAGCACTGGCTGCTCTGCACTGACCCGACACCGCCGAGGCCGACAAGAGCTATCCTCGACCCTGGGACCGAGCTTCTCTCGTGAATCTGATGGAGCAGTGTGTCGCGACTGACAAAGTGCGGATCGCGTGGGAATGGGACAGTTGATAGAGGGCTAGGCGGGGTTTCCGGTCGCTCTAAGCTGGGAAACGGTGGTTAGTCAGTGACAGTAATCTTGTCTAGTTCCTGACATACCCGGCGGCAGGTGGAATTCTGCGTTGATCGAGCCATGGTTATCTCCGATCTGGAGCCCATGGTTGGTGCCACGGAATGCTATCGATGCCATGATCAAGTGAATTTGCGTCGTATAAACTTTATTCGAAGGGCCGTGGTCTCACCACCTAGCTTAAGGAGGGGCACATCCCGAGCTTCATAATCAGGTGACCGTACGGCGCTAAGACACGGGGTCAAACTAAGATTGGCAGGCCCTGTGGGGTGGGAACGGCACCTTTCTAGAACTCGAGCCAGAACACCCATATAAGTATACCGATAGTATTGAACCTAAAGATAATCACCATTCTATACAAGTCTTTCGAAGGCTACCACAAACAAATAAAGATAGTGCAAACCAAACACCCAAAAAAGGAAGGAAAGCGAGCTTCCAATCTAGCGAATGACTTCACTGCCGGATTTCTCAATACCCTCCATACTCTCTAGGATATCACTACCCCCAAACAACCCACTAGCCGACCCAACGCTCGTTCGACACCCAGTCCAAATCTCATGGAACTTAACAGTCTGATCACTCGATGCGACAATAATACATCCCTCCTCGATCGTTCGTGTGCACCACATCCCGCCTTCTTTTTCCTTTGGCTGAACTGTCATCCGGTCTCTCCTGGCCGGGAAGTCTGCTTGACTTCCACTTGCCGAGGAGGACTGTGGGCCGTTTGATGTAGAAGACCTAGGAGAAGCGGCGTATGAAGAAGATGTTTCGCCAATAATGCTGCTATCATCTTCCTTAGCAGGAATCGAAAGGCGAGATTTCCGGCCAGGATATCCAACAGCGCATAAAGCTCGCCCGCAGTCGTAACTCGGGACGTCGCGCTCATGTCCGTCCCAACTGCTTCCGTACGGTCCCCAGGGGATAACTGCAACTTGTGCACAGCTTGGCCAGGCGAAAACTGCGATTCGGAAAGGATGTTCTGGTTGGGCGTATCCGAAGGTTGCGGCTATTTCACGCCGGGTTTGACTCCAGATGAGACTCGTTACTTGTGCAAATACGTTGATTGTTGCTAGGCAGACTCCGGTTCTGGAGTGGAAAAAGTGGATTGCCCGGTCGTTGGATCCCCCTCCGGTTGCGAGTAGTGTTGGTTGCCAGGGCGCAAAGGCAATTGCCTTTACTGCTGCGCCATGTTGTAAGCGATACTTCTGACGGTTTGGTGGAATGATCACCGTTTTTCCGAGTCCCGAGATGAGGGTTCCCAAATTGCTAAGGACTGGAGATGCTGCGGAGATTCTGATCGTTGGGGGATGTGCCCGCGAAGGTAAGAGTTGGTTGACGACGTGCTCCCTGTTGAACAATCGCAGTATCCCCCAATTGATGCCTGGAGTGTTTCTGATATTCAGGCATGGGAATGCGTGGAAGGTCATTGAATCCGGAGAACTGCCCAGACTTGAAGAGGCAGGACTATATGCTGAGTGGTTGAGAACGGGTGCAGGGATAAGTTCCTGGAGATCGAAGAGCAGACAAACATTGTCATTGCCACCAGTAGCTAGATATCGCTGATCAGGGGACCATGCCAGACCGCAAACTTGCTGGGTATGGGCGATAATCTTGGCCAGTAGTGTCATGGAACCGGTCCAGCTCCACTTATTTTGAATGACTGGCCATTCGACCGAGTAATACCACACATTTCCCATCTCGTCACCAACCACGAGCTCTTCTGCGTCAACCTCCAAGCCGGGAAATCGTCCAGAGCTGCGGCGTTTAGTCCGAGAATTGAATGTCACGCACGAGATGCTGTAAGGATGACTGAGCTCGAAGCGGACCGTACTATCAAAAACGCTCCAGAGCGTCAATTGACCAGATTGGCGACCGACCGCCAAGATGCTTCGACCACCACTCTCAGATGAGAACGACAGAGATGTCACATAGTTTGATGGGTGAACATCGCCAAACGGGGGATGGTTCACAGAAATGCCTTCTGACCATAGGTAAACGAATTGCGCGAGGCCAACGGCAAGAATTCCTGAGGTGAATGAGTAGGCCAGGGTCGAGCAATAAAAGTCGTCACGAAGAAAAGGCGCATCCAAGATACGGAAAGGCTTGGGCGGAACAATTTCCGGTCGTCGGACTCGAGTGGGCGGCCCTGTTTATCAAACCCGGAAATCAGTTGATGCCACAGATGAATCTGTGAATGGCATGGAGCATAACCTGTGAAGTTGACGTAGGTTTAGATCTCATATATATGTTCCCAATAGAAAAAATCCGGCCGCACCCCCAAAGACCAAAGTGTAAAGCGCTAGTCACGCACAGATGACAAGACGCCGACAATGCGAACTTACAATTGTCTTTCTCGGCCTTCTTCCAAGCATTATCCTTCCATACGAAAGGTGCATACCGCTCATGATCCTTCGATGTTGGGCGAAGGTGGTTTTCCGTACATGCAACAGAAGTCTCAAGGAGTCTTCCTGTGGGGTCAATGTCCAATGCAAGGGCAAGTCGCGACTCGTGCTTGTTATGGTCATCAGCGGCAGTCCTTCTGGGAAGGAATCTGGCAACGTAGTTCGGTGCCATGGTCCCTCTTCCTGCATCATTCCGTGAACCATTTGACACCGTCGCCGAGGAATCCGCTGGAATAGCCAAGATACCACCGACACCCCAGACAGAGCCAGAGCTGACTTGTCTCAAGAAATCAGTCCGATCGCCTCCCAGGAACATTGACCCTGTGACTGAGACCAGGTCGCTGATGAGGCCGCTGGCGGAGACGAGTAGGAATTGATTTCTGCCCCGGGAAATTTGGAGGTCGGCGAGCCACTGGAAGAAAAGGGTCATGCCCAGGAGCACGTCTCCGCAGAAATCTTTCTCGAGGGGAAAGTAGATGTGGATGTTTGTTCACACGGAACGGCGTTGAGGGAGGATCCATATACTCCCGTTTTGGGATGAACCGATCAGGAGATGAAGGACTGCGAAAGGCTCCACGAGGCACATCGCCATTTGGAGATACTCTGTTCCTCGTTCGACCGCGTTCAGGAGAGCTGGGGGTTGTAATTCTGTTTTCCTTGAGTAGTGGATGGGGAGTATTGGGACGGTTGTCCGCTGGAAGGTGGGTCAGTGATATTTGAGAGGTATTGTGCAGTTCATGAAGCGTAAGGTTGATCGTTGCAAAACATGCGGTTAGTCCAGTTAGTATTCCATCGTCTGAAGATTCAGATTGAGATGAACACGTCAGTGAAGCACGGTGGTTGCGAATTGAGGGAATATCCTCGAAGGAATGGCATCGCGAATCGACCATTGTTCGGGGTAAAAACAGCCACGCGATAATTATATTTCAACGACAAAAAAGAATGAGTATCAGTGTGCCCAAGAGACCTCCACTCTGAATGAAGGCAAGTCTGTTGGTAAGTGTTGACTGGATGAAGTGCAGTTGTCATGGGTGTTTGATAGTGGATTCCTGCTTACGTGATCCAACCATCGCGGTTTCCCCGTAGGTGATCATCTTCACTCTTTTATTTACAAGCGTGGTTGCGCTCGAAAGAATGGCAAATGCTTATTGATAAGCTACGTAGTACACTGTTTCTTGTATACCCAAAGCAAGTGGGTGATGGCCACCGAGCGCTACTTTTTGTATACGAAAAGGGAGGGGGCAATGGCTACTAAATATATAAAGTATACAAAGTAGCGAATGGTAGTTACTGAGCGCAACTTTTCTGTATACCGAAAGTAATTAGGTGATGGCTTGATATAGGGTATACAATATATATGTATGCATTGTCATTCCCTGTAGTAGATAAATAGTACTATTTGCTACTAGTCAGTAGTACTAGTACAATTGGCCGCCGGTCAAAAATGAATTACATAATCATTGCAAAGTGGCGGCTATCGACTGCCGTACCCGCCGCCTTCGAGGCAACTCCAACTTGCGTTCTTCTTGGTGTTGCCTTTTAGTATACCCTCATAGATTCACATTGACTCTCACATTAATCCATAATCATGGCGAGTGTGAGTGAAACAGACCTGTCCCTATCGGCCATTCGACTCGGCTGACATCATTTGACAGCATGGCGTCCGCCGCTTCAAACCAGTGGAGAAGACTCCAGAAGAGCACGAACGAGAGTTGAAGCAAATTGAAGAGTACAAATCTCTCGAAAACTCTGTATCTGAAAAGGTGGGGTACTTATCGTGACCCATGATACTTTACTTGGGATTGGAATGTTGACCGGGCTAGGTGGCCGCACAAGAGTATTCTACCGAGACATTGAGGCAGATCTGCGATTTGCTCAGTCGCAACCCAGAATATTACACTGTCTGGAACTACCGGCGACAGGCCATTCGGCATCAATTCTCCACAGCAGGGGGAGATGCGGGAGATTCCGCGGAGAGTGCGGCCGAGTCGATTGTCCAACTGATCAAGGATGATCTGATGTTCCTCATCCCCCTGCTGAGGAGCTTCCCCAAATGTTATTGGATTTGGAATTATCGCCTCTGGTTACTGGATGAAGCTCGGCGACTACTGCCCCAGCCCGTCGCCCGTCGGTTCTGGCAGGAAGAGCTGGGATTGGTGGGCAAAATGTTGACTCTCGACAGTCGCAATTTCCACGGTTGGGGATACCGACGGCTCGTCGTGGAGACCTTGAAGCAATTGGGCTCGGAAGAAGAATCGAGAAACATGACCCAGCAAGAATTCGACTACGCAAAGAAAATGATCGGTGCCAACCTATCAAATTTTTCCGCGTGGCACTACCGCACCAAGCTTATTCTCCGGCTATTGGAGGAACAATCGGCCAGTGATGAGGAACGCCGGGCTATGTTGGACGACGGTTTGTGTTCCCTTCTCCCTCTCTCCCTTCTACCCTCCCCCAGAGCAGACAGAGACCCCACGATAAACTGACAATTTTTTTTTTTTCACCGTGCACTACAGAGCTGGCTCTCATCCACCAAGCCCTGATTGATCCTTACGATCAATCATTATGGTTTTACCATCAGAACTTGATTTGCGTCTTTGATCCGGCGGTGGCGGCTCGGACCATGGCTCCGAACCTGGGGACGTCAGAGCGACTTCAGTATTTGCGGGGGAGATTGCCGAGATCGAGGAAATGCTAGATGGGGCTGAAGATTGCAAGTATATCTATCAGTCCTTGATCGAATGCACGTTGTTGGTGTCCAAAGTGGCGGGCCACATGGCCTCTGAAGATCACAGGCAGGTTCTGAGCTGGCTCTCGGAGCTGAAACAGTTGGACCCACTACGGCGACAACGATGGCTTGACTTGGAGAAAACATTGCAATCCGAGATCACAGCAGCTACTAGTACCTAATTGAAACATTGACAATGATCATTGCTGGTCCACAGAATCACCTGTTGTACGATACTAGTACTAGTAGATATGTAGTGTCTTGTAGCGGAATGGGGGAAGTATACTAGATGTACGTCTACATGTACGTGTCCAATATGCATGGACAAATCCCAGCCCAACGGACATGCAGGAATGTCACCCCTGCATATCGATATCAGACGTCGCATATTTGATCGATCCCATGCAAATGTCGATTGCATTCCCCAAAGTTCCGATCGACAGGTGAGTCCACTATAGTTGGTGGTTGTCCACTCTTCCTCAGCCAATCAGCGCGGGAAGTGCCTGACTTGTCTCCAGTTGATCAAGGCAAGTCAACTCAACTCAACTCCTCGTCCCATTCCTCCCCTCCTCCACTACTCTCTACTCTACTCTACCTACCCCCACGACCTTTCACTGGCTCACCTTAAACTCGTTCTTATGGGGTGTTACGCTTTTTGATTTTATGAGATCCCTCCCTCGCCATGTCGTCGAATCGCAACAGCAACGACTATGTAGGGGTGAGTGTGTGTTGTGCTGTCGTGTTTCATCGTGCTGTCCACTGATTACCCCGTCCCCTATAGGAGTCCTTCGATGATGCCCCCGAACACCCAGAGAATCTCAATGTCAAAATTCCTCAATCCTCCTCAACCAGGTCATTGACCGACAGTCCACCTATCGGTACAGCCCCTTCTCCCGACGCGACGGAGAAGCCGCCTCTCCCTACTGCATCGCAGGACGAGCAGCAGGACGACGGGACTGACGGCGGTGAAACCAAGAGCGCTAAGAAAAATAAGAAGAAGAACAAGAAGAAGAAGGGAAAGAATCAAGACGAGGTCGAAGAGCAAGATAACGACACCGTGGAAGATGGCCCAGGGGATGCCGTGGAAGACACCGTGGACTTCGAGACCGTCGGAGAAGCAAAGGGCGGTGACAACCAGGACCAGAAGGATGAGCAGGCTCAGCTAGATGGACCCCTGGAGACCGAAGAGCTGGGAGATGGGGACCGCACGCCCGTGAGGAGTCCCCCGCAAAAGTCCCCCCCTACTCACCTCCCACCGTCTATCAACCACCTCATCATTGGACGAGGTGGCCTTGACTAACACCAAGGGGGATGAGTCGGTCGCCCCCAACATTACGACCCCAGACATAACGAGACAGTCGCCCCCGGTCCCTGCCAAGGATGATGTCGCTTCCCCGCCGAGCGGAGGCCTCATGGGCTTGTCTGGAGCTTTGCCATCTTTGCCTTGGGGACCGCCTCCAGTGAACAAGAACCCTCCTCCTCCTGCTCCGCCCCCTGCGCCCACCCGGAAACCAAGCGGGCCCTTTGCGTGGTTCTCCCGGAGCTCGACCGGAACCAAAGACATCAAGTCTCCCCAGTCTACCAGTCGACGAAACACTGCCAATTCCGTTTCTACACTCGCAAGCAACTTGGATCGATCCCATGACGGTGAAGATGGGGACTCATCGAGCGTCAACTCGAAGAAGCCGCGGAGGAACAGCCTCAAGGACCAGTTCAAGCTGCTGCGCATGCGAGAAGAGGTCCACGCCCATGGCCACGAGAACGATGATGGCAGCGTCCGATCTGGTCACGCGAGCATTAGCCACGCTGGAGCTAGTCCGCCTATCATCCCGGAAGAAGGAGAGGAAGGCATTCTGGCCGCTCCTGCACTCGCCCCGGGAGCAACATCCCCGGCGGGGCTCAGTCGACGATCAGCGCCGCCAATGACGCCTCTACGCCTGTTGACTGGGATCTTTGGCAGCAGTTGGTAAATAACGGACCTCAGGCTATTGGTAGCTCGGAGGAACTGAATGCGGCCATCAAACGGGGTATCCCACAAACTATTCGAGGTGTCATCTGGCAAATATTGTCCGATTGCCGCACTGGTGAATTGGATGATATTTACCGTGAACTCGTCGCGCGGGGAACAGACAAGGACCGTCGCACACCCGATCTCCTGATTAACGGCACCACCGAAACATCCTCATCGCGATCATCCATTCGGTCTAACAACTCGGGCTCCGCAACACAACCGACGAGCACCACTCCCAGTCCATCTCAGGAGATGGACCCTGAGAGGCTGGCCAAAGAACAGGCTGCCAGTGAAAGCGCCCGCGCCAAGAAGGCCAAGGACGAGGCTGCTGCATTGCAAAAATTGGAGAAAACTATCCGGAGAGATTTGGGTGCGCGGACAAGCTATTCGAAGTACTTCATCTCCCAGGGAAGCCAAGAAAGTCTGTATGGATTATGTAAAGCCTACGCTCTTTACGATGAAGCTGTTGGATACGCCCAGGGCATGAACTTCATCGTCATGCCTTTGCTTTTCAATGTAAGTACTAAAATGCGATTTCCCCATGAGGACTGAGCTAATTACGAACGCAGAACGATGAGGTCGATGCCTTTGAGCTGCTCGTGAAATTGATGAATAAGTACGGCCTTCGTGAAATGTTCATTGCGGACATGCCTGGTCTTCATCGCAGCCTTTATCAGTTTGAACGACTACTGGAGGACCTCGAACCAGCTCTTTACTGCCATCTCCGTCGTCGTGGCGTGCCCCCGCAATTATACGCTACACAGTGGTTCTTAACACTATTCGCCTATCGTTTCCCTCTGCAACTTGTCCTTCGCATCTACGACTTGATATTTGAAGAGGGTCTTGAGAATACCATTGTCAAATTCGCCGTCGCGATCATGCGCCGCAATACAGAGACGCTCTTGGGAATGAAAGACATGGCCGCCCTTACAACGTTCCTCAAGGAGCGCATCTTCGACGTGTACATTGATAAGCAACCATCCGCATCCTCAATTTTGGAATCCGGCTTCTTCGGCAGCTCCGGCGCCGCAGATAAGGGAATTTACCGATCAGACATCCTCGTGCAAGATGCTTGCGACATCCCACTCACAAAAGAGATGCTCAATTCATACACAGCCGAATGGGAAGAAAAGACACGAACGGAGAAGGAGCGCGAAGTCGAACTCGAACACCTCCGACACACCACCGCCACGCAATCATCCCGGATTCGCCTTCTGGAAGAACGCGCCGAAGCATCTGATAAGGAACACGTCCAATTAGCATCTGAGCTCGTCCACGCCAAGGTTGAGAACGAGGAACTCCGAGACCTAACAGAAGCCCTCAATCTGCAGGTTAGCGAGCTGAAGAACGTCGTGGACAAGCAACCCGCCGAGGTGGAGGAGAAGCTCCGCCTAGAGATGGAACGCATCATGCAGCGCAACATCGAGGTGCAAAATGAGAATCGCTCCATGGAGGAGAATATGGCGGATATGGAGAAGGAGTTGGTTGCTACTAAGATGAAGTGGGCCGAGGTACGTATTAATCCAAGATCTGGTGCTGGTGTTGTAAAACGAACAAGATCAAAACTTACTGATAATTTTCCTTCACTTTGTTCAGATGTCCGAAAATCACGAAACTCTTAAACAAAAATGGAGTGATCTCCGCCGAGCTCTTGATTAACCGCTTTCCCTCCCTGCCTCTCCGGGTCTAGCCTGGTCTATCCCGATGTTCATCTTACTCTTTCTACCTTCTACTGGGTTCCCCTTGCCCTCCCTGTATATTTGAATCAGTGTCGCTGGCGGACAGAGTATCTTTACGAGTAATATTCAACTTGAATGACTTCTAGTACTATTTGGCCTGTACGATTAGCTTGCTAAGATTTTCATACAGCATTTGCTGTAGATCATGTACGCCTCGAAATGCCTATCCAAATTCCATCCGTCCTCTTTCTTTTCACTAGCTCGTAAGCTGGTTTTCAAATTTGAAACCAACATTCCGAGGCGAAAAACAGGGGTTGGTCAGGACTCGAGCCCATCTCCACTCCTAAAATAGACTTCAGGACCACCTATGCATAACTTGAACAACATATGCAGCACTCACAACATTGTACTTTACCAGTACTAGCTAGGCCGATTTAACTTGTTAGAAGGAGAACATGAAATCGATAGTTCTAGCCAATATAGAATACAACAAAAAAGGATCATGTGATAGAAAATTCGTAATGATGTATGCCTAGTATGATATTCTATGGAAAGTAGTAGGGGTATTCGTGATCTGCCTCGAGTAGAAAGAAGTATGCATCCATCCTCCGAGGCAACGCTTTTGTATAAAACAGGTAGGTATGGGTGGTATCACAAGAAACGAAAACAAAGTGGTATAGAACAAAAGAAAATCGAAATGAAAGAAAGCTCCCGAGCAAGAAATTTACTGCTTGCCGGAATAAACCATCTCCACGGGCACACTCAAACTCGTACTAGAGCCGCAGAGGCCAGAACTCGAAGACATGCGGTGGCCCAGAGAAATATCAAGCGCATAACTGCGAGATACGGAGCAGGAGTGGAATGTTGGCAAGAAGTCTTTCTTGCTGGGGAGGATGATTGGAACAGTCACTGTTGCCGTGTAGCTGCATTGATCCCAGGACTCGATTTGCTCCTCGCTTGGGATAAATGATGCGTCGGATTCGTCGTCGTTCTTGAGCTTTCCTTGGTAGATTGCGGAGAAGGAGGGGAGTTTCTCCCATTTCACAGATGAGAGGTCTAGAGAGGAAAGGGACATGGTCTTCTCGTAGACTTCACGGTCGACTTGCAGCGGGGTGATGTCGTTTTGGGTAGGGTAGTTTTCCCAAGGAACGGTGGCATAGAAGGTTGATGTGTTGAGGTTGCACTTGAGAGAGGAGAGGCGAGGAGGAAGTTCGTTCTTGATAGGGTCGAAGCGAAGATGTAACTGCAGAGCTGTGGGGGGTGGCGCTGGTCGAACCAGTCTTGGTGGTTTGAAGGTCGATCGGGGTAGGCTTGGTGGCGGAGATTTCCAAGTTGCCATGTTCGCGGCGGCCCAGACCCGATGTGAGAGCCTGCTCCTTGAGCATATAGAGGACTGAGGGATCATCGGCCTTTTCGCTTTGCGCAGTCGCTGGCAACACCCGGATATCTTGCGAGAGGTCGCAGATAGGCTCGGGAGATGATTTGCCGTACATTTGGACCCGGACACCATATTGAATACGGCACATCTCTGGGGAATCGTCTGGAGTAGAGCGGAGGTTCCAGAACGGAGTAGGTCCGGTTCCGAGAGTAGGTGGTAGACGTAGGTGGGCGTTCTTGACACCAGCATTCCGAGTTTCGTGGGTGCAACATTGGGGCAGAATCTGCTCGGGAACGACGAAAGTGAATGGCAGTTGATATTGCTGGCCTGGCAGCAGGGTTTGAATCCTGGGATAATCCAATTCGTTTGTTGGCTGGTGTAATTGCAAGAACTTCTGGTAAGATTCCCTTTCGGCCAGGGACGAATGCAATGGCTCGGCTTAGAGACGTAGAAGAGATTCCCTCAAGTGTGATGTCGATCTTCTCCAGGGGAATTTCCCGCTCAACTTCGATTTTGATATATCCGCGAACTTCATCTGATGTTGTGTAGACGTTGTCTTTAGGGTTGGCCAACTCAATCCAGACATTGGGAGTGGCAGAGGTCAGAGCCCGTTCCGGCAAGCTGGCCATGCCGCAAAGATTAGGACAAAGCATTGTGGTTTTTGCTTTTGTCTTAGAGTTTTATCCAAATGATTTTGAAAGTCTGTTTTCAGGTACGTCAGTATAAAGTTATTTTTAAGTCCGACGAGGGTTGGAATGTCCTACTAGACTGGATCAATCAATGTACTCGACAAGCGGACTCGATGCTCAGCAAAAGAGTAAACTTGATAGCACTGAATAGACAATTGCAGAGTATTGAAGAAAGAGAAATAATTAAAAAAAGACATCACGCAGGATGTCATTCTCGTGAAATCGGACCACAATTTCCAAAGCCGATTGTTTTGTCTGATTTTTCATGCTGGTTGTAAGCCGAAGAGTCGGAACCGAACCTCACAATTCAAAGCCGACGACTGGCTGAGCCGAGAATTCTCGGCTCTCGGGAAATTTGCATCTGGTCGGCCAATCACCATTGCCCATTTCCCTGGATGGTCTGTCAGTTCTAAGACCTGGAAAAAAATGGATGAGCTACTCCATACTTCGTGCGTCTAAGTCGATTCCAATTCGGTTTTGAGCCATGCTTAGCACTTGTCATTGCGTCACTCTGCCAGGTGGCTGATCCGAGATCTTTTGTTCTCCACTTTTATCGCATTTGCCATGCTCTTCACGCAAGAGCCTCATAATCAATCATTTAAATATAGAGTGGCCCTCCAAGCGTTGTTCCATCTTGTCGATTTCAAATTTGTGGAGACTCTTAGCATATCATGAGTATCTGCAACCCATACTGGTAGTACGAAATCTTGAGAGACCTGCTTACTTTATACCTGTACTAGCCATTCGTTAAAACGTGTCCCGACTGGCCCAACAGGATCTAACTAGGCCACCGACGACACTGGGAATTCTTATCTCCATCGAATTCATCGAATTCATGTCCTTCTTGGCGAATGGAGATGTTCTGCTCGTGCTATCGCCGTCTGTAATATTTTACACGGGAATGGTAGAGCGGGAAACCATTCCCGGTATGGATCCCCGCAAATGACTGACCCGATTTCCCCAATGTTTAGTAGGGCCATCGCGCCCATGAGTAATTGATCAATTACTTTTCTCCTCAATCCATCTCGTGTGACCGAGCTCGAGCTAGTTTACTGCGTCAAGAATATGCGAGGTAGCAAGGTTGCATCTCCACGAATGGCTCCCAGCAACAGCCCCCAGAATGATAGATCTCCAAACATCGATGTGGAGAAACGGTTCGTCTACCAACAATGTTTCGAGGGGTGGAATCCTTAGAACTAAGATGCCTGCAGAAAGCTCCGTAATAGATTAGCACAGCGAGCCTTTCGCCGCAGACAGGCGGATCACCTACGGGAACTACGCGACCGTGCTGGTTCAAATGACGAACCGCACGATGAAACGATTCGCAAACTCCGAGAGGAGAATAGCCGGCTTCGAAAAAGTCTCATAGACGTGCACACAAAGCTGTCCAGGATGACTGCAAACTTGCAGTCATTATCAGCGACAGTCTCTACCTCAATCGATGGGTCCAAACCGGAGAGGCCAGACCAAAACCCAGACGAGTATTCCATTGATTTGAACGATATCCTGGAGGAATTTGAATCCGGAGCAATCGAAGACGATGTAATTCAGATTTCCGAGCCATCCCATAATAATTCGCAACAGCTGGCTGTTTCGCTGCGATCTCCTCGGTCTAAATCGCCAACCGCAATTTGCCTAGATCTATCAGAAGGGCCCCAGCAGCTTTCCGAAACCCCTTCCAGGGCAGAGTCCATATCTGAAAGAGTCAGCAGCCTTGCGCAGGAAATTCCTAGCATCTGGTCCTTTGACTATCAGATGGGAACCGATCCATATACTAGAGCTTTATCCAGCAACCAAAGCTGCAGAATGAGATTGAACAAGGATTGGACTGAAACCAATTCCCCATTTTCGGATCACATTCAAAGCTTGCGCACAACCCTTAAAAGCAAGGTGGACCTCAACACACCTAAGACAGGACCGGCGATGCTATTGTGAGTTTGATTCCAGATATTTCATGTAAAATGATATTGGCTGACCTCTTGATAGCTTTTACCAAGAAGTCATGATGCTTTTATCTCTCTTCAATAGTCTTACGAGACCGGATGTGATGAAGTGGTATGCGAAAACTCGATTTTACCATATCGTCAATCTCACAGCATGGCAAATAAATCCATGCACAAAGACATACAACTCAATTCATCCCCAATATCGGCCCACCGCATTGCAGTTGCAGACCCCATATCCCAGCGTCATTGATTGGATACCATTTCCTTCAATTCGTGACCGTCTCATTCAACTTCATTCAGCCAACCCGCAGATCGACCAAATATTTTGCGATACTGTGAGCAGTTATGTGGTTGAGACTTGGATGTCTGAGCTGATCATCGGAGCTCCTACAATAAAAGCCTACATCCGCGTTACAGACATCATTGCGAACTTCGATTCGAAGGTAGAAGAAGACCCTGCCATCTTAGAGGCCGCTCTTCCTGCACCTGATGTTGCAACCATTTTTACATCCCCTGTGTGTTCTAGGGCTGTTTTCAACAAACTTAACATGGCTTGCGGTGTGTCTATCTATAAGATCGACCCATCATTCTTTGGAAGTTACCCGGAGCTCTACGATCATAACTTCGACATTGCAGCCCAGGGGATTCCCTTAAGACCAGATGTCCAGTGCCGCCTGACTTGTCCGAAGCCGCTTGATACACAGACATTCCAGACGTACCGTAACTTTGTTGATTTCTCATACGACTCGCCTATTTGGAAAACTTGGATCACGGGTTGAATAATGTCTGGACTTACGAGGATAATGATATGTTTATTTCTAGTTGTATTTATTGTGTGAAGAATATGCTCAATGAAGAGGACAAATGTTTTGATGTTATTTTTTATTATTATTATTCTTACAATGTCCCGCAGCATTGAAAAATAAATCTGCAAAATCACGACACGTGAGGTGTTTAGTACTAATAATGTTCAATTTAGCTAACCGAGCTGAACCAAGACCTTCAGCAGATCGCCAGAAACACCCATGGCAGTGACATCTCCACCAGCCCCTTGGCCGCGTATAATTAGTGGCATGCTTCCATAACGCTTTGTGTGGAAACTGATGATATTGTCGCTCCCCTTCAGCGTAGCGATAGGGTCCGTCGGATCGAACCATTCCATGCCAACTTTGACTTTCTTGCTGGCCATATCAATGCTGCCGACGTATCGTACAACCTTTCCAGCTTTCTGCGCCGCAGCCTTTTGCTCTTCCATTTGCGAGTCAAATTCGTGCAGTTTCTGGAGGAACTCATCCCCATTTTTCGCAGATTCCAGCTCTTTCGGAATCAAACTCTGCACGGGAAATGAGCTGGGATTTTCAATTGGCAATCCAGCTAACCGACCCAAGATTGTAAGTTTCCTAGCGACATCGAGACCATTGAGATCATCACGAGGATCAGGCTCCGTGAATCCAAGCTCTTTCGCTTTCTTCACATTATCCGACCACTTGCTACCCGTTCCATTCAAAGGGGCGAAAGAATTGAACAGATATGACATGGTGCCGCTGAAGACACCTTCAATTTTTGTCACTTCGTCGCCAGTATGGACGAAGTCTTTCATGGTTGAAATAATTGGCATGCCTGCTCCCACCGATGACTCGTGATAAACGAGCGACCCGCCAGACTTTGCGGCACTGAAGATATCTTGCCAGAGCTGGTAACTTCCGGAGAAAGCTTTTTTATTTGGAGTCACAATGCTGATGCCTCGTCTCAGGAAGCTTGGATATGACTCGGCGATTGCTCCAGAGCTAGTATTATCCACCATGATGACTTTGTGAGGCGCACCTGAAAGATAATCGATAATGGCGGGAATTGTGGGTGGTGGGGAGCTTGATTTTTCCATGGTTTTGACCGCAGTATCAATTTCAATCTCGGAGTAGTCTTGGTGATACAGGGCTTTGTCAATCATGGCGATATAGCAAAGGCTGAAATGTGTTGATGGTGTATTCTTCGCGATCCATGAAAGTTGAGACATGAAAACCGATCCCACTCCACCGGTACCTGCAAAATGGAAATATATTAGATATTTTTTCCCAGTATGACCCTTTGAATTTGGGTTTAAATCACTTGCCAATCACCGCAATATTGACATGCTTGGGAGGAGCCATTTCGAGGACTCTGTGTCTTGAACTGATAGTTTGAAGGCGATTCAAGCAATTAATATTTTTTTAGACTCTGACGAACAAGGATCAATTGATACTTAAATAATCAAAAGATACAAGTTAATACTATGAACTTGAATACTGATTACAAGGGCATCAGCGCTGACTGTCATCGGTCATCGTTCGATTACGTGACTTTTCGGCCCGCCTCCGTCCCTGCGCCGAGGACTCTGCGCCACCCCACTTTCCCGCACCCCTCTACGCGGAAAATGATCTGTGACTAGTGTAAATCTTATCTTGGTTTTCTAATCAAACGATTACTGCCGTAGTTCTGTTAAAATATTTCAATAGCTAAAAGCCGGATACATGGCCGGTTCCCGGTCGGGACTACTCCATCTTTCCACGTAATCGTTAGTTGATGTAAACATGAATCGAGTGGGAGGAGTACTTGGTAATTTCAAAAAGGTAGGCAATTTGGCTAGATAGTAGAGCCCCGAGGAGCAGTGCCATATAAATAAAAGCCGAATCGCAACCCAAAAATCAGATCACTTTCCAATCAGTGAACAAAGAACCGGAAGTGAACAAAGAACCAGAAAGATGACCAAGTCGGCTTTATTTACGGTCTGAACCCCGCACGAAATTTATTTTTTGTCGGATCGAGATTCTAACTGTTCACTAGTTGAACGACCCCTCACTCTTCCATGAAGCATCGCTTCTCAATGGTAAATGGGTAAAGGCAAAATCGGGAAAGACATTTGACGTGGAAGGTTTGTCTCTCCCAAATTATCACCCACCAGCCTCTCTAGATGCTGATAATTCATTGCTCCCATAGACCCTGGGTCTAAAAGAGTCTTTGCTTCATGCCCTGCGAATGATACCACCGACGTGGACCAATATGTCGAAAGCTCCCAAGCCGCCTTCGAAAGCTACCGAACCGTCAATCCTCGCCAGCGAGCCAAGATCCTCCTCAAATGGCACGAGCTTATAACCAATGCCCGGGAGGACATTGCCAAAATTGTTGTTTATGAAACCGGCAAGCCTATGACTGAGGCTGTTGGCGAGGTTGACTATGCCTTGGGATTTGCCTGGTGGTTTGCAGGAGAAGCCGAGCGTGTTCGAGGGTCCGTTGCCCAGCCCTCGATCTCAAACCGCCGCACTTTCGTGATAAAGCAGCCCATCGGCGTGAGCGTCGCTTTGGTTCCTTGGAACTTCCCGGTCGCAATGATTATTCGGAAGGTTGCAGCAGCCCTTGCAGCGGGTTGTTCTATGATCGTGAAGCCTTCTCCCGAAACACCTCTGAGCGTTATGGCCTTGGCCGATCTGGCTCTTCGGGCTGGGCTTCCAGCTGGCGTTTTGAATGTTATATCGACAGATAATGAGAGTACACCCAGTGTCAGCGAGCGACTGTGTAAGCATCCGCTTGTGCGGAAGGTGACATTCACTGGCAGTACTCGAGTGGGAAGCATCGTTGCCAGGCATTGCAGCGAGGGCTTGAAGAAGCTTACAATGGAGCTGGGCGGAAATTGCCCCTTCCTCGTTTTTGACGACGGTGACCTTGATCAGGCAGTCGCTGCGCTTATGATTCTTAAGTGGCGTACTGCTGGCCAAGCATGTACTCACGCCAACAGAGTTTATGTCCAAAGCGGAGTCTATGATAAATTCGCCCAGTTGATATTGAATGCTACTCAGAAGCTTCGCGTTGGACATGGGGTCGATCCCACAACAACGATGGGTCCTCTCACCACATGTCGAGGGATCGAGAAGCTTGAGACGCATGTTGCCGACGCTGTGAGCAAGGGCGGCAAAGTGTTATGTGGTGGAAAACAGCCAAATGATTCAAATGGCTACTTTTTTGAGCCTACGATCATCTCTAACATGACTTCCGACATGTTGACAACCAAAGAAGAGATATTCGGGCCATTGCTCGGGCTATACAAGTTTGAAACTGAAGCGGAAGCCGTTAAGCAGGCAAATGATACCAATATGGGCCTCGCCTCTTACTTTTTCACCAAGGATGTTGATCGAACATGGAGACTCCTAGAAAGTCTTGAAGCTGGTATGATCGGCATGAATACAGGTATGTGGAAATCAATCTGAAATCTTCGCTGTTTACATGAATACTAATGAACACACCAAAGGTAACTCGTCATGTGCGGAGTCGCCCTTTGGCGGTATCAAAGAATCAGGCTATGGAAAGGAGGCAGGCAAGGATGTTGCAATCGAGGAGTATTTGATCTCCAAAACGGGAACGCTCACCGTTGAGAGCCAAACTTGAAGCTCCTAGGGGATCTCTTACCTCTAATATGATTATGTATACAACTTTGCAATTAGACTTTTTCGAGAGGATGATATTAATGAACGTGGAACTGAACGCCTTCCCAGACCCTGTTTCGAGAGCTAGACTATCCATGCATTCGTGCAAAAAGTGTTTGCTGTTTGTTATTGTTGAGGTTGTTGCCTCAGGCGCCGAGATCGCCTACCCGTTCGAGTTGTTGCCACACACACACACACACACACACTCTCTCTCTCTCTCTTTCTCTCCCTCTCCTAGATATTCTCATGCATGCAGCAAATTTCAAGGTCCCGAGCTTCAGTCAGCCATCGATAGAATAGATGGAGTTGCAGTGCTGAGAACTGACACTGAGATCATACCCGGACCCACATCAGCATTTCAAAGATTTCATGCTTCACCTACCGAGCCGCGCGAGTGTCTTGACACGCCCCCTTCCATCATTATTATTGTTTACGCCTTGTCCTAAAAATATCCATACCAAGATGAATCGCCAAAAACCTCATGGCGGACGTGGTGGGCGTGGTGGGCGCGGTGGCTCGCGCCCCTCCCACCCACGCGTGCCCCCCTCAAGATCCATCAACCCTGGCACAGTCGTCAACATTGTCCTCAAGGCCGACCAGCCCACAGGCCGGACAGTTTCAGGCGCAGTTAGCGAATTACTTACGCGCGGGGATCACCCCCGGGGCGTCAAAGTGCGTCTCACTGATGGGCGCGTCGGAAGGGTGCAGAGCCTGCAGAGTGGCGATGAGCCATCGGGCCCGAAACAAGAAGAAATTGATAGACAGCCTGGAAACATACAAGAGGCCGAGGGTGGCATGCAATTAAGAACAGAGGGAGGCGATGCAAGTGGGAGACGCAATCGGTTTGGTGCGCGCGATATGCGTCTTGATGGCCCCGAAGAGCCTTCGTCAGAACCGTTGGGGCTGGATATGTATATTCGTCCTGATAAGGGAAAGAAACGTGGTGGTAAAACTCAGGGACAGAAGAATGTCGACGAAAGGCATGATGGCACCGTTGCAGATGCAAGTGCTACTACCCAAGCAACAACGGCGATCGTGTCGTGTCCTATTTGCAACGTATTTGAGGGCGATGAGGCTGCCGTGGCACATCATGTCGCAGGTCATTTTGGGGAGTGATGTGTGAGATATTAGACGAAAATCCAATATCTCAAAGAAGAGATGCACCAGCAAGTTGGTATGTCGCGATAATCGTTATCATATCAATAACGGCCGAGTCTGGGCTCCAAGACAACAACCATCTAGAAAAAGAAAACTTCCAATCTATTTAGACAATATATAACTTATCTACTTCAAGTTGCTTTTCTTGATGACTACCTAGGTATACTGTGGTTGGCTTCCAAAGTTCTCTTCAAATCTCAGTTGTACACTGGCACTCAGGTCAGGGCTACATGCCGACGCGTTGATTAGTGCTCTTTCTCTCACTTCATTCGTTTCAGGGCACATGTAGGAGTAGTAATTACACATATAATATAGTAAGGGCCTGTGAAACTGACACCAAAAACAACAGCCCCTGCTGCCAAAAACGGCCGCCTTTCCTCCTGTAACTTCCACCGGCAGACCGCCACTTGACCACCCCGTCAATCTTGACTGCCAGTCTACTAATATTCTGTACCTGCTAATTTTTGTTAGTTATTATTCTGGCTTGATCCATCTCGATATTGTAACTGCGAATTTGGTGACAATACAGTGAGCGTGCTGTTTGGGGACGGAACGGGGAATTTCCCGACAGCGCTACTACGTTCAATGTGGGATTAAATCCACCAGCTGTTGCAGTGGGCTTTTTCAACAATGATGGTAAGCTAGACTTGTGACTGCCAATGAAAGCGACAATACCTTGAGTGTGTTGATTGGGGATGGATCAGGAGGCTTCCAGCAAACTACTTTCCCTGTGGGGTTTGCTCCTGAGGGCGTTGCAGTGGGCGATTTCATTGGGAATGGCAATCTTGATATTATAACTCCCAATGTTATGTGACAGTACAGTGAGCGTGTTGTACGGGGATGGAATGGGGAATTTCCAGACACAGGCTAGTGCGTTCTCCGTGGGGTCTACTAGTACTCCATATGGTGTCGCAGTGGGCGACTTCAACAATGATGGTCGTTTTGATATTGTGGCTGCGGACTTTGTTAGCAAAACCATTCACTGTTTTGCTTGCGACTGCATCAGGGAGCTTCCTGCCACAAGTTACATACCCTGTGGGGGCCAATTCATATAGCGTTGCAGTGGGTGACTTCAACAAGTATGGTGCTTTTGATATCGTTGCTGCGAATTTCGGTGACGACACAGTGAGCATCTTGCTTGGAATTTGCAGCAATTAGCTAGAACAACGGAGATTTTTACCTTGAAGAAACGGAGTGTCATTTAGTATCGAGACCCTTCGAATTTGATGAAAGGATAGTGAATTGATGTCTGGTTAGTAGTTCAGATTGTTCAGAAATCTTCCTTTAAAATTGAAACCCCTTGCTGCTATGCTACTAGCAGTATAGCACAAGACTTCCCGAGGCCCGAATTCATAGAACTTCTAAGGTTTGCTTTGTTATATAGAATGGGCTCAAAAATGGACGACTTCGAAGATGAACGGCGCAAAGAAATTATTTGACATGCACCAAGAGACTATTTTGGAGAATTGAGGAAATCAAAATCATGCGTTTCCACGCGTCGCATGATCTCCTGACTCGCAGGGTGTTACGGATGGGGAGGCTATTCAACAGTTTGGGCGGCGAGAGATCAAAGCATATTCTAGATTGGGTGACCCACGGAGCGCTAGCTGAACCAAAGGTGGTGATTGACAGGAAGAGACCTACATTGCTATCAAAATTGCTGTTGTAGAAAAGGTAAATTATGGGAGATTAAATTGCTCTAAACCATGAAGGATTTTAGGTCTCATCAGTCTCACCTGAAACATCCGATGCATATGCTCGATAGCTTTGAACCCAAGGGCCCACATGGATGGCAGAACTGCCTGGTTTGTGGAGCTCCAGGGCTCAACATTCCAGACAAAATTGATGCACACTTTCCCAATAGGAGGCTTCCTGGGAAACTCACCAAAGTCTCAAAGCAACCTCTATTTGAGCTTGGTAGTTTATACCAACAAGGCATCCCACACCCACGGGTGCATGGAGCCCAATTTGCTGGATATTCCCGAGGTCCTTGAAGCGATACTTGTTGTTATACGAGGCTGGTGCAGATCAGGAACGAAGCCACATCGAAAATAATTCCCCAGGTGTCTATATGGACGGCCAAGTTGATTTCCAGCGACTTGACTAATTATTGTATATATACTACTAGTAGCCTTATCTTTCCCTCTGGAATACTGCCCAGGTGGCAATAATCAATTGACTTTTCTTTTAAATTTCAACAGGCTATGAACCCAGCAGCAATCTCTCAGGTATGGTTTGAAAGGGTCGCCGACGGTGGCAAAGACTAAACCGAAGGAATCAAAAAACAAAACATACAACAGCAGGGATTCGCATGTGGTCACCCACCATACTACTAACCTGCCGGCGTGTGGCTTAAGTACGGCTGAGCGGACGGGAAGCCCTGTTCTCCACACCCTATGGTCGTATGTACTGGATTTCTGTTAAAAAAGGAACATGTATTGTGCTTCTGTTGAAGAAAAAAGACTACTCCCCAATGTTGCGTGATTGAAGGTGACAAGGGTGAGTAAATAAAACCCACCACAACATTGATATCCGCGGCGGAAGATCAATCTTGGCACAGCCGAACCTCACCGCAATTTTGTGATAAGCTACAACCGGGTGATGCTTCTATAGAGTAGAGTTTTTCTGCGGCCTGAGGTTTAGTCGTATCTAACCTTACCATATCAGCGGTCATATTCTCAATGTTTCGCATCAATTGAAATTTCAAAAACCATGGAATCGGCCTACTCAACTAGAAATGATATCCTATGTGCAACAACCATCCCTAGACAAACACACGGATCCATTAAATAGTTAGAAAGTCTAGCTATTGAGATTTGTCGCGAACTTGAACATGAACCTGGTACATCGTTGATGCCGGTGATGCCGGCTATCCGATTGTACGTTATTCGGAAGTTGTACTATTGATGCCTCCCGTGGTCCTCTCCATGCCTTTGTCGGCCGGATTTGTAGCCTCAAACTCAATTGGTGGCCAATCATTCACCCCTTCCAACTCTTGTGTCAAACCACCTTGATTGCCTTCTAACTCCGGCGTATCACTCTTAGACTGCAATTCCTGCCGAGTCGGAGGCCGATCATCCTTCCCATCCAGCTCGCAGGGTTCTGACGCATGCCATTCCGTAGATTTACCAGAGTCTTCAGCAACTGTCTGTTCAGAAGAGCCTTTCCGCTTTTTCCTCCCAAGAAAATACACAAACCCAAATAATGCAAGAAGCACAGTGACCCCCAGGCTGACACCAACCTCAATACCCGCTTTTGCGCTCGTTTTCAGGCCCGATCCAAAATCGGCGCCAGGGAGAGAAGTACTGGATACCGGTGCAGTATTAAAGCCAGGTACTCTAGTAAATCCGATGACAGTGCGATACGCTGGATGCTTGTATCTGGTGCTTGTGGTGGCGATGCTTGCGTTGGTGGTGACAATCCATTTATCGTCCTCCCTCAAATAGTATGCATATGTGAGCCCCTGATCGGGATCTACGCTTGATACACACGTTCCCCATACTTTGCTCCCCTTGGCTTCGTTTAGGACTTTGTCGTATCCACTAAATAAGTTGCAGACATGAAACGTCAGAAAGAGGAGCGGAAAAAAAAGAGCAGAGAGTGTGAGGTCTATTTAGTAACATACCTAGGACAGCGCATAGTCTTAGTAAAAGAGCTAAGTGCTGGTTCAAGTTTCAGAACACAGTTTGGTTTTGTCATATATTACAGCCAAAGAAGAATTGGGGCAGTGAATGTAGAATTTGCCGCGAGAGGGAGCTAACACCTTGGCAAGGCGTCCTGGCCTGGTATATACTAGTACTACCGGGTTGAGCAGGGATCGACGCTTTGGTCTCTTTAAGTACTGCCTACCGTAGGTCACCGATTGATGCGGCCGGGGTTTTATGTACATGGATACAAGAATAGATCAAACCCGGGCGCAGGAAAGCCCCAATCTGAGTCTCTAAAATTGACACCCATATCACCCACACTAGCCCTATCAGTGAGTCGGTGCTGTCTTAAGACTAAAGAAAAACATGCCAGCCTACCTCGTTAGTAGTTTGGGTTAAGTACGGCTTGCGGGATGGGAAGCCCTTTTGCGACACCCTATGTTTGTATGTACTTCAAATGGCAGAAAGGAGTATATAGCGTATCTAAATTGGAGCTCTATCGATTTATATTGAGATTCGCTTACAAGGGGGCCTGCGTAAATGCCCTAGTCATACTTGATAGAAAGAGAAAAGTGGCAACTCGCGTCGTCGGAGATACCGACAAATTATTTCCATTTAGTTACCACCAAAACCTCCTTCAAGCCACGTTACCGGTGCAACCGATCCTCGCGTACCGTATAAGCCAATCGCATTTAAAGTCTGATACTGATAGCGGCTCAAGTACCGGTCCTGACTCGGAACTTGTTATATATCTTCGCAAGCTTTGGAAAATGCGGGGTTGACTACTTTAAAGGTCCAGTTTTGTCTCTAGCCGAAACGGAATTTTTCGCAGATATCCATTCAAGAAATATTCCAGCACGCATCGAACGTATTAAAGATGAACCAAGATACACCGTCTCTAGATGTGAATAAAGACCCTCCAGGCACAACCATTCTTCGAGGTTTGTTTAGCCAATCTTCAAAAATATTAAGCCTCTGACAGAACATACTAGTCTGGAACGAGGAGGGACTTCACGACGAAACAGTGCTTCTTCGGCCTACTCCGTCAAATGATCCAAACGATCCATTGGTACGGATTGCGGTACATTTTCCCATATCGCGCTCGTCCTTATCGTTGACACCGAGTCGCAGAATTGGAAATCCTGGGAGAAATCCCTAAATTTCACTCTCGTGCTATTCTACACCTTGCTGATATATTCTTTGTAAGAAGAACGCTCCCCAGCCTTCTGGCTGCCTTTTCAGGCATCGCCCAGTGTGATGGATTATACCTGGGCTAAACTTTACAACTTTGGTTTTGTATTCTAGGCTGGGTGTGTCTACACCTACATGGGAACCAATGAATACGGAGCTCGGCTTCAGCTACGAAACCCTCACCAACAGCTACGCGGTAGGCTCCGCGGCGCTTTGCTTTGGCGTCATACTCTTTATGCCAGTTGCGATAAAATTCGGCCGGCGCCCAAGCTATATTATCAGTACTACCCTGCAGATTGCAATCAGTGTATGGGCCTCCAGAATACAGAATGTCGCGGACTTGATGCTCATCAATGCATTCAATTGCTTCTTTGGCTCACTTGCTGAAGCTATTGTACAAATGACAGTTGCGGATATCTTTTTCGTTCATCAAAGAGGCGTCATGACATCCATCTATGTCTGGGTAGTGATTGTTGCTAACTCACTCGCGCCAGTCGCGGCAGGATATGTGACAGCGGGCCAGGGCTGGCGTTGGGTTTGGATCTGGGTTTCAATACTTCTCGGTATCTGCTTGGTTTTGTTCTTCCTTTTTTACGAGGAAACAAAATTCACTCCACTGGTTGAAGGTGCAGCGCCCGTCTCCCTCCCCGGCCCCAACAGAAAATCACGATTCCTAAGTGGGAGGGACGAGGAAAAGAATGTGGGCCCTCTTTCAGCACAGGATAGAGATACGCTTGCGCAATCTGCCAGCTTTTGTGTACCGCCTCGAGCTTCTTATATCCAGCGATTGAAACTTTGGTCTAGTTCGCCGGAGTCTTTCACCACCTCCATATCTCACGCGGGCCGCCCTTTCGTGGTGATATGCACTATTCCCGCGGTGGCATATGCGGCTTTGATATATGGAATTGTTACTGCGTGCTATCAAGTCTCGGTGACTGTTATTGCGGCCTACATGATTTTGCCACCATATTACTTCACATCCGACCAGATTGGTCTCATGTCCGGCATACCTGGTTTTATTGGAACGAGCTTGGGTACACTGCTGAGTGGCTTTTTTAGTGATAAGATCATACTTTGGCTCACTAAGAGGAATCGCGGTGTCTACGAGCCAGAAATGAGGCTCTGGCTTTTGCTGGCCTTTGGAATATTTGTTCCTGTGGGTCTACTGCTGTTTGGCTATGGGTTGAGCCAAATAAAGCCGTGGCCTGTCGTCGCAGCCGGAGTTGGTATTTTCACTTTTGGGATGACACCTGCATCTGGAATGGTCTTGGCATATATAACAGATGCTTATACAAATGTAAGCTGGCCATTCTTGATAACTGTTCCTGGGGTATAACTCACATCGACTTCTATTAGGTCATCTCGGATGCTATGGTCGGGGTTGTATTTGTTAGAAATGTATTTGCAACTATCTTCGTTGTTGCATTGACACCCTGGATCGATGCTACGGGGATTGCAAATGTATTTTTGACATTAGCTCTTGTCGCGATCGTTTCTATAATCCTGGGCATTGGTTTATTAATTTATGGAAAGAAAATCCGCATGAGGACAGCCAAGAAATACGAAGCCTGGTCTGCTAGGCAATGTGGGCTACGAGACTAATTAAAGAGTCAAATTTTGTTATATTGCCAGGATCTGTATCTTTTCACCTAATAAATTCGCCTCTGTGAGCTCCAATAAAACAACATTGTGGCTAGACTCGAGTGACAATGTACTTTGCAAATACGGGGTAGATACTGACATATTATCCGAGCGGGGAGGATTTGAGGAAAGAAAATAAAGGGGGTTTTGCCCAAAGCCGATGTTAGGTTACCCTCAGAAGGTCCTATCTACGTCTTATGGAAAGACTTCGGAAGGTCCGCTATGTCCATTTCCCACGGCATCGGAATGACCGACGATAAGACTATCGTTACTCTTTGAAGAAAATATGACTTAATATACTGAGTCTCAAATGACTTTTGAAACCTTCCCATCCTGCAATGGCTCTTAGATACTATCTTTCAATCACATATTCTGTCCTCCTGGATTACTAGAATGTATTGCATAATGCAAAGGAGGGAATTCCTATAGTTTACTAGAATTTAACCCGCAACGGCGTGCTAGCTTCTTCCAAGATTCCATTCCCCTTCTTGCCCAGTCATCTGGAACTCTGCGTTGTAATATAAGCATTGATGTTTTATCCTGTGAATGATCATGGATTTAACTCACGAGCTCCGCTTTCCCACATGTCGATATGAAATACCTCCATTGAGACCCATCCGCGGTATCCCAGATCGAATACAGCTTTGGCAACATCGACAACGGGAAGGCAACCTCCGCGATCCTCTTCGCATGGATAAATCCGGCAATTACGGGACTGTGTCATGAACGGTGGCTGGTTCATATCCCGGCGGGGATATCCTTCCTGATCTGGATCAGCCACGGTCGCGTCGCTCAGTTGGAAATAAACAATGTTCTCTGGTTTAACAATGCATTTTAGCTCATCGAGACTACCCTGAAGATTTCGGTATCCATCATTCCGAATTGGAGATAGGGAGCTAAAAGGATCCCCGGCTTCTTTGGATGCAATATGAAACGTGTCTAGACAGTGGCCAACATTCGGCATGTCGACGAGATCAATGATCTTCTGGACCTGTTGCCAGGTGTTGCTGTGGATACCCCAAGAGGGGGCTTCGTAAGCCACCCGGAGGCTATAGCGCTGCGCTAGGCAACCCAATGTGCGCATATTCTTCGCGATGACTGTTGGGTCATCGGTAATTTTGGATTCGTCAATTCCATAGAGTGCTGTGCATATCTATAGAAAGTTTCCAGACTTCAGCAGTAGATCATCGGTACCTTCAAAGTAATATATGGGAGTTTTTATCTCACCTGCAAAATATCGATGTGCATAACCTGACAAAGCTGGCACCAGAGCTCTGCTTCCTGTAATCGGATGCCTACATCATGAGGATCTTTGAGACCATCATACGCCCCGAACGGATTCAAGGCGATCAGTTCAAGACCTAACGATTTCGCTGCTTTGTAAATGTCTTCGGCAGCTGCGAGAAGGCGCTCCTTTCTTGATGGCAATGAGGTATACGTTGCGGCCTGAGCCTCGAGACATTCAAAGGCCACTTCGAGACCGTCAAATCCGTGTGTTTTGGCGGCTTGTAGTTTGCGATGGATTGTATGCCCGGCGGCTGACTTTCCAAGCGAGTTTGTAGCAACTGCGACTTTGATGATAGACATTTTGAGTATTCCTGGACAATGTAGATTTTGCTCTTTGGTATTGCCAACTAACGGGAGGGGTAAATATTTGGAGCAGATGTTATGTCGGAGACCCGGCCAATATTTTAAAGGCCCGGGCCGCGGGCGCTTCGATAACTACATCAATATGGTATGCCAGACCGAAAAAATCAATAACAAAGCTCAAAATTCCCTTTGTGCCATTCACCAAGTTTGAAACTTCAATATGCAGGCAAAAGTAGCCGTCGTTACAGGCGGTGCAGATGGATTCGGAGCTACCATAACAGATCGATTCCACCAGGAGAGCTATCAGGTAATCATCATCGACATCAATAAGGAGAAAGGAGAACAGAAAGCCTCTGGAAGTCCAAATATACACTTCCTTTTCGGAGACGTGACTCAACAAGATACATGGGAACAAGCATTGGCGCTTGCCCGAGACAGGTTTGGTCGCCTGGATATCGTGGTCAACAATGCAGGAATCACTGGAGCCCAGAGTGTATGTAGTCTAAATATCTGAAAGAAATCTGATCGATGTGACTGACGTTTGTTAGCCTGTCCATACAAAAGACATGGGCGAGTATGAACGCACCTTCAACGTGAATGTTAGGGTACGTGTTTAGTGTTGTGTGTCGCTTGGAAGCATAACTTGCTCATGTCATGATAGCCAATTTTTTGCAGTGCCCGATCTATTGTTCCATTTATGATGGAACAGGGAAAAGGTGTTTTCGTGAATATTACAAGGTAGTACCGTTTTAATAAGTGGATGGTAGGTGCTATTCAAGCTTCTAACGACATTAGTACCGGTTGTACACGCCCCCGCCCAGGATTTGCCTTTTATAATGCATCGAAGGCAGCAGTGAGCGTAAATTACTCTTTTATCCCCGAAAATTATGTCGAGATGGCTGAATAAAAATTTCTAGATCGCGACCAAAACAATGGCATTAGAGTATGCGCCCACTATCCGATTCAATTGTATCGCGCCAGCAGTCGGTAACACATCTATGTACGTACGAGGACATTCACATATATCTTCAAGATACTTACAATCACAGGCTTCAAGCAAGTATTGGTAGTGGAGCAGACTCCCAGGAACGGCTGCAAAGAATTGAGGATTTGCTGCCGATGAAACGAGTTGCTCAGCCAATGGACATTGCAAATGCTGTGTGGTATTTGGCGACAGACCAAAGCTCGTTTGTGACTGGGACTACCCTGGAGGTAGATGGAGGACGCGGGATATAGTTGACTCTGCTCCTATTTGTAGTAAAAAAAATTATAGTATACATCGATAAATTGAACAGAAATTCTGCAAGACAGTACCACAGCTTATGCTGGCTTATAAATAAATAAATCAGTTAAATCCCCCGCCACGAGCGAGGAAATTACCGCGACTATTTCTCCTGCACCTGCATTCACCGTTGCAATTGTCCATTTTTACTATACTCTGTGACAATTAAAATTAATTCCACCAATTTTCTAGGGTGTATCTGCACCCTTACGCGATTATTCAGTGGATGGGCGAGCCTGGCTGCTTGATGTTTCTTCTATCTACGGAGGATTATGTTTCCGAGTATTCAAATTGATTTATAATCTATGGAGACAAAAATAAACACGAGATCAAATGTGATCGTATCATGCGCCCGCCTAGGTAGGCATTATTTGGGCTAAAGATTGCTGCGTCTCACCTCACCTCGCAATACTTGATTAACGAAATTCGGATCCTCTCGCAATGGCCTTCCGAGCCCGATCATGTCGATATCGCCGTGCTCTACAGCCTCGGACATGCGATGGCTATCACGCCAGCCTCCCGTGGTCCCAATAACTGCACGAGACTTTTTAAGAAATTAGCTGGGGCCTTTGATAGACAGAGAGATGTACTCACGAGAACCTTCTTAAGCTCCTGAGCCCATTCAATAAAATAACTAGCCCGGTATTAGACTTCGTAGACGGATTTAATCTGGATATGAAGCTTGCTTACCTTCCACGTTCTTTTTGGGATGGACGCTCGGCCAACTCGATCATAATATTTCCTCTCCATGCGGGGGAAGCATAGGTGCCCCCGGAGATGTCAAAGAAGTCGACACCGGCGTCCTCGAGCCATTTGATGATGACGCACGTCTCTGCGAAGCTCGTTCCGCCTTCGATAACTATGGAAACGGGCATAAGAATCTTTCACATTGCCATTGATGAAGAAGGAAACGTACAGTCTTGGCAATTCAGCTTAGCAGCAATGACAAATTTGTTAGATGGCAATTTAGCCTTGATTGCGTTGACGACTTCGAGAATAAACCGGGCGCGGTTTTCCAAGCTTCCTCCATACTAATTGGACAACAAAGTTAATGATATATCTTTTGCGAAATCAACCTAGGGAACTGTAAGGTGTCATTAGATCATACCTTATCTGTGCGCTTGTTAATCAACGGCGAGAGGAATTGCTGCATGATGTATCCGTGACTCGCATGGAGCTAAGAACGACTGATTAGTATCTCAAAAATACTGAAAAAGGAGAGAAACATACGATGATTCCATCTGCCCCAGCTTTGGAAAGCACTTCCGACGCCCATACATATCGGTGAATCAAATCCTTGATTTCCTCGGTTGTGAGTGGCGATGGCTTTCCGTAGCTTTTGTTAAGACACGGCTCCAATTGCTGGTCGGCCGACGACTTCGGATTCGGGTTCAGGAATTCAGGGACTTGACGACCGGGAAATTGCAACTGGGGTAAAAACAAGGCACCTCGGGACTTGGCCGCTTGTACAGCGGGCGCGAATGCCTCCACGGGATCCCAAGGGTTATTGATGTCGAGAACCGCGTTGTTATAGTTCTCAAGGTTGTCTCGGTGGATGGGGATGTTTCCTGTGCAGATCAGGCCTGCGCCACCATTTGCAAGATCTAATATACACATGATAATTAGCTTTCGATCTATTCAACTTGGGGCTGAGTTAGGAAGGCAAAAAAAAAGTCAATCATACCTTGGTACAGTTCCGCGTAGCGAGGCAAGGGCTTTCCGCAATTCTCAACGTTGTTTTCGTCGTACGTAGACGCATATTCACTGAGTGGGGTCCTGTACATGCGATTCTTGATCACCTTACCCGAAAGTTTCAGGGTGATGGGCTATGGTTTCTCGTTAACAACTACTAGTATGTGTTTTCGCCACGCAATGAACTGACCTGAGCGAGGGGAGCCATGTGTGCTGCCATTGTCACGGAAGACGTATTTTGGTGACTGATGAAAGCTGACAAAAATCACTGCGGATTGCTATGGTGGTAATAAGTAAGACTTCAAATCACTTCAAATCCCTCAATAAAGATGTTCTATCACTGGCCCGGTGTATTAATCTAGTATCCGATTTGCGGGGAATTGAAAAAGTCCCTCGGGTATTCACGTCCGTAGAGTCGCAGACGGAGAAAACTCCGACAGCACAAGGGCGCGAATTCGGAGGGTATGGTGGGAAAGATCGGAATTATATTCAGCACCAGGAATGGAAAGAAAAGATAATATGCAACTATCTCGGAATGTCAAAAGACGTGGCCATGGAACTTGGCAGAGAAGCCCTGCAGGTGATTGATGTTCCTTAAACACCACCGCTAACTATAGAGGGGAGGCCCGTTGGCATGGGCGCCCAGCGTCCCTTCGTGGGCCGCCCGTCACTCCGCATCGCTCGGATATCTATCTCTGTGAGGCACCGTAATTCTGAGTAAAAACAGTTCATTTTATCTCATTTATCAATAACTACAACTTAGCTAGCTTCGTCTTTGTTTTCTCTCCAATTGCCGCTAACGCGTGCTGGACGCCCTTTTCGTTTGGTTCTTCCTCAACCCACAAAATCTGCTGAGCCACGCATACCCGCACCAGCACCTCAGTTCCAACAATTGTATTCCATCCTTGACCTTGCGCAGTCATGATGAGATGTGTCTGTGGGGAAGGCATATAACACATATCGACGAGCAGTCCTTTCTCCGACTTACGAAGAAATATGTCGCATATTCTCGCACAGAGGACTTCGCCCGGCTCCGTCGGAGTAGAATCGGGGATGGTTCCGATAATTATGTACGGTGCCGGCATCTGCTGTGCAGTATCGATTGACTTTATATGGCGGAGCTTAATGCTTGGAATTGCGACCGTAAAGTGTTTCACTATATCTTCAACTTCGGACTCGAGTCTATTCACGATGTAGATCTCCGATGGTCCGAACCATTTCCACAAGGCGTATACGGCGCTGCGTGCAGCTCCTCCTCCACCTATCACCATCGCTGCTCTGCCGTCGGTCGCTGATTTGGCCGAGGGATGTCGGTGTGAAATTGCCTCACGAATCCCGACACAGTCTGTATTCGTGCCAATATAGAGGCGACGTCCATTTGGGGCCACTCTGACGAATGAGGTATTCACTGCCCCGATGACGTGAGCTTCTTCGGTGAGGTGATCCAGAGCCTTGCCAAATGTCACCTTATTAGGCATCGTGATAGAGGTCCCAATCGTGTCGTTTGCAGTCAGCCGAGCCTTGAACTCGGCCTGGTCAGTCGTCTGCACCTTGCCGTAGCGCCATATTGCGTTTTTCGACTTGAAGAGTATGCCATGGAGGAGCGGTGATAGAGACTTTGAGATATTAGCCCCGAAGAGAAGCGCATTGTGAGACACAGATTTCGACGTGGAGGTGAGTGGCGAGCTGCCGTATGTGTACGATTGTTGTAGAATATCCATCGCTGCACAGAGAGTATAATGAATGCGGGGAAGAAGGCGCGGGCTTGTTATTAAAGAAAAGCCCGGGGTTGTGCCCGGGCGGCCCCCGCTAACTATAACCACCGGTGGTTAAATCAATTCCCGAGCTTTCCCTTCGTGCCCCAGTTAAACCCCAGTTGTCCATCGATCGTGCACTGAATAGCTCGAAAAGGAATTATTATTTTCAATTCATCCAGCATGGAACCACAAACCCATTATCCCAAAATTTCAGTTGCTCTTGTAGGCGGAGGAACCATTGCCCCTTTGCATGCAGAGTATTTACTCTCCTCGCCCACATGCTCCCTATCGGCCATTATCGACCCATTTCCTTCCGGAAAGGATCTGGCAACAAAACTTCGCGTTCCATACTTTGACTCCGTCCAGTCCCTCATCTTCTCGGAGATTCAAACCCCGGACGCGTATATCATCTGTGTACCTTCGAGCCTCCATGTCCAAGTCTCCAAAGACGTGATTACCCACGGACGGCCAAAGGCGATTCTCATCGAGAAACCCTTTTGCACGGATTCCAATGCAGGTGAAAAGCTAATCGAATTCGCAAAATCAAAGTCTTGTCATATCCTGGTCGGTCATCACCGCCGCTTCCATCCATCCATCGTAGCCGCACGCAGGGCAATCGGCGACGGCAAGCTCGGAAAAATCACCGCTATCACCGGGACCTGGACTGCGAAGAAGCCAGACACATATTATTCGTCGGTTCAATGGCGCTCCTTGCGGTCAGCAGGCGGAGGTCCGATATGGACGAATTTTATTCATGACATCGACGTGCTCCACTATCTGACTGGATCGCGAGTAAACAGAATATGGGCAGTCTCAGCCATTAGACACAGGGGGAACCATACCAAACCCCCTGTGGATCTTGTTGAGGAAGGCGCGTCGATAATGCTTCAATTTACGAATGGTGTGGTAGGGACGTTCATTGTCAGCGATAATGTCCCTAGTCCGTTCGGGTGGGAGGCCGCAACGGGAGATAATCCATTGTATCCGCCCGCTCCTGTCGCTGTTGACTTGTATAGGATTTTCGGTACCCAGGGCACATTGACGGAGCCGGATGGTGTACTGTGGGCGTACGATACCACGGATGCCAGGAGACTTGGCTTAGAGGAAGGATGGAATGTGCCAATCCGCAGAGACGTCCTCCAGGTCGATGATGGGATTCCGTTCCAGCAGCAGGTGGAACATTTTGCTAGAGTCATCAGACGGGGCGAAATCCCTAGATGCTCAGAAGAAGATGGCTTGGCCGCTGTAAAAGTATGTGAGGCTGTAATCACCGCACTGGAAGCAGGTGATGGAATTCCTGTCAATATTCATTTCTAAAGACGAGTTATAATCGAATCTATCATTTCGCAGTCCCCTTCGAGTCGCTAGATAGAATGTTCCGAAAATTTGATGCTACAGAGCAGAATTGGTTTAAGGAAGCAGAGAATAACTATGGACGACAAAGGACACAGAGAGACTAATTTATATGCACGACGCATCACTGGTTTCAACAGAAATTATGCTAGGTACTACTGTGCCATCTAAAGTCTAGATATATTCTTGATTTGCAACCCCCCGTTGACTTGCTCGTAATGCTTTCCCTGCTGCCAGCCCATCCACTTCCATAATGCCTCCTCGCCACCCTCGCCGAGTCCCAAAACCTCAACATCCCAACCTGATCTTGGACCTCCATCCAAGGCCGGTGTCCCTGTCAGTGTCACGCCAGGGCGTTGTTCGTATCCGGCGGCTTCCAGTTCCGCATGGGTGAACACAGGTGTGACACAGGCATCGCTGCCATCAAATATTTTCTCCCATTCCTTGCGTTCCTTCTCTCGGAATTTTTTCTGAAACGCGTCCCGAATATTAGGCCAAAACTTCCGATCGTCCCTATTGACTACCCAGGATCGGTCACTTAATCCCAATCTCTTCACCAACTCCGAAAAGAATTGGGGTTCAAGCCCGGCAACGGCCATATAGTTGCCATCGTCCTTGCACTCGTAGACGTTATAGTACGGGCAACCTCCATCGGACAGGTTCTCGCCACGAGGCTGATCCCATTGGCCGGGGATTTTAGTCGAGATTCTCGGCATAGTTGCAAGGTAATTCGCTCCGTCCACCATGTTAGCGTGCACAATTTGACCCTTCCCAGTCTGCGACCGAGAAAAGAGCGCCATCATGATACCGGTAACACACATGTGCCCTCCAGCTGCAAAATCACCAAGAATGTTGCCCGGCGGCGTCGGAGGAAGCGCGCGACCGTCTGGCGGAAGACGCGGTGAGGGACCCAGCATGGAAAGGACACCAGACACGGCGAGATAATTGATGTCGTGGCCAGCCATTTTCGCGTACTTTCCATCGCGTCGAAATCCCGTCAGTTGGGCGACAATAAGACGAGGGTTGAGTTTCAGCAACGTGTTGGTTGGATCAAGGCCGAGTTTTTCGAGAACTCCCGGTCGAAAAGGGTCGATTAGGACGTCTGCCTCTTTGACTAGGCGCAGAAAGAGATCTTTTCCAGGAGTACTCTTCAGGTCTATCTGAATAGATGATTTATTCCGAATAAGAACGTCGGGACTAGGTTGATGAGGCGGATTGACTCGGTCGATGCGTATTACGCTTGCCCCGTTGTCAGCCAGCATCATGCCAGCAAAGGGCCCAGGGGCTAGGCCTGCGAGCTCTAGAACTCGGATTCCATCGAGGGCGGGCATTCTTATCTGTGGTTAAATCCCTTCAGCGTGCTAGGTAATTGCTTCAATGATGTTTGCTGTTCTGTCCGGGCACCGTCTTCTTCCAAGGTTGTTATATAACTAGTAGTTAGCAGCGATGTCCACACTGGCAGTCGCTCACGGAATATTTTTTACGGAATTTTTAAATAATGCCCGTGTCCCGGATTAATAGAATAAACTCGGCATCAATATGTTTTCCCTTACTAATATCAAATTTGGTTTGTAAATGTAACTATTGCTAACCACTAGTATGATATGCCGGTCTTCTGAGACATCAGATACTCTAATAGCGACCCTGCATAAAGGTGACCTCGCTAATATAATTACGGCTAAAGCTGTGCCTTCGATGCCGCCTTTTTGCGTAGCTCCCGTCGCAGCATTTTCCCTGTCGGGTTTCGAGGCAATTGATCAATAAACCACACGCCTCCTCTCAACTTCTTGTAGCCTGCTACTTCTCCCGCCACAAGATTTTGCACTTCCATTGCCATCCTCTCTCTATCAATTGATGAAGTTGATTCTTGGGGCACAACAAACGCAAGAGGAATCTCAGTGCCCTCCGCATCGTCCCAGATTGAAGTCACTCCAGAGTCTTTCACCATGGGGTGCCTTCCGATAATCTCCTCAAGTTCGGTGGGGCTGATCTGGAAGCTGAATGCAGAATTAGCATTTTAAAGTATATTTCCGAGGTTTGCGGTCTGAGGATATACCCTTTGTATTTGATGACATCTTTCAGTCGGTCGACAATTATCAAGTAGCCCTTGTCGTCCAGGTATCCGAGATCTCCTGTTTTGTACCATTCCGGCCCGTGCATGCTCTCACGTGTTCCTTCATCGTTGTCTTTGTACCCTCTTTTGCAAACATGAGTCAGAAGACATATACTAGTGTGGGAAGGGGTTGTAGTAAAATACTGACAGCATGATGGTGGGTGTGGAAACCACAATCTCTCCTGGCTGGCCAGCTGGCACCTCTTTGCCTTGCTCATCTAGGAATTGGATCTTGACATTGGCAAGTAGAGTGCCCGCGGCAACTAGAGGAGCATCCTTGTCTCTCACACCACTTTGTGCAATGCAAGAGGATAGTTCGGTGCAGCCGTACGCTATAATTCAGAGTCAATTAAATCATTCTGTAAGCTGGGTACCAGAAGCCTACTTTGACACAGGCTAACCAAAGGAAACCGATTTCGTAGCTTCGACGCAACTGCTGGCTGTGACAAATTTAATGAATGCTCAAATTACGTCAACCTGGAAACTGCTAGGAGCATACCTTCAATGGTGCTGCTGAGCAGGAAAAATACTCGAGATTAGGATATTGATAGTTGTCAACAATAGGATTCTCAGCCAGCATGACAGCAACCGGTGGCACAAGTCGTGCTAGTGTTGCATGTTTTTCATGCATAAGCTATCAGAGAACATCAGTGAGTGAAGATAATATTTCGAAGAGAAGACCGACCCGGCAGTACGTATCCAATTCGAACTGAGGCACCATACACACATAGTACCCCAGCCACGGACCCATCAATGCGCAGACATAAAGACCGTAGATATGCGACACTACGAGTACCAAATTAGCACGAAAACGGATTTGTTTTCATTTAGTTTGCAGCATCACTTACGCGGCTAAGCAAGTTAGTAGAGTCTCTTTGTCAATTTGGAGTACGGGAGGTTACATACCGGGAAAAACACTTCTCTCATAGACTCTCTCCAGTTATCAGGGTTATGCCCACGCAGTGCTTCACAGATACCAGTCAAGTTATAATGTGACAACATGACAGCCTTGGGGAGGCCAGTGGTTCCGCTAGACAGGACTAACGCCGCACATCTGGTTCGTGCATCTTGCCCGTCCAGAACGTAGGCTTCAGGCTCCACGCGCTTTGATTCCCAGGTGAGGAAGTCGTTGGGGAACTATAATGGTCAGAAACTAGCCATGAATTAAGGTAGTAGGGTATCCATCTTACCAGAAGGTGGCCATCCAATCTAGAAACCATTGTCGAAATCGTCACCTCACTATGCTGTGCTAGAGTGAGAGCTTCGCGCAGCTTCCTCTGGTATATACCATCTACAATGAAGAAATGGGGCTTGATGACCTTGACAGCATGTGCAATCTCTTTTGCAGATGAGGAGTGGTTGATTGTACTGTAAATGGTTAGTGAATTTGACAACGCAGGTATGGAAAGTCAAAATTAACCTGACAACCCCACCGGCTGCCCAAATAGCATGCGTTGCGATAATATAATCCACCTATATTTGCCTGTCAGGAAATATCCTAAAAAATACTACCCAAGGGCCAAACTTACGCAACTTCTCCCAATAATAGTAACAGTATCTCCGACCTTGAGTCCGAGACGATGTCTGAATGCCCAGGCGGCCTTAAATGCCTCCCCGCGCAAAGTTTCATACGTGATAGTTTTACCCGTTAGGATATCCTCACTAATGACTTTGTTGGGATCGACATTTGCAGTGTTCTCTAACATCATCTGAGTAACAGATCTGTCGTGACGGAAATGTACCGTCATATCCGAGACTGTGGGGGCCATAGCGAATAGTTTGAGTAGCTGCAATGTGGCGATAGTGGTGTGAAAGGTAGACTATGAAAGCTCTCCCACATTCAAGAGGGCCTTTTAGATCACCCTAAGGACCTGATATGAATTTCTTTACTAGCACTTGTTACAGTGACCAACATAGCGTCGCGCATTTTCGGTTAATTTTAACCTATAACGGAGAAATAACGGGAATCAGGGATAGTAGTGCGGAGCTTAAAATTCCGTTTGGTTGATCTCCGAGGTCATCATTCCCGGACTCTACATTAATCGACCGGGCCGCCAGCCCCGAGGAGCGTCCAGATAATGTGGTGTAACGGAATTATTTTGACCTTCTCTGTTTTTAAGTTTAGTTGGCGTTATTGTGCTAATTAATAATGATAGAAAGTTTCGCAGCCTACTCCAACGAATTACGACCGCCATTCCCATTGCAAATATAAACCATGTCAATGCATTGCCCACTGTCAATAATTGAGAAGCAGGTCAGTACTGCTCGCATTCCAGACGCCAAAGCCGACGTGTTCACAAATATCTCCCCTTTTTGGCGACCCGGAGCGCATGGAATATTTGGGGGGTTCGCGGTTGCGCAGAGCCTCAGTGCTTCCCAACAGACCGTACCAGGGGAATTTGTCGCAAACTCCCTACATGGCTCATTCATATACGCGGGGAACTCGAAGGATCCCGTGTTCTACCATGTAGAAAGGCTGCGCGATGGAAAGGGCTTTTGTACCAGATCAGTGCGTGCTTTACAGGGAACAAGACCGATTTTCATTTGCACTGTTAGTTTTACCAAGAAGCGAAATGCGGAAAAGGGAAAAGAAAACATTCAGCACGCCTCCTCAATGCCTCCAGGTATCCCGGTACCAGAGGATAGGTCCACATACGGAGACGAGATAAAGCCTCCTTTCGTCAATAGAAGTGTGGGCGTATTGGACAAGGGCGGACTGCGTCGACCGGCTGATAAACGCTTCCATCAATGGATCAAATCCAACGATACGTTGTCGCCATCAGCTAGTCTTCAAGTCCACCAAGCAGCACTGGCCTTTATGTCAGATAGCTATTTCCTTGCCGGCGTGCCTCATAGCCATGAGATCTGGCAATTTGTGGAGACGCCAATATCCGAGTTCCACCCTTCGCCAAACGGTCTTTCAACATCAACTGAAAAACACACCGAGATTCGACGACCACATCTAGAATCCCCGGAAGATAGAGCCGGTGGTGAGTCGAGGGTATCTATGATGGTTAGCTTGGACCATACCATATATTTTCATGATATGGAAAACTTCCGAGCCGACGAGTGGTTACTTTTGGGAGATACGGAGCGGTTGGGCAGGGAACGGTCGCGGTCTAGTCCAGCAACAAATGTGGACTAAGAATGGTGAGCTTGTAGCAACTTGTATCCAGGAGGTCAGTACAACTTAGACGCCATATCCTATACTTATGGTGAAACTTTGCATTTACTAATTGTTACTAGGGAGTAATCCGCTTAGAAAACAGACAGATAAAGGGAAATTTATGATCGAATAGTATCGTATAGAAATCTCAGTGCTCTTTCAGATCGAAGCCATGCAATGCCATGGCTATGTGTCCCACAAAGCAAACTCACATTCAGTGCGATTTCAATCCATGGATATAAAAACGTCGACTCTAAAACTTGAAGTCCCTTCTAAAGTTCTTTCTCACTAAAAAGAAACGTCAATTTGGCGAGAGAGAACGACCCCACTCGCTAATCTAAACGGAAACGTGCTACCGTCCTGTGCTTCCATCAAAACGCGTTGACGACGCGACACGACGCGACATTTTCACCAATCAACCCCTTTACCCTTACCCCTTGCATATTTCGCGAGGGAGGGGCAGGGAGCTGGTAGATGATCAGAGGGCACCCCAAACACTTCAAAAGGGTTTTAAAAAGGACAAGAGTGTTGCAATATGAAGATAATTATCGGAATATGGACGACAGACGGATTTAATTAGGACTATCAACACTGGCGTAGTATGACTCAACCCAACACCTCAGGCACCACCAACCTCAGGGTCAATGTTATAAAGGTACTCAATTATAAGATTTTTCTCACTAAGGGAATCGAATGCAAGCACTTCGAGGTCCAGAACATATGATCAAAGATTCGTCTGGATACATGTCGTCTCAAGCATCTGATGCGCTGTTCTCTACCTCATTCACACATTCCTTTTCGGTATCTGATTGGTTGAGACGGTCAAGCAGCGCGCCATCTTTAGCAAACAGCTGGTCAATTTCTTCAAGCGTCTTGCCAGTAGGCTAGAGCCAATGTCAGCAGAGCAGATAAAAGCCAAGGAAATGCAATACTCACATCCGGGCACATAAAGTAAACAAAAATGACTGCTATGACGTTGAAAATCAGTGGCCAGATCCAGATCCGGGCCCCAACCGTTTTCAACGCAATTCCGCCAGCGAAGACCGTGATAAACGTAAATACCCATACGCCCAGAAGTCCGGCTGCGGAGCCAATGTGGCGGTATCTCAAAGGTGCAATCTATGGACCGATATTAACAAGCTTTCACGAAATTAACCAGAACTTACATACCTCGGGTCCATAAAGCCAGGGGCACCCCACCCATCCCCAGCCATAGAAGAATAAATAGGGGAATAGGATCATCGCAGCTGCCCAGCGCGTAGCATCTGTTTTGTTCTCGATCATGTTCAACACCACAAAAATCAGCAGGCAAAATGTTTGGACCGACCCCGTCAACATCATAATTCTCCGCCGCCCGATGCGCTCTATCGTAGGAATACAAACCCATGAGCCCATCCACTGCACTGTCAACGCCAGTGCGGCAATAAGAGAGGCCATAAAACCGGAAAGACCAATTTCCGAGAAAATCCGAGTCATGTAATAAACCATGATATTGATTCCCATCGACTGCTGGATCCCCAGGATAATGAAGGAGATACGGATGCGCCGGCCAACTCGGAGAGGGGTGTTGTCCCAGATGATACTCAAGAACGTGAGCTTGTTTTCCGATTCTTCTTCGACCCTAAGGCTGACCATTATGGTTGATTTCATGTCTTGAATCTCTGGAATATCACCATAGCTCGGCATTCCTTTCCGGTATACACCGTATAGTCGTGACAGAGTTTGATCTCCCTCGTCTGTGCGATCGCGTATATAGTACCACCTAGGGGTGTCTGGGAGGAAGAACATGCTGGTACCAGAAAGTATGGAAAATATAGACTGCATTGCAATAGGGAATCTCTGGATAGATTCTGTGAGAATGGCAATTATCGGCATTTACGAGGAAAAAACTCACCCAAGAAATCTGATTTGTCATTCGTGTAAAACCGAAACTGACCCAGTATGAGAGAGCTACTCCTAGCAATAAAGCTGAGCAGTTAATTGCTACTTCTGGGCCTCTCTCTCGAGCTTCAATGCTCATTTCAGACTGCTCTCATTAGCATGGAAGAAAGAGAGAGAGCGTGGAAATTAATGGTCGCCTACCATATACATGGGCACGTTGCATGTAATGAACTGTCAACGTTAGTATTGAGTGCACGAGTAATCATTTATGATAGGATTAGCATACTGCAATTCCAGCACCCTGGGGTAAATGTCAGTATTTTTTGTAACCACATGGGCAATGAAAGGAGCCGAGTGAGCTACATACGCAAAGCACACGGGCAACAATAATTTGTGGGACGGAATAGGACGCCGCCTGTATGACACCCCCTACCGTGATCAAGATATTACCGATGATAATGCAGTTCCGCCGACCGAGTGGCATGCCGATTATCATGACAAGACATGACACGAATGCCGCCGCTAGTGTACTGGAAGAAGCAATTAAGGGTATTGTCTCCGTGCCCCCGGGGTGCTAGGAGATGTTAGCCTATACTCATTGAAAACAGGGGAGTTTTGGACGCCGACTTACTCCAATTGCATCCAAAAATGGTTTAGTCTCTTGGACTCCTCCCAGAACGCCGGCCTGGTAGCCCTCAATCAAAAACCCCTGTGGATATCGTATCAGTCGCCACGGAACACGGCATCGTGCGAATTGAAACAAGGCATTCTCACAACGGAGCAACTAAACCTTGCCAAATGGCGAAGGAATTTGCTCTGTATGTATTCGTCAAACATCGTCGCAATGGAATGCTGTGTTTGGCCGTGAATTAGTTAGCAAAGTCCACTACTCCGGATGATTACCTACACCTTTATACAAATTCGTGCTAATCGTATATGCGGGTAGATTCCGGGGTAGGACTAAAGGCCCAGTAAAATTCCTCTAATTGAGGTCATGAAAGCCTCATATCTATCCCGATGCTCTCATAGGATTATCAAAAAGCTAGGACTCCACGGGGGCAATACGGGGATTAATTCAATCTGCCGGCCCGGGTCATGGTGTACCGAACTACCCCCGGTAGAACTATATGGCATTACTAAATTGTTTATGAACCCCTTATACTATTTTCAAGTTTCCTATAGCTTGCTAGGACTAGGTAATTAGTATAGATATTCCCTAGTATAAAGCTTTTTCAAAGCTGAGGATTGTGAGAATGCCAGGTGGCAATTATACTTGCCAGGGGCCTTCGAGAATGTCGGATACTTGTGGCAAAGTAAGACATTATATCAACCCCCATTTGCCGGAAAATTGATCATAGTGAGGTACTCTCATTTCATTTCACTGTTCGATATCCGCGGGTGTGGGCACTCGCCACGCTGACCCTCAAACTGTAATATGACACTTCCCGTCACCTCGGAAATTTGACTCTGGGTTCGGAATATAGTACTAGCACTAGTAGTAGTTTCTCTGCCTTGGTAAGTCTGCTTCCATGATCAAATTCCGAATTGCTGCGAAATTGATTTCTGAGTAACCGATATCCCCAAAAAGAATAGCACTGATATTGCTATCGTGGATTCTGGCTTTTGCCCGATATTAGGTTATCCACTAAAGGCTTAAAGGAACGTCTGAAATACGATAAATTGTATATATAGACTAACCGAGTTACACAAAATACAAGCAATTAGGACTTTTGTTGACCAGCTTGAATATAGTATTCCAAGGTTATAGGTTGATAGAGCTAGGATCAATGCCGTATTCACAATTCCAAAGACACAAATCAGGAGCTGGAGACTGTTCAGAGATTCCATTCGCAACAGCCTCATTTGCATTATTGTCTCCCGTTTCGCCCATAGAAGAAACCAGTGCCACTACATCCAACGGAATGTCATCAATTTGCCACGACATAGGGTCAAAAAAGTCTATGGTCTCGGGGACACCGAAGCCCAGATCTATGGTACTATTCTCTTCTGCTTCGAGATCAGGGCTTCGACCTTCGAGGGAGTGTGAGTTCGTTATGGCAGCCAGGGAAACCACAGAGTTCAGGGCTCGAAGGGCTCGCTTGGCTGTATCCAGAGCTTGCGAGAACCTATCGAGTAGATGATAGGCAAGCTGGAAGGACTGGATGCTGGTTTCATGTTCCTTCTCCGTTGGAGTTGCACGCATAGCCAAGATGAGATGATAGATACACTCCAGTAACGCAGTGCTGAAGAAGAATCCACAAGGGATAACACTAGGACAGCTATTGGTAAAGGCAGCAATGGCATCCACAGTCATCGATGCGAGCGAGACACAAATGCTGTGGCCTCGGGTGTCCTGACGCTTCTGAATTGGATTCTGCCGGATCGTCAGGCGTAAAAGATTCAATCTCTACGCTCTTTATTAGCAACTTTCAATGAACACTAGGGAATAGGTCATCGTACAATAAAAATGGCGAGCCGCCGGCGGATGTAAGGCTCTGATTCGTGTTGCTCCAAATACACTCGTTTGAGGAGATCTGTGTCCCATGTCAGCTCGCTTGCCAGCTCTCTCTGGACGATTAGAATGCGAGTATCCATAAGTTCCACTTCCTTCCAGTCTTGAGGTTTTAGCGCAACAGCGGCAAAGAACGTATCCCAGATCAGAGACCATAGTTTGCCAAGATCAATTAAAATCTGCATATAGCGATCTGTTCTCGTATTTGAGTGCTGAGAGAACTCGGACAACGCTATTTCAGTGTCGCGAATGACATATGGACTTCCTGTTCGCTGTGAAATTTTGCGGTCAAGGAAAAATATTGTCCACCACAGTCTCTTCCGGTTCTGGATTTCCTGTTCGGGAAGAGCGTTCCAGACTCTTTCTTCGTTGAGTCGGGTCCGCATGGCAAGCTGAGCTGCGTTCGAAATAGCTCTTGATGCTTCTTGGAGTAGTTCAGACTCCATCAGGTATTCGGAGCTGAGGGCATGGTATTGAATAATGTGAATGTCAATATGCTTCAGTGATGAGCAGTGCTGAATCAATTTGCGGCCTCGGAGAAACAGGGACCATCCAGGACGTATTTCATATGACCAGGGTCGATCTGCGCAAAAGGACTCTGCGATAGCTAGCATGTTGCAAAGAAGGGCAATTATCGAGTACTCCCCTAACTTCACATCGACAATATGCTGATTGTCGGAATGACCCAGGCTGTGCAGTATTGTTTCGATCTGGGCCTGGGTTCCATCGCGCTTGATGAATGGGAAGAAAGAGTCCAGATCACGAAAGTACACATCTAATAATGCATGTAATCTGCCAGGGCGAGGAAGCTCTACCGAGAACACTGGCGCCTCATGCGTCTTTCGTCCAGCGGGAGCGCATTTTCGACCCTTGTCTTGTGGCTGCGTGAGTTCGCGCAGACATAGAAGCTGAGAGGACAACGAAACACTCCTCGGGCGGGATTCCTGTATATCGTACGCATCGGCTTCATCATTCCAGTCCCCAGACGGATCGCTCCTTGTGGTGGTGCCGGGCAAGGGTGGTTTGCTGTTAAAACGAAAAATCAGGCGCACGCACACCAATCAAGGGTCCGGTGAAGAGGACAAACCAGAAATCAAAATTTATGCCACTGGTGGGAGGACTTCTCGAGGATTGTCTCTCACTTGGTTCGGTTCCCTGTTGTTTCCTCTCGCTATGTTGGTCAATTAGTATCTTTGGCAGCATGCCAAATTGAGCGATAAGAAAGGGGCATACCTCCCACTTGAAAGGTTCCTTTTCGTCCCTTGCTTCCTGCCTCGCCGGGTCTGAGGCATGTATGTGCATTCCTGCCCTCTATCGCGACAATTGCGACAGGGCTCCTCCCCGGAACACTGGGCGCTGGGGTGTGAGAAAGTCTTTGATAAAAGCAACAGGGATAGAATGGGGAGTCGCACCTTCACTTTGCGACGCTGGCAATCTTGACTAGGAGAGTGTTAACTTGACCTCCACCTGGGCACAAAATGTTTCCAGATTACTTCGGGGCATAAAAAAACATACCATGCTTTCCCGATATATTTTAGTCGCTTCCCGTTTGTTGTTCGCGAAGGCGAAGCGACATGGTCAATCGGGCTGCGGGAGGAATCGGCCGATTCTGGACGGTAAAATACATTGCTCGCGTCGACAGATTGCTCCATGATAGAATAAGGAGTTAGTAAAACGAAGTTAACATGAATCCTGGCACCCCAGATACACTCTTGTCTCGGCAAAGTGTTCCGGTGCCATAGTGCGGGGAGACCGGTGTATTAAATAATAGGGAAATACACCGGTGTGGAGAGAGCTGGTAGATCCTACTAGTCGTGAGACTCACTCTCAACTACTACTTGCCATGATTTCATTAACTTTCTCTTAATTTAAGATCATTTACATGAAGCGTCCCCCAGTGCACTCAATACAAGTGCCAGTCACATACGAAGACAGTGGACTCGCCAGGAATAGTATCACCCGCGCAGCCTCATCCGCCGACCCAGGCCGACCTAGCGGGATATCAGAGACATCTCGCCATTTTTTCGCATTTTCTGGGATCCCGAGTCTGATAGCTTGACCTCCAAGCGTCATCGCCTCCGACTCGGTCGGCGGGCGCGTAATGCGTGTATCGATCCAGCCATAAGCCACTGCGTTGGCCCGAACATTATATCTGAAAACGACGGAAAATCAGTATCGCGGATGGCAAGCGACATCATTGGTTGCACTGACCGGCCCCATTCCGCAGCTATGGTTTTTGTGAGCCCTAGAACACCGGCTTTGGCTGTTGCGTAGTTAATCTGTCCCATTGAGCCATGCAGGCCAGATGTAGAAGACACATTGACAATTGTCTTTGGCATGGCTTTGTTCGCTGGGTCCATCCAGTGTTCCGAAAGTGCTCGCGCGATACGGAACGGAACGTAGTTATGAATTTTCATAATGATGTCGAACTTGTCATCGTCCATTTTATGGATCGCACTATCGTGGCAAAAACCTTCCAGCAAGTCAGACCCAAATTTCTCACATATTCCGGCTATCAAGGGCATACCGGCATTGTTAATCAAGCAGTTGATCTTGCCCCATTTCTGCAGTACGCTGTTCACCAACAGTCGAGGGAAATTATCATCCAGTACGTTTCCAGGGAAAGCTGCCGCTTGACCTTGGAGTTGACGGATCTGCCTTACAACCTCGTCTGCTTTTTCTCGGTCCAAATCATTGATAGCTACTTTTGCTCCTTTTTGGGCTAATAGCAAAGCGGTGGCCTTTCCGATTCCTTCCCAAATAAAGTGTTAGTATATTCATATAACGAATTCTGAAACGCGTAAAAGACGTACCTTGAGCACCCCCAGTGATTATAACTACCTGTCCGTCTACGCGATCGGGGCCGGTGACTGGATCACTAGGTTCCAGCTGTTGATGAATTTGCTGCAATCTCTCAGCCATTATGAAGAACGAGAAACATGGATTCAAGATTTTAGAGCGAGATTTCAGAGGATAAACCCTCCTGTTATCTCTCTCTATTTATACAAACTGAGTACGCATAACTCTATAATCCTCGGATGCGATTCCCGAGGTTGCCAATTTGTTCGGAATTTTGACATTGGCCCCAATTTTCCGATCCCCAAGGCCGAGGCCAGGACGTAGGTCTCGATGAATTTGTACCTGTGTACTTCTGCTATTTATATTTTGCGCCCTTGGGCCATATACTGCTATATCATCACTCTTTCCAAATTGAAGGCTGAGTTTATATTTTATTTCTTTTCAACTTGAACATGACTTCCGCTCTCACCTCCGAAATTCCCGGTGCGGACCCAGCATGGCACAAGCAGGACGACCACCCATTTTACAAGCCCAGCCACCACCGGCTTCAGCGATTTGTTCGTGAATACGTGGACAAGTACATTGCACCCAATGTCGAAGAGTGGGAGAAAGCTGGAGAAATCCCTCTTGAGGTATGAAAAACCCCTCACTGCCCAGGTGGTGCTACGCCGTCATACCCGTTACTCACTATTTTATAGGCATTCAAAAGACATGCCTCACTAGGGTTTCTTGCAGTGTCGGCTTTTCCTCTCCCGAAGGATTATCTTTCGGGTGTGAATCTGCCAGCTGGTCTCAGCATGGATGGTGAGCAAACTATTACATTTAGTAGTTACTTGGTGACTCACAATACTTTTAGAGTGGGACGAATTTCACGACGCCATTGTGAGTGATTTCTATTTTCTTTTCGATTATAAAGCTAACAAACCCCAGATTATCGATGAAATGGCCCGCTGTGGATACCTTGGGACAGTCTGGGGTATCAACGGAGGCGCAGCCGTTGGCGGCCCACCACTCCACCACTACGCAACACCAGAGCAAAAGAGGAAGTTTTTGGCCCCTCTCCTACGAGGCGAACAAAGACACTGTCTAGGTGTCACAGAGCCAGCAAGTACGTTGTCTGGAAAAATCCCGACCCTGCCTCTGCCAACCCACGCTAACCAACTATCTCAGTCGGATCCGATGTCGCTGGTCTTACCACGATCGCAACGAAGTCAGCCGACGGAAGGTCCTGGATAATAAACGGAGAAAAGAAATGGGTTACCCAAGGCCAGAAGGCAGATGTTGGACTTATTGCAGCTCGCACGGGACCGCCGACTGCGAAGGGCATCTCGGTTTTCATCGTCCCGTTGAACAGCAAGGGAATCTCGAGGCGCAAGATGGAGAATTCGGGTGTGAGCTCGAGTGGTGAGGCAAAACACGGTTTGAAAAGTTTGAGAGTCTCTGGTGACTGATAATGTGTAATCTTTAGGGTCTACATTCATGGAATTAGACGATGTCGTCGTCCCAGCAGAGAACATGCTCGGAAAAGAGAATCAAGGCTTCGAAATCATCATGTCAAGTATGATCCTACGCAGAATCTACCAGTTCAGCCAACAATCTAACCATCTGTGCCTGTTTTAGCATTTGCCCACGAACGCCTCTGGGTAGGAATAACCGCTCTTCGCCTATCCCGAGTCGCATACGAAGACGCCTACCGACACGCGCTGAAACGAAAGACATTTGGCAAACCGCTCTTTGAGAACCAAGTGATCCGGCAGAAATTTTCAAAAATGGCGAACCGGCTTGAACCGACTCAGGCCTATATGGAACAGCTAGTCTTCCGGTCTGTGCGGATGCCGAGTTTGGAATTCTCGCCGCTGGCCGCTATGCTTAAGGTCCAGGCTGCGCATCATCTCGAGAAGGTTTCCAGGGAGACGCAGCAGGTTTTTGGCGGACTGGGGTATTCTCGTGGTGGGCAGGGATCGCGTGTGGAGCAGATTAGTCGCGATGTTAGAGTGCTCGTTGTTAGTGGTGGAAGTGAGGAGATTTTGTTGGATATGATTGCGAAGCAGCAGAAGCGGTTGGCCAACTTGTAGGTCGACTGATCTGCATATTGTACAGGGATGCTGTATACCTAGTAGATCACTTCGAAGGTCAAATTTTTGAACGCCGAGAATCTTTGAGATATGTGTTCCATAGTCAGAAATATTCACCAGTCACATCATCCGTTTCTTCCATTTATATTCTATCCTTTCCAAGGCTTGTGACGGTGAAATTAACACGGTAGAATGGAGAGAAAATTTTCAAGACCGGTGATGATGCGAGTGACATGATTGTCTAGTATTTTATCACATACTATCCTCGGGGGTAACTGTTTAGCCAGTGGCAGATCGGAAACACAGCCCCCTGATTCGGTGTCTATTTTAATGCACCGGACTCACAACCGGTTGAAATGTCCGCCGAAGCTGCTATCTGCCCAGGTGAGATATGCCGATGAACATAAGCTATTGTCACATATAAATCGGCTCTCTATCTATATTTTAAACCAAATCCCCAAACCCAGGCCCAAAGATCTCGCGAAAAAAATCATTGAACCCATCGGGTCCGAAATCATTCTGATCAGATATAGCCGGTGTCAGAAACGGATCCCAATCCGAAACAAGAGGACTTCTATGCGCTATTTGAGGCTGCACAGGTTGCCATTCAGCCATTCCGTGGCCGTGACGAATACCATGATCCTGGACCTGTGATGAAGCGGCATCACCAATACCAACAGCTCTAGCCCGAAGAATCATCATAAGATGTTGTCCCAATAGCGCTGCGATACCGAAGCGGTGCGGTGGCGTGGTACCGGCGCGCTGGAGTTGCAAAGCTACCTGGCTCAATAAGGCAAGCAGCTCCAAGTCACTGCCCGTGCGAGGACCATATAATGCGGGAAATATTTTCAGGGTTAGAACGGCTGCGTAAGATATCATCGCCCATGTAGGCGCCAACATGCAATATAATGGTTCTCCGATCTTATCCAAGTCGCGCACGGCCGTTTCGCAGCAATTGATTGCGATTTCGAAACAGTCTTGTCGGATAGCATCTAGGTCCTGCGCACGCGAGGTCAAGTCACTCAATGCTACTGACAGGGTCCAAAGGCGTCCATGCTCGTAAACGTAGCGGAGGAAAATCATTGAGACTTGCTCGGGTGATGGAGTAGAGAAGCCATAGTCCCGGTCAGAGAGCCATTCATTGCACCAGGGGTGGAGAGAGGCGTCGACCAGTTCTCGGCGCCAATGTGGATCGGAATGAGGGTCCTGCGATCTATTTTTCAAATCCACTTGCAGCGAAGCAAGTGCCCTCCGTAGACAGATGAATGCACTAGTATATTTGTCCGTCATATCCGCCAGCGGATGTAACCACCATGTTTCAACCGCCCGAGTCAAATTTGTCTCTGGAAAGCTTTGAATGCGACCGCAAGCAGCGCTGTTTGCTCGGTCCCACAAGAGGATTCTTAGCCAGGTTCTTTCGCGATTGCGAAGCAGTCGCTGTTCGTAAACAGTATTTTCAGGTAAAGTTCCTGCTATTGATTGTCGAGTTCTCCCCTTTGATCCTGCGAATGGCGATTGCAGGCCCTGATCATCCTGCTCTTCCGATAATTCAGACCGATCATGTTCAGCTTCCTGGTCCATGCCCAAGTCTGTCGCAACGCCAATGGCATACATTGTGTAGAGCCAGGAGCGCTCTTCAGCCAGGGTCTTGGCCGGAGTAGCAGACAGGAGCGAGATATAGTATCCTTGCACGATTTCGACAGACTTGAGCCCGCAAGAATGCACGTATCTCGATAGCTTTTCGCCGTGCAATCGCAGGCGCTCTGCAATTGGAGCACAGTTATTTTCAAATAGAGCTGTTAGGGTAAGAATCCAGGTAAACAGCAGCGAAGATCGAGCGCGCACAAATTCTGGGGTGTGGAGCATTGGGTCAAGTATTCCGTTAATTGGGTGCAGCCGTGTGAAATATCTAAGACAAGGCTTGAATTAGCTATACCTCAAGTTTTGATGAATCCCGGGCACCTACATTGGGAACAGGTAGTTCGCTTCATCCATAGTAACGAGCCCCAGCTCGACCGGATCTAAGTCCGGCCCAACGTCGCGCTGACGAACACTTGTTCGCTTAAAGTAGTCGAGAGACTGATGCCCTGCGTCAAGGCAGGCCAACAAGCCATCCAGACCCTGCACGAGACTTGCTCGGTCCAACTGCAGTCCCAAAGAAACATATCCCGGTCGGTGGAGTAATCGGTGCCCCTCGCTTTCCCCTTTTCTGGGACCTGTTTGCCTCCTGGATGATGGACTGGGTAATGTATTCACGGAAGTTGATCTTGCTTCCGCTGCTTGGGCGGCATCAGATGCGTACGCCAGCAGGGCAAGCGGATTACTCATTGGTTCGTGTGTCGGTGTATTGTGATCTTCCGCGTCTCCATGATTCTCATCCTGAATCGCCGTCCTAGGCCTTCTCACTTCTGGACCGAGAACCGGCGTTCCGGGGATCGCCGGCACGTCGGTTGTCGTGTTAATTTGAGGATGATCGGACGGTTCATCCACCAAGAAAGAATCGAATCCCAGCTCTTCCTCGGCGGAGTGTAAAGGGATCGTATCAAACCTTTCATCGAGGTCATGTGGAATGTTAGCCTTTTTCGCCTCCGCCTGCAGCTTTCGGTATGCCTTTTCGAGCCCGCGATACCGGCCCAAAGCTCCGCGCCTCCTACCTAGCGGTCGTGACTCGGGGGTTTTGCAGGGGCGATCGGTCCGTTTACACCTGTCGCATGGCTCAGACAGGGGATCGGATAAGGGGTTCTCGCGTGCTTCGGCTGCTCGGGTGCATTTCATCTGAGTCGTTAGCGATGGCTTGATGGGCGGGGGCAGAAAGACGGGGAATACCTTCAGCCTGCGACATGCTTCGCAGGCCGGAGCAGCCGCCAGTCGAGGACGTCCCTGCGATTTCTCATCTCCGTATCCGGGAGACGACATGGCATGATCATGCAGATGGCGTGTCAAGAAGGAATTTGCCGTTGAAAAAATGCGGGGAAACGTTTTGTGGGGCGGAGGGAGCATCGAAGTGGATTCATGGATGCACCGGTAATTTAATTTATACACCGGATGATCCTTCTCTCCAAAGCTGTGAATAACAAGCAGTATAAATGGATCGAAATGCCGAGTATTTCTATTATAGAAAGTCTCGCACGCAATCGCATATACACTCATCATGGATTCCATAGACGTTGACGTGCTCGTATGCGGAGGAGGAATGTCAGGCATGGCCTGCGCTTCCTTCGCAGCCCAAGCTGGAGCTCGAGTTTTAGTGGTTGAGAAACAGAATAACGTGGGCGGATCATCGAACTACTCCGCAGGGATGTTGTATGTGTCCCCCATTCGAGGTCTATTAGTTTTTCGTCGTATTTCAATTCACTAACGTCAGCACCAGTTGGGGCCCCCAGACCTATGAGAAATTGAGGTCCTGGGTTCCTGATGGAGATCCAGAACTCCAGCGTGCATGGTTGGCCGATTATTTATCTGCCGTGCAATGGATGCGCGAAAAGGAAGTCCCTACAGCACCACGATTTGACGGGATCATGACAATTGGTAAATAATTATAATAATTCATTCCTTTCTCACCGTTGCCCTGGCTTATGCTAATTCATCCATGTCCATAGGGATCGGTTTCCCAATTAAAGTCCCCCACCTGCACAATCTCCATCGTAAACGAATCGAGTCGAGCAATACCGGTTCAGAGATTTGGACAAGCACTACCGTTGTCAAACTTCTTCAGGAGTGCCCGGGTGTTTCGGGATCTCGCATCAAGGGTGCAATTGTTCGTCGCGAGGGCTCACACTGCCAGGTCACAGCAAAGACCGTTGTTATAGCGACCGGCGGGTTCCAAGGATCGTCTAGCTTAACAGCACAATACCTCGGCCAGGGTGCGGATAACATCTTCGTCCGTTCCAATAAAGGCTCCGTCGGCGATGGCCTTAATCTCGCCGTCGGAGTTGGCGCAGCAACAAGCAGGGGTATGAACACCTATTACGGACATCTTATGGCCGCACCTCTTCGAGCAGACCAGGTAGACCCCAAGGACTATCTTCCGCTAGCGCAATATCGTGAGTTGAGCACACATTCGATTCAGCTTATACTGTACTAGCTATGGTATATCTGACAATTTACAGAAAGTAAATATTGTCTCCTGCTTAACCAAGCCGGTCGCCGCTTCGCGGATGAGACTACCGGCGACGAGATCGTCAACCAATACCTCGCAAAACAAGAGAAGCGACGGGGTTTCTTGATCTTCAAGTCTGTCTCCCTTTAACCTTCGTCTCTTTTATTGTGATGTGTTTCCGCGCTAACACACCATCCTCTCTCTGTAGCGAGAAAATCCGCCTGCAGCACTGCGTATCCGCGTTATTCCCCAACGCCGGCGATATAGATCGCCTCCAAAAAGCCCGCGAGCATGGCTGTAATGTTGGGACCGCGTCTACCCTGGATGGCCTTGTTCAAATTCTCGCGGGATGGGGAGTCGACAGCGTCGGGGCTAGGCGAACAATTACGCAGTACAAAAAGGTAGTCCGCGACAAGGATGCTGGACAGGGTCTTGACGCTCCTGTTGGTCCGGTGCCTCCGGCACCTTTGGTAGAAGGCGAGGGCCCATTTTACGCGATTGAAGTCCAACCCTCGTAAGGATACTACCCACGCTTGGAATTTCTCGCTTGTAACCCAGGAATACTGACGATACCCCCAGGATCACATTCACATATGGTGGGATAAAGATCGACAAAGAGGGACACGCCCTAACTTCGGATAAAGTGCGCATTCCTGGGCTTCTTGTTGCAGGCGTTGACGCTGGTGGCTTCAGCAATTTGGGATACGCGGGTGGACTGGCGCTGGCTTTTGTGACGGGCTTCTGGGCTGCGAGGGAGGTTGCGAAGAATTTGAGACTCCCTCTTCCTGAGCTTCCGCCAGCTGACCCAAGAGATGCTGCGATTTTACCGGTTAAGGGACGTCTTTAACCTTCAAAGGTAAAAGTTTGACTACCTGCCTAGCCATTTTTTATCTTTTCTGCGTGTTCTTTGGGTCTTCATCGGGAACGGATAGTCTATCCTTAGTTCTGTATTCGTTGCACTGCCACGAACAGTAAAATTAGTCCCCAGTTCCACCTCATTTTTGTTCTCTTTTGGGTGCTGTGACGAGGCATATGTCATAAAGAGAAAAGGGCTGTTCGGTGAAATTACATACAATGGTATCATAAGAAGACTAGATGCGAAATAGCCTTATATGATCTTAATGTCACAAATTATGGAGTCCTCAAAATGCTCGGCTTTCATCGTCGAGAATCCAATCCGACGATAGCAACCAGGTCGACTCGCTACCAGAAGGAGAACAAGACCAGAAATGAATGGTACATAATCTGCGCCCTTCTTGTCTCTCATTATATCAAGACAAATGACACTTGAGTTCAGCTCCATTTCATCCAGATCCTGGATCGTGTCCAATGTAACATAGCACTCCTCCACTCCTTCTTTTGTCATTATCAATCTCCAATCAGGAGCATTGATGTCGGTTGACTCAATCGTCATTTGGGTTGCAAATCCACGAAGAGTAATATGACCCATTACAATCTGTCCAAATGGATCATTAGTGGCAGGTGTGCAGGAAACATCTACCACTTGAGCAAAATGATAGGTTTCGGACGTGGGCATTTTGCTTTCGTTGTCGTATACCCAGTACCAAATAACGGGTCCGGTCCTAGAGGCCCATGAAAACGACGGTGCGACATAAGACTCAGTTCGCTTTGACATGGGGGTGCAGAGGACTTCCCAGCCAAGGCTCGGGATTAGATGTTTCTCCCACAGACCTGCATAATACGACCCCAGGTATGGAGCGAAAAACCTCATCAGACTAGAGACTGCGGGCAATGCGTCTGTAGCAAAAGCTAGACCTCTTGATGTGTAGTCCTCACACACGTCTATATAGTCTTTCCATAGTTTATCGTAGGCGAAGCTGTAGTCTATTGGATGTTGGACGTCTAGTAATGCCGTGGGAATCCTGGCATTTAGGTTGCAATTGCCCCTCGCTTATATGTGCGCATTCACACTCCATTCCTGAATTACATTCAAAGTACAATTCTTCCCCGGCTCCACCAAAGTGTACGATCCTGGGTGCAAAGAATCTCTCTTGCAAGCACCAGCCCCATCCGAACTATGAGTTTGGATTCTCTGGGGCTGAAAAGAAGACCTTATGGTCTATCATCTCTCGGGCGAAGGTTGGGCTATTACCTGGTCTTGTTGGGTCCAATATTTCAACAGGGGGGGATTTTCTCAATGCCCAGGTTACTCCCATGTGCTGCAAGACAACAGTGGCGTGGCTGTATACAGAGCCCATCTTCGGCGCCTCCTTTTCCCAGTCCTTTTTATCATCTTGGATGATACACAGAGAATCAATCCAAACATACTCGTGTTGCAATGCAGCAGCCAATACGATGGCTTCATGAAGCACAGGAGACATTTAACTTAATGGGATATTTGATTTAAGAGCCCGGATATTCTTCGTTGTCGTTTTCAAGGGGAAAGAAAACTTCCAGCAGTGGCTCAATGCGACATATTGATAAGATTGCGTTGGATTAACCTCCACCAATTTTACCGAAAGTAGCTCCTGCTTGAATTCCAGGGTGATATGTAGTAACCTCGCTGGACCTTCTAGTCTTGACGAAATTGCTGCCTTTCCTCTCCGAATCCTTCTTATCCAGCTGGACAAAGAGCTGCGCCATACACTTTTGGGGCTCTGAGCTTCTGATGATGGTGGTGGTGGTGAACCTAGGTGTCCCACCCGGGGTAATAGTTGATTTGAAAAATGGCATATCTCATGGTTGTCGATGCAGTGTTCTATCCAACTCTTCACTTTAAGGAGACCATCATCAAAGAGATCTGGGGATATATGAGAGCCTCCTCCAAATGCTGCCCACCCATTTGGTTTAACTGGGAAGTCAGGATATTAGCCACCTATGAGAATGATAGAGGTTCTTTCCTCACCTATGGAAGTATAGTATTCAATATCTATCAACGGTCTTCGGAACTTTGAGCTTGGGGATGGGTGAGGCTCGGCGGTCAGATGAAGCTTGACATAACGGTTGCCCTTCGGGAATGAGATCCAGGCATTAATTTCGCTCTCGTCAAATTCTTTTGTACTTGTGATTTCTTCTTAATATTCGTGCATCCACAGATTTCCTTCTTTCTTGTATGTTATGCCGTCGCTGGAGTGGGAGTTTAACCACTGGAATCTTGCCCAGGATAGTATCCACATGTATCGTTTTGATTGAACGCCTTCATACAGCACAGCACAGAATCCGCAAGATTTGATGCCAGAGTGAAGTTTGGAGAGCGATATGCTAGCATGATAATCGGCATCCTTCTCGCCCCTGTATTCGATCTCAGAGCCATAAGCGGGGTGAATGAATGTTACACAGTTGCCCGGATTTGGGTCCTCGTCGTCTCGGTGGATGATGATACTTCCCCTCGGGGTGTTGGTTCGTGAGCTATTTTTGTGTGGATTGATTAGGTAGCCTCTCTATAGATATTAGGCTGCGTGGGCTTACTCTTTATAATAGTTCTTTGAACCGGTTATTGAACGTATATATTACTCCCATCAAGTGTCTTTTTTGGGAGAAGTCCGCATCGATATATCTGGTTTTTCATGCCGGGTGCGATCTGAACATACATGCGATTTTCATCATATACCCTTCTAGCAAGCTCCATTTCGGACGCATTTAATTCTCTCTTTGGTTCGTTCATTGTCTGACGGGCGAATATGGCCTTTCTCTTGGACTGCCACGGTCAGGTCTGCATCTAAAGATGGATATTAGGACGAAAGGCCCCCTTATGGTACGATCTTAATGATGACTAAAATATTGACGAGTCGAATATATCAAGATATGTGGTGGAAGGGCGGTTGGACGATATTTAAGTTGAAGTGGGGTATCGGCTATGCAGTCTTTTTTTCAGCCCCCTGTGCCAAGAGAGCTTCAACCGCCAATTAGGTATTTATCATGTACTACTCTCCGTATTGCCCAATCAATGCCGCTCAGGTGAATTGGCCTGGAAATTAACTTGCGTGTCTGCAGTAAGCATGGCTTATTCTGAATCAAATGTACTATATAGTCTCCTAACCAGTTGTGTTTAGTACATACGACCATAGGGTGTGGAGAACAGGGCTTCCCGTCCGCTCAGCCGTACTTAAGCCACACGCCGGCAGGTTAGTAGTATGGTGGGTGACCACATGCGAATCCCTGCTGTTGTATGTTTTTTTCTTCTTTTTGGCTTGCATGTCTGTACTCGGACACAAATTCTACGATGAAATTTGCGAACAGTCTACTACCCGAGTAGCGAATTACTACTTCGCCAGCTTCTTTCCTCGCCACGCTTTTTTCGTCACCAGCACTTTGATGAAACGGGAAACGGTGTGACTTTTATCTACTTCTACATGCCTTATGTTGCAATCATGCTGGTTCACCGCAAATGACGAGATGGCACTATATGCGCAGAGAAGGAGGCGAGGACTGGCACGGATATGAGAGGACTGTCCGGTGGAGAGCTGTCCCATGGATCTACTAAATATGTCAATTAACCATGTACAAACCTCTGGCCTATAATGATATTTTGAGCGTTATTAGTATACTGGTACTAGTTGAGTTGGGCGCCAATGGCTGCTTGGGCGCTACACCGGGCGATCTGCATCGTACATAATCTTTGACAGTGTATTTGACAAGAGCAATTTCAAGATACGATAAATTTCAAAATTTAAGAGAAATTCTCAGTTTTAAAATTGATTTTGAGCAAGGTGAAAGCTATTTCGCTATTCCGATTTGTGCAAAGCATCCATCGTGGCCCTTCCAGATAGCAATGTCGACACATCCTTGAACGATAAGCAATAAGAGAACCCTCAAGCAACTTCAAGCCCATGTGGTCTGTTTTCGATCTGTCTGGGTCTAGATGGATCGCAAATCCAGGACCGCTTTAATGTCTTCATAGCTAATACCGGTATTCTGCTCTTGGACGAGTAAGTGGGCAGTTCGTAGGATATTTTTGATCTGCCTGCCATTCAACTCCAACTTTGCCAGCTCCGCGAGTTCTTCTTCAGAGACGTTACGCAGGTTCGAATCGCCGATGAATTGCGTCCAAATTTGCTTTCGGGATGTCGCATCAAGTTCTGGATAGCGAATGGATACGTGGATTCGAGACTCGAATGCTGGGTCCATGTTTTTGGCACGGTTGCTAGTCAGAAACAAGATACCCTAGTGTCGGTTAGATATCATGCTATATAGAAAAAGAGAAATTGAAATTCTTACCTCATAATACTCCAGAACTCTGAGGAAGATAGAAACCAGCTCATTTCTGGCGAGGTCAGTTGAATTGCGAGCTTCCATGAAAACATCCGCTTCGTCCAGGAGAAGAACAGCACCCCATCTTGGCACTATCTTGAGGATGTCCTTTAATCTATCTTCAACATCTGAAGGGTTTGTACCGAGGTCTCCCGCACTCAGCACATAAAGAGGCACTTTCATGACTTCTGCGACACCCTCGGCTGTGAGAGTCTTTCCGACCCCTGGCGGACCACTAAGCAGCATGATAACACCGCGTCCTTTGCCCTGAACAACGTCGTCAAAGTCATCCAGCTTTTTGGAGCTGGACTTGGCAACGGCAAGAATGAGCTTCTTCAAGTGATGCTGACGCTCCGGGAGGACCAATGATTCAAATGCCCTCGAATTCCAGGTAATGTCCGACACATTGCCAACAAAGAATTCCAGCCATTTCTTTTCCTTCAGTGCATAACCGCGCAGCACTGGCGTCGCGATCAGTCTTTCAGCGTCGGAAAGCTCATTTGACGTGGTAGAATGAAGATAAATCTCCTCGTCGGGGTTGAAAGTGTTAAAAGCATCTGTGTCGATCACAATGCGGCCTTTGATATTGAACTTGATCTGCCGACCGAAAAAGTATCCCTTTCCAGCGCCATCATATTGCCGGTAATGGTAACCCTTGAAGCTTTCCCAAAGCTTGCCCCGATCTATGAGCAGTTCTCGGATGGCAGCTTTGTCTTTGTGGTATTCCAAGGGGAAGACTGATAAATCTGTGATAGGACATGTGCCTTCGAAGTGCGGTAGACGAAATTCATACCTCGCGAGTCCAAAACGCGCCCCATCAAAGTCGACGTATGACCCTTTCAATTCAAAATTTCCCTTGCTATCGATATCACCCGGCCCACAGGTAAAAGCGCGAGGTCGACCATCCACAACACCCGTGAAGATAGTGTCACCGGGCTGGAATAGAGCCCAGAGCAAGTCGTGGGTCACAACACCATTTGCCATAAGATCCGACTTTCTCGCAATAGTATCCACCAGCTCTGTCTTTAGAGCTCCATAGAGTAGATCAACATGTTGTTTCGTGGATGGATCTTGCTCGGCCTCTCTGGCGGTAACGAATTCTTTCCACCGATGAACGAATGGCTTGAATGGCTGTTTGAACTCGACTCGATCAAGGAGCATGGTAATGCCTGGATATTTGGCTAGCACCGGGGTAAGGAACTTCTTGAGTGGTTCACTTTGTACCCGAATCGAGTGAATCTGGAGGCTCTTGCGACCATCATAGCATTTGGTGTTTTTCACAACGAGGGCGTAAGCGCTAGACTCAGCGCCTTCGGCCGGCTGGATGAGGTCTTCAGGGAGTTCCGTGGTCCATGAGGTGTTACCGTCCCGGTCTCGGTTGGTTCGATAGAGATTGTGTATCTCACAAATGGAGCCTGGTGAGGCGTTTTGGACTATTGGGTTTGATAAGGCAAATTCGCGAAGCATGCGAGACGGGATTATCTTACCGATTGAAGTGCTCTCCATATTCACTGGTTAATATTGGCGATGTGAAGACTCAAGAGAAAAAGCTCTGTTTAGAAACTGGTGGTTGGGCAAGAGACAAGCAGAGAGGAGAGAAGGAAGTCACTACGTACTACTAGTATGCATGGAAGGCACGTTGATGCCTGAGGCCAAGGGAACAGAGCCTCATTTCCACATCGACCAACCAGGATCCCTGTTACTATTAGTACCCAAAATATGAGTCACAAACGCCCAAGCTCCAGCTGTATCAAAAGTATAATAGTAAAAATAATTCAAAATAATTCAACGATAGAGACAAACAAAATCCAAAAAATACAAAGCAAAAACATACAACAGCAGGGATTCGCATGTGGTCACCCACCATACTACTAACCTGCCGGCGTGTGGCTTAAGTACGGCTGAGCGGACGGGAAGCCCTGTTCTCCACACCCTATGGTCGTATGTACAAGGCACATCTGGTTAAGGAGCTATATACTGGTAACCGAAAGATATGAGCGCCGCTTTGAGGCTCTCGCGGTGAATAGCAGATAGTAATTCAATGTCTACTGGGAGTACATGAGAGGAATGGAAACAGGGATAATACCATCTAGAGACCACAACTTTATCGATAACTTGAATACTGGTAGTAGGTATTGGTGGCCTATATTCTATCTAGACCAGAATGTGACAAGTTCGTCGAAGTCTTCTTCCCGCAGGTCCTTGCCGTCTCTCTCCACCCCCGTGATCTTGTGCCGCATGGATGCCGCCTCCCGTAGCAATTTTCTTGCCTCATCCTCCTGATTAGCTTCTGAAAGCACCTTAGACTTGAGGTATGAAGTCCGCGATATCTCCCGAGCATATGTTGCTGAGTCGACGCTCCAATTCTTGAGGGCCTGATCGATGAATCCGATGGCGTCGTCAAGAAGCCCGTTGCGAAGGCAATGCTGGGCCATTTTGTGGCAGACATCTGCAGTTCGATGATGGCGGTTGCGGATGGTTGACTGGTATTGCTGAAGGGCCCGTCGATGGAAATCTTCACTCTCCTTGATTCTTTCCTGAGAGAACCGCACGTTTCCAAGTGCGTGGAGAAGCGACCGGTCCTGCCAGCAAGGGTTGGAGCGTTAGCCAAGGGTCAACAAAAAGCAGAGTAAAACTAAAGTAGATACCTTACCTGAAACAATGGTTGTCCATGTCTCCATATTTTTCTACTCGATCTGCGAGGCCCATTTCTAGCACTTTAGACGCCTGTGTCAAGTCCCCCAGAAGCCACTTCGTCGTCCCAAGATTTACAAGGGCCAAAGAACGCTTTTCTTTGCTGTAGTCCGGGATTTTCTCGTACTCCCGTGCAGACGTCTCAAAAGATTCTTCCCCCTTTGTGTATTCGCCAGCCATCATCCATGATATACCCATCTGGTTATAAGCGCTTGCGAGTTTCTCGTCCACTGCTCCCAGTTTCTCTGCTATCTTTAAGCGTATCTCAAGGACTTTTTTATTATGGTCCATGCTGCTGGCTGCGTCATTTGTCCCGCTGGCGACTGCACCAAGTGTGTGTCGGATGTCGGATTCCAAGTCTTGGTGATCGATTTCTTTGCTGCGATTGCAAAGCTCTAGGGCCAATTCCAATAAAGGCTTTATGATAGGCGATTCGCCGCGTTCGTGTTGGTACCTTCATATGGGTTAGTAATCCACGAGAATCGTTATGTACAGAAAGTACCAGAAGGACCGCGGTAACTCACCATCCAGCGCGATTGAGAAGTCTAGCAAACTCGAAGTCACTGTCAACATATTCTTGATGCTTGAAGTGTTTCTTATATGCGTTCTCCAGGCTGATGACATGCGGGTAGAGTGCTTTAGATTCCTCCCATAGGTTGACATCATGACTTTCAACTTCTCCAACCGGCCAGGCCGCTGCGACCTTGGTGACCGCGTTTAAAAATACCATTCGTTGCCGCTCGGGTTCGATTTGGAGACGCACACCATCTCGCGTAACACGATGCATCCAAAACTCAGCCGTGTCCTGATTATGACGAAAAATAGAAGACCCGATCAGTTGCTTCCGAGCATTGAAAAAGGCAGCATCATCCTCAGGATACGAGGGCATATCGATAATAGTAGTATGTTTCATCAAGATCCTCTCCTGGATACTGTCTGGATCCAGAAACGATGAGATTTCCAAAATTGCTCGGGCAGCATCTGACAGCTTCTCCAAGACTGTTGACACGTTACTACGAGCTGGCAACTGTGGTTGTTGAACCTCCATCTTGTGGATTTCTCCAGCATCGTAAAGTCTCATAAACTCAGTATAGGTTAAAAAGTCGAGCCTGATTATGCCAGCCATCTGGGCGAGCGTAAGTGGCAGCCCACCTAGTAGATCACCGACCTGCCTTGCTTCTTCAAGCCGGCCCTGGATCCCCGTAAATTTTTGAACAAACAATCCAGAATCCTCTAGATCAAACGGCTGGACATCGACAGAGATCGCATGTGGCGAGAGGGCTGTCCTCGCGAGGGGGCTGCGACTAGTGATCAAGACTGCTCCGCTACTAGCAATTTCACGATATGGCTTCAGGATGTCAGGATCGTCGGCATTGTCAAACACAACCAGCCAGGAAGCTCTCAATTGGTTCCCGGTAGTACGCTCTGTCTTGAACGGGTTGCGAAGCCATTCAATTGCAAGCGCTCTATTGTTGATCTTGTCATCTGGCTCTCTAGGGTCCTGAATTTCTAACTTGATAGCGATCTGGGCGAAGTCCGATTCAAGTTTGGACATATCATCGGCTCGGATCCAAAAAACTGCATCGAAGTTCTTTTTGCGAGTAAACGCGTATTCCATGGCGATTTCTGTCTTCCCTAAACCAGGCATGCCGCATAATATTTCCACGCGTATTTGATCTGGCTGCGAAGATGGCAGCGTGTCATTTGAAGGGAGAAGGCAATCATCAAGTTTGCTTAGAACATCTTGTCTTCCGTAGAAGTCTTTGTTCCTCACATATGTGTCCATCATGAAACAAGGTATTTTGGGGTCACGTTGTTCCACAGAAAAGAACTCAAGGAGAGCCACGTGAGATTTATGTCCTGGCCTTGATTTAGTATTAACGCAAGAGAGCGTCCTAGGATCTGGCTGACTGGAAACTTCGGATTTGGAAGCCTGTTGCATGGCATCTGAGGCGAAATGTCAGCAATGGATAGTCTATGATAAGTGTATTTAACTCACATATATGGGGCTGGTTCAGCAATGAGTTGTCGTTCGTCGGTTCCCTCAAAATCTCTACATCGTGAGATTTGCCTATATTAGTTCAGTAAGCCAGATCAATGATGCCAAGAGCAAATATCGTACCGTGGAGTCCAAGTTGAATGACTGACACCAACCAGTGCCGTATCTGCAAGATTGATGCCCCATGTTCCTCACTCATAGAAGGAAGTTGAATGTGGTCGAGCGGCACGCCGATTCTATATTCTGAAGACGTTTTTATTGAACATAAAGGCTCGTCAACGATCTAGTAGGAGGCGTAGAGTTAGCTCGCATCGAATTCTTTGAACGTGAAGTAAATTTGGGCTCGAACAATTGACTTCCTTGACCTATGTATCAAAGCCCTGGTGTCCCTGATTGGAGTATCTCTCTCTTCGAAGATCGATAATATATTCAAACGTAAATTCGCCAAATTGAAACGATCCGCGATGCCGAGAATCAAGCGGAACTCCCTTTTTAGTCGTCTAAGGGACTTACTACTTAATGCCGTGCCATTGTTGGTATCAAGCTTTAGAATGCGGGTGAATCGATCACCAAGTTCCTCATCGCCTCCTTCGAGGCGGTGCGGAGTACCAAGGAACACAATGCCGGCCACAACGTTCAAGAGGTTGGGGTACTGGCTGTCTGCCGTTCTAGAGAGATAGAGAGCCTTTAGACATCAGCATATTGCACGCCTCGTGGCTATTAACTGAGAATTGGGTCATCGCACCTCTTTGGCGATAGCACCGCCAAGGCCATGACAAATGAACAGTAGAGTTTGCGATTCCTTAATATTATTAGTAAATGGACAAAACGAGGAAAGTGAGGGTTACCTTTTGGTTATCTAGAAAAGTTCGAACCTTTCTAAGAAACTCGGCTCCCTCATCTAGGAGATGCTGCCAGGAAAAGTGGTCGCTCAGGGACGCATGATAATCGTAAGAGTGAATAGTAACCCCAATGTCCCGTTGTGCGAGCGCATCTGTCCAAGCCTGATTGCAGAGGGACCAGGATTCACAAGCAAGGGTCCCTACTCCCGGTACGAGAATTATGCTTAGATAATGAGATACTGTACAGCATACAGTTAGGGGCGAGGGGGGGCTTACTGGATATTCTGGGTACCCTCTTTTACTACTTTAAGCCTCCGCAAGGAGCTCGGTTGAGATGACGATGAGCTTCGAGCCCGAGGCATATCGATCGCCTGGGCTGGTCTCTCTCTATGCTGCCAAGTCAAGTTGAGTGTAGTACGAAGAGGATGCAAGAGAGAGATGGATGGCTTATACCGGCGGTGATCGGAATTCACTTCTCTCAAGGTCAAGGATAGGAAATAGCGACCTGATAGTAGGAAGGGTAGAGCCTCATAGTGCCAACACACCACTTCAAACTGAACTACAGAAAGGTTTTGATGAGGCGAGGTTGCACATCTTGAACAACCTCAGTTGCTGTACTCCGTACACCCGTGCCCATTTAATACACGGCTCAGGTAGGAATTTGTTCCCAATCTGAAAGACAACCCTGCATAGAGCCAATCAGATATACTGATCAAAGAAGTTCCAGGAGGCACGGATCCTCGGTCGTCCCGGAGGCAATCACGTAGAACGAATAGTTGAGCGAGATTCTTTCAATGTTGCCAAAGAATCCATGCGAAATTGGATGTTGGACGGACGAAAATGGAATAATAAATTCGGTGCATCAATCATAGTACTATGAAAGGTCTAATTCAAACACCAATTACTTTTCAAACATATCTCATCTCGGACTTGAACCTGATCAAGCAAGAGGCCAGCGATGAGTACGAGAAGCCCAGGTGATCACGAAGCGTGCCGCGAGGGGGCGGGGCCACGTCACCTAGTCTGTGCTCCCGCATGGTCACTAAGCCGTGTTTAGCATTCGCAGCGGATACCGCGGGTCCGCCGAGCTCCAATTCCCAGCTTTTGCTCGGAGGTTCCCAACAATCCCTGGAAGTCTTACGCGATGCACGTTATTCATAATAGCGCTACACGTGAGAACACCTAATGTAGGAGAAAGTGATCCCTTCTTGATATAGAGGAATATCCACATCAGAGCGAGCATTTTTGATGACTTCCTGTGCAACCTCAATCAATCGGTGTGAAATTGATTCCGTTTGAGACCTGCGATCGAATTTAAATAATAGAGGCTGTATACTCCGTATGAATGCCCAAAATAGATAAGGCGGAAAGAGGCGGTGTGTACAGTGGAGGGGTGAAGAATTTGGAAGGGGCTTCAAATAATTAGACCTATCTCGCCCTTATATATCCAAACGCGGCACTCTAAAGCAACGAGAAATAGAGGATTACTTGCTCAGAGCAACCCTGAAGGAGGATTTCACTCCAAACATACTCACTTGGCGGCTGAGGAACATGTATGTGCAGCTTGAAAGACTTAAGAACCGAACTTAGGCGCTCGCTTCTTTGGACTCCCGCGATATCTAATGCGACGCAGCCTTTCACATTACGACGATTACTCAACAATCGCTACCGCACATTCAAGGATTTGAAAATTAAATCTGAACGATGGAATCAAGCGCACATAAATTAGAGCAGCCCTGGAAGTCGGCTTGTGACAGCTTCGGTCAAAAGAGGGTTAGCGACAAGGATATCTTCTATGGTGCCGCTGTTGGCGAAAAGATGTCAGTACCGGGTTCCGCCGGGGAGGTTAACGTGACAATCCTGTATGATACAGGTGATTATGACAATGAGTAAGTCCTTGCAAATGAATAAATGCTGTGCTTACTAATCTGCAGATCAAGGAATACGCGGTGTCTCCGTCACGATCTGCCCGTTCAAGAGGCGTCTAATACGACCCGAAAGTGACGAATAGTGGATGTGTGTATCGGAAATCAAAAGTAATATAAATTTGAAGTTCTTGATATTTTTGATCGCGTATTTTACAAAAAAAATTCACAACCTGGGCACATTTGAAAACATCCATTGCACCTTCCATAGCTGGTCGGTCCGTTATTATAATTAGTATCATCATTATTATTATTGTTATTCTTTTTAAAAGATAATATCGTCCCTGTGGCCAACGGTAGCACAGATGATCAACTTCTAGCTCATAATGGCAGTCCGATTTTCAGCTACTCTAGTGCCCAGGTGGTAAATCCTAGCTTGTGACATCGATTTCACCAGATATAGTTACTGGCTGGATACAGCACTGTTAAATCCTCAACTCCATCAATTTTTTGGGCAGACTATGGAGCTTCTTGTGGAAGAATATGGAAATGACAGGCTGCCACCAGTAGGTTCTAATAAGACGGAGCTATTATCATGTGAAGACGAGGGCCCGCACCTCAATACTTTGCCTGGGTTGAACCTTTCCTGGAGCGCTAGGATGAAGGAAAAGAAGAATGTGGAACACCTAGGCAAATTTCAGCACATAATTGAATGATTGTGTAAGGTTGGCTTACTGACATGAACTCCCCTTGCTGTCTCCTTGGAGAAACACCCAAGCTTCGTTGGGCATTTGCTCACTGGCATAGTACCATTGATGCTGTGGGTGATATTCTAGCAGTAAGTTTTCTGTTTGAAAGTCCTGGAACACAACGTCCCCAGCGTGGAGAGAGTGTGGGTTGAGGCTGGATGCGTCACAGAGTGCCAAAGGCCAATCTTGAACCGGTCCGCGAATTGGTGCCCAAACACTGTGGTCAAAATTAGCCGTGGCCAAATTGGTTAGGGCTAAGCGGAGAAGGCAACAAACTTTATGAACTGATAATGCTTTCCAGGGAGACAGTGGATTCCATTTTTGTGATTCAGGCGACGGGCAAGAATGCTTGCCCATTCATTCGTCATGTCTTCGGGATATTAGCACTTGAACCTTTTGAAGAAATCATTTACCAACCAATGTGTGCTGCAGTCGTGGGCTGGTGGTCTTCATACGTAGTGTCTGTCGCTATTGGAAAACTCTCGCCCCGTTTCCGAACCTGCTTTCATTAGTCTTAGGCGGAGACGTGGCACATGAAGGCGAACGAACGAGAAACTCAAAAATTTGTATCCTGGATGGATTGAGCATGGATTTCAGGAGCCTGGAAACATTCGGTAAATATGTTTGAACAATCTTGTCATGGTCGTTGAAATCCTCGAAAGTCATGCCGGAGTCGAACGATTCGAGGGAGAAACCAGTTGTGTCCAGAGAAAAATCTTTTTCGCGACCCCGAATATCTTCGATCTTCTGGGGTTGGATTTCGGTCCTTATATTTGACCATGGGAGACCAGATGGCGGAACAAACTTCATTCTGTAAGGTTTCTGTTTATCGTACAAGACGTCCCTCGCGAGAAAGTCTATATTGCCTACGACAGCCATCGTGAGCACCGTGACCAAATTAGAGCTGTGGCAAAGGGTCGCGGTATTGGCGTGCGACTGAACAAATCAGATTAAGGAAGAATAGTGACTAGAGTAGACAGTCGAGAGAGCCTACTTGGAACAGTCTTGGCACCCAATCACGTGGTAATACCCCTGTTACTTTCGAAAAAACTGTTTGGTCCGGTACTCCGTACAAGGCAGAAATTCAGAGGGTGACTGCAGAAGTCTACGACAAATAATGTTTTAGAGGGCTGGATAGCATGCCTAGTTCCCTCTGACTATACCGGAGAGGGGGCTACTTTAGAAATATCCGCAGGATCAGCTGACAACTACAGATGCAGGCTGCTGCAGCCCAGCCTACACGGTACTGAAGTTCTTGCGACTCATTGGAACAACTCAATCTGGAGGTTCTGCTATAAGTGCGAATCATTCGCTGATCTAATATGCCATGACGAGAAGCCGCTGACGAGATAGTTCCTCTCTGACGATGTGAGAGAGGCAAATCACGGCCCAAATACCGTCCTGCTTCCCTGGCTTAGCGTCCCAACCCACTAGTCAAGACACAGCCACGCCGGATGTCCCTGTTTCTGTTGCTGCGCTCTCAAATCTGTGCATATTGTGAAAGTGGAATCACGGCCCAAATGCAGTCCTGCTGCCTTAGCTTAGTGCCCGGGTGAACCTTGGAGAAGTCTGTGCATATCGTCACATGTGACACGTGTCACTGCGTTCAGGTTCCGTGTTCATATTTTGAATGGGAAAACAGATGAGATGCTGAGCACAATATTTGCTGCTTGAATTTGGTCGCCGCTTTGACTGCCACATCTACGACCAAGAACTCTAATCCTGACCGTGCTAATGGTGTCTCTAGAGTGAGTGAAGGAGTGATCATTACGCCGGCTTACATGGTGGCTCCACTAGCTTCTGAGGGAACATCACAAGATCGAAATGAGTTTTTATCAGCGTCCTACCCGTCATACAACAGCCAATTCTTGAGAAATAGAAAAAGTACACTCCGATCGCCACACTGCTCTGCACACAGAGGTGAAGGTGCCAAATCAGCGGTGAAAATGATCTAGAATCCTCGTAAGAGTCACGTACCTAACTGGACAGCTCCAGTTCTATTTAGAGAATCCCTGATATACACCATACAACCTAAAGGATTATTTCCACCGTGATCACACTGACCTGTATTTAATTGATATTCAAGAGAAAATTGTACGGGATATGTCGGATTCTCAGAGTAGTAACCATGGATCAAAGTCAACAGATTTTGCATTTAGACAGTATGATCTGGTTCTAGAGTCGCTTCGTGCACGCCTGCTATACATCCTCCCGTACAACTCCTCCAAGCTCTCTTAGTTAAATCTTCTATCTCATCATGCTTTAACAGTGCCCAGGTAATAGCTCCTACGGCAAGAGATGCCACGGCCCATGACCAAAACGGCGGAGTGCTGCCAGGGTTGACCTCACGCACGTTCATACCAAACAACGAAGCCACAAACGACAGAGGCACAAAGAAGACGGCTAATTTAGTGAGCCTTGTCACGCTTTGGGCTTCAACCACAGCCTTTTCGGACTCGCGGATAGTCGCACTGTGGGCTGTTATGGTCATCCCCTGTACACATTCAGCCGCAAGAGTTTCGGCGTATGTAAGTGCCGCGCGATAATCTCCCAGAATCAACTCGACATTTTGTGTAGTAGACACCCTTACGTCGCTATCTGGCGCATTTCCTGGTATGCTCCGCTCATATCGCGACTCGATGGCATCGATAGTTTCTTTGAGGTTTCGAATGTGGCGCCCGAGAACTTGCTGATGATAGAGCAGGTTTGACAGAGTCGGACTGTTATTTCCAATAATATGAGAATGATTGAGTTCTTCTCTGATCTTGGTGTCCAGAACATCTAGGATTGCCATTTCAGACGAAACTGCCAAGTTGAAGAACGGGCTCAAGGCGTATAAGGGATCATGGACTGCACGCGGAGGATCGATATGTCCGTAAAGGTAGTTCTTCAAGAAAAATTCGGCCCTTGCAGAAGGCTCGGCAGATTGCGGTTGGCCCCTCATTGTTCTTGTTCTGCTGTTGGAGGAGATCCCGGGTTTGTGTAGCGATTTTGGCAGATATTTCAAAATAGAGTTTGTACGACTGCTACTACTCTGCCATGGCCATTTCATCTCATCACCTAGTTGTCTTAAACCATCATGCCAGACAATGCCCAGTCGGCCTTCCAAAGCGGAAGGGATGTAGATTGAGATCGATTGCTCTAACGAAAAGCAGACCAAGTCGTGGACGGAGAACTCTCGAGCAAACGAATCGCCTGCGGTCATATCTGAAGAGTTCAAGAGAGCAAGGTTGCTCGTATAGGTACTTATCTGCTTAAACGATTCCTTTCGCAAGGTATCTAATTCTTTCTGGTGCTTCATTTGCATGTCTTGGTCCTGCAAGCTAATTGTGGTGACTTGTAACGACAGCATATCCGAGTGGCACGATGGGCGTCTTTGTGTGGCGGCGGGCTTCGACAAGTTTCTTCCAGGTCTCGATGCAAACAGTAGATGCCTTCGGAAGAACTCAGGATCAATACCGAACCTTGCTCCTAAATGATTCAACCATTTTGCACAAGGATAACCGCGCAACAGGAGTAATGAAAAGGAGTCATTGTTGGGCATGGCTGTCTGACCAAGCTCCTCGAACTGCCCTATTGTTTCAAATGAGATTCGTGTCATATTTGCACTAGAAATGTTGTATAGGGAAACGAAGCAGCAAGTCGGATCAACTGCTGAAAAAGGTGATCTCAACCGTGGTGGTCTGGGGGTATACGGCTGCGAAAGGAAATTTGCGAAATCTCCAAAGTCGTCAACCGGGTACAGTGACTGCTCCGATTCTGTTTCTGCGCGATGACGGACTTTTCTAGCATATTCTTGAGCGGTGCCTACATTATAAAGGATGATTAGCATGTTCCAGGCAGAAAGAGTCGAAAGCGTACCTTCCCGGGTATGAAGCGGGGCTCTATTTTCATTTGTTTCCATTACGGGGCTATCTTGGTTGTTCTCTCTTCGCGCCATGCAGATGCTAATAGATAATATAGGTGGTCGCGATATGAGTCAACTGGGTGAGTATGCGTTTCTTGAGCACAGAGTGACTGAATCTCTTTTACACAGCCAATATTAAGGCGAGTTAAATTGCCATCAACAATCGGAGAGATAAAGGCTGAGTGAGAAACAGAGCAGAAGGCAACAGCAGCTCCACTTTACCTCTAGTAACAGTGCCCAATAACTAACTAGCTAGCTAGTCACTCCACCACCCAGAGCACGTATTATTCGACTCACGTAACCCTAGGTTCACCGGGGTGATTTCTCAGATGGGCCCCTGCAAACCTGAAACTCTCAACCATCTCCGCCTCTTAAAATACTCTACACAACACACTTAGTCACAACCTACTAACTGGCCAGAATGCATCAACGATTTTATTGGAGAGCGGTCGGTTGCAACTGCTTGTGATGCATTGGGGTTGGTAGTATTCAAGTTTGTCTTGTTTTTCGACAGGGAAATACTTCTAATACAACTGGGCTTCAATCTCTCTTAAGTTTTTTGGGATATCGAATTCGCTCAAGGTGGCAGGATTGAGATTTACGGTGGGACAACAAAAGTTTGTGGCCTCCATAGTTAACCTCGACTCCGCTTTCTTAAGGTACACTACGAGTAGCCTTGTGTCGCGTATATTACCTCAACTCGACGCGACGCGGCAATCGTATTGAATAAAAATCACACTGAATAAATCACAAAAAGAAGGGGGGAAACATACAACAGCAAGGATTCGCATGTGGTCACCCACCATACTACCTAACCTGCCGGCGTGTGGCTAAAACATAGACAGTAGTGCGGTGGGTGCCGCCTGGGTGAGAATGGGGTGAGCGCCGCTTTAGCGTCGCGCGACCCGGGTGATTAGGGTGAGTGCGCAATAGGCAGGGTCAGAACGGGGTGACACTGGGTGAGAATCACGCTTGTCATGCAAGGCTCGCTCTTGACCCTCCAGGCTGAAGTGAAATATACATCATTGGCTGGTCTACCACGACCTGAAGCACTACAGTAGCCACCTTCCATGCAAAGGACAATGACGAGTGGGTCCTTTTTACCTTGGTACATTCGAGCCAACAACTACATTGTTTATAATATCTAGAGATGGTCTCTATCATGGTCCTTCAAAGCACCAATTGAGTCAATCTTCTCCGAGACGACTACTAGACGAATGAAACGCTTATTCTGTTGTAGTTTAGGGGTTATCTTTTATTATTCTATTCTGAGGGAAAGAAGAGGCTAACTATATGTTACGGACCCTGCGACGAGAGGGGTCGAAATCACAAATGGGCCATCAAGAGCCAACCATTCTGCAACCACCATGACCGCCCGCAGGTCACGTGAAAATACCATAACGGAAACCATGGCATCCCCACTGGAGCAGCACGATACGCAATAACTGGGGGTGTCGAGGAAAAGACCACGAAGCTCCTTGCGAAGAGCTGGGTGCCAGGGGAGGGGCACTATCCCAAGGCAGGGTGCACCGTACGAATCCTACCGACCCACGACGGAACGATCCGTACGATGAGCCCCGCCCCACGGCGCGATAGGTCTGAGGGACGGGGCCTTCGCAAGACGAACCACGGTTTCTAGGCAGTCGAAGAAAACCGTGGTGGTTCCTACGGTAAGATCTGACGCAGGAACGAGAGGATCGCACGGCCGCCACATGCCGTCCTGTACGTTCGGACGGAACGGACCTGTCCTCGTGAAAGGAAGCGAATCCTCTCGACAGGACAGGAAGGATTAGATATATAAGGAAATCTCCTTACGCATATGTATTTAGTTCTTCGTGATCAGTCAATCTAAGTTACTACAGTATACAGTACCTTTGGATTGTTCTTCATTCAGTTTCATATCTTGTGACAAACATACTACAAGTAGGGGAGCTCTTCGGACTGACCTACTTGGCACCCTAGCTGGCACTTCCTTCGAAATTACTCAACAGGACCCGAGTCTGTGTAAGGCTTAGCACAGCAACGATACGATTGCGAGTGATAGATATCACACACGATCAACCAACAGAGAACAACTAGTAAGTTGTTTACCCACGATCTAATCACTCACCGTGACCAGTTAACTACGCGTAACACTAACTATATAATAAAGGTTAAGAAAGCTATCCTCAAGAAGGAGGGCGAAACAAAAACTGCTTTGCAGAGCTGAGTAACCTGAGATTCATCAAAATAGCTAGATTTAGGCTTCTTAACGAGTTGATTTAGTTAGTCGTAGACTACTATTAGAAAAATGGTCAGGATTGCGAAAAGGTCAGAAATAAAGGCGCACTGATCCGGGAAGCGGGGTAAGGCATATGACATGTCAATCAGACCCCGCCATAATCAGCCGCACCAAGGCCATGGAGCCAGAATCTGTATTATCAGCCAACAAGGCCCTGATGAGCTTTGCCTTCTGGACAGGCGACTTATATTACCATTGTCTCAAAATGTCGGGAAGTCAGGGCAAGACTAATCAGCAGCAATCACAGCCGATATCTACTATGATAAACAGTGGTGACTTGCGGGATGAAGATGAAGTAGACGATGACAACAGCGAGGGACAATCTTCTGTCCTATCCACAAGAATGTACCACCACCATGACTATACTGTTGGAATTATTTGTGCCATTTCTCTTGAAATTGCGGCTACCAAAGCCATGTTCGATGAAATCCATCCCAATCTTGAAAACTCTCGGACAGACAACAATACATATATCCTAGGAAAGATCTGTGAGCACAACGTGGTCGCTGCCTGCTTACCAGTGGGAGTCTATGGGACTACCTCAGCAAGTATAGTTGCAAGTCAGATGCTATCGAGCTTTGGATCAGTCAGGTTCTGGTTGATGGTGGGTATTGGGGGAGGAGCACCGACTAAGAAGCACGATATCCGACTTGGGGATGTTGTCGTTAGCATTCCGACCTCCCGATTTGAGGGTGTGGTGCAGTATGATTACGGCAAGACCATCTCAGGCGGCCGTTTCGAACGGACAGGCACGCTGAATAAGCCACCCTCTTTTCTTTTGACAGCAGTAGCTAGGCTACGTGCAGATCATGAGTTAAAAGACCATCGAACCCCAAATTTGCTGTCCGATATGCTTCGGAGGCATCCCCGAATGGTGCCCAACTTTACTCACCGTGGCCAAGGCCAGGATCTCTTGTTCTCCGCAGAATACGATCATGTTGATCCCAGTAAATCATGCGAAGATTGCTGCAATCGGAGAAAGCTGCTCGCCCGGCCTCTTCGTGCGAGCAACAATCCTGAAATCCACTACGGTCTAATTGCCTCGGCAAACCAGGTCATGAAACATGGCCGGACCAGGAACAATATCGTGAAACAGCTCGACGTTCTTTGCTTCGAGATGGAGGCCGCAGGATTGATGGATAATTTCCCATGTTTAGTGATTAGAGGGATTTGCGATTATGCCGATTCACACAAAAACAAACACTGGCAAGGCTATGCGGCAGCTACTGCATCAGCTTATGCCAAAGAACTATTGTCAGTGGTGCCTGTGACCAGCTCAGCAGAAGAAAGTCCTCAAACTCTGAGACAGCTCTACGGTCAGGACAATGATGAGAAAGGAATCTTTGGGACAATGTGCTGACAGCATCTAGAGTCCAAAACAAGCGAGGCGAGAGAAAAGATTTTGCAAAAAAACTGCAAGATAGGTGAGTATTCAGGCCGTGAATCCCTCTTCCTCCTGATAACGAATAAAACAGTCCTGGAATCCTTCGAATATCCCCAAATGCACGCCCGGCACCGCGTGATCGGTTCCCCATTCCCAGGAACTGGGACCTGGCTACTGCAAACACCACATTACCTTACATGGAAGAGCGGCGACCAACCATTTTCTGGCTGAAAGGGAAAGCTGGATCCGGAAAATCTATCCTGATGAAGCACACACTCCAGGAATTACGTCGCGACTTCGCGAGGGATTCGCTGACAACTGCAGCTTACTTCTTCGACGCAAGTGGAACCATTTTGGAAAAGTCGACCCTCGGGCTATTGCGAACAGTACTCTATGAAATTTTTACCGCGAATCGACCTTTATTAGAAGAATTCCTGTTGACTGCAGACGACGGAAGATATGTCAAGGGCAAAAATTTGGAATGGCGTGTGGAGGAACTGATGGAAGTCTTCAGAATTACTGCAAAGTTGAAGAGTTGGAGATCGACGATCATCTTAGTAGATGCATTGGACGAGGGTTTCAGGGACGATATTCGCTCGACGTTATTCTTTTTCGAGCACTTGTTTCCTCAGCAGGGTCAACAACCGTATCAGAAACTCCGTCTCTTTCTGTCGAGCCGCCATTATCCCAATATCACGATGAAAAATTGCATCGAGATCTGGACCGAGAGTTTCAACCAGTCAGATATCGAGATGTTCACGTTTCAGAAAATATCGCAAATATCGAAAACCTCGGAAAATCAGGATTTAGCTGCATCTATCATCGGCCAAGCCGATGGTGTATTTCTCTGGGTTGATCTGGTCACCAACGCTCTACTGATGGCTGAGGACGATGGCGAGCCTTATGCTGCGAAGATGCAGAGGCTACGCACAACTCCCAATGGATTGGAAAACTTATACACCGAGATATTCTCCGGACTTTCAAATCCACAGCGTGTTGAAACGTTCCAGATTTTCAAGTGGGTACTCTATGCATGTCGCAGACTCACTCCACTCGAACTCTGCTTCGCGCTAGCGTTCGAGTCAATTGGTTCAATCGCAACATTGCACAGCTGGCAGGCCTCTGGAAATTTCATCAACAATGGTGTCCATCTGAACAGATTCATCCGAAGTCGTTCACGTGGCTTGCTTGAAGTGCGTGGCGACACAATCCAATTCATCCACCAAACTGTCCCGGAGTTTCTGGTACGAAAGGGTCTGAAGCTGTTGCAGCCTTCTGTTGTTTTCTCCGATATTGCAGCACGATGCCATCATCAGATCGCCACCATCTGCATAAAGTACTTGTCGCAGAGACAGATCATTCTATGTCCCTCTATGACTCTACTCAGGTTCAGTACTCGCCAGCATTCGCGTTACTTCCTGGGATGGGTCCGTCCGGGCGTGACACAGGAAGATGCTAATAGGGCTTCTCATTCTTTAATGACAACTTACGGCCACACTACAATTCATCGTCCACTTCCTGGGAAGATAAGTCATCAAATATCTGACGCCAAAGTAGCAGAGGCACTGCAAACGCTCTTTTTCGAACTACCGCTCCTAGAATACTCGGTGTTCACCCTCCAGGCCCATCTTTATCTCGCGGAGGAGTCCGGCATCTCCCAAGCTGATATTGTGGATTTCTTTCTCCGTTATGGTGTGCAGAGCTTGCGGCTCTGGTATGATTTCCAGGCTTCCCTGGAGCTACCACGCAGTCATCCTTACCACTCAGTCGATTGGGGTGATTTTCTACAAGGTTGCATCGCACTACGCCTTGTATCCTGCGTCCACAATTTCAGCAAGCGGATCCGGAACGCTGAGCTGACGCTCTCGCCTAGATACAATTTAGGCGCGTCCCTCTCCCTTGCTGTGATCCAGGGTTTGCAAGGGGTCGTCCAAGACCTGATCTCCTGTGGTGCGGATCCAAATCATCGGCATCAGAATGAGAAAACCGCGCTGGATTACGCCTGCGCCTCTGGTGACGCAGGTATGGTGACCCTGCTGATCCAGAATGGAGCTGATATCAAAGCTTACAATACGTACGGTTTCGCTGCCTTCCACCATGCGGCAGAGAACGGTTTTGTGCACATTGTCCAGCTTCTCCTCGACATGGGTGTGGCAGTTGAAATGCGTACAAGAAATGGGGAAACAGCTCTCCTCATTGCCGCGTCGCATGACCGCTTAGACGTATTCAAGCTGCTTATCGAACGTGGTGCCCAACCCAGTGCGCTGGACAACCTCGGTTATGGTGCGTCAAAATTGGCAGAGTTGCATCGCTCAACCAATGTGTATGCGTTCCTCAACCCGAAGGCTCCGGTATTGCCCACGATGAGAGATTCTTTTCAGGGAAATCGTCTTTTTGCAGAGCCGATTTCTCGCGCGATGACTGCATCACCAAGCCCTGAGAAGCAGCTAGATAAGTTACCTCTGCTTTCCAACGATCTGATGCTTTTTGGCCCTGTATATGCCAATGACCTGGTAAGCAGGATCGCTCCGAACACGGCCGAGAGAGAGAAGAGAATCGGCGATGTCCTATCTGGTTAGTCTAGCGCAAATTGAGAATAATACTGAAATTATATTGATATAAGGATTATAGGTCTGGAAGACATTGCAGAGGACCATAGAAGGATTACACAGAAGCAGCTTGAGATACAGGAAAACTCAGTCAAGCAGATGTTGTCCGATAAAGAAAAAGAGTGCCTTCACTTATTTCGTCTTACCTCAAGCACTCAGGACGCTACATATGAGTAGTATGAGGATCATGTAGAATCTTGAGTAGATAGTACATGTGAATGGTTCCTCAACTATGACAGTTTCATGAGTTGGCTAGAATAAGATTCTGGTCTGTTACTGGTCTCGGCAGATCTAGGTGGTGGAAAATCTGTCTTAGCAAAGTATCTTATAAAAGATAGGCTGCCAAGCTCAGCAACAATCTGCTACTTCTTTTTCAAAGACCAGGATCAGAACACAGCCCGCCAAGCGCTTTGTGCTATACTCTATCAGCTGTTTTTCCAGAAGCTGTCTCTGATACTTATAAGCCGTACATGCTAGCAACTGTATCCATCTTATGAACCATAGTATCCAGCGGTCCTCATTGGGATTTCGGATATCTCGACTAGAATAAGACACTTCAAGAAGCGTGATTATAATTGAAGTACATGCCATATAACTATTAAAGAGAACTGACTGTCTCTTTAAAGTTTGTGATTATTCTGTTGGTTTAGCCGAGGTACAGTTCCAATGGACAATCATGGTATATCTGGTAATCTAAATCATTACTCCATTCCAGTACAAAGTATTGACGACGAGGGCAATGACAGCCATTGGGCTCAAAATTGAAAAATCAGAATCAGAAACTGGCTGTCTCCAGAAGTGCGTTTCATCAAGAGCCGAAACGTCTCTGTCCCACAAGTTTGCCGCAATGTCTGTCACTATACGGACAGTATCCCCTGAGTTTCCCTGTCCTGTAAGAACAGCACTTAATGCCATGTCTGCTGTAACGAACTGGGGTTGTTACCATTCGCGGATGCCTGACGTAGATGGCATCCACTTAGGCATCCACGCCTACATGTACTTAGTTCCATCTCAGCTTCCTCCTTCTTCTTCTTCTCAGGCTATTACTTTCGTCGAACAGCTGTTTCCTTTGCTTCGTATGATACGCAGTACGTTGATCTCTGTGAGCATCTGAGCATCCTCACACTAAGTGGTAAATACAGAATAGGCCATCTGCGGCAGGAAGCAGCTGGCTATTGAGCTCTTGCTCATCCTGACCCCTCCTAAATGAAGCCATAAGGGCTTGTTATCTTTATTAGATAATTCTCAATCAAAACCCGATTTCAGACCTCTTAAAACTTTATATACACAGATAGATGAAACTTAATCTCCAAAATTATCCCTGTCATCTACTTCCAAGCGTTTTCTTTATTTACCCCCTCTTTTTGCGGATTGTATATAGACAGATAGCAAAATATTTGTGTACAGATATTATGTCTTCAAAGCAATTGTGTTTACCTGGCTCTAGCTTGACTTAGAACTTTGAAGTACTCTAGCCAGTAGGCCTTGAAAAAGCCGGTCATTTTTTGGCCCCCACGGGCTTTTGTATTTATCCAGTATTTACCACTCTATCTACAATAAAAACCTGGTTCCTGAGCTAATTTCATATGACATACGGCCAGTGAAAAAAAGTTAGGTTACGCGTTGCTAACTGGTCACGGTTAGTGGTTAGACAGTTGGTGAACGTCAGCAGACTGGCCGTGGATTGAATAAGGCTTCCTTCTAAAAAGTTTCATCAACCTACCGCGACGGCGGCAGAATGATCTCCAGCGTAGAAGCGTCAATGACAAATCTCCGCTGTTGCGGGGCTGATCCCCGAGCCGATCTCCACAATGGAGGGCTGATCCCCGAGCCGACCTCCGCCTGACCTGGCCCTTCATGGATTGGCTGGTTCGAGTATTCATCCCGCCCTTCATCCGCTGTAAATGGTGATTAGTACCGTTTATCTAAGCTGAAATGCAACGTTGGGTCCTAGTAGGCCTAAGGCGACCCGGGAAACACAAATTGTGTCCTATGATGGATGGATATGAGCATTTCAACGGAGCTGATGAGTTCTGACAGAAGAAAGGATATACTTTAAGGCCATCAGAGATTGTTTTGGGTGATGATTCACTCTTGCTCGTTTTTATATAAACTCTGACGTCTCTACCCACCACCTGTCTTCACAACCGCTCATCAACTAGAACCAAACGACAAGAAAGATCATTCTTCAACAATTTAAGATGAAATCACCAACTTCGCTCCTACCGATAGCCATATATGGCATATTGACTGCTCCAGGGGTAGCAGCAAAGTGCTCAGCGGGACTTGTCAATATTGTTTTCAATGGGCCTGGCGATAAAATTGGGCCTGGATCGCACCCCGACTCTCAGTTATTTTCTTGGTTTTCCAAGATGCCAGCCGCCAAGAATTGGATAACTTTTAATGAGCATGAATACGAGAAGAAAATCCCCATGCTGGGTGACAACAAAGATGCTGTTCAGGAGGCCATTAAAATGGTCACCAGGGCAAACCCGCCAGAATTTCTGCTCACATTCAATGAGCCCGACTGGGATTATAAAACAGGAAAGACGAAATTGACTCCTCAAGCTGCTGCTGAACTTATTGAACCATTGTTGAACGCGACTGCAAAGCATACCAAATTCATCGCGCCAGTGCCAGCCTTCCAAATGAGCAACTGGCTTCCTGAGTTCTATGAAAAATGCAAATGCAGAGACCGTTTCTATGCACACAGCGTCCATATATATAACCACACCATCGATGATGCCAAAACTGCTATCAACACCTTTCACAACAAGTACAACGACAAGCCTTTATGGATCACCGAAATTGCACCGAGGCAGCTGAACTGTGACGCTCCGACGAGTAGCTCGTGGGCCAGTTCGACAGAATTTATGAACGAACTCTTCGCCTGGGGACAATCGATCGAATGGATCGAGAAGATCTTTTGGAACTCGGGTAACAAAATTGTCACACATTGTGATACAAACGTGGGTGCCTCTTATTTGCTCGACGGCAACGGCAACCCGACGCCACTGCTGGCTCCTTTCAACAATTTGACCTGTTCGCAAACTTGACTTGTTCATGGAGTTACGTTTCTGTCTTGAGAATGGAGAAGCTGAAGCCGGAAGAGAGCAATAATGGTGATGGTGATGAAGCCATTTGTCCGATGTAGCTCGCTCTACATACAGAGATTAGTACTAGGGAATGCAGTCAAATTTATTATCATCGATCGATCAAAAAGTCTAGATACTGTAACACTCTGGATCCGGCCCACTTCCCTTTCGGGCCTAGTACGATCCTCGCAGCCTATCTGCGAGGCCTCACCTACTGTTTTCATCTCTTCTTCACACTTAGTATCCCGTATTCAATGCACTTGTTTCTCGCAATAGGCCTCTATTACAGATACTGTGATAAAATTCCGTCCCGGTTCCTCTGAATAATCGCGACAACCAAGGTACGCTTTAATGAAATCGTCACCAGCCCAATCATGGCTCCATCGAACGCAGACCAAACAGAGAAACAGATAAATAATCTGAGTGTCTCGAAGATCGAAAGTAGGATCTGACGCTCATTTTCGAAGGCCATGGACATCTTGGGCATGCCTCCGCAAGTGCATCTCGTACAGGACGCACAAATCGCAAAAATTACATGTCCGGTCCGTCAAAAGGGATGTCCTAAAATGCCTTTTCACTCCATTATATTCGGAATATGTCTTGGGGCATTGGAAGCATGCGAATGTTTGTTCCCGGCCAGTGGTACGTCCATTCTCCCACGACGTGGTCGGCGGCGTATCAGGTTTTATCTTTCGAGCTGGCGGAGAGGGAACTGTATCGTCATCGTCAGACGATGTAGAGCGCTTCCATCGTCCCCGAAGAGGCCCACCCTCCTGGAAGCCGCAATATTGTATTCCAGCTGCAACAGCTTTGTTGCGCCGTGTCCACTCGTCTTCTAATGAATCGGTGGTGGGCTAAGTAAAGAATGTCTCCACGAGAAGAATGTGCTCTGCTCTGATGGCATTGCCAATTCCTTTCGTAATACCTCGCGCGCAGGCTCATCACTGACAGCCCCACCGGTCAGCTGTCTTTCAATCTCAATCACCGCCTGTTTCCGACTAAAATCACGGCGTATTTCTTTCCGCCGTTTGTCCTGGAGATGCCGGCGCAGATTGTGGACTTGACGCTTCTGGTCCTCCAGCATTGCGGGCGATGCTGGGTTATGAGAGTGGTCACCGCACTGGGTCTCTCAGCTCGAATTGCCAGCGCATGGCTGATTGCAGCTCTGGGTCTTTCTCCACCGATTCCCGGTCAGCATCGCTCAGGTATCGCGGTCGCCGCCGATCCATCCAACAGCTCATCTAGGTCACAGCCTTTGAGAACTCTTCATCAGGATCGAGGCCGCACATGATCTCCTGTAAGCCAGTATTGAACGTTCTGCTAGTGGCGTGGGCCATGATCACGTTACGCTGTGCTTCACTGACGAAACATAGACAAAGACTTAGTCTGCCCATCTAGAAACAATAAGAACCCTGGAGATTTATAATAGTCTAATGCCCATGGCAGATGGGAGAATTTTTCCAAGGAATCGTCACTTTGACCATAGCCCTTAATCACCAGACCTAAGTTCAGAAAATTTGTCCCATCAATGACCACAGATTCGGAAAGTGGAGCAGATGTCCTTCTGTGGATGTCCTTCTGTGTTGCAAAATTAGCCAATGTACAGCACTCTGATGCATTGCTGGCTGGATAAAATTATTAGATCGCCCATCGTGTTATACAGCTAATATCCTGCACAACTTGCTCCCTTCCACTGCGAGAGCTTATATCAAACCAATGAGTGGATGTGACATATATGAAATTGCTAGAAGAGATTTGAAGACCTAATACAGAGAATAGAGGGTCAACTTCACAGCAACCACTCTGGTCAGAGCAAGCTAAGGTATCCTTTAACAAGCCGCCTATATAAGCAAATTATATCTAAGTCCGTAAGCCTTCTAGAATCGTTCTCCTTTATCTATATACGAGAAGAGAATGAGTCAGAAAGCATCAGTCAAGAAGTCAACTATATTATCTAATACCGAATCAAGCAACTAGCGAACAAAAAAGAGTTTTCAGACTTACTTCAAAATTACTTAGCAGAGAGGTTACTTAAAATTCCGTACCGTACCTATCTCTAGATATGTTTGTTGTTTAAATTCTTAATAACAGAAAGCTCTAGGAAGATAGCTAATAGAATTAATTCAATAATTTTATTCCTACTAACAAACTTATATAGCGTATATAAGCGGATCCTCAATATACCAAAGAAAAGAGTAGAGGCTCAGAGGTCTCTAAGCATTATCTTAGCAGTAGGTCGACCTTTAATACTTTCTGAAATAAACATTACATTAAACGTCTGTAGTACGTTAAAGTATACTTATGATCTCAACCTCAAAGATGATAAGGACTTCGGATTATAGCTTAGAGCTTTGTATAGACTGTTTATCTTAATCTATTACGATGAGGTTTACTTTGTAATGGTCAACGTGTTTTACATGCCACCCGTGTTCCCAAGCGAGCCGATTTCCCCGAACACCATAGTTAAGGCGATAAATTACAACTCGATATATCAACAACTATTGATTTTCACTAAAATTCCTTATAGATTAGAATTATTTATAACATTTCTTGCATGCCTTTTTATTCTCAAGTCTATATTCTAGGATTTGTCGCTATGATAGATATTTACAGATTATCTGACCAAAATATCTGGTAATTTTTGAAATCATATATAAATAATTAATTCAACTATCCCGGAACAATATAACTTATCAAATCAATCAAAAACAACTAGTCTACACAAAATTTCAAATAGAGTTGTTGATATATTGAGTTGTAATTTATCGCCTTAACTATGGTGTTCGGGGAAATCGGCTCGCTTGGAAACACGGGTGGCATATAAAACACGTTACTAAGTTGTCAGACCTCAGACCTATAACTAGGCAAGGATATCGGATAGTGGAGATCAGATTGGACAGTTGATATACAGACTGATTCTTAATGAGATCAAGAATCCTGAATACTTATAGGATCTTAAATACACTAGGTTTCGGGTGGGCCTCGATATGCAGGCGACTCGAAGGGGATTCGGCTTCGGATCGGCGTCAAGTGCCTGAGGTATTGTATACTCAGAATCCCGTGACACTAAGATAATATCTTAGTTATCTACAGTACCTAATTCAATACTATATTCTTATAGTTACAGAGTATAGCTAGAGTAAGCTACTTATAGTAGATAATATTAACTACTTATTCCTATATATTCTCATACTTATAGGTAAAACTATATAATACGGTATATATCTTTCTTTTATCTAGCTTCTTTTGTATTTCTTCTAGGGATATCTTTGGTCAAGGAGCTAGGTTAAAAAATTCAGAAATAACAGACTAGACTTATACCTTTGGGCTTTTATTTTCTACTATTATAGATTAGGAAAGCTCAACGCATTACAGTAGGTATTCTTACCCCTCTTACCCTGTTCTTATCCGCTCTCATCCCGTTCTTACCTCTCTCACCCTAGTCTCCAAAATTCTCACCCATATCACCTATACTCACCCTAACTTAGAAATTAACGCTATTTTAAGATCCAGGGCTCTTTAGCTATTGACCGCGTTTAGTATGTGGCTTAAGGACAGCTGAGCGGACGGGAAGCCCTGTTCTCTACACCCTATGGTCGTATGTACTAGACAACACTAGTTAGGAAATTATATACTAGGAGTAACCAAAAGGATCTGCGCCTCAACCGGCGGTAAAGCCATTTGGATAATTGGGTAGCTATTTACATTCGAAGTCATTGACGACTATCTCAAGGTATTCTCTCCCTATTGAATGCAATACATGTTTACTTGGCTCTCAGGCATTTGAGCTGTCTTATTTTCCGTAACTCTTCCTGTCATATTCTTATATTCTCTGCTAGTAGGGATAACTACAATTATGAGATATCCTCTCGTCGGTACATGAAAAAAGCAGTAGGTGATTATGAAACCATTGGTCTCTAAGTCCAGGAGTTTATAGATGCGAAAAATGGTGCATGGAAAGCTCACGGCCGATTAAGCTGTTCTCGGCGGTAGAATAGAAGGAATCCAAAGCTGCGACATGAGTTAGTAAATAGTGAAATAGGTTCAAGAGAGAAAATTAACTGACCTTGCTAGAAGCTGGAAGAAAAGAGAAATCCAGAACCACGCGTTACCCACGTTGTCCACTGATGATCCCACATTCGGAGAGACACCAGCAGGGCCGACCTTGTTCGGCGCAAATCCTCGGGCGCAAATTGTGGCAATAGATCCGAGAGCCTGCGCGGCCAGCAAGACGAAGCAAACATGAACTCGTGTCAATGTTTGTAGGAGAATCATACCCAAACCGACCTGCTGGATCTCATCAAGAACACCCAACCAAAGCCAAAGGCATCGTGATATAAGGGCGCCAGAAGTCAGACCTCCGGCCCACGGAAGATAATAGCCAATATTAGACGTTCCCCACCACACTTGTGCCCATCGTGGGGCGCCGATACTCAGGCCGAAGACAGGTAAGATCCAAGAATGTTCTTTAGACAAGAACCGGAAGATGACCATCGCAGCGACCCAGACAATAATGAAGAAGAACACAACCAGCACAGCAACTTCCCATGTTTTGGCGTGATTGGAAGACCAGAGGAAGGACCAATTGCGACCGAATGCCGAAGCAAGGAACCAATTCTGGATAATGACCATGAAGAAGAACCAGAGAACAATGCGGCGGCGGAAAAGGGAAGTGTAGAAGAAGAGGATCTTTCCAGGGGCTTGACGGTAGTACTTGGGCAGACCTAGAGCAAGTAGCACTCCAATGATAAAGCACACTGCAGCAATGGGCATGACCACGGCCGTAAGTTTCCAGCTGCTCAAAGCGGCTGTTGAAATTCCTCCTACTTCCACTGCAGTGACCCTAGAACTCCAATACCAGAGAGCGACAGTGTAAATTTGTTGAAGTCCTTGGATAAGACTTGCGCGAAACATCCAGTCCTTCACCGGAACGGCACCCTGGTCGCCAAAATTGAGAGCAAAGAACAAAGATCCACTAGAAGATGCGGCAGAATATACACCTGCGGCGATATTCTGAGCCCATGTCTGACCAAGATTTGAAAGCGCATATGGCGAAACACCAATGATGATGAAGGCCATCGAGTATATAAACCAAGGAAGCGTGAGAACGATCACGGATGGGAAGCGGTAGAACAGGAACCACCAGACAATGGAAGATAGACAGTAAACAGCCGCAATGATATAAAGCTTGACGGCAGTTTCACCGACTGTGCCCACCAGAAGTGTGATTTGTGCCGAATTTGTCGCAATGATCTGGCCAAGACCCAAGAATAAGGCGTAAACTGGCCAATTTCCAACACGCCATCTCATGAATCTTTGGATGGCAATTGGCCTCTTATATCCAAGGCGAGAGAGCCATTGATCAATATCGTCTGATCCATTCGAATCTTGGTTATCGGAGGCCTGCGGGAGGCTGTTGCTCTCCGAGTCATCCACAACCTCTTCCAAGCCTGTTCCGGTCACGGGGCGTTCTTCAATTTTGGGCTGCTTCTTCAATTGTGCGTCGGTATACATGTTGAAAAATTTCTGTTCACTCTTCATCAGGTACACCTCGATACAGTGATCCGTAGCGGAGTTCTTCTTATTCAGATTGGCGAGCTTTTCCTCGAAGCGCCGCGTGAAATGACCCATGCTGTCTGTGAAGGTCGGGTCGACCTTTTGCAGGTGGAAGACAGGTTTTTCATGGTCTGCAACAACAGATGGCAATGAAAGAACAGAAACATTCTGTGGGGGTGTAACAAAATTGTACTCGCCAGGACTCGTATCGTGAGAAAGTCGTGGGGATCGGACTGGTGAGGAATCTCGGGAGACGAAACGAGTCGATTCTGTGGCCGATAGATTTGAATCGTTACGGGAGTGACTTCTGCTATCTCCAGAAGGTGGAATGACTTCCTGAGATCCGAGGGCACGCTTTACGGCGGCCACTGCCTCTTCGGGAGAAATGAAGTTCTCTTGGGGGGTGTCAATACCATCATCCTCGGCGTCCGTGGCATCCCCCTCTGTCGTTCTCTCAAGCATCTGGCTCTCTCTCAGCGACCTCTTGACCAGACGATTCCTTCCTTGTCCAGGCCCAGATCGTCGACCAAGTGACAACTGTCGACGGGGTGAATTTTTGCCGTTATTTTCGGTATCCTGCATTTCCCTGAGCTCGGCTGCCTGTAGCTCCAAAAGGGATGGTTGGACAAGCTGGGAGTTTCTCGTTTGGGGAGTTTCTGAAACCCCGAGTGTAGAATAACTCGACATTGGGCGAGGTCCAGAAGAGGATTGGAGGCCTTGTACATCCCAGTAAATATGCGATTCCCGTGATGGGCCTCTGACAGTGTCTTTGTTCTTGGCGTGATGAGTGTGAATCGACGTCCGTTGCAAAACCTCGAGCTTTCGAACCCATTCAAGAACAGGGAATCTTTGTTTGGCCGAGTTCAGGCGCATTTCTTCTCTAGTCTTTGGCGATGAATCTAAGGCGGATCCAATGGCGGTTCTCAATTGGTGCAAAAGATGGCGAGCCGAATCGGATTCAACAGTATACCACCATCCTGGCATCTGTCCAAGCCCTCCGATGCGTGCACCGATACCCAGAGCACCTTTGCGACCGAATTCAACCGCCACCAAACCGAATGGTTCATCTCGGGACGGAATCAAAGCAAAATCAGCCCCAGAGAAAATAAACGGAGGAAGTGCCGTAAACTCGGGCTTTGAGAAAACGCGACCGGGGAACATTTCCATGATACGCTCCAATTTGACAGCAGCTAATTTTCCATAAAGGTCAATGACGGGGCCGATACAGATTACCTGCACGTGAGGTCTAGCAGATAGAACACTGGGCAGAATATCGGCAATCAAGTCAACTCCCTTTTGCTTCGACCATCTTCCCACAAATACTAGGAGATCAGCACTGGAATCCTCGTTCAGGCCCGCCCATTTCTGTGCCTGGAGTTTATCATGGCTCGATTCTGCGTCCGTCTGGACCGAAACTTGCACATCTTCCTCCTTTGTATCCGCTGGATCGGGGTTCGGTAAGCTGCCGATGTTGTTCAAACTCCAGAAAATTGGGTATCTGGCCCATGAGCGTTTGCCGTATTTGTTAGATACACCGACTGCACCAAAGCCACGCTGGTGGAATCGCAAATAGCTTGCGCCGGTGTGGAGAAGATTGAAGACGTTTCCAAACTGACAATATTTGGTTGCGGTCTCGATCGAAAGATTAAAAACAGAACACACTTCTTGCTTCTCCTTTTGGGTCCGAAGTGGCCAAAGCCCTTGGAATTCGGCGTTGTGTAAGGACAAGCAAACTGGAATGGTTCGTGTGGGCAGGAGATACAGCGGAGCTAAACATCCATGGAAATCGTTGATGTGATAGAGATCGATATCGGGCGCTCGCCTGATTGTCTCTGCAATGCACTGATTCCAAGCAGAGTAGTAGATTGCCGAGGGTAGATCGTCCATCCTAGGGGGGGTAGACCTCAGCTTTCGTTTGCTGCCGGAACACCGGAGCATCCAGCAGAACATAGGTGATATTATCCACAACGTGGTACTGAACGTTGATCAGGTACGGTTTGTCCAAGATTGTCACCACGTATGGTTCAACCGGGGTGTCCGTAGGATAATCGACATCACCAACACATGGCACCACCCAGATGAGGTTCTGGTGCTTCAGATTCTGCCCCATGAGCTGGGCCATGACACCAAGGCCACCAATCTTGATCTTTATATTCCAGTCTTGGATATCATACTCCATGGTAGCAATCAAAACAGTGCGTCTCTGATCATTTGCGCCAGCCACGGCAATGTCTGTCGGTACGCCATTCTCAGAAAATGAGCTTTCAAGGTCCTTCTGTGTGGAAAGCCTATTTTTCACTCTGTGGTAAAGAGCCACAGGTAGCTTTTCATCCTTGACAACATTCCCATCTTTGTTAAGCTTGACACGGTAGAAGGTCTGAATGAAAATGAAAATTCCGGCCAATCCCATCAAGATCGGGACGACCCAGAGAAGAACATAAAGCACAAGTTGAGCCCATCCGCTTCCAATAGGAATCAGCTCATACCTCAGGTTGGCGTCGTTGAGAGAGATCTTCCAGCCAAGATGCGGGAATGGAGGCAGATTGGTGATGTTGATAACGTTGGATGACAGGTATGAGGGGGGAAGTTTTTGCACATTAGAAGAATTTCCAACGTCGCCGTAAACTTCTGTTGTGTCAGGAATACCTCCCTTGTCAATACCCCAGACGTTCAATTGTCCTATCGATGGCCACTCGTAGACGAAGTCGTAGTTCCAACGAGATGTCTCGGTGTCGTACTTCATTTCACTCGCCAACCCTTGGTCATATCCATATTGGTTGAAGGGGCCGTTGAACCACAAGTGAGGAAATCTCCGAACACCATCGCTTTCCCATCCAGAGTCACCTTCCTGGATGTAGTCACTGCTCCCGGTGAGTCTGGAAAAGTATTGCACTCGGACATGTGTTCCCTTCCACTTCTGCTTGTCTGTTCCAGTGAAAGCCGAGACATCAATGGTTGTATTGCCACCTTCATATGATGCCCACTTGGACCATGTACTTCCGAAATCGGTGGAGTATCGATATTTATCGGCACCAGCAGCACTATGCTTGACGAAGAATCCATCGTCAGATCTGTGAAGCAAGCTGGTGGAGTAATTGGAGAGTGGAGTTATGAGTGGATTGTTCTCGAGACCAACGCGGAAGAGGAACTTGTCGGTAGAGTTGGTGTAGACTCCAGACGAGGAAACATTAGCGACGGTAAGTTGATGAATGCCGTGGTGAACATTGGTCACGTTGGCGGACCAGGTCCACACAGTAGGGATCTCGCCGATGAAGTTGTTGCTAGTTGTTCGGGCGGATATCTTTTTGCAGCTAACACTGTCTTTGTCAAGAGAGGCGGTGATCCCCTTCTCGGTTGTCGAGTTCAGAGTGATCGCCTTGGTTATGCTGGTACATTCCATCTCTGTCGAGTAACCAAGTTCAATTGGTAAAGTCTCGCCCGTGTCTTCTGAAGAAATAAATCGAGAATCATGACCAGGTGAGAAGTCGGTGACAGTAGGGCCAGGCTCCACGAAATCGCTCTTCTTAACATACGCCCGATACTCCCAAGGAAGAAGTTCCATGCTCTTCACACAACCATAGTCGCTATCGGGTCCATCTTGAGGAGTGAGCTCGTCGTAAGGATAGAAAAGATTCTTCAACTTGGTCCCCGACTTGAATGGAGACAGCAGAGCAGCGCTTTTGTTACTGCAGTCACCACCATAGGTTTCTGTCGAGTTTCCATTTTGATACACCAGCCAGAGTGTCTCATTGGTTTCTTGTGCTTCTTTCTGGACACCTGGGAAGTAGCTTCGCAAGACTGACCAAAGACCCGTCACTGTGGGAGTGGTAGATGAACCAGGCAAAAATATATCCTTTGTCAGTTGGGAGATTGTACTGAGATACAAGCCATCATTTGCGACCGGATAATGCGCCCGAATCTCGAACATCCGCTTCATGATGTTGCGAAGTGGATGGGCAGGATTTCGCTGATCATATGTGACAGTTATGTCATTGCAACCATCTCGTCCCTTTTCAATCGGGAAATCGTAAAATTTTGACGTGTTCAGATTGAAACAACCATTTGTCCACCATGCGGTCTGGTAAGTCATGGGTTGCCGGCCAAAGAGATAATTCGATGCAGTTGCGTCAAACACATACATTGCCTGCTCTTCACCCCACAAAATAAGAGGAATTCCAGGCAGCTCCAGTGTGACAATGTAAAGACCCAGAAGATATTTCTCTGTGCCGTTCTTGATTGAAGGCCAGCGGAAGTTGTCCTGGTTGGATACACCGTACATATGCCTGGGATCCAATTCTCCTGTGAACGCATTGATGAAATCGTTCGTAATGAGCATTTCGTTCCACGCTTCGATGAAATCGGTCGGCAAGTCAAATCCAGCGACCAGATTACCATCCATTCCCAGAAACCGAGTCATTGAACGGTAGATTGTGTAATGGAATGCCGAGGCATCCAACGCTTGCAATCCATCGTCTCTCAGAAAGGCCGCATCTGAGTCATTTGTCAATTTGGCGCCAGCACCTGCTGAGTCTGGGCGCTGATTTGGTTGACGTCCGCGCCCAAGATAAAGACTTCCGAATGTATCTCCAGCCGTGATCTCGCCGGGAAGAAAGAAATTGTGTTTCCCGTACTTCTTCGCGCATTCTCGGTAGACAGCCGTGATCTCACTCAAGGGCTCGAGAGTTGTTTGCACAGCCTTATCGAAGCGAAATCCATCGACATCCAAGCTTGCAATTTGAGCACAGGAATGTTGAGTGATGATGTCGCGGATCGGTTTATGCCATTCACGTAAGCGATCCTGCACCGAGGCAAACTTTGTGAGCTGGCGCTGCCAGTCAGGGAAGTTTCCAAATGCCTCCAGCTCTCCAAACTGATCAAAATCTGAATTATAGCAGCCTGTCAAGTCCTCGGGCCCGCCTGATGTTATCGGGAACCCAGTCTCATCCCAGAACTTAGGAAAGTTACAGGTATCGTTATAGTCGTTGCCGAATTGGAAATCGGCGTATCTTCTCTCGCTGACCCATTCGACTTCGTATTCGTGAGGATTAAAATCGGCCGAATCGTTCAGGTGGCCTTTGAATCCGACCAGGTTACTCAGTCTTCATACCCGGTTAAGGTTAGCTTCTAGGCATCCAAAGTATTTCCAGAGATAGGACATCAACTTACGTAGCGACCGTATTGTCCACCAGGACGTACATATCACGCTTGTGGATCTCCGCAACGGTCCGCCTCCAGTCCTCTAGTGTACCATGATGCATATCCAGAAGGGTAGTGTCGGTCGGTGAATAGCCATCGTAGGCCCAGGGGAGGTTCATCAAATAGGTTCCGGCGAAGTAAATAGCCTATTCAGAAGACTGGATTAGCGATGGGACTTTCCTCACCAGAACCGACCTTCAACTTACCTTGAAACCCATTCCTTGAATATAATCCAGTGTGTCCAGCAATCCTTCTAAATCACCGCCGTGTCGCATTTGATTGGAGTCGATGACATGCTCAAAGGTAGTCCCGTTGATATCATCATTCGTTGGGTCTCCATTTGATATCCTGTCGAGGAAGATCGTGTAGACAGGAAAGCGCCAGTTGTCCGGTGATGGGTGGTATTTATGGTTCGGCCATTCTCCCCAGTAATCGATTGGGGCTGTAGCAGATTGGTTTTCGTTAACATTATAATCTGAAAGTGACTCGTCGTAAGGCCAGGACAAGACCAGTGTGCTCAAGAACGAAAGTATTAGCAACGCTGAGCGCTGCATGTTGCACATCGGGCGCCTGGTGAGCCTGCGAGAGATCCTGCCACAAGTAACTGTGTCACGATGAGAACGAATGAAGTTATCTTGATACGCTGAAAATGAAACAAAATCGAAAAAATAGGTTGGAAAAAGTTTAGGAAAAAGCGAAAGTGAAATGTATACGAGAATTAGATTCAGAAGACAGAAAGTACATGTCTACATCAGTCTACCTGCGACAGACGTTCCAAATTGAAATCTTTTCGAGTACTCTATACATGGCGTCAGACACTTATCGGGCCGAGCGGGACTGGTTGGAGTCGGTATGCTCCGCTATACAGGAAAGACCCACGAACCGCAACCCTATCGGCCAATCTGTATGGGCACGTCTTAGGTGGGTGTCTCGGATAGATCCCATGGAAGGATCCCACGCGGCTGATCGGTGAAAATATGCCGATCCAAAATTCAAAGCTCTTTGGCGAAGATACACCTGAGGCTGTCAATTTTACTTGCAAAAAATCTCTTGTTCCGAATTTTTTTTTCGTTCTTTATCTATCTGGTAGAAGAAAATCGTTAAATGAGTCTTTGCTTGCATCTTTCTATGGTTTTTTTATAAGCCGATTTTTTTTTCTTCCATTGTTTCACCGAATATCGAACAACGCTCCAACTTTTGCCCCACAGCTACAACTCCGTGTCTGAGGCGTCAGAAGCAGAAACCCGCTAACCCCCCAATACGTTTTGAGTGAGCCAGTAGTAAGGATGATAGATCTGGTTGCAAGGCTGTTGAACGGTTTTCTTTTTATAGAATCTCCACCGGCCTCTTCACCTCGCACTTCGCATATATTAAAAGCTTGAATCGGTAAGCCACCCGGCCCGATTCGCTTTCTGCCCCAGCCCTCTCGGCTTGCCTTGGAATCCCGATCCAAAGGTATACACGGATGCAAAAGAGCCAATTCCGGTCTATTTCGTAGTTCCAGACATTCTATGGGTAATTAAATATGTAAATGTTTGATTTTCAACTTTGATAATGAAGTTCTCGAAGAAGTTTATGTCTCACTTCGGATATGCAAGACGAATGCAGGATAAATGCATCTAGATCCTTGTTCAAAGTCTGATAGCTAACCGACCAATAATCATAGATGTGGCAGGGCTACAGATCAATGCACTGGAATGAATTACTCGTAAGATTGCCGTATCTTGAGCGTATTGGCCCGGGGTTGAAGCTAGGGAAGAATAGGACTAATAGAGCGAAAGCAAGACAGATAGGCTGTGGTGTGTCGCGTCAGAGTGTCCGTATGTGGCGGAGTGTGCGTATCTGAATCAATAGGAAAAATGCCTCACTAGAGCAGCACGAATGCGTGGAAAAAGGATGCAGAAGCGTGAAAGTAAAAGGTCTGAAACTGTGATAAGAACTTGAAAGCTGACAGTGGTGGAGTGGGTCAAGATTGCTCACCGGAAGGCTTACTCTGGCTATGATGCTAAATATCGCCACCATCTTCAACCGAAAATCCGATATGGTGTAGTGGCTAACATCGCCGTCTCTCACACGGCAGCCGGGGGTTCGATTCCCCCTATCGGAGTTAACTTTTCTTTTTAATTTCTTTTTAATTCCTATGGTTGCGTGCATGAAAGCTTTTTTGTGGTTGTTCTCTAATGGATTAAAGTAGCAATCCTTTTTTGCCAGGTGACCTCAAGAACAAGTTTCCAAGTCCTGGAAATTAGATACAACTTCAGTGGGCTTCCTGGTTTGAAGGTGGGAAAATATATATCGAATGGCTACCACGTGCGATCAGCCCTATTTACGCGCCGATGAGTTTAAAATTCACCTTGCCCCCCCCCCCCCGCCATTATGATTTCTATAGTCCTTTAAGTATTTCTTCTATTCTTTCTCTTTTCAATGGTTTAAGAGGCATCGACTTAAACGACCTTAATATCCGACCGGTCAAGTCCACGCGAGGCTCATCCTCCAATGTCGCATTCTCACGAAACCTTCCCGAAAGGATCGGCGCTCAACAAGCCTCTTAAAGCTGTGGAACAACAATAACCCGACTAAGTGGGACAACCCGCGGATTCAAAGATGCCTCCGCGAGAGAAGGTCATCTTCAATTGCCCTCAATTGTAGAATTGAAATCTGAAAAGACTGCCGTCGCGTCAATCTACACCTGTGTGGTTGATAAAGAGTACTTGGAGCTCAGGGATCGCATTTCCGGCATCAACATCCCCTTTAGGAAGCGTTCCGCGATCAGAACCCCCTCATTTCCAATTCAATTGCCATCAATTGAACCGAAGCAGCCATGAAGGGAATCATTGGCGCGACAGCGATTCTTGTCGCCGGCGCTACTGCCACTGGCACTTCGTCTGCCTCTGGCTCTGCCCCAACAGGCGCTGAATACGCGTCTGGTTTTGACATGACCAAGAGCTGGGCCAACCTGAGCCCATACAAGGACGCGACTAGCTTCGGCTTGCCTAAGGGTGTGCCTCAGGGATGTGAACTGTCGCAGGTGCATGTTCTACATCGTCATGCGGAGCGATACCCCACAGACTACCCTCTTGACGGGGCAGGCATGCAGGACTTCGCAGCCAAATTCACCAACTATAGCGAAGCCCACCCCGGCAAGAAGATTGCTACCGGTCCATTGAAGTTCCTGAATGATTGGGACTATGTCATCGGCTCGGATATTCTGATGGAGACTGGTGCTGCTACCGAAGCTACCTCCGGTGCCCATTTCTGGATCAAGTACGGTCGACTTCTCTATCGTCCTGACCGGGACCATGTTGCTGCCTGGAATGAATCTCTCAATGTCTGGCCAAATGGGACTGCCCGCCCCAAGCCTGTTTTTCGAACCACTTCCCAAAGCCGAATTTTGGAGAGTGCTCGCTGGTGGCTCAGTGAGTAGAAGCCTCACCCCCACCATTACCCTGAATAACAACTTACCCATTGATAGGTGGTTACTTTGGTAACAGCGGTGCCAACAGCTCTTACGATCAGTATGATCTGGTTGTCATTCCTGAGACATCTCCCTTCAACAACACTCTGGCGTCTTACGAGTCTTGCCCCGGAGATATGACTGAAGGGTAAGCAAGCCTACATCCCCCCCCCCCGCGGTTCGCCCCACGCGAGGAGGTGACGTTAATTAAAACGCAGTGACAATGCCGCCAAAACATTCATCTCACGATACACCAAGGATGCCCGTACTCGTCTTTCGCAGTACTTCCCCAAGGATTTCAACCTGACTGCGATGGACGTCCTGGCCATGCAAAACCTCTGCGCATACGAATACACCAGCTTCGCTGGGTCATCTTTCTGCTCGCTCTTTACCGAGCAAGAGTGGAAGGACTTCGCTTACAACGTCGACATCCAGTACTACGGCGATTACGCCTACGGCTCACCGACCGGCCGCGCCCAAGGCATCGGCTACGTCCTCGAACTGGCTGCCCGCCTGCAACATAAGCTGATTACCACAAGCGACACCAGCATTAACTACACCTACGACAACAACGAAGCCCAATTCCCCTTTGACCAGCCCTTCTACATGGACATGTCGCACGACGATATCATCCTGTCCGTAATCAACGCCCTCGGCCTCGATCACTTCAAATTCGGTCCCAACGGCCTGCCCAGCGACTTGCCCCATGCTCCATCCCAGCGCGCCTTTGCCCTAAGCGATATGACCCCCTTCGGTGCCAGACTGATGTCGGAGATCTGGTCTTGCCCCGCCAATACTTCGTTCGAGGAGTTGGACCCCGTCCTGTATACCAACCCGACTCTCAAGAGCGATGATACTACCAAGTACATTCGCTTTGTACTGAACGGTGCCCCGCTGCCGACTAAGGGCCTTGTTGGCTGTGAAGATGCTAAGAATGGGTTCTGCCCTGTGGATCGGTTCTTGCGTGGTGTTCCGACCCTTAAGAAGAATGCCCAGTACCAGCATGCTTGCTTCGGCAAGTATCCTACCGGCCACCAGGTCTCAGATGGTGTTCCCCGCTCTTAAATGAGTGCTGTGCCATTTGTGATGACTGGCAGGTGCATGCCTTGAAGGAATTTGAGTCCAGTGCGCTTGGAATCTCTTTTGCACAGTATTGCTTTACCTTGTACATTGTCTAGTAATAAACCTGAGGCCACCTTGTCTCCTCTGGAGAACTTTGTGGTACTATTTGAATGGATTTCTTTGAATTCAATACTAAATTTCTTCATGATCAGGTTCAAAAGACCCTGCTACTCAGGTATCTGATATGTCTCCCATTTGGTAAAAATAACCGTTTTGGTCTTAGTGATTTCCAAGGATCGGAGTCGAGTTTCATCAAGCTTGTTGCTAGGCATTATCTATGGATATAGAAACCCTACTTTGAGAACGCGTCTGAGGCTGTTCGTGAGCGCCTTTGCTGAACCACAGCCTGAATACAATCCCAGGGGTCAGCTAAAATACAATATGCATATATTTCGTATAGGCTCCTCGTGTAAAATAAATATGATCCGGAAATTAGAATTGTGCGTAACAAGTTTCTTTATCCGATCCGCTCATTCCAACGCGAACCCTCGGCACGTGACATCCACGCCGTTTGTCGGATGTCGCGGTTGTTTCGATTCACCCGACTGTCATGCAGTTTATGACTTGACTTGATCCCATTTGACCTTTTTCTCGACACATTATTCTCAGAAATATCGTTTCTTTATAACTACCTATGAAAAGCTCGCCAGTATGCAAAATTGAACATTGACGAGGAAGCTAGGCTTGGTTCTGTGGCGCGCTCCTTGTGGCAGCTCCTGGAAGACTGAAAGAGATGCTAGTTTTATCATAGGCTTCCAAGGATGGAAAAGCAGCAGGGCTCTCGTGTTGAGAAAATCCGCCCTGCCAAGGTTAGTGGACCCAAACTGGAACAGTCGCGTACATTTCATCTAACCCGGTTCAGGCATGCAATACTTGCCGACGAAAAAAGGTCAAGTGTGATGGGAAACGGCCAACTTGCTCGTCATGTATCATTTTCAAACTCCCATGCGGCTTCGAGGACGCAGGAACAAAAACGAGTCGCCCCAGCAGGTGAGTCAAATTTCCCCTTTTTTGCGTGCCACCTCAATGAAACGAACGAGACCAACTTGTGATTTCATAGGGAATACGTGGAGGATCTCGAACAGCGTGTTAAGCGGATGGACGATGAATTGCAGCGGCTGAGACAAAATGAGAAATCGCCTCAACAGACTGGTCATAACTTCACACTTCATCAGCCCTCCACGGACAGGCCTGAAAATGCCGTGTCTGATCATTTCGAAACACGGAAAAGGGGAGAGGGTACGATGGAACCATTTCCCCCGAAAATGAACCTTCTCAGGCCGGTCTGGACACGTCTGATCAGCCATCTTATGTTCTACGAACGCAGGACGGCAAGATGCGCTTCTTCGGTACGTCTATCTTATCACCCCTGACGTTCAGATTTTGACTTAATAATTCAGGAGCATCTTCTGGATTTGGAGTGCATCACAATCAAGCTTCCAGGATCCCAAAGGGCAAACCGCCAAAGCTGGACCGGGAGCATGCGGCCCGATACAGTGCTACCCAGTGGCCGTTGACAAACTGGATTCCAAGAATCCTTCAAGACACCTTTGAGCATCGAGCCGCTCAGCCTTTGCCATCCAAGGATGACACAATGAGTCTGGTTTCCGAATTTCTTTCTAGCTTCAACCGCACTATTCCGCTGGTCGATGAAATATCTCTGATACGTTTGGCGGAGAGACAATTCTCCTGGAATCCGGATGATGGTCCATCGTCATGGATATTGCTAAACGTTGTGATGGCCTTTTCTTACAGAGAGCGAGCGCAAGAGCCCACTGATGCCAGCAATAACTGGCAAAAATCACTGGGCCACGTCAAAAATGCAATGAATGTGGTGGTAGATCTTTTCATGCGGAATGCCGACCTCCCTGCTGTACAAGGACTTCTGGGGCTGGCCCTTTACTTCCAAGGCACGCCTAATGCTCAAGCCCTGTTCATGTTCGCCGCATCGGCAATGCGCCTGGCCCACTCTATTGGATTACACCGAAATACTACGTCTGGTTTCACACTTGCGGAGATTGAAGAAAGACGAAGAACATTCTGGATATCATTTATTTTGGATGCAGATATCTCCCTTCGGGTTGGGCGCCCGCCGGCTCAGGACATGGATGATTACAACACGCCGCTGCCAGCCGAGTCGCCTCACGATGGCCGGGGTATCATTTCTATTAATGGGACCTCGATCAACTTCTTTCGTCAATTGGCTCAATTTGCAACAGTACAAAGACTTATCTATCGGCACCTACAGACCGTGGCCGTCATCCAACAACCCAAGGAGGTAGCCTTCAGATCGGCCAAGGCTTGCGAAGAAGCCTTATTGCAGTGGAAAACTCCTATTCTTCATATCTTTGAACCAGAAAAGATATTTAATTCCGAACCAAATAGCTCTAGGGAACATATCCTTCGATTGAATCTTGCGTACAATTGTTGCTATGCAAATCTCCGCCAAATGCCTTTGGTTACGTCCTCTGCCAACGACTCATCCAATGAGTCCCAATCCCAATCCCAATCCGAGGTTGACAAAGGCGTTGCAGCACTCTGCGTACGCTCCATTGATTCTGCGCGATCTGCCCTTTCTTTACTACCGTATGTCCGTTTGCTGGCATCTGACTACAGATGGTGAGTTGGTTAATAGCGACATTCAATGTTCACAAACACTATCTAATCTCAAATCAATAAGGAACGTGCTCTATTTCTTCGCCACAGCAGCTGTTGCATTGTCATCCGAAATTCACACTCATCCTGCCCATAGGGATTCCCATCGTGATCTAAGCATGATTAGCGAGGCGACAAAATTCCTCGCAAATGTGTCTTGTGAAGAACCAGGCACTTTTGTCGATTTCATATTAAGTGTATGCTCCGATTTAGAACGCTCTGCCAGATACGCTATCCACCAATCACAGAACGATGCCATTGATCCAGAAGCAACCAATCTCAACGAAAATGCCAGCAATGCAGACAGTACTATGCCTGAGCAGCAGCAGCAGCCTAGTGTCTACCCTGACCAAAGTGTCTTTAGTGAGGCTGGTTTTCTTACTGACACTAACCCCGAGTTGTTCAATGCACAATGGTCAGCCCCACCGTTCTGGAATTTGCAAGATATGTTTATCGGCATGCCATCATCTTCGAACTGAATAGAGGAAGAATAAATGCATTTATTTAAGACTTTCGACTTGATTATCATTTTACGGCTCGACGCCACGGTATAGAAACCATGGACACTTTCTTGATTGAAATGGCTTGATAATTCGATGATACACGTTTTATGGTAGTCAACCTGTTAGATATCAATGGCCCTTCATATTCAAAGCCAAGTTGACGAGCGATCATGATGGCAATGAGGCACGGGTGGTGTTGTCCACCTTGGTGTTGATTCCTCATCCCCGAGTCGCGCAACAGGCTTCAAGATAGTCTGGCGTTTCCAGAACCCCCCTTCGAAGGTTGTCATCAGCTTTGAGTCTTCATCCAGATAACCAGGAAGAGCCCTCTGCCACCCATTCACAACCGATACCAAAACCTCCGAGACGTACTGGTCCGGGGTAGTGTCTGGGAACGCAAGGCGCTTGGCGGTATCTTGGACAACATCGATCGGGTACAAACCCACTTCCTGGTCCAGAGATATCGCATCCGCAGCAACAAGGGAGCTAGTAACGTGATATGAGCCACCATTTATCGCGCGATCGCGAATTGCCATCATGGCTGCCAATGCGCCCACAATTCCAGTAACCATGTCGGAGACCGGGAGAGGTGGTAACACACTCTTTCCTTCTTCGTGACCCTGCGATCTGCCCATAACATATGAGCTTCCAGATGCAGCATCTCCGATCTGCTGCCAGCCCGGTCGTGCGTGGAATGGACCATCCGGACCGTAGGCATTTTCGTCAACATAAATGATTCCCTTGTTTCTCTTGGCGGCTAATTCCAAAAGATCATGCAGGCCGAGACCTCTGTTTTTCAAAGATTCCATTCGGAAGCCTTGAATGAAGACGTCAACATCGGCAAGAAGCTCTTGGAGACGACTCATGTCTTCCGGCTTGGTAATATCAAGGTCAATAGTCCGTTTTCCCGCGTTCAAGACAAGTTGCAACACCTATGCCATGTGTATATTGTCAGTCTTATGCCGTGATCACCCGGGGGCCACAATACAACTTACATTTAGGTCGGTCAGTCTGCTACAGTTCACACGGATAACATCGGCTCCGTAAGATGCCAGCGTGACACCGATCTGAGGACCGGCAATAATTCGAACCATCTCCAGGACCTTGATTCCGGCAAGCGGGCGACGATCAGGTAGACCCTTGGCGAGCGGTACTGGGGGTGTTGATTTGGCATATTTTTGTTCGGCAAAATTAACCAAAGGGTGCATATTCAGCCTTTTTCCCATCTGTGTCTTCCTCCAGCCTTCAGGTGAGTAGCAAATACTTCCACAGAGGCCATGTCGCACGTTGTGCATCTCAAGCTCATCCGAGCTCCACTGAAGGATATGATTTTGAATGTAGTCGTAATATTCCTGGGGCTTGTCAAATTTGACGCTGGCGTCAATTCCCATAGACTCGAGTGTTTTTGCAGCATCCAAAGAACCATGCAACTGATACCAGACTTTAGGATCTTTGGTCTGGAAAATCGCCGTGGTTCGGCCCGCGATTCCCTGGAATACACCATGCTCATAGTCTTTGGGAAATAAAGACCCCATTTTCCCCGACTTCATCCATGCCGACATGTCCAGGCCTTCGATATGGGTGGTGAAGACGGAACCAAGCCAAATTCCAGCGTGGTCAGTGTCCACCGTGACACTGCCCTCTGTCACAGGCTTTCCATCACGAAGCTCCAGCAACTCATTTCCGACCAGACCGGCCATAGCATGAAGCACGGCACTCGTAACAGCGGACTTGATTGGACCTGGAACTATGGGCTTTGGTTGCCCCTCAAAGTGAACGGTATCCCATGCGGCCTTGTTCTGGGTGAAACCAGGTGTTTTGGACGCGATGATCTCAAATACCCGTTTGGCATCTTCCGGTACGGGAAGGATAGTCTTGTCGATAAATGTGCCTGGGCCGTACACATCTGTGCCGGGAATTGTTTCGTGGGGAATGGCCATGTTGGGTAAAATGGGTATGTCCGGATGTTCAGTAGGATGGAGAGCGTTAATGCTGATCGAGCTATGAAGTGAGAGAGATCTGCCACGGAAATATGGGGTTAAAAGGGTTAACAGTAAAGTTTACATTAATAATTACCAAAGTGAATATTCCCCCACTACAGTAGAAATTGTGCGCTATTGTTTTCTCTCGACCCCCCACGGCCCGTGGAGCCAACACTCCGTGGGCCACGGGTAAAACCGCCCGATAGCCCGCCTCAGTCCACCTAATACAAGGGGAGACCTGATGTATGACTACCTCGGTCGAATCGTTGCAAAGTATCGCGTTACCCCACAGTGCCGAAAAAGCAGTCCGTGGGCCTCGGACCACGGATTTTTGGATTCCTCCTTGCTTTCTGAAGGTGTTGAAGCACGGATCCATGGATATAAGATGCGCCTTGGGCCTCGATTGAGAATTGCTGTAGATCCTTTCAACGTGTTCCATCAGTTTATTCAGCCTCAATACTGATCTTAAATTCGAATCTGCTCTCTGTTATCGAAATGGTACTTCATACTGAAAAACGACCTGTGAAAGTAGCCAACTGTTCCGGCTACCATGGTATGTTTGCGTAGTTTACCCCACTAAACACCTTCGGGCTCTATGTTAAATCTTGCGGGGTAGGGGACCCGGCATTCGAAATGTACCGACAGGCTACACTAGGCGATGTTGATTTTATTACTGGCGATTATCTTGCAGGTTCGTATTTATGCCCGACCCTCCATCGATTACCTACCGGACTAGCAGCTGATATAGTATCCCAGAGGTAAATCTAGCCAACAATGCCCAGGCTTGGAGAAATGGAGAGCATCCAGGATATGAACCAACCGCCTGGGATGGCCTTCAGCAGACAATAGATGTTATTGCCCAAAAACGGATCCGAGTTGTCATCAATGGGGGTGCTCTCGATCCCAAAGCACTTGCACTGAAGGTGGAGACTTTGGTTAGTGAATGTTCTTTCTTGAGTCGAAATCTATCTGTAAAGAATTGGAATTCATTAAATGACTCTTTCGACTTAATAGGTTTCCGAAAAGAAACTCAATCTTCGCGTTGCGTATCTCTCGGGTGATGACTTATATCCAACTCTGGGCCCAAATATGCCAACCACAAAAGATGAATTACGCCACCTAGACTCTGCCAACACTTCCACAGCACCAGCTGATCTTACTTATGCCTTTCTCAACAATGGTGGGAACCCAGTTCCAATGATCTCTGCACACGCATATCTCGGAGCTCGAGGAATTGTTGAAGGTCTGCGACGGGGAGCTGACATTGTCATCTGTGGCCGAGTTGCTGATGCCAGCCCCGTTATTGCTGCCGCTTGGTTCTGGCACGGCTGGTGCGAAACAGACTATGACGAGCTCGCAGGATCTTTGATTGCCGGCCATCTCATTGAATGTTCGGCATACGTGACGGGTGGTAATTTCGCTGACTTTGATAATTATGACCTAGATAGCCTTGTGGAGCCAGGGTTTCCGATCGCTGAAATCGCTAGGGATGGCACATGTGTGATTTCCAAGCATCCCGGAACAGATGGGTTCATCAACGTGGATACTGTTCGTTGTCAATTCTTGTACGAACTACAGGAAATACGTACCTCAACAGCGATGTCAGCGCTCATATCGCCGACGTACATGTTGAGGAGGCTGGGAACGATCGGTATGTGTTCTGTGGATGAAGCGGCTGCCTTCTTGAAATCGTCTTGGATTTCATTCCAGTTAAGTATACCTAAACTGATTAATAAAACTACAGGGTATTGATATCCGGCATTCGAGGATCACCGCCACCGCCGACAACAAAATGTGCGATCTTTTACCAAGGGGGATATGAAGCCCAGCTTCTTCTCAATGCGACTGGTTATGGTACTCCCAAAAAGTGGGATCTTCTGGAAAAGCAACTCCGTCACTTTATTCCAGCAGATATCATGAATGATCTGGAAACATTAGAGTTTCAACGGTAAGCAACCGAGCAAATCTAAAGTGGCTTCATTGGGGCGCATGATAATGCTAACATATGGAACTAGAGTCGGAGTCACCGCTGAGAATCCAAGATCTCAGCTAGACAGCACAACCTACCTCCGAGTACTCAGTACGTCTAGAAAACAGAGTGCTGTAATTTCGGTTGCAAAGGCAATGGGAAATATCTCTCTCAAGCATTTCTCTGGTACGTCGAAGATCCGCTATATTTGTACATAATTCATGAGGGAAAATAGAGAAACACTAACAATATGATTTCAACAAAGGCTTCCACGCTTCGCTGGATATGCGAACAGCGATTCCCCGACCATTTCTTGCCTACTATCCTGCAATAGTCAGCCAATCAGGTATCAACGAAACAATCAACTTCATCGACGGACCGAACAAGATCTCATCTTTCGGGACCGGGCACCCAGCCCGATATGAAGAACTTGGCACGCGCGATACCTACGACCCCAAGGATCCACAGACCTACACTTGCGATACTAAACAGATTAGACTAGGGGATATCGCCCTAGGTCGATCAGGAGATAAGGGTGGGAATCTCAACGTGGGGTTCTTCCCTAAAAGCCCTTGTCATTGGCCTTGGCTGCAGGATTACATGACCAAAGATCGCATGCGCCAGCTTATTGGAACAGACTGGGATGACAGTTTCTTCATCGAGCGTGTTGAGTTCCCTCATATACACGCTGTGCATTTTGTTGTTTACGGAATTTTGGGTCGCGGTGTGAGCAGCTCTACCCGCCTTGATGGCTTCGGAAAGGGCTTCTTGGATTATGTCCGGGATAAATTTGTTGAAGTGCCCGTTGATATTTTCCAAAATTGAACGTCATTGAGTTGGTGCATACTGCCTCAGTATTGAATAAAGCGTGAATCGAACGTAGCTAGAAATATTTACATATATCAAAAATACACCGCCTGATCCAGATCATGCGACCATACGCGACCTCCACTTCAAAACGGGCAAAATTATTTCCACCGCCTAACCAACAGAGCCGCACTAAATGAGCTAATATTCAGCTGTGAAAACTCACCATCAATTCAATTTACTTACCCTCTCATTTGTCCATATAACCAGCAAAATGGCCGTGGAGAAGAGGAACGTGGTATTCTTGGCTATTGTCCTCGAGATCGAGGGACGCGAAGATATCACACTTGACATTTCTACTCCGGACTCGCGCAAGAAGCTATCCGAACACCCCGTTACCCTCAAAGAGGGCGCTACCTACCAACTGAAAATTGTCTTCAGGGTGCGATTGGATGTCATTCGTGGTTTGAATTACCTTGAAGAAAAGAAACGCCAGGGCATTCTCATCGAGAAGAGCGAAACTCTCATGGTGAGTAGCGACGTCATCGTCTGGATAAGTTGCAACTAACAGAGCCAATAGGGTGCATATGCCCCTGTTCTAGAGGGCCAGCCTGACTTTGAAGTGACATGTGAGTTATTAAACACCTAAAGGCTGCCCTTATATGAAACTAAGACCTTTCTATCAGTTGGTGGCGAAGAAGTTCCGTCCGGCATGGGGGTCTTTGGAAGATATGATGTAACGTCCTCTTTTGCGGACGAGAAAAACCATTATCTTGACGTCCAGTGGGCCTACGAGGTCACCGAGGACTGGTGAAATAGGCCAGTTCCAGTTATACATGACGATAGCATCGCATTTCTGGAAAGTTATGCTGCGGATGCTTAACGAGAACATTGAAAGTTTTTGCGTGATTCATACATTTAATACGTACGAGTAGAAAGACGACATACATCAAATATGTTCATGGGGCGATATTATGGGCCATCCAAGGGATAGCGAATTACCAGTCTCGCACGTCGGTTGCACTGCTATTCCCTTCGCCACGCGTCATTCGAGCATGGTATTCCAAGTTATTTCACATACTAGTAGGTTACAATATAAGCCCCAAACCTGGAATTGGCCTTCCCGGGTTTTACACCATGACATGGCCTAATTTTCGGTTATACGTTATGAGCAGTACTCTGGACCCCGTGAAAAATATTCCTGAGAATTATTGCTCACAAGGTCACTTGCCTCTTACACTCACGTCTGGTCTGTGCATTCAGCCCCCCAACGGTTACATCTCCTGAGGTCCGGGGGCTAGTATTGAGTCATAGCTCACTGGCACAAAATAGTATATGCATGAAACGGAGTACTTCATAATACTCCGTAGAACATACTTTGATCCCCTTTGCGCCCCAAATGGTCCCGCACGAGGTGGAGCAGAAGCATCTGGTTTTTAATTATGATTGGATCAGTATGATCAGTCGATCATGCCTTTTCCAGGGTAGCAATGCGAGGGCCAATGGTAGACGATCATAACAGCCGGGCCACATTGAGTTCTTCCCCACGCCATCTTTAGCCGAGAAATTGTGCGACTATAACTAGGGTAGAGTTGAAACTGACATATACGGTGACCATGAAATCCGCCCATGACGATCTATTATCACAAATACCAGACGCCGGGATTATGAGGCCGTGGGATATACCCCGCACAATGCAGGTACGCTCACTTTTATAATTACAAAGAGTTATCAACTTTGGAAGAAGCAATTGTTTTACACCCCCATCGACTATTTTGAGTTTTACTCAACATACTCATCTATGATTCTGTGCGGGCATGTTCTATAACCATAGAAAGTTCTTGCCTTTCTCAACGGGTTGAAAACTAAATAATCAGCCATGTTTTAGCCCCCAAAGCATGCAAGTGGTGCTAAGCTCAGGAGAAGGCTGAAGGATTTGGCCCCAGCCCCAACCCACTGGCAAAGACTTAGCCTAACTATGGGTATACAAAATTTGAAGTGAGAAGGATCTTTCCTTGAATTTAATCCCCACAGTGTCCATAATGCCGTAGAAAACAATATTTAAGCCGTAGCATGTCTCGAGGCCTCTGCTCCTTGGAATTCAATTCAACGCAAAACTTTTTGAGTCCCTTCAGCTCCGCCTTTCTAGGCTCTGAAAATGATAAAAAGCTCGGTTCCCCTGGCCATACTTGCGGCAGCTGCTATCGGACCTGTGTATGCGCTTCCTGGAAGGAGCCAATCCGTGGTAAATGCGAGAGATTCTACTATTACATCTAGTACTCCTGCTACAACTAGTGCCCATATTACAACTACAGAGGCGGCAGCTGTTGCCACCGAAACCATCATCATTGCAGCTCTCGGCGAGGGTGAGCATATTGCAGATGGAAATTCAAAGTGGTTGACCTACTGGATCACTTCAGGGGCAGAACCAGACTGGTGCAATGATGCAAACTCTAGCCACACAATCACGGATGTCACTGTCAAGAACAATGACCCGCCACCTACCATCTTCTACGGCAGTGATGACAATGACCCTGACTATATGGATGGCTGCTCATTTGATTCTGCTGCAGCCACCTGGGGATGTTCTGGTTGGAGTGCCAGTTGTGATTTGATGCAGACAGCACTAAACCGCCGAATTAACATTGCGGGCAACATTCTTCACGGTAAAGCGCTGGCTACATGTGATAAAATGGAGGTTTTGGAACTTTACCAATGTATTCGAAATTCATCCTCGTCCACGGCCTCACAAACTATCGAAGCCCCTACCTCTGCTACGACAACTACGGCAAACCCGGCGTACACCGCATCCTGCAATCAAAAATATAAGGATTTGAGCCATTGGAAATCGGAAAACATGGATGACTTCCTCAAGGAGTTGTGAGTTGACATATCTTGTATTCTTCACACGTGAGCTATATAGTTAAACTGACAAAATCTAGGGATGAGAGTATTCCTACGGACTATGACGGGTCCTTCATTGATTTTCTTAATACTAAGATTGATGGAACACACTCGCTTGAGTGCGACTTGTAAGATCCTGCCAGTCCCTTTTCCAATCGCCTCTTTTGGCCAGCTTCGTTGACCAGAAAATAAAGTGGGGATGATGCAACCAATTGCCAGGCAAGCGATACTTCGTGTGCTGAAGGAGACAATGCTCGTTACTACTTCATTCAGACAGCAGTAGAGCATTATTTCAAGTGGGTGACTGATATCTTGAACGCCATAGAGAGTGTCAAGCTTGACTTTGCGGCGGACTCTCTCGATATGACCCAAGATTTTATCAGAACAGATCTTCCCGATGTAAGTAATTTGATTGTTTATACTCTCTTCATATGCCTTGGAGTTGGTCAGAGTGCTGATTTCCTTCAAAAAGGGATCCGACAGCCTTGCTATGTTCCTACTTGCTGGAGTTCTTGGTTCCCTCGGAGGTCTATTAGGTGCCGCCGCAGAGGGCGTCCCTTCTTTAGGGGCGGCTTCTGCAGTAGTAGGATCAGCTAGTGGAGATGCTACTGTTGCAAACGGAGTCATCACCAGCGCGGAGGAGACCGCAGCCCAAGTGTAAGCATCTTCACCAAGGTTCAAGTTGGTTTACCCGGTACTGACACGTCCAAGGATTCAAAATGAACTCGATGAACTCGCGGGTCTCCAGAATTTAATCAATAATACGATCACTACCACCTCTACGATCATTAAAGATTGGGGAAACAATATCCTCAACGGCAAAATTAAGGATCAAAAAGCCAGCAGCAGCTTGATTCCGCATACAGCCGTGGGCGTCTTTACAGGCGGAGGATTCGCTAGCGATCCGCTGAGTAGCGACGTGATCAGTGGCATCCACAAATCTGTTTACAAATATATGTGGTCCACTGCTATCGGGTATCTATGGAATAGCCAGAATATCTATATCATCAAGCTGTCTAGCGACCTCGGGACGTGGGGGAAGCCGTGCGACATACATCTTGACAAAAACATGGCAAGAGTTTGTGATGGAGACACGGCCTATCTCTTTGGCTTCCCCTGGAGTGAGCAACAGGATGGACCCATCTACGGGGCTGATGATGACACTTTGGCTGCTTACGACCTCACTCTGCTGGAGTTGGCCAAGGGAGCCAAGAAGACACAGGATACGTATGGGTTTGCCAAAAATATTGACGATTCGAGCAAGTCCGCCATTACCAAGAATTACGAGGATCCTTCTTCGTCTACTGATCTTTTCGTGGGAATTCCCCTCTGCGATCTTGACGCAATTGAGGACTTTTGGAGATCCCACAAAGATGATTGGGATGGTATTATAATGACTGCACAGGTTAAGCTACCCTTTCACCTCTCCACTTGTTTTAATAGTATACTAATTTCGCGTCCCTCAGGGTACTGCTCAATACATTGCCCAACAAAGCTGTGCGCAATACAATATCACAATCGACAGCAAGACTCAAAGTTGGCCTCTCAGTGAGAAAGATTTTCCAACAAAACGGCTTTGGCTTTAAGCGGATAGGCTCAAAGAAGTTGAGCTTTATAACTATCCAAGCTTTAGTGATATGGAGCTCAAAGTTCAAGCAGGGTCCAAATTGACTTGGGTTTTATTTGATTTATGTGTGATTTATGTACTACTTATCTTTCAATAATGGCTTGGATAGGTACTGGGTGGATGAGAAAAAACTACAATTATAAGTTTGTGAGCATCCCAACCAGTATCCGAGAAGATATTCGGAGTCGTTACTAGTAGGGTAACAAGTCCATTCTTACGTATAAAGAGGGATGTCTGCAACTTGAATATAGCTATATAGCCCGAAAGCTCGACACTACTACTAGCGGATAACCAATGGGCAGAAAGAACTTGTATTCGATACAGAGACAGATGCAGGGCCTATAGAAAAACAATATGAAACATGCACCCTGGCAACAGAAGACTATCTTTAGCGCTTCTTGATGCTGACATCGATATTGCTAATTGCCCACAGAGCAATGAAAACGGAGAGCAAGCCACCGAAGAGGGTCAGCGGCTTGCGCAGGGCATCCATCAAGGTGTAATCGTAGGTCACCTGTGTCATTATTAGCTATGTTTGAGAAAAGAAAGAACCTTTCGAGTCGAGTGGGAAACTTACAATCAATTCCGCATCCCGCGCCTCATCAGTCAAGCCGTCAACCTCCAGGGTCAACGTAGTCCGGCCAAGGGTATCCATGAAAGTCTTGAAAGAGGAAAGACTAGCATGGATCTGGTTCGCGCCGGGAAGACCATTGCTAGAAGAGCCCTCGGCAGTTTGGAATCGGACATTGTGCGCCCCTTCGGGAAGCACAACGCGAACGACAACACGCTCGTACTGAACGCCCTCGGATGCCTTGGGTCCCTGGATGAAGGGAACCTTGAGAACCCATGAGTCGGGCTTGGCAGTCTCGCGCAGGAACGCGGCCAGATCGTTGTTCCAGCCGACCTTGAAGCTGTAGTTCCAGCCACCGAAGATGGGGTAGCGGGGCTTGAGCTCCAGGTTTCCGGCGGTCTTACCGTTACCGGGGCGGTAGCGGCTGGTCGAGACATTGCCAATGTCGTCAATGAAGTAGGGGTCCACGGAGCCGGGCTTCAGAGGGTATGTGATCTCACGGACAGCAGAAGTCGGCGCGCGCTGGTAGTTGGCGAATGTCCAGTCAACACGAGAGAATTGGCTAGTCAATTCGGAGCCGTTGTTTCGTAGCCAGTAGCGGTCCTCGGTGGCCAGGTTCCCACCCCAGTGTGAGACTTCCAGATCACGCTCAAGCAGGTGCACGGTAACGACGGGGTTGGTGAACTCGTAGCGGACGGCGATCGGATACTCGGTGCCGGGAACGACCTTGGCCGTGTCGTAAGGCCCGTAGGTGTAGGTGGCGCCCTTGCGCTCGGGGTCGGCGCCAGACTTGAGATCCGAGGTGGTGGTATAGTCGGGGACATCGGTGCTGGGGAACTTGACCTTTGTCTTTTGGGTGATAGTTTGGTAGGCGGAGGGGACGTAGGCAGAGAAAGCGTAGTGGAGATATTGCTTGTCGCTCTGGCCGATAGTCGCGGGGCGCGGGCTCAGCGAGTTCAATACGGAGTAAGAGATTCCCAGGGTGATCTGAGATTTCGGGGCCAGAGGCTCGGGAAGGTGGACAATGAAGTACTGGTTACCACTGTTGAAAGTAAAGTTAGCGATAGTTCCAGAGCTCCAATTACATGGAAATTGTAATGCAGCCATTGTATGTCCTTCTTCGGTTCAATTGGTGCGTACCTGGTAGAAACAGCTTCAGTCGCATCGACCACAAATCGGCCCTTGTCGGTCGCCTTCTTATCTCGGACCTCGAAGCCACCTACTCGCTCGAACACATCTGAAGGGAAGGGAATGTAGTAGTCGGTCTGGGCCTGCTTGTCGATATTCTCCACGACAACATTGATAGTCTCGCGCACATAACCCTTCTCCAAATTGGTGTTTCGAACGAGATTGGTGTTCTTAAAGACCTGTTGGGGCTTGAAATCGGCTGGGAGAGCAAGTCGGGATGGTGATGTAAGGTTGGTTGCGGCAGCCAGGCTGGACGTCAATAGCCCCAGCACTGTGGCAGTGAAAAACCTCATGATGACTGAGGGAATCACGCCGAGACAAAGTCAATTGCGAAAAGGTGGGAGGGGTTGGAGGGGGTGGTTGATTGAACCAGTCAAGGTGGATGGAAGCTGCTGAGGTGTCCCCAGTCTATCAGCTATCAACTATCGCTACGGCAGGCGCGGCGGCCACGAAGCGCACCTCCGCGCGCTTATCGGCGATAACAGCTTCTCCTCTTTTCTATTGCTACCCTGGAGAGCTCTCTCACCTAGTACTCTGCCCACTCCATATCTTCCACAATGTTGGTCAGAGCTGCTCTACGCTCCTGCTGGAGGCAGTCTCCACCTCGGATTCTTGCTCGTCAGCTCCATAACCTACACAAACACCCACAGAGTCGGTTCTTGAATGTATCCGAAGAGGTGCGCGATGGTGTCGCAACAGGAAAGCCAGTCGTTGCGTTGGAGACGACGATATATACGCACGGTAAGCTTCCCAACTTGACATTTTCCTGCGCTGAGTCTAGTTTCCTACACTACTACACATGCTAGAATGCTGAACTAATTGAACCAGGTTTTCCTTACCCTGAGAACATCGCTTTAGCAACTCTGTTGGAGTCAGTTGTTCGGGGCAATGGCGGTGTTCCTGCAACCATCGGCATACTAGGAGGTGTTGCCAAGGTTGGCATGAGCCCTGAAGAAATCATCGAGCTGGCCTCGACCGCAGATAATAAGTCTGCCTTGAAGGTCTCCCGCCGGGATTTGGGGTATATCTGTGGAATGGTAGGTTCCCCGCATCAAGCTTGGCACGCGAGAACAAAACAGCTAATGATAATCCAGGGCTTGGCTGGAAGAAAGATTCATGGTGGTACAACCATCTCTGGCACTATGATTCTCTCTGAATTGGCAGGAATTAAGATCTTTGGAACTGGTGGACTAGGTATCTACACCTTATTGTCTTTCCTTGAAATCAGGCTAACATTAGCTAACAGGCGGCGTTCACCGCGGTGGTGAGAACTCAATGGATGTTTCCGGTATGCTAGTCCTCTTTTAAATCTCCTCACGAGTGTACTTCACATACTTGTTCTAACGCTTGCTTCAGCCGACCTGACTGAACTGGGACGGACACCAGTCACCGTCATCAGCTCCGGGTGCAAGAGCTTCCTAGACATCCCCCGGACACTAGAATACCTTGAGACAGAAGGTGTCTGTGTAGGCACATTTGCCGATGGGCGTGATGGCCCTGTCGATTTCCCTGCTTTCTACACCCGAGACAGCGGAGTGCGAAGCCCTCGTGTCATCCAAAATGAAGCCGAAGCCGCCGCCATCGTCTGTAAGTTTGACTTATTTAATATTCCCCCATCATCCAATTGACTGTTTTCCAGACGCGCAATCCAGACTCCCAGTCACTTCTGGAATCCACTTTGCGAACCCCGTTCCTTTGGAATACTCCGTGCCCAAAGCGGAGATGGACCTTGTTATCGAAGAGGCCGTCCGCCTCGCGGACGTAGAAGGTTACCGAGGCAGCGACAACACTCCATTCGTGTTGTCCAAGATCAAAGAACTAAGCGGAGGCAAGAGTATAACCGCTAATCGTGCTTTGATCGAATCAAATGTCAAACGTGCCACCCAGGTCGCGGTGGAGTTAGCCAAGCTGGAAGCAATGGAGCGAGGAACGTCGGGGTGAGTAGGATGCTTAGATACAGAATGAAAAACAGCATACTAAAGTTCGGAGCTCTTCTTGCGTATAGACATGCCATGCCCGTTTTCTTGAACCCAACGCCGGAGCAAACCCCAACTCCGAAAGAGAATCCTCAACCTATCATCCCCTCCGAGACAACAACCAAGCAAACCGACGTACTCGTCGCAGGCTCACTCGCAATCGACCTCTCATGCGACTATACTCCATTCGACAATGAACGCGCTCAAATCGCGCCACTCCCACACACCTCCAATCCAGCCGTTATTAGCCAAAGCCTTGGTGGCGTCGGCCACAACGTCGCCCTAGCAGCCCGCTACATCGGAAGCGAAGTCCTCTTCTGCAGCGTGGTTGCCGACGACCTAAGCGGCCGAGCCGCACTCGCAACCCTCGAAACAGAAGGGCTAAGCAGTGCAGGAATCCAAGTCCTCCCCGCGACATCCGGGGCCCGAACAGCGCAATACGTCGCCATCAACGACGCAAAGAAAGACCTTCTAATCGCGATGGCAGATATGGGCATCGTAGAACTCTCAGAGCAACAGCTTGACCTCGAAGGATTCTGGGAACCACTCCTAGAGCGCAGCAAGCCTAGCTGGGTCGTCATCGACGCAAACTGGCGACCCGATGTCATCGCCAAATGGAGCTCTATTGCCCGTAAACACGGAGCCCGTGTAGCATTTGAGCCCGTATCAACTGCTAAGTCGCGGCGTCTATTTGGACATGATGCGAGCGGTACTGGTGCGGCGATTGGACCTGCGAATACAATTCCTAACCACTCTGTCAGTCTCGCTTGCCCTGAATCGTCTCGAGCTAGCAGCCATGTACGCCGCCGCTAGAGAAGCGCTTTTATTCGACTCGCCCGGTTGGTGGAGTATGATTAATGCGATGGGCTTGTCTCCTACGGGTTCGCGGGAACGTTTGATTGCCGCGACATCTGCTGCTCTCGTTGACGAAGGCCTGCCGCAGCAGTCCATTCAGCTTCTCCCATTCATTCCGTGTCTGATAACTAAACTCGGTGATGCGGGTGCTCTCCTCACTCAGCTCCTACCGCCTGGTGATCCTCGCCTTACGGACCCCGAGTCTGCTCCCTATATCCTGGCTCGATCCGATGTATCTACCGAAGCCTCTTTCGGCGGTGTTTATATGCGCTTGTTCCCGCCTGCTGCTACATTGGCCCCCCCATGAGGTCGTTAGTGTCAATGGGGCTGGAGATACCCTGCTCGGCGTCGTGGTTTCGGGGCTTGCTAAAGCGGGTTCGGCGGCGCGCATTGAAGATATTCTCCCAGTGGCGCAGGAGGCAAGTCGGAGGACACTGACCAGTGCAGGGGGTGTGAGTAAGGATCTTGCTGGCCTACGTTCTCAACTGGAGCAATAAATGGAAGAGTGACAGGAGTTGATATCCACTATAGCATAGCGCTTAAGAATGCATTTCAGAAATTTCTATTCATCAACCTCATGGCAATTTGCAAACTCGTTACCTACTCTGCGGTACTAGTGTTGGATCTAGTATCCCAGCTTGGACCAGCACATCCGCCTGGTCCCAGTACAAGCTTTGGTGAACAATCTTGTCCGCGCAAAAGCTTGCCACAACAACGATTGTCACCTTGATATCGCGATTCGTAGTTTGGACACCAGGCAGTAGCCACGGTACTTCTGCTGTATGCGAGAAAGAAAAAGATATTTCATCTACAATGCGATCTGCACCGACAGTCCGCGACAACAGACGAAGATGTTGGTTGACTGGACCAGCAGGAAGAAAGATATGCGAGAAGAAAGACCTCAAAGAATTCACCCCGGATCCTAGAATCAATTGTTAGCCATAAATGATTGCAAAAAGAAGGAGAGGAATTCAAAGGAAAGAAACATACCACCAGCCTTCGTAGGAATACACTCCACACCAACCTCACCCTCATGACCGTCCGCATCCCCATTAGAAATCAACTCCAAAATCGCCTCACTCAGCGCATCCCCAGAAAGCCCACAATCACTGACACGCCCCTCTTTCCTCCCCAACTCCTCCAACAAAAGTGCCCAATACCTCTCCCAAACCGTCTCAATATCAACAACAGCCCAATTCCCCCCAACCCCAAAAGCGCGTCTCAAACAAGCCAGCGCCCGACTCCACGCCAACCTCTCACAAACCGTATCTTCCTCCGTAACATTATGGCCCTTTATAACAGCACCCGTACCCGCACCAGATCCAGATCCAGATCCAGATCCAGAATCACCCGTCTTCCTCGCAGTCGCGAACTCACGCTCCGCAAATCGAAACCCTGCATCCGGGTACGTATAAACGTAACAGCGATGCCGCTTCTTATACGTGACATCGCCCTCGGACGAAGAAATCGTAATCCATGGCCATAGTGTTTCCGGATCTGTTTTTGGACCAGGAATATGGATTTGAATGGGGAGGTATGTTGTTGTCGGGCCCGGGTCGAAAATAGATGATGTATCACAGCAAGCGGGGACACAATTCTCTGTATTGTATGGGTGGTGTGGGAGAGCCGCGGTGGATGTTAATGGGTAATAGGCTATTAAAGCGACTAGGCGGGGGAAGGGGTTTGTATTGCTTGCGATGAGGTGGTGGGAGGCGAGGAGGTAGTATGCTGGTCTGTTATATGCTGGTGGATATTAGCTGCTGCTATTGCTGCGCTTTTTTTCCCTTCTTCTTTCGCTTTCGAAAAACCACCTTATACCCATCCATTCATCTATTCAGTTTAAGGAAAGTACATACCAACAATAGCATATCTCTCCCCAGCCTCAAGTTCATCCTCTCTCAAATGAACCGCATTATCCAAATGTTTCCGATCACGCTCCGGATCTTCACTGCACGAGAACGGCAAATACGAAACATCGAATCCCTCAGCTTGATACCGATGAAGAATGCGCTCGTCAATCTCGGGGGTATCGGATATCAGAATCAAGTGTCTGGGCGAGGGTTCCTCGGCCGGTGCGCGGCGGAAACGTTTATTCGAACTCACGCTTTGCGAGCGACGTATGTGACCGTGAGAAGAAGAGCGAGCTGGGAGCGATCCTGATCTTGGTCTTGATCCAGGAATTTTTGCTGCTGTGGTTTGCTGGTCGTCTTGGGGTGTGTTTGAATTGGAGCTTAGCGCTCGTCCGGTTAGACGCCGGAAGACGTTCACCATTGCGGCTGTGGTTGAGAAGTAATCTCAACTCAAGCCAATTCAATGATGTTTGTGTCTTGGGTGCGATTGAGCTTGAAATAAGCCGGATAGTTGTCTTGCCGAGTGATCCGAGGGGAAATTCTTGGATTACATCGGACAAGACGTGAATGTGACTGCCTTTGGTGCCAATGCTTAGGGTTTCTTGGTGTGACGTCGACGAGTCTCTCGTAGGTAGTACTAGTAACTATCAGACCACATTCCACAAGGCTGGTCCTCATACGATAGAGGTCCAGCAGCTTTAGTTATAGTTCAATTTTCATATTCATGTTGATTCATTCTCATCCTCATCTTCATACTCATAATCGTGATCTATGTGCAACGCGATGTATCCACCTCATCTATACTATCTCCATCTCCATCTCCAACTTACTACCATTTTCACCCCCATAGTCCCTTACATAGCAACCCCATTAAAACTTAACCAACCACTCCCGATCAGAATCCACCTTCTCCGAAGAAACCCCATCATCAACAAGATACCTCAAATACCCCTCCCTCAACAAACTCAACCTAGCAACCTCACAATCAACCCGAATATCCTCAATAAGCGCCTCCATAGAAACATAATCAAATTCCGGCCAAATATACCCCAAAATCAAAAGATTCAGCTTCGTCCCATAGAAATCCGGCAATCGGTGGAACGTCGGTTGCGACTGGCTCGCGGCTGTTGGTGAGGGCTGCGTTGTCGGCGGCATGACGTGGATTTCTACGGATCGAACGGTATTCTTGTAGAAGGGATTATATCCGATGCTTAGGACAGCGGGGAGGATTGTATCGCGCGAATTTGTTTCTGCACTCCCATTGCCATTGCCATGGCCATTCTCGGTGGTATGTTGGATCGGCGCGAGCGCGACAACGCCATAGTATACGCCTGTTTTTAGGTCCGGGTGGTTATCGAGGTCGTCAGCGGGGATATTTGCGGTTGGAATGCCGAGCTGTAGATTCGGAGGTTATGTTAGTCTGTGTGCATATTAAAGGTTTTTTTTTTCTTTGCGTGCTTTCCCTTTCTTCCCCGCACTGTAATGCAAGGCAAGGCAAGGCAGGCAAGGCAAAGCAAGGAACCAGGACCAATTGCGATCGCAATTGCAAAAAGCAAGCTAAAAACAAATGCACAAATCATCATGAACATACATCCTTACTCCCCCGTCCAAATCCCTTAATAACAGGTCCAGACAAACGGATCGGGAATGGGGCCTCGGGACCCGCGTCCGGGCCCGCAACCGGGTCGCGTGGTTTATCGGTTCTCATTCTGACAGTGACGGTTCAGCTCAACGGGTGGGGTAAGGATAGTATGGTCGATCGGAAGATTATGCGCAGATCGAGGTGAGGTAAGGAGAGGCGAGTTGCGATAGGGCGGGTGAGTGAGGGAGGAGGGTGCCGCGCCGGTGAGCTCCGGAATGACGGCGCAGGGGAGCACAGTCCAAGTGATACCGGATGGAAATGCTATTTGCAGCTTGTAGCTTGTAGCTCGGAGACTGTGGCGAGGTTGAGGTCAAGGCCGCGGGAAAGGCGTATGTCGGGGGACAGATACTCGGGGAGTGAGTTGGTGGAGGGTTGGAGGGCCGAGGATGATTGCTCATCGACGGTTGGAAATGGCGGGGCGATCGATAAGCAAAAAACGTTGGTGGCCTTGTTCTTGAGGCAGAACAGTGCAGAACAGTGCAGAACAAAATGTCTGAGATGCGCTCCAATGGGATCTGATGAGTATCTGCTGACCTATCTTGCTAGTAAGTTTCCAAGGTTGTTTATGCAGGTACTAGTACACTCTAAACTATTACGGAAATACAGCATAGTGCCAGAAACTGCACTTGAGGTACTACTACATCGAGTCAATGAAACACCAATTCAATCCATAGCATTTATAGCATTAGCTCATCAAAGCACCGAACCCAGCCCAGAGATATCATTTTTAGTCCTTTTAAGCGCCGCATCAAGGTCAATCAATCAACAGATAAAAACAGAGTGAAAGGAACAGAAAATATCAACGGGTCCCACCAATTCAAATGGATAAGGACCCCAAACACCGAATGTATGTACGGTCAAAGCCAAAAAAAAAAAAAAACAAGGATACAACAGAGAAGATCACACACATCAAAGTAGAGCATGACAAAAAAGAACGAGATAGGGGAATCATACAGTCCCAAACAGGAATATATACCGAATAGCCACAAGGCAAGGAAAACCCAAAAAAGAGGCAAGAAAGTAGAAGAAAAAAGGAACACGAATATAAACTCAAACATCAAGTAGAGTTGGGCCGCGGGTATGAAGCACAGGCGTGAGCAGGGTACTGGTGGTGGTAACAGTAGATCGGAATCAAATGCAAGGCAGGAACTAGCAAAAGTAGCGTTAGCAAAAAGAAATCGACTTTCTTTCGGAGGGGTCGGTCCTCAGGTACTCACGTTCATAACGATAAGCATCGGAATGTCAAAAACATCTCGCTTCACTGTCCAGCAGTACGCGCATTCGACCTTCCCATCCTTAAACCCCAATTGATTCATCCCCGCTTCACCAGCAATACCCCCTTTCCTCAAATGACCATTACTCCACTTCCCATCATCCTGCTGAGCACCCTCCATATCATCCTTGGTCTTATACTTGAGCAATTTGCACCGCGTCATCACACTGCCACGCGAATCTCCAAACGCCAACCGAGCAAAGTCCTCATAGAACTCCACAACGCTGTCATCGTCAAGTAATTCAGCCAAGAAAACTGGCTGCGGTCGCCCGCCTGTGTTCTCGACTGAGCCGCGCGGCGTGAAACTGCCCCGCGAGGATGTTCCGGATGCAGGCTGCGAGGTTCCCCCCCGTGTTGACGTTGAGGTTGGCTTCTTTACCGAGAAGCACGTCCTTTTTCCAGCCTGTTAGGATGCTGAATTCTTTGCCCACGGCGGCGATTTCGCCCGTGCGTCGGCAGACGATTGTTGGCGTGCCACAGGCATTGATGAAATCCTCATATTCCCATAGTGTGCGTTGGAAGCACTTTTCCATGAAAATGAGGTCGTCTCGGTTGAGTGTCTTAGTGGTTGCGATGAAGGAAGGGCGGATTGATGCGAGTGCCTTGGCGATGCGGACTGTTTTCTGTGGGGAGAATCGACGTTGGATAAACGCCGTGAGATTATGGAAGCCACTGGTATAAGCGTAGGGCTCTTTGACGCTTTCGTAGATGGAAGATGGGTTTCGATGACGTCGCTTAGGCACAACATGTAAAGCTTGATGCTTCAAGCTTGGCGTGGTAATCAGCGGCGGTCGCTGGCCATTCGGCGCAAGGTTGTTGTTATTCTGTTTCGTCACATTGTTGAAGGATGGGTCTTCTCCAGCAAACCCGGACGTTGTCGTCACATGTGGACTGGTCGCTGATCCGGGACTGGTGAAGTTTGCAGGACCGCTCTCGATCGCAAATGCATGTGGTGGATCTGCTTTCATATGTCCAGGCAACATGCCATTCTGGCCATACACTCCGCCGACGTTCACATGCGATGGTTGGCCCGAGGCCTGACCGAAGGACCAATCATTCAGTAGAGGATCACCAAACATGAACGGCGGCTGATTCCCCGGACTTTCTCCAAAACCGGGAGCTGGCGTGGAGAACTGTGCAGACCCACTGCGGCCGATCGACCCTCGCTGCGTCGCCGAGTCGCTGGGCGAATCACCCGCTCCCGTCGCCATGTGGCCGAGCATGCCGAATTCGAGGGCGCCATAGCGGTTCTCGAAATTCATACTTGACAGGTCAAAATTAAACAAAGCGGGGTCACTGGGGTCGAAGAAGGGCCCCGCAAAGGGGTTCTGTGGGTTTCCGGTTTCACCAGAGATCGCGGTGTTGGGTGTGGGTTGTTGGTTAACGGTGGAGGATAGACTTGAGTTACGACCATTGGCGCTGGTCTTGAGGTTGAAGGTGGGCGAGACGGGGGATTGGGTGGTGAAAGGACTTTGGCTCAGGGTATCCTGATGGTACATATTGTAGGAACCCGGCTGAGCCTGAGCCTGGGGCTGCGACTGTGGCTGGGGCGTGGGGTAGAAATTGCCGCCATTGTTGCTGTTGTTGGTCGGTTGTTGCTGTTGCGGCGTGTTCGCTCCCGCGTTGGGGCCATTTCTGGACACCGGGAGGGAATTGCGCATTCCATTGTTATAAGTGGGAAAGTTTCCACTCACGCCGGGCATCAGTGCTCCGTCTGGGGCATCGTGGAGATACTTAGCCTTTTTTCGGACCCCATCATGGCATGCGTCCTGCAACCCACGCTTGATGCAGCGTTGGCAAGGCCGTTCGTCCCCTGGATGAAGGATTAGTCTGGATTTTACTGGTTTGCTTGCAATGCAATGCTTGCAAAGTTTGCCAAGCAAAAGAGAGGCGAGGGAGCAGAAAGAAAAAAAGGTAATGAATGGCAATGCATACCACAAGTCAGATGGGCTCGCTGGCAGGCAAAGCAAGCTCGTCGGGCCTTTTTCCGACGCGGTCGCGAGGGGTCCTTGGCGTTGGCGGATTTCCGATTCTCTTTGGCATCACCATTTGTCCTGCCAGAGTCCATAGTTTCCGAGTGCTCTGTGATATCGGCAGAATCGCGATCCTCGGAATCTGCGACCGGCGAGCCGTTCTTGATGTCCATATTCATTTCGTCATGTATCCCACACAAGTGGTGAGCGTGAGAGGGCCAAGAGGGGCGGTAAAAAGAAAACGAGGGTAAAAATAGAAAAAGAAAATGCAGGCCAACAAAAATCGCGCAACCTCAGCAGCCACGAATAATACTACAGAAATTCAATTGGTTTTCCAGGATGTACCCAGGTAAAAAGGACCTGCAGGACAGACCTTCTAGCTTCGATCTCGAAATCCGGAGGTGGCGACGGGCATCCGCGCGGAGGGCTTTTCTCTCGGCGTAACGGGTATGTATCCACGTGTTTGCCGCGCAAGATCTGCGGGACCTGAAGATCGCAAGGCGACGAAGATGATTATTCGACGGGATCGTAGTTTGTAGTTTGTAGTTTCCACCGAGGTGTGTTTGTTGGAGAGGTATGACTCGAAGGGGGAGGAGAGCTATAGCCGCGCTGGCGCGACTATTGCCGGCGGCGGAACGGAAGGCAGAGGTTGGAGGTTGATGTATCTGCGACGGGTGTAACGGAGGACAATCGAGTCGAGTCCAAGGGGCGATGGCGAGGGCGAGCGAGCAAGTGACACATTGAAGGGAGTCGGGATAGCGTCGAGGGAGAGAGGATCGCGACAGAAGCGAGGCGGGAAAATGCCGCAACGGTTTCGGGCGCAGCTGAATTCGGAGAGTGGAGAGAAGAGCAGGCTGCGCTGCGGGGAAGTGGGAGGTGAGAAAATTGGGGAGGGGAGAGAGAAGAGTAGAGAATAGACCAGAAAAGGAAATGAGGAGGAGGAGAGGAGAATGAGGAGAGTTCCAAGGGTCTTGAGAGAGGAGAGCCGCACGAAGAGGAGGGACCAGGGACCAAGGGAAGTGAAGTTGAACCTTCTCAGGTTGAATGCGATCGGAATGTTCCCGTGACTGCGACTTGCCTGTGAGGCCTAAGCAATTCTGACACTCCCAACTGGGCCGATTCGAGTGTGGACTGCCCAGATGGCTTGTGATGATCGATTGATTTTATTAGAGGGGTTTACTTTATTTGATTGGGATTTCTTCTGTATTTTTCTGAGACTGGCATTTTACCGTGTTGAGTGGTTCGAAGTACATCCTGTCACCATTGGATGTTATACTTCGTCAGACGCCGGTTGACTTTCTTTTACCTAATTAAAACGAACACGAGTTAGGCAGGTCATTGCGAGTATTTACGTGAATATTCAGAATTCCAGATCTTGTATAATGGCCTCAATAGATAATAAACATGAATCTAAATATCAGTTCCTAGTAGTGTACTACTCCTACATCCGTACTACTCGTACTGTACAGCGACTACCGACTTCACATGCTGTGACGTTTGGGCCCGCCACGGCAGTTGCGCGTATTGCAGTATTGGTATTGTGACAATACACACCCATCCCCGCAGGACCACCGCGTGCTCGCAGCTCCCACGCGGGTTCCGGAGTCTGTACCGATACGGTTATATAACACGGTTATATGTACACCTGCAGTTTACTTACTGTACAATCAACAACGCATTACCTGCCCACTCCTAGACAAAACACACAAAGAAACAATGGAATTGATCCGAAAATTTTCGGCTTATTTTTACTTTTAATGGCTCATCTCTCATCTCCTCGGTCATATCCCCGCACCAACCCAGTCAACTTCCTCAACTCCCGGAAAGAGTCTCCGGTCCCGAATTCTCCCGAGGCAACTGGCGGCCCATCAGGCCTCGGTTAGTGGGAGACACCTGGCCCTGGCAGAGTTAGATTCATAGTCAGGGCTAGAGCTGGACGCGTCGACTGAGTAATGTCTTTTCTGTCACTGCTGATTTCCTGAATTGCTAAGTCCAAGTTTGCTGATCGCCTGATCCACTACCGAATGCTCCATGCCTGGTCTTGGTCTTGGTCTACATGCATGCACCTTCGTATCCTTGGTATCTGGCCTAACTTAGTACAGTACTGACCTACTGCGAGTACGAGTAACTCTCTGACTCGTAGTAAATATGTATGTGGTCATCGGAGAATAGAATTCAATTCCATTCCATCCATTCCATCCTGGCCTGGCCTGGCCTGGCTTCTGGCTGAGCTCTGCCGCTGCCAGTGGGTCTACCCTGTTCGTCTCGCGTGAATGTTAAGCCGAACTAATAGCTATTAGCGACTAGCAGTGGAAATCGTATACCCGACCTGTAAAGGATTATAGGCAGGGAAAAGAGAAAAGAGAAAACGATAACCTTAGCCATGTCATGTAATTATTTACTTCCATGGTTGGTGGAGCATGAATCATTTTTAATTCTGAGTGAAAAGATTGATTACTACTAGTAGTACATAGTAAGTACAGCTGATGCTTACTGCCAATACTGTGGAACCTTAGAACAAAGTGCATTCGATTCTTTCTCATTCGATTTCTATATCATCCGCATTCACATCCCAGCTACTAATACCCAGTAAAACTACTGGTATACGTAGGACGGACCTGGCCCGTTGGGCCTTCAGGTCAAATTCAAGTCCCTAGAGAGGCCCTGGAGGACCCAATCCAACCCATCACCACCCACACACACACAAGCACCAACAGGAAACCCACGGGCAAAGCGCTGTACCTGCAAGCATCCCTCCAGCGAAAGCGAACTTGCAAGCAGGCGACTGTTCAACCGACTCAGTCGAACCGAGCATCCATGCTGGACACCGTGACCATATGATATGTGCAGCCGACCGAGGTGGAGTCACTGGTGTATAACGATGGAGAACGAATCGTCCCAAGATGAGTTGGGTTGGTGGTCTTAGTGAACTGGATTTGAAAGCACTTGAGACATCGTCTATATTTTAGCGACGAAATCACATCTGTGAGGTGGCGAAGCGACTATGCTTGCGGATGCGACTCCCGTATCGGTAGAAAATGTATCTGCTTGCGTTGTCAGTATACACCCATACCCCGACAGCAGATTGAGATGAAGCAAAATCAGGTTCGTTCGCATGCAATGAGCCCCCTGCTCTTGTCTGGTCTGGTCTGGTCTGATCTGATCGACCTCGTGAGGTTGTGGTTGTGAATGCGGGCACGACCGCAGACACAGACACAGACACAGACGCAGGGGAAAGGAGGTCGCGAAGGCCATAGCGCGAACCAGAAACAACCCAGGGAATCCGCAGAATTGAAAGCAGGAAATAAAAGCGGGGGATAGTTGATCATAACTTACGGGAAAGGCAGCATAGCCAGGGTCAGGAACGCCAGTAACGATGTTGCCCAATGATATCCGAGATTATTATACACTGCGCGGCCGTTAGCGTTCGATTCATGGTTCATCTATCATACATGCAACCACCCTCTCAATCAGAATCTACCCTGGGCCTCCGCAGATCTCATATGTAGTATCTGCGCCTGCTCGTGCTTCTGCGACAGAGAGGGAGGGGGCCGCAACGGTTTGCTGAGGACACGGTTCTTCTGTTTCTCCTCACTGCACATGCAAAGCACAGACCCTGGGCCAGTCATGACCCTAGTCGGTCGAGTATATGGAAATACACAGATCGCAGGTTGTTGAGGCAGGGTAAGGGCATGGGGTGGGAAGAAACTCACTCTGTATACCAAAGAGAGGGAAGATGCCTCCAAAACTAGAGCGCATGAACGAATTGGCTGCGAGAGCACTGGCCGCATAAGTGGGATACGCATCGACCAGGAAAGTGAAGATGCCCGAATAGACCAGGATAGTCTGAGACGTAACACGAGAAAGTAAGTTCAGCACAGTGCCAAAATTAAAAGCATGCACGCCGCGATTCAATTCAGCTTTGAATTGCAGGATCGTCGGGAGGGCAGCGCAAGAGAGGGGAGGAGAGGAAAGAAGAAGGTTTAAGGTGAAACGTACCCTGCGCCAAATAGAGCGCTTCCAATAATTGGCGCGATCCAGTGTACGTCTGGATAGATAGTCCACGCAAAGATAAATAGACCGATCGTAACCAACGGTCCGCCCAGAATAGCTGTATGATATAGATATCATGTCAGATCTCACGCCTTTTTCAACACCCAGCAATAACCAATCCTCTAAGCTGATGCTTTACATACCTGGCGGAAGACGCCACTCGGGCTGGAATTCCTCGACGTGGTTCCCTTGTTGGTGTTGGCGTTCGAGACGGACGTAATTGCGGCGCCAGAGCGGATCGGACAGGATTGCCATGACCATGCCGACGAATAGACCCAGGAAGCACAGACCGCGCTGCCAAATTGAGAAGCCATACACTTCCAGGAAAACTAGTTGGAAGGCTCCGAAAAACAGGTACAGGATTCCCAGCAGAATGGCCGAGAAAATGCACAGATTTAGACACATAGGTTCGAGGGTTAGAAGGAGGATCGGGCGGTACATGGAGCGTAGAACTGTCTGCGGGACCGATCGCTCCAATTTCTCAATTGGGGCTTTCCATCGTTCATCGCCGGTTTCTTGTCGGAGTTTCTGCGCTTTGCGTCGAAGGAGGCTGTCATGGTTTAGTATCAAGAGGGCAAGTTGCGGCTTGGGATGAGCGGGTACGTACACTGGATGATAGGTTTCTGGCACAAGGAATATCAGCGAGATCAGTTGTACGCCTGACCAGATTAGTAGCACGTAAAAGGTCCAACGCCTGGGCACAAGTTAGATATAACCAAGCCGAAAATAGACATGGGGAGATACCATGTAGTAAACGCGTTGATGAATCCGCCAACACTAAATGGACAATTAGCTCCCAACCACTGGCAAGTAAACAAAACCCCAACAAGCTTACAGAGGTCCAACTTCAGGTCCGATGAAAGGACTCGCGGTGTAAAGCATCATCGGAAAAGCAAGTTCATGTCGATCAAACATGTCACCAACGGTACCACCCGCGACACTGAGAAACGCAGCACCAGACAGGCCATTGAAAAAACGGCATATGAGCATTGTCTGTATATTTTTGGCGACAGCACATGGAATGAGCCAGATGAGGAAGAGGGAAAAAGAAACCATATAGATGTTCCTTCGACCGTAGAACTATGTAAATTAGCATATTGCGGAGGTGATCCTAGGAGTAGCAGGCTACCTACCTCTGACAACGGACTCAGAAAGAGCGGGCCGATTCCTGGAAGACAGATCATCAGTTATATGGCCATATAAAACCCACTTTATGGTCGAAAATAAGGGTATAACAAACCAAGACCCCAAATAAAGAAAGATAATCCCAGTGTGGCAACTTCTTTCGAACAGTTAAACTCCTTTATCAACTGATCATACGTAACAGTATACATGGAGGAACAACAAGTCCTACACATCGGTAACAAAATAGTCAGCACCAACTTCACAAACCAGAACCAGAACTAGAAATAAAAGAGTGATACTCACACGCAAAGCGACCCCATCGAAATAATAATAACAACCATCCACCTCCGCGCTTTACTCATATTCCTCGGATTCAACGCATCATCCTCATCCCATCCAACCATGAAGTTCTCGCCAGCGTGCTCTTCATCCGACGATATCCTTTCGGCCCTTCCCTCGTCACCAGCAAGGCTCGTCCCATCATTCAAAGACCAGGATCGCTCCAAGGATCGTGATGGAGTAGCTTGGGCATTGGAGCTCGGATTCGTTGTCGAGTTGTTGGCACCGTTATCGCGTGGAAAAGGATGTGTGATCGGCGCAAAACCCGCTTCTTCGGACTTTGAATCGACGCTTTGTTCGTGTTCGGGCTTGGGCTCGGGCTTGGGCTCCGGCTCGAATTCAGAGCTAGAAGATAGCCGTTTCTCGTCGGCCGGGTGTGGCGACGTCATTTCGTTGCTTTGTTTCCCCTTTTAATATCCCGCTATTGTTCCTTTCTTGCTGTTCTCTTGATAGAAGTGTGTTTGAGTATAATTTAGATGATTCTCACATTCGTTTGTTGCTTCGATTGGTGATCGCTAATCGAGTCGGCTCGATGTCCGAAGCGGCAACTTGAAGGAGCTTGATTTCCGAGGTGGGGAAGAGGCTAGACGTTGGTAGAGCTTGACCGCGGCGCTAGTCTCGAAATTAAATCAAATCAAATCCCGAGCCAGTCGGTGAGCTAGCAAGTAATACTAGTACTAGTAGCAACTCCTCTCTTTCGTGTGTCAGCAAGATATTGCAGGAGCAAACAAGTCGAAGTTGGTAGTCGGTAGTCGGTAGTTATGACCCCGGTTATATCAAATCATGGGGGGAAGTCAATTAAGAATACGGAGTAAAGCCAAAAGTAAAATCAAAAGTGGGATGAGAGTGGGATAAAGTACTAGTAATTAGCCTCGACAAATGAGCATGCCAAAGTGCGCTTCGGAGATATGACATGGGGGTTGTTCTGTTACTGATCGGCTTAGTTCTACGCCGAGCTGATTAATTGCCACTCCTTCCTTCGCTCTTTGTTTTAGCACAAGGCTCGCAGTGCACAAGGCTTGCATTGAACGAGGCTCGCATTCGCACTATCCACTTTTTCTGTATTCCTTCCCCTGATAGAGCACTACATTTTCTATTTTCGGTGTATAGGATCGATCCATTCGAATTTACACCATATCGGATCTATCATTGCCTTGCTGTGTCTGGGGTTGATTCGGGCCGAACGGACATAACGGACATCAACTTCCGCACTTGCGTAATGTTGAAGTTTTACTTTGTAGATCGACTCAGACTAGCTGATGTGATCGCATGATTTGATTAATACTTGCTACTAGTAGTCATCACAGATTGAGCCCAATTTCACTGACCCTGACATGATCGCGCAGCAAGTAATTCGCCATGTGGCACCTCGGAGGGAAAAAAGCAAAAAAGCAACGCCCTTGGCGCATCGCATATTTTATGATCTGCATAGTACCACAAGGAAATTCTCCGATCCGTAGATAGGGCTTATTCGACGGAAGATTGGCTTTCTGTAACTTGAGTGTGGCCAGGAGGAAAATCCAGCTAGAACCCTGTACTTTGAAGAATTGTTCGTTGTACATACTACATCAACTGAAGTAATTGCATGAGATCATGAGATGAGCGAGTTGATTGGTATGTTCAATTAACTAAACAGCTAGCACTACGGAAAAGGAAACCCATGTATCGAATCACTCCAGAAAAACACATCGAAACTGTCCAGCAAAAGAACCCATCAAAAAAAATAACGTAAGGAACAGATAAAAACCCCATTTCTCCATACCCCGCCAGAAAACTCCTGATAGCAACCCCAGAGCAAAGCAACAAAGGCGACGCTACCACTAAACAAATTCAATTATCGGATCTTCCAGAAATCCATCGACCATCTCAAACTCAACTGTACATGAATGGAATTTTGCGCCAGTTATATCCTTTTCCCGTGCCAGAATTTGGACGGCCATTGATACTTTGTAAAACAAAACAAGTAAAATATGGAACCGTCTTACAGAACTTGGGCCAGCTGGCTAGCCGCAGCATTCTCCTCAGCCCACGAACCCCACAAGTTCTGCTTGCCGCCGATCTTCAGCGCGGAGCCAAGGGACTTGGAACCCTGGTCCACCTTGACAGCATCCTTCGTAGCCAGCACCAGGACCTCGAAGAACATCTTGGTGGCGTCGGCCTTGCTGGATCGCTGCTCGGGGAGCATGTCCTGGAAGAGGACGCTCTTCTTCTGTTCAGAGTCGCCGAGGCGCTCGCGGAGGATGTGGACGGCGTGCTTGGTGCCCATGGAGACGGGCTCGTTGTCGACGGGGCGGATGGTGTCATCGAGGTCATCGACGGAGTGGTTCATGCCATCCTCATCGTTGAATTGCAGCTCCGAGTGGCTGGCGTCACCGGGGAAGTCAATCTCAGGGTGCTGGTTCAGGGTAGTGTCGAGAGCGATGCCCTCATCGTCGGCAACAATAGCCTCGTCATCACCGAATTCCAGGGCGGGAACGTCACCACCGGCCAGGTCCATGTCGGAGATGCCGCTGTCACGCTTGCGCTTGAGCTCACCGGCCTTCTTAACGGAGTCGAGTGACAACAGACCACGGATTTCAGGGGCCCAGCCACGGTGGCTCTCTTCGCCAAAAATACTTGAGACGAACTCGCCATTCTGCTGGCGGTTGATAAGGGTGAGGAAGACAGGGTCACGGGGGAGGTAGGCAGGAGGGTTGGTAATGGCAGAGCGATCGGTTTGCAGCGCACGGACTTCAGCAGTCGAGTAGTTAATGTCCTTTTCCAGCTTCAAAGGTTCGAGGACCTTTTGGCGCTTAGCCCGCTGCGTCTGTTTGCCAGTCTCGGGCTCGGCAGTGGCATCATGGTTGAATTCTTCCTCCAGTTGGTGCATCTGGGCGGAGCCAGCATCGGAGAGAGGGCTCTCTGAGTTGCGGACGCGGTTTTCGGCGGGACGTGGGGTTTGGCCACCGAAGTCATCATCACCAAGATCCATTCCATCATCTTGCAGAAGGTTGTCGATGTTGTCGTGAGCATCGCCACCCATGTCCATCTTATCAAGCGGGGCATCGTCGTCGCCAAAGTCGAGTTCCAGGTCGTTATCAATAAGTTTTCCAGAGTCGTTGATGTAATCGTCTTCCAGTGGGCGAGCCGGGGGAGCGTCTCGACCAATTTCCATAGACCTATCCATACCAAGGGGGAGCTCATCTTCACCCAAATCCAGGTCGACGAGGGTGTGGTCCTCAAGGCGCGCGGGTTCTTGTGACACGGAGCGACGGTAGCTGCTGTCAGGAACGATCTGGCTGCTGGCAAAATCCTTGCCAGCGGAATGCTTGCCATCTGACTCCAGGTTAAGGTTTTGCGGGAACAGAAGCGAGGTATCAAGGTTGGTAAAAAGGTCGGACTCGGTCAGCACATCTGGGAGAGTAATACCACCCGGCGCGACCACAGTTGTTGTCAAATCGTTATTGTTTGTAAGGCGGAATGCCTGGGGAGGGTAACGTTAGCATGAATGCAAATAATATTTCTGACTGAAAGAGAAAGTGGAGTTTGGGACGAACCATTTTGATCTTCATCAAAGCTTCGTTACAATCGTCGAGTAGATAACGCGCTTTACGGCTGTAAATGCGAACAACACCCAGCAGCAGCTGACCACTCAGTCGCAGGGCCATAGGGGCCTGACCCTGATCAACAATGGCGCTGACACTGCCCTCAATATCGGACTGCAGAATATGCGACTTGGACAATTTGCGCTCAATGTTGGCGGACAGCCAGACGCGGGCCAACGGCCCCGTCTTTGACAGAAGCGTCTCGGAATAGAACATGGCGCGTAATGGTACTAAGTGATGACTGTATGCGACGAACAGATATGTTCAGGCGATTGTACAAGTCGAAACCCGCCCGGCGCGGGTGAGGCGTAACAAGGGTCTTGACGCGCTAGAGCCGGGGATAATAACAGACTTTCAAAGCGGTGTCAATGACGCGAGACGAGGCGATAGAAGATTGCGAGTATGAACGGTGTATTTGTAATGTTGTAGTTGAGATCAAACAGTATTGAAGATTGGTAGACGCGTTAAGAGACACGTCCAAGTTGGAGGCGCGAGGGATGAGTGGGAGTGATGTGCGCGCGCCGAGGGGGGTCCCTTTCCTTTAGGCATCGAAGGGCGGAAGGTGGAAGGGCAAGTCACCTGATTTAGGTGGCTGGGGCGACGGTTCAAAAATGGTGACTCAGCAGTATTATGTCATCCAGTTAGGTCAGCCAGCTGACATAACATTCGCTAACCACTTCGGGTTAAGCATCATCACCGCGCAGGACGCATCCGACTGCAGTCCGCGCGCCTTGACAGTTCCCCCTGTTCCAGGCCTCATTTTCTTTTCTTTTTCCTCTCCTTGGGTTTTGTCATTGAGTCGATTGTTGATTCGTTTCACAATTGGATTTCCAAGTTCCCCTTTCCACCCCGAATCGACTCCGATAAACCGCCCACCCTCTATCCTCCACCGCCGGACCTTGCTGCCAGATCGCATTCTTAAGAACGTGGCCCCTCCCCATCGACACCATCACCTCCCATCCAGGCGGGATGAGAATAACCCTACGCTAAAACCGACTTGTGTTTTCTCCTCTACCTTTATATTCTCCCTTCCCCTCCCCTTCCCCCGTTTCGCTCCGCCGAAGCATGAGAAATGTCAAGGTCGACAACACCTGCATTGCCTCTGCATAATGCACCCAAAATCGAAACACCGCAACCTTCAGCGACCGACCTTCTAGGCGGCCGGCCAGATGCTCCCTCATCGGTAGGTGCTGATATCAATGGACCTTTCCTTGAAACACTACGTTAATCCCCCGGGTCTGCGAATTTAGGCTTCAACCTCCACATACTCTTGGCTCGAGCCCTATGAGACCGCCGAACGACTTCACACCTCCCTCCACCACGGCTTAACCCCCGCAGAAGCTGAGATCCGTCTTGCTCGTGATGGCCCCAATGAACTTCCCCATGAGGAACCTGAGCCACTGTGGTTGCGGTTCCTCAAGCAATTCAAGGAAACTCTGATCCTCCTCCTCCTTGGCTCGGCCGGTATCTCATTTGTGATGGGCAACTACGATGATGCTATAAGTATTACCCTTGCAGTCACCATTGTCGTGACCGTCGGCTTCGTTCAGGAGTATAGGTCGGAGAAATCGCTGGAGGCACTCGGTCGACTCGTTCCGCACTTTGCCCACCTCATCCGTGATTTGCCTTCGAGGACGACCGCGGCTGATCAGGTCAGCACATCAGAATCCGGTGAAGAGATGGAGGAACTCCGAGTAAGAGTCCTGGCACGGCATCCGCTGCGCTCAAGGCATCCACCACGGTCCCCGCTGCCGATCTGGTGCCAGGTGACCTAGTACTGTTCTCTACAGGAGACCGTATCCCCGCAGATATTCGCATTACTCACGCAACCCATCTTACAATCGACGAATCGAATCTGACCGGTGAAAACGAGCCGGTGGTGAAGTTCAGCGCGGCACTTCGTCACCATACCCATGGTGGGACTCTCGCAGCTCCCAGCGCCATCCAGCCTCCTCGATCGCCATTCTATGATGCCCCCGCGTCAGGGGCCGTTGGTGCCGATATTCGTCTCAATGAGCAACACAACATTGCATTTATGGGTACACTTGTGCGCTCAGGCCATGGTCACGGCATCGTTATCTCAACCGGGGCCAAGACCGAGTTCGGAAGTATCTCGATCTCTCTGCAAGAGATTGAAAGTCCGCGAACCCCGCTACAACTGTCCATGGATCGGCTTGGCCAAGAACTGAGCTATATTTCGTTCGGTGTCATCGCTCTGATTGTTGTGATTGGTCTCTTCCAGGGCCGTAAGCTCCTTGAAATGTTTACTATTGGCGTCTCGCTCGCAGTGGCAGCCATTCCCGAGGGTCTGCCGATTATTGTCACTGTGACTCTTGCTCTTGGTGTGCTGCGTATGGCCAAGCGGGGAGCCATCATGCGCAGGCTTCCCAGTGTCGAGACCCTCGGCTCTGTCAATGTTGTCTGCAGTGACAAAACCGGTACTCTCACCCTCAACCATATGACTGTTACAAAGATGTGGCATTTCGACTCAACCGAACCCTTTGAGGTTCAGCGCGATATGACTTCAGTCCTCTCCCCGGTCCAGCTGCCCGTACCATTCTCCGGGTTGGCAACATTGCAAACAACTCTCGCCTTTCCCGTACCCATGCCAACTCCCCAGCTAGCGCATCGTCCGCGGCAGTGCTATCTTCCACCTTAGACCGGAATTCTAGTGCTGTCAAAAGCCGCTGGGTGGGGCAGCCAACTGACGTTGCCATTCTGGATCTATTGGACGCTCTCGGAGAAGATGATGTCCGTGAGCGTATCAGTGCCCGTGTATCCGAGACTCCCTTTAGCTCCGAGCGAAAGTGGATGGGTGTTATCATTGGTAGCGGTAGCCCCGGTGATTCTGATGTTGCCTATATTAAGGGCGCTCTGGAACAGGTTCTGGCTCGCTCAGACACCTACTTGACCAAGGATGGCCGAGAGGTTATTCTTGATGAGCCCCGTCGTAATATTATTCGCCAGGCTGCAGAGCATATGGCCAGCGATGGCCTCAGAGTTCTTGCATTTGCCAGCGGTGCGGTGCGAAGCTCGTCGAGAGGCATGAAAGGGTTCAACAGCCGTTCCAACACGCCCAAGGGCAGCCCTGCCGATGATGATGATCGCTATAATGGACTAGTCTTTGCCGGCCTTGTCGGTATGAATGATCCTCCTCGTCGGGATGTGCACAAATCAATCCGTCGTCTGATGCACGGTGGTGTGCGAGTCATAATGATTACCGGTGACGCGGAGACCACCGCGGTAGCTATTGCGAAGAAGCTTGGAATGCCGGTCAACGAAGGCGCCGGCGCACGTTCAGTCATCCGCGGTGATGAACTTGATCGCATGACCATGGCCGAACTCACACAGGCGATCGCGACAACTTCCATTTTCGCCCGAACAAGCCCAGACCACAAGATGAAGATTGTGACTGCTCTTCAGTCTCGAGGTGATGTTGTTGCCATGACCGGTGATGGTGTTAACGATGCACCCGCTCTGAAGAAGGCCGACATTGGAATTTCGATGGGCAAGCTTGGCACAGACGTTGCCAAGGAGGCCGCAGACATGATTCTCACCGATGATGACTTCTCGACAATCCTTCGAGCCATTGAACAGGGCAAGGGCATCTTCTATAATATTCAAAACTTCATCACCTTCCAGCTGAGTACCAGCGTGGCTGCGCTCAGTCTCGTACTCCTCAGCACGACCCTCGGCTTCAAGAATCCACTGAATGCCATGCAAATCCTGTGGATCAGTAAGTTTCCCTTGCGATTACCCTTACCCACCAACGCATTCGTATTCTAACTCCAAAACAGACATCCTCATGGACGGACCCCCCGCCCAATCCCTCGGTGTCGAACCCGTCGACCCTTCAATTATGAACCGACCCCCCACGCCCCAAAACAGCGCGGGTCCTCACAAAACCCCTCATCCAGCGAGTCCTCACCTCTGCCATGATAATCATGCTCGGCACGCTCGCAATCTACATCCACGAAATGGGCGACATCGACGACGGACAACCCCTCGGCAAACGGTCCCGCGTCGTCACAGCCCACGACACCACCATGACATTCACCTGCTTCGTGCTCTTCGACATGTTCAACGCACTCACCTGCCGAAGCGAAGGCAAATCCGTCCTCCGCGGCGAAATCTCCCTCTTCGGCAACAAGATGTTCAACTACGCCGTCCTGGGCTCTCTAGCCGGCCAGGCCTGCGTCATCTACCTGCCCTTCCTGCAACGCGTTTTCCAAACCGAGCCACTAAGCTTTGGCTCGCTGTTCAAACTGCTTTGTCTTGCGAGCTCTGTCTTTTGGGTCGATGAGGGACGCAAGTATATGCATTATCTCCGCCGTCAGCGAGGGCTGGGTGGAGGGTATAGCGCAAATGTCTGATGTTTTCTCTTTCTTTGGAAGGGGTGGGATATTTCAATGCCCTTGTTCTTTTGGAAAAGGCATTTGTCTCTCCCGCCCCTCTGTGGATGTGTAAAGCTATTGAATTGGAAGGGTTAATGTCCCCTTATACATAATAGAGCTGTTGTGTCGCCACGATTGTGAGATCTACATGACCGTAAATGAAGTCAATATTAATTTCCATTGTGCCAAATCCTTACATGTAGAGATAAAATAAATGATCCAATACATCTCATGCTAGTAGCCCCTTTTTTTTGCGAGGTAGAGCCTGTGTGCAAGAAAAAACCTGGCCGAACCCTTGAAGCCGACCTTGACTTGGACGAAGCCTCCCCCTTGGAAAATTGTGGTAAGAAGAGCAAGCTCACCCCCACCCACCATCCAGATCCCTCTCGTTTAGACAGGAAACGAAATAACCAAAAAATTGACCGACGCAGGGGTCGAACCTGCAATCTCTTGATTCGTAGTCAAGCGCCTTGCCATTGGGCCAGCCGGCCTGGTACTTGTTTAAGCTCGGAAAAATGTGCACTATGGAGCTAAAATTCTGTGCCGTTATTTACCCCACTTCTTGACCACCGTAAACCAATCATGTTTATTCAATACTTGCCGTGTGAGACCAGAACACAAGTATGATAATGCAAGAAGGCACAACAGACTTGCTTTTTTTACTTTTGAGAGTGTACGTTGAGTTTAATTTTTGTTTTCTGTCAATTTTGATGTTTGGGTCATGGTCTTTTCTGGGAAGGGGTGGAGTTTTGGACCTCGGGAGTATGTTTGATTTTGTTGGCTTGGGATATATATCTGCACTGAAGTACCACTGGGTAGTACCACCCTACTATCTATCATCCATGGATGCCTTGCGAGGAGGCTGCCACTAGCAGTCCCAGTGCGGATTCCTAACCCTTAACATTGGAACTGTTTGGGCAATCACCAATCTACCAGCCTGGATTTTATGTATTACTTATGTACGACCATGACCTGGATAATATGCCCTCAATCAACGAACGTGGCCGAGGAAATGCCTCTGGGTTCTAACGATCCCAATTGAATACCACTCCAGAACTTGGAGGCTGAATTTCTCATAAAGATTATTGCTAGGGGCTGTATTAGGCCAAAGGCCGAAGAAAAATAATATCATTATTTCCAAGGTTGCGACGTCACTTTCAATGATCCGAGACTAAAACAAGAGACCTGTATACACTGAGTACTATACTAACTACTTCTCAGCAACCGGTACTTGTCCCTCCCACTGAGACTTCGTAGCAGTGAAAAGCTCATCATTGGTTAGCATATCCCACCCAAGCAAAGCTAAGCCTTTACCAGTGACAACAGCCTCCTCATGCGCATCGTCGGTTCCCGCACTGGCAGTGAAAGACGGGTGATGGGGATAAGAACCTTCAGGAGTCGGGATGCCGAACATCGAGTGAAGAGTGGGGACAGCATAGCTGACATTTCCTGAAATGATGTAAATATTTCAAGCCAAGAAATAAATGTAAAAAAATTGAGGATAACTCTTACCGGCATCAGTAGAACCAGTCAAGACTTTGTCATATTTCTTCACACATGTCCTGCCCAACTCCTCCATGTGTAAGGTATACCGCTCGCAGAGGGTATCGTTCAGGACAATATCGGTATATAATTCTTTCCTGAAAGGGGAAACAAAGAATCAGTCATGAATATTCTGCAAAACCCATTCTTCAGTGAAACTCGGGACAGAAGGGAGAACTTACTCCTCAATCTTAACCTCACACCCAGTAGTAACAGCAGCACCCTCAGCGCATTTCCTCACCCGCGCAATAAGCTTATCTAAACCCTCCAGACTCGGACTCCGAATCTGCCAATATGACTTGGTGTACGCGGGAATAATATTCGCAACCTTTGGCACATCCAAGAAGGCACCGTGGATCCGCTCATCCGGCATGATCTGTTGCCTTAGGCCGGAGATGCCATTATAGGCCATCACCAACGCATCGAGTGCATTCACGCCCTCCCAAGGATTCCCGCCTGCGTGCGCATTCTTGCCAAAATATTCCACATATAGCTCCTTTCGTGCGTTCATGAGAATACCCGCGACACCATCGGAGGGTCTCCCGATGATGTTCTTTGGGCCACCGTGACTGGAGGGAGTAAGCAAAAGAAAAAAAGAGAAGAGAAAAGTCCTTGGATTTAGAGCCAGAGGAAGGGTGGAAGGGTGATCATACGCCATGAGAGAAACATCGACTTCTTTATATGCGCCCGCATCGAGCAATTTCGCCTTCCCACCACCGTTCTCCTCAGCCGGTGTTCCAAGCAGCTGGACCCGACAACCAATATTATATTCCTTCTGCAAATGAGCCAGCGCCAAGAAAGCGGTTATACTGGCCGTTGCAATAAGGTTGTGGCCACACGCGTGTCCAATGCCTGGAAGAGCGTCATATTCTGCATTGAAGTTGACAAGCCGTCCCTCAGTTCCGCTAATACACTCGAAGGAGGTATCGAGACCATAGGCGTGTCGGGTAACAGAGAAGCCCTGTGCTTCGAGAAAGTCGCAGATTGAATCGTGGGCTTTGTGTTCTTCGTAGGCGAGTTCGGGATTTGACCAGATCTGGATTTGTGAGATTGTTTCTTACGAGAAAGCTGGGTTTGGGTGAGCTTACAAATTGATTAAGCCCGCGGAGACCCTTGGCGACTTTTTTCAAAGCAGCGTCAATAGCCTTGCGTACTTCCTCTGGGGGAATAGAGACTGGGTTGATTGCCATATTGTTTTGATGTTGGATATTCGCCGTGTAAGTAAAAGATCAACTCAATTCGAATCCAAACTCGAACCCGAGGTAACGAAGGGAAATCCAGTCTTTTAAAATACTACCCCAATACCCCACGGCCCCTCTCTCAATATCAATTACGAAGGGAACGAGCCTTATCGTGATACAACCCCAGTGTGGGGTAAGAAGGGCAATGATGTTTTATGCAGACATACCACGTCTAATGCAAGGCCAACGAAAACATAATTGGAGTATTAGGCGATCGGATACTTATCAGTTGGCCAATGATAGGAAAACCAGCGATATATCCGCAATCAATGATTGATGGTTTGTTCAGAGTGGCTTGGAATTTGCCGATGTGCTGGGCGGTTCAGCCAATGGAGCAATTCCGCTCGCCAATCTTGTCGGCAATAGCCAGGAGGTCCGAGCCGCCACCACCCTGCCGAGCGGACCTGTCGTGCTCGAAAATAGTTCTTCAGTTCCGCGGAAATCCGCTATTAAGAGGATATCGGGATGTGTTGGAGATGTTGTTTCTTGGCATGTTTTGTAGCTGCGTGATTGTCTACTGGGTCTGAGGGCAGTTGAAAGATAGCGAAATAGCTACAGAGGACACAAGCGTCTTTGAATGATATAGATACTCTCACCTGACTATCTTATATTCTGTTACTAATATTTATGCATTTTGAATGCGATTCTATATTGTGTCCGATTGAGAATAAGAGAAGGGCGTAATGTCGTCGTCTTGTCTGGTCCAAAGGGTGTTGGAGGTATACGTCGGTCAAACCGGGACTATTCGTGGGCCAATCAACACCTTGATCTCATGGACGAACAGGTGATTCGGAAGACTGGCATTTAATCAAAACCAGAAGCAGAGACACGAGTGAGAGTGGAATCAAGCTATATAGAGGTGACCCCTAAAATGCGAACGGTGGGGCTAACGAGATTCAGTCCGGTAGACCCGTACCCAATCAATCAGTTCATGCGCCAGCATTAGCATCCCAGGCGGAGGAGAAGTAAAGATTGATGAACTAGAAGCAGATATACCCACTCCATGCACAGTACTCAGGACTCAAGGCCTGCGGCCGACGATACCTGCATCCATATGATCAGAAGAAGACTTCGGCATTCACTTAGGTGCCATGCACACTGAACACAGTTTCCAGAAAAGAACAGTCCAGTGAAATGGAGAATAAGTGGCACTATCACGCTAGCTGGGCTTGCTGTCCATGGCAGAGCTTTCCTGCCTAGGGATAGCAGATTATCTGGCGCTCTGACTTTCGTTCAACAGTTCGCTGTCGCCGTGCCACGAGCTCCAAATTTAGCAACCAAATTCTCTCATCCAATCGTTCAATATCCAGCCTCTATGCGTAATTTAGGCCTCGCGCGGCTTTTGGAGACTGCTCTTACGGATTAGCTGATGAACCAGGGTCACCCACAGGAGGAGGTTGGCAAGTAAAGAACGTACCCTTTGACAATGTTTGCCATCCGCTGGTATGGCACGAGGTCGAAAGATTTCTCCTGGTCGATGGTAGCCATCATAGAGTCGACACCTTCTTCGATTCGCTTGGCCATCTTCAAAGGATACGGAAGCATGACCTCAGTGATCCTATTCGAGATCTTTGTCCCCAAAACCTGTGCTAAAAAAGCATCACCAAGAACAAAATCAGCCATCGGGGTGCGACTTGAGAGTAAATAAAATAAATCGAAAACTTGCAAGCTCCCCTATATCCAGAAACATGTCCAGATCCGGGTACCTCAATAGCGAAAGCCCGCTAATTATAATATCCTCGATATCCGTGTAATCCACTGGAAACCCACCACCACAAAAAACCACCGAACGGAGAGCAAATCGGAAGAAGATCAGGAGGGAAGGGAAACCCGCAATCACTCTGTTGTAGTACTCTGTATCTGGGAACATGACTGAAATTGGATTGCGCATCTTTCGATCATGAAGAGGAGAAAAACCTTTATCGCTGATGCTCCAACTTTGAATGGTGATGTCTTCTAACCCAAGGGTATATTGATGTTAATGGAATAACTAGGTGCCAAAATGTTAGTCAGCCTTTCTTCATAGTCCATAGCTTCCTTCTCACCTCTACACCTCAAGCACAATACACTACAGTCCACTAGTACTTCACATATTATACTCCGAATAGATTATGAGTCCCTTTCTCAACGCCACCTGAGCTCACTGTCACTGTTTTTTTGCTCTTCCCTCGAGGTGAAAGGGGAGGGGTGCGATCGTCACCACGCGCACGCGTTCAGCCATTTCGTCGATTTAGGCCCTGTACCACCACTTCTTCGAAATGGCTTCTATCTTCACTTTCAATTGCTGGTCTATAACCGCAGCCCTGGCAGTCTCTCTGCGCTTCACAGCTTCACAACTCTAATGGCCTCTTCTCTACCCCTGCGGCATTTGCGCTTTACGGCTTCACTACGCTTTACGGCTTCACGGCTCTAGCGGCCTCTCCGTTCCTGCGGCCTCTGCGCTTTGTGGCCTCATTAATCTCACCGCCTCATCGTCCTTACAGTCTTCCAGCACTTTGCGGCTTCACAGCGCTTCGCAGCCTCACTACCCTAGCGGACTCACTACATCTCACGGCTTCACAGCTTTGGAGGCCTCTCTATTTCTGTGGCCTCACTACACTCCATGGCCTCTCCGCGCTGCGCTGCCTCACTGCAATCATTGTTGATGAGGTAGGTGAAGAACTACATCAGGTCACCAGAGACAGCTTCACAGCTCTAGCCGACTCTCTATTCCTACAGCCTCGGCGCTTTGTGGCCTCACTACCCTCGTAGCTTCACTGTGCTTGCAGTCTTACTGCACTTTACGGCTTCACTAGCCTTACGGCCTCTCTGCGCCCTTGGTCTCTACACTCGCGGCCTTACTGATCTTATAACATATGCCCTAGCGGGCCCTCTACACTTCATGGCCTCTCTGAACTTCGAGGCCTCTCTGCTATAGCGGCCTCTCTATAATTTGCAGCCTCTTTGCACTTCGAAGCCTCTCTGCCCCAGCGGCCTCACTACGTTTTGTGGCCTCTGCGTTTCGCAGCCTCACTGCCCTCACGGCTTTTTAATCAAAAATCTAACATGTCAGTCTTCAGCATCGACCACTACACGGTGGCTAACACTGGATCTGGCATCAACAACTACCACTAAGCTAACACCAGCTCTGACATTAACGGCTAACACTGCACACACACCACATCTAGTATTACTTGTAGTAGAAGGCGTAGTCAAAGGCTCGTGTGGCTCGTGCGTTACTGGAAAATAGCAAATACCAAGCAGTTTTATAATGGCCATGATATGTAAGCCGGAATAAGAAGTTTGGTCGAAATAAAAAAGTGGATATAGTACGAGTAAGACCCATCTTGGCCCGCATGACATCATTCGGCTTCCAGGCGCTTCCGCGAACAATAAAAAATTTCTCAAATTGTATCCATAACTTTTTGACTTCGCAGCCTTAATAGTTGCAGCTTTTGAAACCCGACGTAACCAATGACCCAACAAGCCACTAAGAGAAATAACGAGAATCCTATGGTGATATGAATTTACTTTCATGAATAGATCTACGATATCAAAACCAGAGAATGCCACTAATCAAGAACGCGCAATCCCTCGGAACAAGAGGCAAGCAAACCGACCGACTGTTTGGAACCCAAAAAAAAAAGAAATCCCCTTCCCTCCGGACGAACAGGGCTCGAATGGGCTCCATAAACCTTGAGAAAAGCAAGGCAGTCCTGGCAAGAAAGATCTTTAGACCCACAGAAACATCAGAAGGTGGGTCGTTTAACGTTGGAAGGAAGTGTGGTTTCCACTCAATTCCGACCGGCTTCCCGAAGAAGTAGTTCAATAGGTGCCGGTCTAAACTAATTGGCTTTCGGCATGCCGGTCGGATTATAATCGGGGCTTTGTGTACCGGACTGTGCAGGCTCTCGGGCAAAGGCCAGGACAGGATACGCAAAAAAAGGAAAATAACATATCCGATATTTCCGGCTGTTATCTACTTTCTTTTATCCCCCACTGGCCGACAATTTGACATTGACGTGCTTTCTTCTCAAATTTCGATAAGATGGCCAGCCGTGGGAACTCAATTCAGGAGGTGCATGAGTCTCAGCCTGCTCCGTCGCAGCCTGTGACAGCTGGGCCTGCCTCTGCACAAAATTCAAAGTCTCATACCGGGGCTTGGGGCAAGTGAGTATCCCCTAGTGTTGACAAGATTCTCTAGAACTCATTTATGCTGACTTCTCCTCAGGTTTAAAGGACTGTTTGTTCAAGATGTTCGAGATGAAATGCCTCCTTACAAGGACATCGAAATTCATACCTGGAATGGTCCCGACGACCCGGAAAACCCTTTCAACTGGGGCATGAAATACAAGTGGCTTCTCACCATCACGGTCTGCTTCATGTAAGATCGTCTTTCAAGATACCCAGTGGGAACGGGAAGTTTACTGACATTTGCCTAAAGCTCTATCCTTACTGGTCTTCCAGCAGGTACCTACGGATCTGGAAACGACTGGATGGAAAAGGAGTTTGATGTCCAGAACTCTCCATTCCCTAACCTTTACTGGGCTACAACCTCATGGAACATGGGTGCGGCTTTCTGGCCGCTGATCTTCGTGCCCCTCACCGAGTCCTCCGGTCGCATGCCAGGATATTTTGTTGCATATATCATTCTGGTAATCTCGCTATTCCCTTCCGCGTTCGCGAAGAACTTCGCTACATTGGTAGTGACGCGTTTCTTCGGCGGTGGCGCTTCGTCAGTCTCGATCAACATTGTCGGAGGAAGTATCAGTGATGTTTGGTTTGGTGAAAAGGCGCGGAGTCTGCCAATGTCTATCTTCGGATTCACTAGTGTTGTTGGCATTGCACTCGGACCATTTATTGGTTCTGCAATTGTTCAGATTCCTCGAAGCGAGCCCTGGCGATGGTGTGTCTTTTCTCTCTCATCATTTACCCCGTACAGGATTTTACTAACTTCCTACGTCCTTTAGGATCTTCTATATCCAGATTATTTACAACGCCGCTCTTATTCCTGTTTTCTGGTTTATTCTTCGCGAAACCCGACCAGATGTCATTCTTAAAGCCCGCGCCCGAAAGCTCCGGAAGGAAACCGGACGCCCTATCTACGCAGCCGCCGAGATCGACGCACCAAACAAGCTCACTCTGTTGCAAATCTCCTTCAAACGCCCTACCCGAATGCTGACTTCGGAGCCTGTGGTGATCTTCTTTACGCTTTGGATTAGTTTCGCCTGGGGAATTCTGTACCTGTTCTTTTCCAGTGTTGTGCAAACGTATTCGACAAACTACAACTGGGGTTCACTCGCAACAGGTCTGGTACAACTCGCAATCTCGGTCGGAGCAATCATCGGCACAATAATCAACCCTATCCAGGATTGGTTTTACTTCCGCTCTGCAAAGAGAAATACAGAGAAGCCAGGACGTCCGATTCCGGAGGCGCGCTTGTATACCGCGATTCCTGGCAGTCTACTATTTGCCGCGGGTCTGTTCTGGTATGGATGGGCTAGTATGCCTGACGTGCACTGGATTGTCCCTACAATCGGTATCACAGCCGCCGGAATTGGAATTTACTCCATTTATATGGCTGTTGTGAATTATCTCACCGATGCTTATGAGCGATATGCCGCCTCCGCTCTTTCGGCTGCTTCGTTGGGCCGGAATTCCTTCGGCGCTTTCTTGCCGCTTGCTTCGCCTCAGTTATTTAGTAATTTGGGATTTGGCTGGGCTGGTACTCTTCTTGGATTTATTGGGATCGCGTTGTCTGTTGTTCCTGTCGTTTTGGTGCTTAAGGGACCGCAAATCCGGGCTCGCAGTACTTTCATGCGCGAGGCAATGTGGGAGCCGGAGGAGAAGGTTGAGATTGATCAATCTGGCAAAAGTGAGATGGGACCTAGTGCTGAAGGTATTGCATGAGTGGGCTTGAAGAATATATTGAAAAGGATCCCATATTGGCTCAGCTACTCTGTCTGAGCCTTGATTCGTTTGTGTAAATACACTGTCTGCCTTTTTAGAAATGAATGTTTTCTACATTACTAGTATGAGAGTCAGAAGCTAGAGATACGATAAATCGTCAGTATGCAATACGAAAGACTGGCATAAACAAGAAAAGTGATCAAAAGTCATCAGATACTATCTTCAAATTGGAAGTAGAATAATGAACGGTGTCAATAGGTAGCAAAAGCGCGGTTGTCGCAAATGGCTGTTATGTACCCTAAAAGCGGAAGCTGAGTAATATAACCGGGCGGCTGGCCTAATGGAAAGGCGTTGGTTTTCGGTTTCTCTATCAATTACCAAAGATTGTAGGTTCGATCCCTGCGTCGCTCGTTTCTTTTTTTTCTTTTTTTTTTTTGCCGCCCTACAGGAGGTCAGATACTATATTCTACTAGATATAATAAAAATTGCCGGGTGATCTGAGCATCTGGCACTCTATTAGCCGTATAATGCACGCCTTCGTTGACAAACGTTGTCGCCAGATTTAGTATCAGGCATCCTTGACAGAGACGCAAATTATTAATCGTAGGAGGGTTATTCAAGGCATTGGCGATGATAAATCGAGTATGCATGATTGATTCGGGGTTATGCTTTCGCTTCAAAGTACACAGAACTTTTTTTTTCGTGGAGTTTCATCACTGTGCACAAGCTACCTCAGAAATGCGGAAAGTCCGGACATCAAGATCTTTCTCCATCCCCATGAAATGGGAGATCCGGCCATCCCATGGCGACGGGAACGAATGAATGGAAATATGAAATGAAATGAACTCATGACCAAATCTCGTCAGTGGCCCCTCACATGGTCACGGTCATATTTATACGCGCTACTCATAGAAACTCATACAAATTTGAATATATACTAAATGCAAAGCATATTAAACAGGACTTTGGGTACAATTCAACGGGTACTAGAGTCGAACTAGATTTATCTACATGCGAGAGAAAAATTTGACCTCAGGTCTATCCTCTTATACGCCGTATCGAGATCTCGGGATTGAGACTACCTATATCCGGGAACGGAGTTAAGGATTATTTCCGCCACATCTATTGCCTAGCGCATCATACTCTACCCCAGATTGGACGTATCTTCATGAGTGGACGATTTAGCCTTGCATCCAGCCCGGGGTTCTGACGTCGGGAGTAGTATCTCCGGGAACGGATTCAAGGATTATACCCGTTACATCTGCCTAGTGCTCCACATAATGATGACACGACGAGATATTTGAAACTATTTAAGAACCAAGTATTATACACTAGACAAGCATCGCACTGCAGTATTCCTATCAAAGAGTCGGACTGGAAAGTCATCTGATCGTGTAAAATGGCAACTTCTAAGATTATCGTCATCACCGGTAAGACAGCCCAGGACGCGCTAGAGCAATCTACAATATTATTTCACAGTGCGAGTCAAGAAGCTAACTCCATGGAGGCGCCAACTCCGGCATTGGCTACGCTACTACAAAATTTATTGTCTCCCATTCTGGCTATCATGTGATAATGGGTTGCCGTGACACAAAGAAAGGACAAGCCGCTCTAGACGAGATCAAAAGCAGCGGTGATATTAAGGGAACTCTTTCCGTCCTTCAGCTCGACGTGACCGATGATTCTTCCATTGCCGCGGCCGTTTCACAAGTCGAAAAAGAGTTTGGCCGCGTCGATGCATTTCTCAGCAACGCCGGAATCACCGCTCATGGGTACAGCGCTCGGGAGCAACTGAACAAGATTTTCGCTACGAATGTCATGGGGGCATATCTCACATCACAGTCATTCGTGCCCCTATTACTCAAATCCGAACACCCTTGCTTGATTCAAGTGTCCAGTGGCCTAGGCTCACTTGGCCTAGCTGCCAACCCTGCTGATCCACACTATAATGCGCCCTGGGAAGGCTATCGAATGAGTAAAGCTTCGTTAAACATGGCGACCCTGCAGCAGCATAAGCAACTCCATTGCCAAAATGTTCGAGTTTTCGCCTACTGCCCAGGTTTGGTTAGGAGCAACCTGCGGGGGAAATCCGAGGATGCGGTTAGTGCTGGCGGGGCCGCTGGAGACCCTATGACTTCTGCAAGGGGGCTCTTCGATATAGTTGAAGGTAAACGGGATTCTGAAGCTGGGCAATTCTTAAATGCTAATGGCACATATCCGTGGTAAATCGACTTTCGGGTTTATGTCGGCATTTGCGCTAGTCTTCTCGCTCGTTTTGGTATAGAGATAGGCTAGATCATATTTCATTTTCCAATGTGTTGATCTTGCCTTTTCTTCGTCGTTCCGGATCCGCAGCTTTGTACCCGCTTACCCCTGGTACCAAACTTTTTCGTGGGCCTTTTACCGGGAGAAGGGGCCCAGAAATCTGAAAAGAACGTCACAGTGGGTCGATGAAAATTGGGCAAAGCTGAAAGATGGGTACTACTGTAATTTCAGTAGGCTGCTCCCGAGGTAAGAGAAATCTAAGCTTATGATTGGAGTTCAATGATCAAACAAAAATGGCTGGTATTCAATTCTCAACAGAAGGGTATATGGGGGTCATTATCAATTAAAGCTTATAGATACATCAATGGGTATAAAAGTCCAGTCACATTATTGTCAAATTAGTATGTAACAGGTCTTCACTTGTCTCGTATCCCGTTAACCAGGTGGCTATGGCTAGATCTAGACCATGTTGCCGGGCTGCTCGTTGAGAGTAGCCTCCGAGCTGGCAGAGAGACGGCGGTGGTTCCTGACAAACTTGGGCCAAGTGTTGGTGAGCACCAGGTACTTAATGCTCTGCTCAGCCTCATCGAAGATTGTCGCGCAGAAATCCGTAGGAATATCACCCCAGAACATAACCCGGTCTTTGATCGAAGAAATCGAGCTACCGCTACCAGTACCCTTCTCGGAAAACTCGGACTTGCTGGGCGACGGGATGTCGAAGGTAAACTTGTCGAAGGGGCTGACGGGGTCAACCTCGCGTTCTTCACCGTAGAGAATGGAAGTAGGCTTCTCGAAAACAGACTCGAGGTGCTTGAGATCGGTGGACGAAATGTTCAAGGGGAACTCGGCGTGGTGGACACTGATGAACTCGGCGTAGATGTGCAGGGCGCGGTTGAAATGCTCGCGAAGGAGATCGCGGAGATTGTCGTCCTTAGCGCCAGGGCCATCCAGGATAGCCTGGGGCAGGGAGTTCTTCCACTCGGCGACGCTGGTGAGGAAAGCAATGTTCTCACCAGAGAAATCGTTGAGAGCAGAGAACTTCTGGAGAGGATCCGGGTTACGATCGAGAACATATTCCAGGGCACCCATTGTCAGGATACTGTCGCGAGAAGAGCTGTTGTCACTCTTGACAGAGCCCTTGGACGACCAACCAACGGAGAGCATAGAGTCAACCATAGTGGAGGTGGAGTTCATGGACTTGCCGTCGGAGGATTCGCCCTTGACCTTCTTCTCCCAGTTGGAGATCGCATCGAGGGTTTCCTGGCGAAGAGACTGGTGGCGCATGACCTCCCAGCAGGGAAGGAAAACCGTGAATATTTCAATGGAGATAATAGAAAGACAGATCCACTGAGGAGGAAGGAAGTACTGGTTGACAACCTCCATTTGAGGAACGTAAAGACCGATAAGCCACATCGGAGTGGCGTGTAGATTAGACAGACAGCAACCAATAGTCTGAACCCTCCAGCCTTGAGTATCTTGGATGTTGCGAGACTTCCACAAGATAATCGGAGCAACGACCCAGGCCCAGAAGAATTGCAAGACAACGCCGGGCCACCATTCCCATCCACTGCCCATCTCAGACTTCTGTTGCATCTCGGAGCCGTGAGTTTCGGTACCGGGAATACCCCAGGTGCTGTGATACTTGCGGGAGATAACCCACATAAGGACTGTGAGAAAGATCTGGAGGAGCATACCGGCGCCGACGAGGATGAGGATCCGGGTGTTGTAGGCGAGGCTACAGAAGCGGTTCAGCAGGCCTTTCTGGTTCTTGGGCTCGGGGTTCGAGTTGAGAAGGGCCTTGCCGCCGTCGACGTATTTCTTCTGAAGTTTGGCGACGTGGAGGAATCGACTGTTGGAAGCGTGGAAAAGAGAAATGCCGCATGGCAACCAGAGACCCATAATCCAGTATTCGGTATCACCGGGTGCGAGGGCACCGTACATGAGACCGACCTGGACAAGGATCCAATAAACGTGTAAAAATGCGATTGCAGAGAGTGACAGCCCGAGGCCACGGATTCGGAGGATAGGCGAGTTGCGATTATGGATGAGATACCACATTCCCAGTACCACGGGGATTGTCCAGACAACAGTCCAGACAGCCCACCAAATGGTGACTGGGGAAATGAGGAGCTCCGCCTTTGAATCGGCGTGCACATTGAGTTCCGATCCCATGGCGAGGGGGTTTGCTTAACGAAGCTGAAGGAATGTGGTGAAGTTGGATAGCTTGACTAACATCAAATCCAGCGCGGCGCAATCGTGGGGGCGCGTTATTATATCAACAAAACAAGACTAAAATGGGCGCCAGCCGTGTGGGTTGTTACGTGCGGCCGGCGCCGAGTTAAAACTCTTAGTTTAGTACAGCGTTTTGTCGATGCGAAATTGTCCCCTGTAGATCGTACCAAGTTGAGGAGGTCGCAAAGTGGGCCGGTTAAGCCTAACAGAGTAGATAGTGGAGTAGAGATTTGGAATTTGTGCGAGGTCGCCTGCAGGAACAAACCACTAATCTCGATTCATCGCGCTATCGATCGATCGAGGTACTCCCAAACTATCGAAGTTAATTCGAATTTCAAACCGTCGTCATGGACTCAGAATGCCCACGAATTTCCACATGGGGAACACTTTCAATCCTGCAGCCGCGGCACTGGATACTATTCTCCGATCGTAATGATATCTCACATTCGGCTTTACTCGCAATTGACAATTTTTTCTCACAATTAAAACTAGACTTTAAACTACTTTTAGGCATTTAGCAATTGTGTTAAAACATCTGACTATCTTTGTTTTCTTCTTTTACTTACCATCATCTGTATTTCAGGGGTGATCTGTACTAAAGTTAACCGCTGTTTCCGAGGCTTGCGCATATGATATATTCCATATGCACCCAAGATGCCCTGTCATAATCTGTACATACTATACAAAAGTACACAGTGGTATCATATCAAATCCCTCCTTTATATTAGTACTACGAGTACGGAATCCGGAAGCCCCGGGGGCCACGACGCGAGCCACGATACGTTAGAACACGCTACGCTGGAACGAACGCCGGCGCCCACGAGGGAGATCCCGTCCCGTCCGCAAGTGGGCCACGAAGTAATAGTGTGTCGCTAACCATACCAATCAAAGATTAGCTCTCACTTGGCGCTGGAGTCATAAAATCAAGGCAGGGGAAGTCGAGCCTGGTACCTGGAACGCCGCAACCCCAGCCATGCGCCCATTGCTCAGATTAAGCACATCCGGTTCTTCACCGAGCCCGCGACTATTGACAAGTAAAGCTCCACCGCGAGTGGGTGATATCTCAATTGAGGCAGTGGCAGGGCTTCAAGGACCCTCTGGAAAGTGGACCGCGCCACCGAGGATCCCCTGCTCACCTACATGAGCAAATGTTGTTGATTGGTGAAGCAAACCTATCGCATCGGGCGCTCCAGGAGTCCGTCTTATCGCGTGCTCGCGTTCGCTCGCGCCGTTTGAGTGGCTGGGTTTCCCACACGGCTATGAAGGAATCGTACTATTGACATTCCCACTTGGCACCTTCAGAAAAGATGAGGGGGTGTGTGGAGAGGGAAAAAAAGTCCCACATCTATCGGCAAATACCCCCCGGATTCTTTGAATAGAAATTATGGGACGTAGGAGAGGGGCTTTATGCAGCAAAAGGGGGCGTGTCGGCCCTACCATTCTGATCGGGACCCGAAAATCTGGTATAGCGATCTCCGTTTGGACATTGCGCCTGGCCAATGCTGAAGCCAACTTGCAGAAGTGTGGATTCAAGCAAGCAACACAGCCAGTTGATCACAGTGAGATCACAGGTGAAATCACAGTTGTCTTGGGCTGCAACAGCACCTGGAGTGCAGTAGCTCGATTCTAGGCTATTGTGCAGTGCAGCTACAAGTCAAAGAGCAATTATCTCAAATTAACTTCAATATCCCAAAGAAATACGCCCAGTCGCGGTCATTTTCAAAAACAGGATCACATACCCCCCACCACTTACCCCAAATGACTCGTGCGTGGCACGCCGTACAAACTGGTGTTTCGCCTAAAATTGGGTAATTCTTCCCCGAGTCTCCTGAAGGCTTCACTAATCCGACTAGTTCACACTCGCATAACTTGGGTCGCGATAGACTATTAAAATCTAGACCGACCAGCAAGGCAGATGAAAAAAGAAAGGAACACCCGATAACATCTTGATTCGGCAAGTAGAACAGAATTCATCCATTTCGTAGCCTAGAATCAAAGTCTCTCGGCCCAGAGACCCGGTACACGGTGTCGAAAATGAATTTTCCAGGCTTGTCATGCAAGGCGTTTATCCATAACAACCCTTTCAGTTTGTCTTGAAGTTCATCCCAATTATTTACCTCTAATGCTGTAAGGCAAACTCTCAACCAAGATAATAGCCAGTGATCATCAGCCGGGGTGAACAGAGAAATGCTGCCTACCATGAGAAGCCAAACCAGGCTGAGCAATGGGATCTGCCCAGGCGGGAGACTGAGAAGACGATCCCGATAAATGTTCGGAAGGTACGTGTGTGGAGACGGTATATTTCGCACACGTAAGAAGACGTGCGAAGAGAAGGCCAGCAGCCCAAGGCGGATAGTTTCATCGACAGGATTAAGTTCGTTCTTGACGCGAACCACCCGATACATCACAGATCCCATAGTTGTTAAAAGTACTTCCTTAGGAAGCCGACGCCCGCGCTTTGTTGCATAATTGATCACCGAGCAAAATCTTATCATCGCCGTCCAGGCTTGTTGCAGGTCCGTGCAGCAGATGCTTGACGCGACCGGCTGCAGTGAAGCTCCTACCCCTGGTGACGTCTCTGTGATCAGCGGTGTTAGATCATAGGGTATCAGGGGCTCCAGTGTTGGGTTTTCAAAGAAGACGGTTTCCATTCCGTAGTTGATAGCCATTGCTAGATCGCATCTACCCAAAATGGACATGTAAGCACGAGACGGCAATACTCGTAGATTGCTCGGGGTTGGCTTACTTCATTAATTCGATGATCAGCTTTGGGTTATACCTGAATGCGTATATTCCGCCCTTCAAATCGGCCATTTTCCGCAAGCCTTGAAGATGATGCTTGGCGGAGGAAATGTCGCCCACAAGATGAGCATGCGTGGCCAGGTAAAGGACCACGAGGATCGTGGAATTCCATGTTTCTCTTTCCTTACTTTGACCCGAGATTCTCTCGCGAAGTAACCGAAGAGCTTCAGAGTAGTGTACCATCCTCGGCATGTGGATGCTGGGTTTTGGATGCCTGATACGAGGGACGAGTAGGACTGACAGAGAAAAAACGACGGAATGCAAGTATGCCACGTCGTATGTCAAGAGGTCGAACCATAAAGTGTCAACCTTATCGTTTTTGTGAAAGTCGATGTGGTCTGCCAGGGGATACATGACTTTTTTTGCCATGAAGCAGACTGCTCGCGAGTCATCATCAGTCAGTATAATTAGCGTGTCAGCCCTAGAGGATATATCTCTAAAACTCAGGCTTACATCTCAACATCTCTTGTAACAATGCTGGTTCGACCGGTGCGGCAAATCTGGAGAAGGAAAGCTCATTGCCAACCTTGTTGGGTATTGATGGATATCGCATTTTGAGCACAAGAGCCGATGGTCTATCTGAATCGAGCTTGGAAGATCCTAGATCCCGGCGCGGTGTCTTTGTATTCGGCTTCCGGGTCTTGCCGCGGTTTTTGCCCACCATGACATGCTGTCTGATGAGCTTGCGCTTATCCGACCCGGCCTTGTGTAGGCCATCTGTAAGAATGAATGGCATATTGACTAATTCGGTAACATGAGACATCCAAGATATCATCTTATAGCGATGATCCGAAATAGCTCACCGTATTCTTTTTGGGCGGCCATGTTGGCTGCGGGCGAGCCTGTCGTCCGTTGAAATATGTATTCAAAAGCTGCTGTGCGGCTTAAGTACCCGAAATTTCGCTAAAACCATCAGAAATCAAAGACGATAAAGTCCTTGTCTTTCATCCACCGGGGGACCAAAGCCCGAGGTTGCCAGGTTGCCGGGTAGTGAATGAAATGCGCTGAGTCATTTTTCACGCCTCCGGGTTTAGGCCGCAACGTTCGGACATATCAACCCCTACGCTACTAGTATCTTTTCAAGCATGCATATCGAAAAGATTATGCCAAAACAAGTCCGAACGACAGTCTACGAGAGTAAAAGTCGCGCAAGTAATCCATAGAATTACATTTATACTTGGAGACAAGTGCTGGGTGGCTTCGCGAACTTTTTGGGCAGTAGTCCTGAGTCCTGACTAAAGATAGCGTTTCTGCTCATTTCGTTTGTGAGGCAAGACTTTCACTCAAGCTAAGATCGGCTACTCTTGATGCAATAAGATCCGCTGGTCAAATCCCTGCCCCATTACTCCGTATTCCATAGTGATTCAGACACCACCGCGTCGACGATTCCATTCTCGGATGATGTTGCGTTGTTTTTCACGCATCGCAACTGTGAATAAACCAGCCTCCGTCTCAATATCTGTTTCATATTCGATCAGTGTACTAGAAACACTGTTATGACCCTTTTCAATAGCACCCTTTAATGCTTTACCCATGTTTTGGATGTTACCCTGATGCAGGACGGCCTTCACAACCGAGAGATAACCAAAACTCGAAGCTAGAACTACAGCGTCCTCTTCCCATATGTTCTCACCTTCCATGTAAGCTCCTGATTTGATAAGAGATAAAGCTACGCCCTCTTGTCTACCGCGGAGAGCTGCTAACAAAGCTGTCCCATGGTCTCCTCCTCTAGCATTGACGCTTGCGCCTCTGCTTATGAGGAACTCGACCATACCGGGTTTTCCCATACATGCCGCAACATGCAGCGCTGTCCCAAATTCCCTGGCAATTTCATTGATGTCAGCTCCGTGTGAGAGGAAATAGTCTACCAGCTCCGTGTAGCCGAGAGTTGTGACAAAGATCAGACCCGTCGTGTCCGGCGTCCTGTACTCGAAATTCCAAGCATCTAAGTAGCCAATTTTACCCCGTTGTTCGTGTTCCCAGTATACCGGATACCAGAAACTATATTCAGTATTTTCGGTTCCACAGAGCTTATGAACGAGTGGCGTTATCAGTTTGCGGTCGTCCATCCGTACTCTCGAAAAGTGTGCAGGCCAATAGATTGCAGCGTAGTCTAGAAACTCGAAGATCTTTGACAGTTCATCGATGTCGTCATCGTTGTACTCGTCAGACTCGGAAGAAGATATGGAAGAGCTTTGATAGAGGCCCTTGAGAAGGAGAAACATGATACAGGTCTTGGCCATCAAATTGTTCGACTCTTGCAGGTCGAAAGTGTGCCTGCATTGGAACGACATCGAACATGTAAGGCTCTTAGAGCAACGTGGGTGGAATTATCTTATGGGTATTAATTAGCCTCAAAGATTGACAGAATTTCATAGTTGGGAATACTACATTGTGACCTGAAACTAGATCCAGCACGGACACGGGATCTGCGATCGATGCCACGGCCGTTGTTAGGGAAGAGTATAGTGATGATTCGGAGGAGGAGGAATTTGAATCCTCCGATGGTGATGATGATGAGTCTGTTATTGATTTCCTGCTAGGAAGTATAACTGGCACCATAGATAAGCTGTATCGCTTGTCCTCCAAAATTCGGAACCCTGCTATGCGACTTGGATTTTCCAGATCTCTCAAGTATCATGAGGTTGACCCTGAAACCGGGGTAGATCTTATAGACCAGCTGCGAGACTACGATCGCCGCCATATCGAACAACTCATTTGCCTTTATCGTTATACTTCCCCAGAAAATGTCAAGAATGACTTTTTGGTATAACGTCTAGCCAAAGCGAACACTCGACGGCGGCAAAAATTTAAGCATTGGAAGAAGAGGTCACAATTTGACACCTTACCCAAGGCGGATGAGAGGCAGCCTGGTACTGCTGTGCTAAAAACTCCATCTCGTCCCTCTACAGCAACGTTCCTTGATTTATCTAAGGTCAGTCTAGACGATAGTCTGTCTATAGTATCAAGTTCAACCATCGCGATTACCAAAGATGAAGAAAAAGGCGATTCCTTCTCCATCCCACCGCCACCGAATTATCTTTGGGTGAAAAATGAGTTTGAATGCCCTTATTGCTTTACATTGTGCCCGGGTAAGCTGCTGAATCAAACAAACTGGCAGTAAGTAGAACCAAAGCATGGTATTGGAAGTCGAAATGACTGACTATTGGAAGAACTCACATTTTGCGTGATCTACGTCCATACATTTGCACCTATGAGCACTGCAAAGATGCAGATCAACAATACGACAGCCTTCGGGACTGGATCAATCATGAAGCTGTGATGCATCGAAGTAAGCCTGGCGTGGCTAAAAGCAAGAATGAGGATTCGGGTAGCCCAGAATCCCGAACATGCCCATTTTGTTACGAAGACGCGGGGCCCCATCATATGGCAGCACACCTCCGAAGAGTGGCCTGCTTTTCTCTTCCAAGATTTATGGGAGAGGAGGATATTTCTGTTGGGGATAGCGAGATGTCTAACAAAGCCGAAATGAGATCAAAGGATACCGTGATTTCTGAAGCGAATTACGAAAGCTCAGTGGGCGGAACTGGATCTGCGTCTGAAACCGAAGAACGCAATATAAACCGCACTAATAATACTGCACCATTTGCACTGGAAGATCTCGGTCGACGGATGTCAAGATCCGAAGATATTGAGTCAAAAGTGGATGGATTCCATGGGTATCCGAACACGAAGGAAATTCTTGACCTGGAAAGTATTCCAGAAAATGTCGACTACCGCCAAATACGTGAGCGCGACGCGGCCTATGCGATAGGGGTAGAATTAGAATTTGATGCAGATGAAGATGCAGATGCGGCAGCGGCAGAAGCTGAGGCGGCGAAACAAGAAGTAGCCCCTTGCACACCTTCAGCTCCAGCAGAAAAAAGGAAGCCCATCAAATATAAAGACTGTATCGGAAGAAAATTCGAATTCCCTTTCGAGTTAGCCGACACATGGCAAGTATGTCTGCCCTATTTCCCTTGGTGGTCGATAGAACGGAATTGATGATTGTTTGCAGGGGATGGAAGAATTGATATATCAAGCTTTCTTGAATGTCCCAAGCATCGGGCCACATGTCTCTGAGGGCCACTATGATTTGGTGGGCCGGAACGGTGATATACTTCTCCCACAACTTTGGGAAGAAGTCATAGAGCCTGGCATGAAGATTGTCATGTATATGTGGCCCATTCCCGAAAAGCCGAAAGAGCCAGAGCCTAGCACGACTGACAACATCTCGCAATCAAAGTTGCCTGACAGAGGTAAGTTCATACTGAAGGCTATTCTTTCTTTCTTTTTCTCGGTTTCCAAGCTAGTGTTCAATTCAAAAACCATCATTTAACCGCAATATTTTTGAGTTTTAGGAAATGCCAAAAAGCCACTGGATGATGGGGGAACATAAACGCAAGGCCATGTCTAAAAAAAAGAGGAACTTTCCAAATATTGTGAAGTGATGCCGGAGGGATCCGAGAATAATGATGAAGATGGCATCGATATTCCGAAAGGACAATAAGAAAGAAAGAGCTACCTAATGTGCGGCTATCTTCATAAGCTGTGGTGGGGGTGACTAGTCAATGCATTAATTAGTTCATACTCATCTGCCGCCTACATGCTTAGCTACCATTCGTATATTTTTGGTTAGTATTCAATTCGAAGAAACCGAGGTGATAGATCGATCCTTATTCCATCTTTATCCCAATATATGCCCCTTCCCAGCTGCTTCTAATACATACGACCATAGGGTGTGGAGAACAGGGCTTCCCGTCCGCTCAGCCGTACTTAAGCCACATACTAAACGTTGCCTCGTATGCGATAAATGCTGCCAGATGAGTGCCGAGATGTTTGGTTGCTCAGTGATGGTATTTTGTAAAGCCTCTATTGACTGTGTAGCAGCTTTCAGTCGGCCGAGCGCTTTGGTCGAGAGGAGCTACTTGGTAACGGGGACCAGACGTTCCTAAGTTTCTAGGTTGTTCGTCAGTGCCGCTCTTCTCACTGAGTCCTGATAAATACTATGTGGGTGACTGCCCTCAGTTTGAAAGGGAAAAAGTCCGAAAATCACCGACCGGGATATCTGTTGAAGGTTGGGCTAGGGTCGCAGACCTCTGGCGCGAGGCGCTCCTCCGGGGTGACCACGCACCCCTCCGACACCGTGTGAGTATTTCTCGCCCAAGCTTGCACAAAGGTACCCACCCCTGTCCGTCCATAACTGCATGATGTGCAATCACGGACTCCGCACGCGTTCCTCCCACGGTGCCAATGTAAATGGATTGATGGTTTCCAGTGTTTCCATCTCTATGCTTTTCAGCGCGTCTGCGACCTGATACAATGGCGAACGGTGGTGGTATCTTCTGAATTTCTTGATCTGAGCTGTACTCCTGCGGATGGGATTGGTTTCTGCGCTTGCGCTCCTACCTTTTGCACTCTGTTGATCGACCTGGTGTTCTTATTCTTGAAAATGTGCATCCAGACATTGGAGGCGTAGTCCACCACCGGGGCCACGGTCGATGTAAATAGCTGCCGCGCTGTTGCTGGGGATAGGCCTCGAAGTCGTCGAAGCTCCATCGCTGCCTCCAGGCCCTTGGACGCTGCCCTCGCAATACAAGTTGCGTACGTAGGTGAGTAGTATATATAAGTAGTGGGTGTAAGTAGTAGTAACATTGAGGCTATACATCAGATAAAAGGCTGGATTCTCCCTCTCCAAATTCTGAATTTGATCATCATCGTTAGTACTATCAGATCAAGTTTATTATCCGTCTCCACTTTGTGTGTCTGTGATCTGATCTCCAATTTGGAGTAGCAGTTTGTCCCTTGTGGGGTATAAGTGTCTCAATAGTGGCCAGCACCACCCAGGTGGGGCGTGGCACGAGTACCGCTCTTGGACGATCCCCAACTTTTCTGGACATCACGAGAGAGTCGCTCTGACTCATCCCCATATCCCACCCTTCTCTCGGCGTGTCAATCAGCATGACTGGCAAAGGTGGCGATTATTTTCCAGTGCAACGCATCGCCCAGGCGTGTCTCCCATGTCGGTATGCGGATTGAGCGCGTCATTACCCTTCCCCCTCCTTCGCGCTGGAGCTGACCTTCGAAGACGCAAGAAATGCCGTTGCACCGGTGACCGGCCCGCCTGCGCCCAGTGCCAGCGTTTAGGCACTGGTCAGTGAAATTTCCCATTCTTTCCTTTTCTATTCGTTATGTGCCCTTTTTGCTCCCGTTGTTTTTATTCTGGCTACTTCATTCTATGTTTGCATTTTCCTTCGAAGCGTGACCCAAGCTTGACGTCTGACAATGAGCCAAGAATGTACATACGTCGATGAAAACCCCGGGCATTATGCCGGACCTCGCCAGATCAGCCGTAATGACCCCAGCAGCTCGCAAGACAATGCAGGGACTGGAGAAACGCAGGTACAATACCGATCATGATACAATACCGAGTAAGGCGCTGATTGACACGCATCTGCCCGGCCATCTCTAGACCACCGAACTGCTACGAAGGGTTACGACCCTCGAGGCAAAGATCGAGAATGTCGGATCATCCCTCCAAAGGTGAGTCTCCTGGCTCGTATCAACGTTTTCTGGAACCAGGCGCAGTTGACGATCCCCGGGTTAGGATCGAGGAGTGCCTGGTAGTCCTTTTGGATGGCGACAATTCTCGCCGTATTGGCCTATCGACACCCGCGAAGCAAGGAGATAACCGTTCCGGGAAATCCGATGCGACGACAGAAAGAGCCGTCAGCTCGAACGCCCAGCTGTCGGAATCTCTCTTTGAGGATTTCGGAATACCGGAAGATGTCTTCATGGCTGTCATCGATGCTTACTTTCATTATTGTCACAACCAGCCCTACTCCTTCTTTCACGAGGAGAACTTTCGGCAACGCCTGCGAGCGCAAATAATTCCAAAACATCTAGTACTGACCGTCGTGGCGACGGCTGTCAGATTCTGTCCGCACCCATACTTCGCCAGACGGTTGCATGAGGCCTCCGTGGATTATGCAAACAGGGCCTGGAAGCTCATCGTGGCCGACTGCTTCACAGTTGGCAAGGTCGCAGAAGTATCCACTGTGCAGACGGTTGCTCTGCTGGGTCTTTTCGACTTCACAGGTAGGTCCAGCGATTTGTTGGTAAGATGATATATAGAGAGGTCGTGCTGTTTGCTAATGTCTTTGTGTGTGGTCGTCATCTAGCCGGTCGATCACGCCATGGGTCAGCATGGGTGAAGGTTGGGCTAGCTGTGAGGATCGCTCAGGATTGCGGGCTCATGCTGGAGAACGCCACATCCCTTCCCTACGCGGAGCAGGAGGAAAGACGCCGCGTCTTCTGGTCCGTCTTCCTCTTGGATCGCTTGGTCTCCTGTGGTCGTGGCCGGCCACCGGCCATAGTGGATGCGTCGTGCCATCTACAGCTGCCGTCCGATGAACCAATATGGAGGAGCGGGCTGTGGACCAAGACTCAATCGCTGGATGAAATGGCGAATCGCACGCTGCCAGTAACGCAGAGGCAGGGCGCGTTTGCCCGAGTCATAGCCATTGCGCAGATCTTGGGTCGGAGTGCCCAGTTCATGCTGCAGGACTCCAACATTCGAAATCTGCATCCCCCGTGGGACCCAAGCTCCGAATTTGCCGCCATGGAGTCGGACCTGCTGCACTTTGAGGCGTATCTGGACATCCAGCTCCCTGTCAAAGATGTACTGGCTCCGCATATTTCGGCTGAAGGAGTCGTGGATTCGCAATCCACGGGCCCAATCATCTTTTCCCGGGCCCTATTTCACCTCTGTTACTGTTTACTCAACCACCCTTTCCTGCTCCGGCGACGCATCGACACGTGCCGTAATTTAGCCCCCATGAGCTTCATGAAACGATCCTCCGATTTGGCTTGGCACCACGCGCAGCAGATGATGGCACTAATCCGCGAAGCACGCAAGTGTGGTTGCTCGTTTCACTCCTCGTCCAGCGGATACGCTGTCACCGTGGCGGGCTCCATCATAGCATTGCGCACCTACGATTCGGATCCGCAGGTTTTTGAGAAAGCCCAAGTCTTGCTCGACGAGGCCCTATTATATCTAGACACTGTTGGCCAGCACTGGAGTAACGTGATCACAATGGTATGTTTTGAGAGTTCTTGGAGGCCGCTTTTTCCTGTTTTTGCGCTGATGCGTGTCTCCACAGGCTTCAATGCTCCGACGGATGGTCTATAATGGATTTCTAGGCAGTAGCCTACTTGATTTGACGCAACCATCGACGCTTACCCAGGTGGAGGAAGAGACGCTCTGGGCGGTGGTTGACTACAATACCATGTCCGATCAAGATGCAGACGACACGATCATGGATGAACAGACGGCAGACGGGGCCTTATTGAGCTCGTGGGTTGAGCTGTTTGGCGCGGTCGATTATTCATCATTCCCTACCATGAGCACGATTAACCAACATTGAGAAAGCCGGTAGAAGAACGGGATTTTCCCGACCCCCATGTACGATGTATCCGGATATAGCCAGTTTGATATACACACGTGTACTTGTAACAACGGCTTCATAATAAAGAATCACGCTCTGAGTCTACAGTCATATCTACTCATGGACTCAAATATGAAGTACTTGATTGAAGCGTGAACGTGTTTGGTACTAGAGACCTGGCAATACATGAGATGATTCTGTCTGGTTCATTTAACCAACAGAGAAGCAAGTCTACAGCTTGGGCTTTCCTTCTGAAGACTTCAGAGCGTCGAGAGCCTCATATATCACACTGAAGTCTCGGTCGCCAAACTCCTTTGTTTCCGCCAATGGCCTGTACGTCTTCTCTACGCATTGTCCAACGTTGAGAGGAACGCCGGCCTGCTCAGCGGCCTTCACTGCTAGGGCGAGATCCTTATGGGCCAGCTTGGTAACGAAGCCACCTTCATAGCCGCGGTGGGCTGGAGGACTGGATTCTCCGACCTTTACCTCAGGAACAGGATGATTGATCTACGAGGTTTTGTCAGAGTACGAATTGATTGAAATGGGCTAGGGCGCCACGGCACTCACCTCACTGGACCAGCAACGGCCGGTGGAACTGTTAATAATATCTGCAAGCACCTGAGGGTCCACTCCAAGCCTCTTACCCAGAAGCATTGCCTCGCTACACTGCATTAGCTTCTCGACGAATAATATGAGTCATCCTGATCAGTCTTACCTTAGACCAAGCATAGTGATTCCAAGTAGAAGGCTGTGAAGGGACACGCGCGAAAAGCGCCAGTTGATCAGTCGGGAGTTTCTTTCTCTCAAAGTTCTCTCTAGGAAGAGAAAGGGAAGGCGGGGGATCATCGTATCAGTCTTACTTATTAGAGATCTTCGCCGCAAGTCCAGCCCCGAGATCACCACAGTAAGTGACCTTGCGAGCCATGGACTGCAAAACCGGGACCGAGCGGTCGAAGGAAGCCTTATCGCCTCCAACCATGATGGCGAGCGTGCCGTTCTCCGCTCCAACAACACCTACAGATCATAGGTTAGGCACAAGCTTGTGACGATGGCACGACTTGGTAGATGGCAATGTGGACTTACCTCCTGACACTGGGGCGTCCAGCATGTCTGCACCAGCTTTTCTGAGCTCCAGGGCGACAGCCTTGCTGACGCTCTGCTCGATAGTGGATTGGTCCATGCAAAGGGTCGCCGAGCGTTGGTCCTGGCTGAGTGTCTGGAGAGCGCTAAAGACACTCTTCTCTCCGTCAACGTATACATCCCGCACGTGCCTGCCCGTTGGCACCATGCTGATGATCGTTGACGCTTGCTTGGCTACTTCATATGGCGCTGTGTGCGGAGTCAGCCATGTTTCAGTTTTGAGCTAGCATCTGCCATGGGTTGTCACCTACAGGGACACTTGATGAAAGGAACATTAGGACTCTCCAAGCTGTGTCGCTTGATGACGCTATCTACCGCGGCGTCGTTCACGTCGCACAGGGCGAATGCGGTCTGACTACTATCTCCAGGAGATGTGTATCTTTTCACGAGGTTATGAAGCTGTGGTGATGTGGCTCAGAAGTGGGTTCTATCCATGCGACTCCCGTGTGCGGCGGCTTACCATGTGGTTTCCCATGGCACCCAGGCCAATGAACCCGATTGTGTTGGCTCTGTCTGTTGGGATTGCCATTGCGGATGTTTGTGAGAAGTTTCTTTCGTTTATAGAGCGAGAGATCGAGGTTTGTGAAGGATTGAAGGTCAGGCTGCCCTGTAGGTGAAGAGGTCGAGAGTGTAGAGACCCCAGTGTATTCCGCGTCTGCCGAATGATGTTAGAGGCTTGCATATTTAAGGGCGAAATCGAGAATCAAAAATATAACAGAAGGATGAATCGAATTGCCTTGCTCCCAAAGAAATACCAAGTTTACATATAACAACTTGTTATGCTTGGGGTAATGGGGTTCTCAAAGCGAAGTATACGGGTTCGGAGTGGGGACGGTCCGGGGTGGAGACCGGTCCGTCTTGGGCTGGGAAGTTGAACAGCCCTTGAGAAGACATTCCCGATGAGAGCTTGCGACGATTAAAAGGAGCTGATACGGGCCAGGTGGTGACGTAGAGGAAACTTGGTGGACAGAAGGACCGAGGATAAAAAGGACTATAGCTTATCATCGCGGGATTCTGATTCATACATCACTTTCCTTCACAACGCTCAACCCATCAGTCTCCTCCACTAAGCTGTTAAGCTGTTTCCTTTACCTTCATTTGCGGAGACAAGCCATGCTTCCGACTCTTGGGAGACTGCGACTCTGTGCCCCCCCGAGCCGAATTGCGACCGGTCCTGCGCGCACCGCTGTCGTCCTCCAACATGTCATTTCAAGCTTCACGAAGACTGGGCTCCATTGCTTCGCATCTCGGGGCCAAATCTATCGTTACTGACTCGACGGCTGGATACCACATGACCCACGAGCCTGTCACGAACCCCCCAGATACCCCAAACTTCCTGGACAACTCCTTTGTGCGCTCTGCCACGTCGCAATGGATCGATCTTAAGGATCCGGCAACAAACCAACAGGTTACCCGGGTACCAGAGAGTACAGATGAGGAGCTTCGGCAGGCTGTCGACTCTGCTGAACGTGCTTTCCCCGCCTGGAAGGCCACGAGTCTTCTCCACAAACAGCAGATCATGTTCAAATTGGCCGCCTTAATCAGAGAGAGCATGGACCGTCTAGCAGCTTCGATTACACTTGAGCAAGGAAAGACCTTCGCGGATGCCAAGGGCGATGTTCTGCGTGGTCTGCAAGTTGTTGAGACTGCTTGTGGCATCACCACCCAGATCCCTGGCGAGGTCGTCGAGGTGTCCAAGGATATGGAGACCCGTTCCTACAGAGAGCCCTTGGGTGTGGTCGCTGCAATTTGCCCCTTCAACTTTCCGGCCATGATTCCCCTCTGGTCTCTTCCAATTGCCACGATCACTGGAAACACGATCGTGCTGAAGCCTTCTGAGAGGACACCCGGGGCCTCCATGATCATCGCCGAGCTTTGCCGAAAAGCTGGCTTCCCTGACGGCGTGGTAAACATCATTCATGGCGGCAAGCGCGCCGTCAACTTTATCATTGATAATCCCGCTATCAAGGCCATCTCCTTTGTCGGCTCTAACCAGGCAGGTGAATACATCTATGAGAGGGGCTCCGCCAAGGGCAAGAGGGTGCAGGCCAACCTCGGTGCCAAGAACCATGCAGTCATCCTGCCCGACGCCGACAAGAACCTAGCGCTCAACAGCATCGCCGGTGCCGCGTTTGGGGCCGCTGGTCAACGGTGTATGGCCCTGAGTGCGTTGGTAACCCTTGGCAGAACAGACGAGTGGCTCCCTGCTCTCGTGGATCGAGCCAAGAAACTTCAGATCAATGGCGGATTTGAGCCGGAAGCAGACTTGGGGCCGTTGGTGTCCCCAGAGAGCCTAAAGAGAGTGGAGGATCTTATCGCCAGTGCCGAGGCGGAGGGGGCAACAATCCTCCTTGATGGCAGGGGTCAAAGGCCGGCCAAGTACCCTAACGGAAACTTTGTAAGTCGCTCTTTTCTCTTTCTGATGCAATTAACTGATTATTTCTCCAAGGTCGGTCCTACAATCATCACAAACGTCAAGTCGCATATGAAGTGCTACACCGAAGAGATCTTCGGCCCAGTCCTCGTCTGCTTGAGTGCTGATAACCTCGATCAGGCTATCAAACTCATCAACGACAACCCTTACGGTAATGGAGCCGCAGTGTTCACGAGGTCCGGAGGTGCGGCCGCAAAGTTCCGGAAGGGTCTCGAGGCTGGACAGCTCGGCATCAACGTCCCGATTCCCGTGCCCCTCCCCATGTTCTCATTCACCGGCAACAAGAAGTCAATTGCTGGAACCGGCTCTCTGAACTTCTATGGAAAGGATGGCCTAAGATTCTATACGCAGTGGAAAACTGTGACTTCTCTATGGAAGTCTGAGGACATCGGCACGACACAGAGTTTGGTGAACATGCCAAAGGTGGAATAGGTTGATGACTTGTGATATGTATAGTTTTTAGAAATTTATAACCTTCCGAACAATGAGTTACACTGGCAAGCGTACTTCGTTACTCTTTATTATCTACTTCGGCGTCCAAGTCATACAGGACCTGCCGCTTGGTCTATGCAGGCTACTTCTCTCGCCGCTACCATCAACACTGACCTGTGGCTTACCTCCTAAGAAGCAGCAACCCTTACTGTGATTTATTCTTTCAGCTGCTTTGCCACATTATATGCTTCCTTATTCTCTGGTGCCTCTCATAGGCTGCTATGCCTCACGGTGACCCCTGGTAAGCGGGATCGTTTTTGATCACAGTGATCAATCTACTGGAATCTATTACGCGAGTTTTTACGTGGCTACCCTTCTGAGATCTTAACCTATGACCAGTAATAGCTCCTAAGTCCCCAGTCTATTTTCTGGGTGGTGGTTTGTATATCAATGTTTGGAGGTACTAGGTGGAGCCTTCATCTCGCTTTCGATATGGACATATATGCCGTATATACAAAGACAGCAGCTAGCTCAGCACGTCCTGTGCCTCTATTCAGGGAATCTGAGCGGCCTAAGGCCGCTGGACAATTACTACTTGCCCCATCTGAGTTTGAGGAATTAGCATGAACCCAACGCCCTCGTCTAGGATCGATCTGACGATTTAAAGAAATATCTCAAGGCTCGGTTCATGCCTGTAATCGTGCCTATCTCCTTCCAGAAAGAGATCGGTGGATCGTCAATCATCGCCTGGATTTCGTAGATATCGATCGCTGGCCGCTCCCACACGAGATCGACTTCAGAGCCTTCCTTCAGCTTGGACCTTTTGACCACTTTCCAGAAGATATAGAGAATTGGGGCGAGAAGCTGCATCGTATAATTAGCAAAGAAGCCTTGGAGACTCCATGGCGTGAAAGCGCTATAGCCGTAGCCGATGGCCACAAGGAATTCCAGAACCAAGGAGATCCAAGCGCCGTAGGGTTGGAAGTATCCATAGTAGGGCAGATTCCTGCGAGTGACGCCTTGGACTTTGCAAGCGTTGTAGTAGCGCAGGTATGTAATCGATATGACGACGTAGTTTACGAGCCCGCCGCCAGCAATGACTGATAGAAGAATATTGAGGGCATTGGCGGAGCCATTGCTAACCGAAAGAAAGGATAGGAATGGGAAAAGCATGGTGACAAGGAAGCAATAGATAGGAATGCCCTTCTTTGTACATCTTTTGAGGAAAGGAGGTGCGTGTCCCTGGACTGCAAGGCCGTACAGGCAACGCACCGAACAGTATGTATATGTGTTGCCAGCAGAGAGAATGCTGGTGAAGAGGAGAGCGTTCACAATATGAGGCAGGACGGTGATGCCCATATTTTTCATTGCGATGACGTACGGAGAGCCAGCGGCGGTTGAGGAGCCTTCGCCGTTGATGAAGATTTGCTGCAGCTTCGGATCATTACTGGGGAGAACCACGCCGACGGCGAGCGCACTGCCGATGAAGAAGATGCCAAAACGGAGGTAGACGGTCTTGAAGGCTGTCTTGATGTAGATGGTTGGGTGTTTAGCCTCTGCAGCGATCATGGTGATATAATCAGGCCCGACGATGATGAAAGCCGCAACCGCAAGCACGCTCAAGAAACCTTCGAACTGGCCAAGAGCCTCGGTGGAAGCCGCCTGCGAAACGAAAGGACCGGGGTTGTTCCAATAGCGGAACCCATATGCATCACCTTGAGGGTTCCCACCAACCATCGTGATGAATGTGAAGGCGAAGACTATGAACATGAGGATGACTTTGCCGCCAGAGAGCCAGAACTCGGCCTCTCCAAAGACGGACACAGCTACGATATTGAGAAGACTACATGAGGTTTGAGATCATATTAGCGGGAGGAATCTCTTGTTGATCACAGGAGACTTTTGTCCCATAGTTGGGCAACTAACCCGTAGAAGATGATGACACCCAAGCAAAACCCAGCAAGTGGACCTGGCTGAGCGATCTCCGGTGCCCAGTAAGATGTCACCCCATTCAACGCCACGATCTCAAAGGGAATCAGGAGGGCTTCGTAGAGGAAGAAATTCCAACCGACGGCGAAACCGAGTGCGTCGTCCACCCAATGCCCGGCCAGACGAATGAAACCTCCTGAGATGGGCATTTGAGTCACCATCTCTGCCGCCGAGTTATTGACCAGGGAGATGACGCAGGAGTAGGCCAGGAAGCAAAGTAGCAAGTTGCCCGGCCCACCCGTAGCCAACGCGCCACCGATGCTGATAAAGAGGCCAGTTCCAATAGTTCCGCCAATGGCTGTGAGCTGGATATGGCGGTTGTTGAGGCGTCGATGAAGGCCTCCAGAGCTAATTGCACTAATCTCCGTGGCCTCCTCTCGGTGCTCATACTCGATACATTTTGTGCTGTCGCCTCTGCTACAATCGTTAGAAACCTTGTCAGATGTGACAATCATTGTGTTGTGGATTCAAAAAGCGTATGTTGAGTATTGTCTCAAGTATAGGATCAGACTTCATTCAATGGGGTAATATATGCAACGGGGTCAACTGGGCTTGAAGTCCCTTTTATGAGCATAAGCCGCAGGGAAAGCCCCACTCAAAGGAGAAAGAGAAGCGAGGACTGTCGCTCGGTATTGAGCAGTACATAAGACTCCTCAGAACTCCCTCAACAAGAGAGAGGCCATAACATCTACTGTAAGGCCCTCTGCTGTGTCCATAACGCTAGTACACAGCCAAACAGAAGCTTACGTTCACAGGGCCTAGTCCCATCACGTTCAGAGCAAAGCACTGTACGATTTCCCCACGGTTTTCGTCTCCCCATCCACCCAGGATCCGGGGTGACAGTACTTCGGACACGGACCGTCCCCACTACAGTGGAGTATGTATGGAGACGGTCCGGCTACCCCCACCTGGCCACCCGACCCCGGAGGGGGAGTATGAAGAACGCGGGGCATGACGTGTCTTCTTGAAAAGGGTACTTACTGTGACCAGAATTGGTTTGAAGAAAGCATATAACATGATGTGAGAAGGCACGTCACGTATTGTAGCACTAGATTCCATATATTCGGCAGTGCGCGGCGGCCCATAATGGCCATCGCTCGCATGCCTGTTTGGGACCCACCACCTGTACAATTATTAAAATATACTATGTATGTTAGTCTCCCGCGCTCCACTGCCAAACTACCAGGTATACCCTGCATTTCTATTACTATTCTCCGTTACATATGGTGGTCAAATACTACATAATAAGAATATCTTAATAATTAATCTAAACATAAATTCTCATAGCCTTATCAGGTTCTAATTTGTATTTTTATTTCGTTTAAGATAGCTTCAGGAAGACTTTAGTACTTACTTACTATATGTACGTAATAGAATTACCCACATATTAGAGGGCCGATCAGGAGCCCCTAGATCAGTCCTTTATATGTACCTTAAGTCTTCTTATCTTCAAATGTTCTACCTCTTTCTATTCATTAATCTCATTTTTATTAACATGAATAGATAAACTCATCTACTGATATATTCAATTGTTTCTCTTACTGATACCGTAGTAAATATGGCGGCTTTGAAGATCTAAGGCCTGAGTGCTTCAATCTGAAATAGGACTCACCAGTTGAAAAGTCCAATCGCACCAGTCCTAGATAGGCATACGAGCGATGGCCCTTATGGGCCGCCGCGCACTGCCGTAGATATGGAATCTAGTGCTACAATACGTGACGTGCCTTCTCATTGGCCTGTCTGTTCGCAGCTCGGCGTATGATTGGCTACCAACTTCTGTGGCCTTGGTGAACGATTGCGGAGGCAAGGGTTGGTGGGGTGGTCAAGTCGAGCTCCGCTGGCAGCCATAAAAAAATGTACAAGGTTGTCATGGGCACCAAGGGCATGAGTGATCTACAAAGCCCAAAATTGGGATGCAGAATTGTGCAAGTAGCTTTGCTCTTCAAGTCTTTTCATCGAGGTCATGGTCAATGGCGTTGGTGGTGATGTGGCCAACAAGGGCGCCAAGCTGCTCAAGCCTGGTGTTGTCATCTGTGATGGCCGTCTCGCCAAGGACGAATGGGACCATGTCTGCCGATTTTTTGAATGCCAAACTGGAGGGAACAACCGTGGGATTTCGAAGAAGTCCAAGGGCATGGTCAATCTCTCGGTCAGAAGGCCATCCGACCAGTTATCAGAAGAACGGTTAGCGTGTTGGGCAACCTCGAAGACATGGAAACGGGACACCAGATGGAGGAGCTTGTCATTAAGATAGACGACGAAATTAGTCTCAAAACAGGATTTCGGATTTTTTGGTCGTTGTCTTTCTTTGCCTACGTAATATGCATGGTACAATCACCTTTATTTTCCCCTTTTTGTCAGTAGGTGGAAGATTCTTAGAGATGGTGGAGATGCCCTCTAGGAAGTCTGGCTGTAATCAACTATGTTCAATAGGTAACTCTAAGCATGAAGATCTCGATTCACGATGAAAAATCTCAAGCCATGATATGTTCATTTGGGTCAATAAAGGTCTTTCTATGGAAAAGAACGCCGACATCGTTATAGCCACGAGACTGCATCGCTTGGACGGTAGCAGTTTGGCTCAGGCGCCGTGGTATGGTGCGGCGAGGCCTCGACGCTGGCCAGTTTCGCGACCGGTTTTAGCAGCTCGAAATCGCCCCAATCACCTTTCAATCTCGTCGTATACTGAGAGTCATTTGCAAAGAACGCGGGCATAACATCCTTCCACCCTTTGAGAGCCACGTCCAGCAGTTCGAGCACAAACAGATCAGGACCCATCTCGTCCCATTTGAACTTTTCAGTGCACTTCTGGACGACAGTCGGAGCGTACAGTCCCAGTTCGGGCTTAAGGTGGAGAGAGGCCGCGGCCATCAGCGAGGCGAAGACGTGGTACGATCCTCCCTGCTTTGTGCGGTCTCTGATGGCCATCATGGTGCCGATAGCCCCGATCAATCCGGTCAGCATGTCCGGGACGGGCAGCGCAGGCAGGACACACGTGCCATCCGTGTGGCCGAGACTTCGCCCCGTCACGTATGAGCATCCGGAGGCTGCATCGGCGACCTGTTGCCAGCCAGGCCGCTCGGCCATGGTACCGTCGGGCCCGTAGCAATTCTCCTCCACGTAAACAATACCCTTCCCCCGCTTGCCTGCCATCTCAAGAAGGCTGTGGAGACTAAGACCTTTCCGGGCGATCACACCGGGCCGATAACCTTGGACAAAGACATCTGCGTCCTGGATGAGGGCCCACAATCTTTCGACGTCTTCATCCTTGGCAAGATCAACATCCACTGTTCGCACACCAGCGTTGAGCGTTAATTGGAGTGACTGCCATGAGCTTACGTTAGCATGCGCTCTGTCGGACTGCAGATGCAACAGGTGATCCAGAAAGAAGAGAATAGGGTATCCCTGGTAAGATAAATAGACGGGGCAGAGGGGATGAAATGAGTTGAGTGACTCACGTTAAAGTCTGGGAGGCGTCCGCAGTTGACGCGAATGACATCAGCCCCAAAAGCAGCCAAGGTCGTCCCGATGACAGGACCTGCAATGACACGAACCAGCTCAACGACCTTGATCCCAGCGAGGGGTCGCTTATCAGAGAATATGCTCAGGGGTATGGCAGGCGTGGGGACGGCATGGGTCTGCTGTGAATAATTGATCAGAGGATGCCTGTCAAGGTCCTGAGCCATGCGCGTTTCGCACCATCCGGCCGGCGTGTAGCAGATGCTGCCGCAGAGGCCCCGAGACACGTACATCATCTCCAGCTCGTTGGCACTGTACCTACGGACGTGCTCAGCGATGGTCTTGACTGCCTTATCGTTACTGTCGCATTGTGTCGCCGGGTCCAGGCCAATCAGCCGCAACGTCGGGTCCGCGTCGAGGGACCCGTGCAGTTGATACCAAACGCCGGGGTCTTTGGTCTCGTAACTTGCCGTTGCTCGTAGCCTGAGCGGTGTCGCGAACGTGTCTTTCTCCAGATCCTTGGGGAAGATGGAACCCAGCTTGCCCTCCTTGGCAATCTCACGCACGGCCTGGCCGTTCCGCTTGGTCATGCCGAGGCTTCCCAGCCAGATGGCCGCGTGATCGGTGTCGACGCTGACACCACGCGTGGGATCTTGTCCATCCCTTATTTCCAGGATCTCGTTCGCAACTATGCCGGCCAAGGCATGAAGGGCTCCGGCGATGACAGCAGATTTCAAGGGACCGGGGATGATTGTCTCTGGAGACCCCGTGAATGTGACTGAGTTCAAGGCCACTGGATCCTTTGTGAAGCCCGGCGTGGAATTTGCCAGTATCTGCATGAGCCTCTTTGCATCTTCAGGAACCGGGAGAGCTTCCGAGTCAATCCATGATCCGGGTCCGTAGAAGTCGGCCCCAGAGACTATCTGGGTCATGGCTGCAGAGTCGGAGTGTTTTTAGAGCAAGGAATGATTCGAGAAATCGGGAAACAAAAGAACTGAGAATGCAAATTTGAGGTTTCACATCCGCAAACTCATGATACATCTGAAAACCAGAACCGCTTGGGCTTTTTTATATCGTGGCGAGGCAGGCACCTTGTCCGGCACACCTCTCATCCAACGAATAGAGTATGACTATGTGGGCCCGGTCCGGGTGGTCCGGTATGGAGCCCTCGTGCCAGCATGGTCACTGTTCCACACTTAGTACCCTTTACCTAACCTTTTGCACTAGAAGGCGTATGAAGTCACGATCACATCACATGAAGATCGACATGAAAAGGGAAAAGAGAAAAATCAAGTCTATGATAGTACGGGCCCAGTGGGCGCTAAAGAGCTGTGACCTGCCTCCTCGCACATCAAGTTGTGTTGTACAAACAGATACCTTGTCTTGTTGATGTTTACCTAGACGGTAGTGTAACCAATAATTAACTGCTCATACTTGGGACTCTCATTGTCAAAACATATTTCAATTTCGCACTGCCAGCTAATTTACTCGCGTTGAATGCAGATTGAATTCATGCCTGGCCCTCCTGTCCATTCTGTCCCGAAAATCGATAAATGACATTCTCAAATGACCCCTCGGCGAAAACATAGAACCACCGTAGCCATTCGTTCCCTCGATTCACGATTTTGTGCTCTGCATTTCCAGGGATGAAGACTGTGCTACCGGCAATGACATCTGTCGAGATACCGTCGATCGTGATCTCTCCTTCTCCTTCAAGAATGTGGTATACTTCCGCTTGGTCGTGACGATGAGCACAAAGCTGGCCTGTCTTAGGTGGGCAGCTTGCGATCCCAACGCTAAGATCGGAGGTTTCTGTATTCGGAGCGCTAATGAGAGTATGCCAGGTGACTTCACCGCGGGCAGGATCGTCGAAAGATTCTGAGGGAGTAATCATTGCATAGGAAGGGGGAAGGATGAGGGGGCTTGGTGGCTTCTTCTGTATCTTTGACATGGTGAATAGCGAGAGGGGGTGGCAAAGTTGACTTGTCTCGATTTCGCTCACGAGAATTTCATGCAAGAAATATGGTCGGGAAGTTGGTTTGATCTGGTCATCTTCACCTGGGCATTTATCTGTGATTTGTATTGTTCACCATCAACCCCAATCCCGCCGATAACGGGGTTTCAGGTGGATACTTTTCCCTCTTCCGGTAAGCTCATTCCGCCACTAGCCACGGGAAACATGGCACTTACCAATTGATTGATAAGGCATTGGCTCCTACCAGTCCCCAGTTTAGTACTTGGTCAGCGGAACATCCAGCAAGCCCTAACCCAAGGAACCTGGTACAGTAAGTCTGACGGTATAGTGGTGAGGGACTCTTTAAGTATAGGTAGTATTCACCCTACTATCCTGGTTTCTGACTATAACTAGTTTTTCCTACTCTGACTATAGGTATTTCATTTTATATAACTAGACATCGCCACAACCCACACCAACCATGACCCAACCCAACCCAACCCAACCCATAATGGGTTTTGGGTCGAATTTTATAACCCATTTGGGAACCCACTGGTTCCCCATTTTTAGTGCAAAGAGACCCTATCTTTATAAGCAGATTCTGGTTATAACTCTGTTACTATTTAAAGATTAAACTATAATTTTCTACAGTATTCTACTCTTAAACTAATAGTAGATAGAAAGACTTAACTAAGTTCTAGAAGATTATCTTAGGTATTTTATTAATAGAGAGTAATTAAATTAGGCTTAACTTCTCAAGAGAGTACAGTTTGTATATAATAATACTATAAATATATTAACTAATAAGACCTCTTTCTATATACTGCTAGAATATAATCCTAACTTCTAAGTCTGAATACTAAAAGAAACACTTAAGAAAGAAGCCCTAAGCATCAAAGAACAGATACTTTACCTTCAAAATATCTGTAAAGAGGCTACAAAAAAGCTTTACATCGTACAGAAAATACAGCAGAGTTATACAATAAAAAGTATAAGCCTAAAGACTTCAAAGTTAGAACTCTTATATTTCTTCTAATAAAGAACCTCTGCTTTAAAGCTAAAGAAAAGAAGCTATCTCTCTAACGAATCAGATCTTTTCGTACCCTTACAAAGATCAGTGTATAGGTGTATCGTATTATATTACCAGAAAAGTATTCAAGACTGTATAATGTCTTCTCTGTCTCCCTCCTTAAGCTATAGAACAACTGAGATAAAGATAATTTGCTGATACTAATACCGGAACTCAAAGATAAAGAGGAATAGGAAGTCCAGTATAAGCAGCTACGGCCTCATTGGTATTCTTGACGTTAAAGTACAGATTATGTTCGGAAAGATGAACTAAGATCACCTTGCGAAAGAATACCAAGAGCCGAACAGATCCCGTCACAGCCGTATTCTTGCTCTCTGCACCCCATGCAGGCACAGCACCTCTGGGAACCACAGCAACAGTACCGCCAGCCTTGACTTCACGAGCCCAAGCGAAGATCAACTAAAGCTGGTAGGAATCGCTATAGACCCTACGAGGAATCTAAAGAAAATCAGTATCGAATCGAATATAAACCAGAAGGGTTATTGCTATCCTTCTTACAGAGAAAGCAGGAAACCGAATTTACACAGTCCCAATCATACTTGATCACAGCAACAGTACCTACAGGAGGGCGAAGAGCTGCCTCCGCAATACACTTTATACAGAACGCAAAGGAAGGACGGGGGATTTGATCATAAAGAGGGCGAGAACCGAGAGTAGTACTGACAATACTTACTGGGCTAGATCCTCTACCAGATGCTCTATTACCACCAGTCCTACCTCCAGCACAACCTTTGCCTTTAGTACAACTTCCTCGACTTACGGTATCTCTAGTACCGCCAGAGGGACCTGCAGCAGCAGCAGCAGAAGCCGGAGCAGCAGTTGACATAATAGAGGATATCAAAACGAAGATGAAAACTCGGAGGTTGAAAAAGTTGAAGATAGAAGGAAGTAAGAGTTGAGGATTAGAAGAAGGAAGCCTTCACCTCGAAGGTACCAAAAAGATCATATTGCTTTGTTTGTATTGACATGCAAACGCACCCAAAGCGGAACAGACGGAGAGTCTTTAATCGAGGGGACGCCACTGAGTTTGGATTGTTTGATCTAAATCTAACCTTTGTTGATGGTCGAGTCGACCATCTCTAGAAAGGGAGGATGAATTGTCACGGGATTCGAGTATACGATACCCCGGACTTTCGAGGTCGATTCGGGGTCGAATCCCGTTCGAGACGCCTGCATATCGAGGCCCACCCGAACCCTAGTGTATTTAAGATCACACAAACATTCAGGATTCTTGATCTCTTCGACAATCAGTCTATGTATCGACGACCAATAAACCCCTTCGCTATCCGTCCGATTCCTTGCCTAGTCACAGGTCTCTAGCCTGACAACTTAGTAACCATTACAAATATTATAGTGGCGTACAGCTGCTAAGAGACTAAGTATTTCAGGGGAAGGCAGTTAGCCCAATAATACTCAAGCTCTACCCAGCTAAAGGGGTCAGTGCGGTGGTCGTATGTCAGGGCGTGATTCTTACCCGTTCTCACCCTGCTTCTCACCCTGTCTATTGCGCACTCACCCTAATCACCCGAGTCGCACGACGCTAAAGCGGCGCTCACCCCATTCTCACCCGGGCGGCACCCACCCGACTACTAACTGTATTTTAGCCACACGCCGGCAGGTTAGTAGTATGGTGGGTGACCACATGCGAATCCCTGCTGTTGTATGTTTTTGCCTTTTTGCTATTTTTTGGCGTGACCTTCATTCATTCAGGATTTAAAAAAAACAGGTATGGGACTTTTTTCCCGGCTCCCGACTCCCGCGCATCTAGGTAGTAGTTACTATCTTCCCGGACGAACATATAGCTTGACCATGGGAGCACACAATGCCTGATAATTGAGAAAATCATATGTCTCATTTCCTAACTTGCTATGAGGGGTTTTGCCAATTTACAACCTGTATCGTGAGATGTAACTCATGGCCGGGAACAACTAAACATTCTTTATTTTTGGGAGTGTCCATATCGACCGTGGACTAGTAATGTCTCCGTTAATTCCGAACCCGAACGCCTCGGACCTTGAGGGTGGTATTGAATCCTTCAGAAGTTGCTTTCTATTGTTTGGCGCGGAAAGGGAATCTTGACAGAATCATGTTTCGCGATGGGGCGACCGAGATGGTTCCAAGACGCCAATCCCGATATAGTCGCGCTAATGCACGATATTGTATGCCTATTCCGGTTTGGCGTGCGAATACAGCATATGATTGGCTCAAATGTGAGGTCTGGGTAGAATAGATTGATGATACCTTTCGAAAGTCGAGACCCGAACCCCATGAAAGATGTCAATGTACGGAGTATTGGAGACTGAGTACAGCAAGTCGCGGATGTATTCTTAACTCCGCCATGTCATGATCTTATAAATTGTGCCCTGTCGAACTGAGTTGGAAATTTATTAAATTTTCAACCCATCTCATTTTACTGCTCGAACATCATGTCCTCAAAAGAATTGCCACCCTCTACCACGCCATTTTTCCCAAATCAATTCATCACAAACCAATTCTATTCCAAAGCGCAATACGTTTCGAAGGACACCGATCTTTCTGGGAAAGTTGCGATCGTGACAGGAGCTAACACTGGTCTTGGGCTCGAATGTGCAAATCAACTTCTATCCTATAAGCTATCGCAGCTCATAATCGCAGTTCGCTCGCTGAGAAAAGGCGAGGATGCGGCCATACACCTGAGAAAACAATACCCCAATGCTAAGATTGAGGTCTGGCTACTGGATATGTCTTCCTATGACTCGATCCAAGCATTCGCATCTCAGATCGAAGGAAAACTACCACGACTGGACATCGCCATTTTGAATGCGGGGATAGCCAACTCAACCTTCAGGCTTGCAAGCACCGGGCACGAGGAGACCATGCAAGTCAATTTTCTCTCCACAATGTTTTTGTCGATTCTCCTCCTCCCTCTTCTGAAGAGCAAGTCTCCCACTGGTTCACCTGGCCGATTAACCATTGTGACGAGCATGCTATCTTTGACAGCAAAATTTGCTCAAAAGGACAAAATACCGCTATTAAAGGCATTCGATGATGAAAAGACCTTTGATGGGGTCGACATCTACCCGACATCGAAATATCTGGGTCTACTGTTCCTCTGGAAACTTACAGACTTGGTATCGGCCGATGACGTGGTGGTTAATTGTGTGGAACCGGGATTTGTTAAAGGGACATCTCTGCAGCGCGAAGCACCGGCGGCTATCAGATTCATGCTTTATTTGCTGAAGGTTACAACCGGACGAAGCATGAAGCTTGGAGCTACCACATATCTGGATGCCGCTATCACCAAAGGAAAGGAGTCGCATGGATGTATATTGATGAATTGGGGGATTGCACCGTGAGTGGATTGAACATTTACAAGAAAATTAAATAGGGCAGTTGATTTACTCACTCAAAATACAGATATCCTCCTTTGCTTTACACCGTGGAGGGGGAGAATATCAAGGAAAGACTTTGGCAGGAAACCCTGGAGGAGCTCAGTTTTGTGAATGTTAATGGGATTTTGGAGTCTCTGGCAAAGTAGGATCAGCCAAGATTCCAGCCAGCCAGAAATCGAATCCCCGTTTGCTATTTATTATCATGAGTTTAGAATGTCAACGCATATTTTAGGGCAACCTTAGCTTACCTTAGCTGTCTCCCGCGTACCTAAGGTAGGGTAGTACCTTACTACTTACTACTTACTTCTTACTACCTTCGGGTAAGCATCCAGCACCAAACCGGGAAAGTGCTGATTCTTGGTTCTGGTGATAAAAAGGAAGGAGCGACGAAGCGAAAGTCTCCCCCAAAATTGAAACATTCAAGTTCAAGTTCACTTTCTTCTCTCTTCTCTCTTCTCTCTTCTCTCTTCCTCACGCCCATCAGCAACCAAGCACCGTCAATGGCTCCCCCGAATTGGTCTCCGAGTAGCCTCGCTCCACTTCTATTCATGGTAAGTGATTCATTCCATTCCAATGCATATTTTTACGTGGAGTTGGGGTATGTACTGGACACTTCTTTCAACGCCTACCCGGTCGACCTGAGTTTGTTTCAAGTCATATTCAGAGCCTCTATATTCTGACAACGAATGGGATTCATGGCTAATTCGACAATTTATAGCTCTGCGTGCCGTCTGCCCTGGCGGATTCCGCCAGCACCACCACAACCACCATCACCACCACAATCACCCCAACCGCCGAAATGCTACCCTCTCGCCCAACTGGTACTATCGTATTTCAGAGTCTGGAGCAAATCGAAGCTTGCGCCCGGGAATTACAGGCCGGGATGTGCCCCGAATGCTGCTGTATGTGATATTCCATAAAATATAGCCGACTTTACCTCGAGACATAAATTAACCCTGGGATACTAGTCCTTTGATAAATTCACGTTATGAATCTCATTCTACAGACAAGAATGATAGTCGGCGACATTCAAACACTCTGATCCCACACCTGAGAGCCGGAAGCCCAAGGCCCCAATAATCATTTACTTCAAAACAACAAGATTCCCCAATCACACGACTCAGAGTCGAATCATACCCCTTTGTTGTTCAACTATTTCTATACTATGGATATTCTTGATGTGACCTCTACGAGGAGAAACCAGTCGCATCGGCGTTGGGTCGCTCTGTAGTCGGAGTGTACGATCACCTCTGAGTCCCAGTGTCTCTCAAATTGCAGATGCCGAGTTTAATCCTTAACTCTAAACATCGAAATTTCTCTAGATCCTACCAAAATGCACTCACCATAGATACACCTCTTACAATATCAGCCATTCACATTCTCCGAGATCGCCCCGCACCTCGGCCGCGGTAGATAAAACCCCGACTCGGACTACCCCGACCAATCTCCAACACACAACCCCCAACAACCCATCTTATTCCCCAATACCTTCTCGAAACCCTCGCCCACATATTTTGGAACATATCACCATGGCAGAAAGCAAAAACCATTTCCCCCAGCCTCCAACAGGCTCCACAAAACCATTCTGGCGGACATCGCTCCACCCACTAGACACTCACCAGACAACGCCCAACCTCCCATCCGAGACAGACATCCTAATAATCGGCGGGGGTTATGCCGGTGCATCTGCCGCATATCATCTTTTCCCAGAAAACCAAGCTGCCACCCCGCCAAGTGTTGTTCTTCTCGAGGCCCGAGAACTATGCTCCGGAGCCACGGGTCGCAATGGGGGTCATCTGAGACCGGATCTTTATTCAATCACGTCCAAATATCTCGAGCGGTATGGACTAGAAGCTGCGGTTGAAGTTGTTCGATTCGAAATATCGCATATCAAGGAGATAACGGACCTAGTCGCGAGAGAAGAAATTGACTGCGAACTCACCTTCACCAGATCTCTGGATATCTATCTAGACGAAGGGGAGTTGCAGCGGAAGAAGGAATTTGTGGAATATCTCCGAGCGCAGAATCTCGATTTCATGGATGATGTGGAATATTTGTCTGAGACAGAGGCACAGGAAGTAAGCGACACACTTTCCAATAATTCTATTCATATCCGAACCTCCCTTCCTCCCTCAAAAAAGAGAACAAAATACTAACAAATCAAAAAGAAAGCCCACGTCCGAGACGCAAAAGGCGGCTTCAGCTTCTCCGCCGGCCACCTATGGCCCTACAAACTAATCACCCACCTAATACGTCTAGCCGTATCCAGAGGTCTAAATCTCCAAACCCACACGCCGGTCCTATCAATAGGAGAAACCCAAACAGCAGAAGGATTCTGGCCCGTAACGACCTCCCGAGGAACAATCCACGCGCGCAAAATCATTCTCGCCACGAACGCATTTACCAGCGCCGTGGCACCGCAGTACTCGAAAGCCATCATTCCATGCAAGGGCCTCTGTACTGCAATTGAGCCGGGACCCGGCGCCCCGTATCGGCGCTTACCCGAGACATATGCCATTCGACACGGCCCGGGCGCGTTCATTTATCAGATTTCCCGACATGATGGGTCGATTATTGTTGGTGGGGCTTCGTATATTTTTAAGGATGATTTGGGGGAGTGGTATGGGAATTCTGATGATGGGGGGTTGATTGGAAAGGCGGATACGTACTTTGATGGGTATATGCAGCGGACCTTTTTTGGTTGGGAGGATAGTCGGGCGGAGGTTAAGCATATTTGGACTGGTGGTATGTTTCTTTCTTTCTTTCTTACCTCTAATCTTGCTCTCGCTTTTTTGGACAGTGGTGCCATTGGTGTGTGCTGGTGAAGTAAGAATTGAGGCTAACGAATGTGAGATGAATAGTGATGGGATATAGTGCCGACTCATTGCCTCATGTTGGAGAGGTTCCAGGTAAACCCGGACAGCTAATTGCCGCTGGGTTCAATGGGCATGGTATGCCTGTGGTTTTTCTATCCGGGAAGGCTGTTGCGGAGATGGCACTGAAGTCGGTCTCTTTCGGCGAAACAGGTCTGCCGAGATTGTTTGAGACATCGAGTGCTCGACTAGATCCGGTTTATGATGATATTCTTGAATAGGAGTAGATGTAGCTCCAGGTGGATTGAGAAGTAGGAACAATTATATAAAGAAGAAAGAAAGATATCTACTATTAAAAAAAGTATAGACAGAAAGGTAGGGCTGACTGATTCAACGAGAGTCTAGCCACAGAAGAGATATCGGGGTGGGGAGTATGGGTATAGATGGTTCATAAAACATGACGGGGAATCCAGCAAGGGCTCAACGTAGCCGAAAACATAGCACAGCACAGCACAACACAAAAAAGAGACGAATCAAGAACGCTCCAGCTTCTTCTTATGATTAGCAAGGATAGCCTCAATCTTCCTCAACTGCAAGGCAAGACCCTTCTTCTCCGCATTCGCAACCAACCAATCCTCCATCTTACGTCTGACAAAACGCATAGAAGCCAAGACCGGCAACACAGCGCCGTCCTCATTCTCAACAAGATTCCCCCGGTCTTCGCGCTCCATCGCGACCCAACGCTCAGAGGCGGGATTGAGAAGTAAATCGAAAACATCAGACCACAATTCCCGATCCCAGTACCGCTTCAACGACTCGCGGATTCGGTAAATTGGTGGTTCTGGCCCGCCGGTGGTCCCACTACTAGTGCGAACGCGAGTGGACTCGATGTATTTGCCAAAAAGTAGCACATGGATTGTACCCGCGATACCATATAAATCGATCTGATGGGTCCAGGGTCGGGTCTCGCGGATTTCGTTGCATTCGTGTGTGCCAACTTCCCAATCTGCGATGAATTGAACGTTTGGTTGGAACGCGTGCATGTCTATCCCGCGGCCGAAGTCGATCAGTGACAGGCCCTTGTCTGCCCAGCCGTGCAGGCCGTTGGGCGAGTAGTGGATTGTGTCTCGGCGTTTGGGTCTTGACTCATCGTCTTCGTCATCATCATCGGTATCAGCATCGAGGTCGAGAAGGGAAAGTGATTTGCTTGGGGGCGAGTCTGCGTTTGGTTCATCTAGACGGACGAGACAATTGTCTGCTTTGATGTCGCCGTGTAAAATCCCGTTCGCGTGGAGGCCTTCAATAGTGCGAAATAGTTCAATGGAGAAGAACATTGCGAGTGATTCTTCGAGACCACCGTCAGAGCTGTGCTCGTTGCGGACTATGTTGACTAGGTCAAGAATTGTGCCTTGACCCCGGTAGTCTTCGACTAGGAAACTTTCGCGTTGGTGGACGTGAAGTTCGTGAGCGCGGACAACGCTATCCGTTGCACGGACGTGACCCGGTGATTGATGTAGGCGTTCGTATGCGGCGCGAATCATATAAAATTCCCAAGCGCTTGAGGGTCCATTTTCGACCTTGACGGCTTCGAATGGGTGTCGTGGTTTATCATATGGGCTCACCTTGCTCGCTAAGCTGCTCGGGTTTGTGTCTTCTTCATCCGAGTTGTATGGCTCTTCACTCTCGATGCTCTCCGCCAAGTAAACTGGCGCATAAGCGCCCGCCCCCAGCTCTCGGCGGATGAGGTAGCTTCGCTCCGCACCTGGAAATTCCAGAACCGGCGTATCAAGGCCATCATCATCGGCAGCTCTTGATTTCCGGCTATGAGCCCTGAGGAATTTCTGAATCATGGACGCATAGTTACTGTCTTTCGTATGTCCATGGTAACCAGCGTATGTTGCAAGTTGGGGTTCCAGGGCATTCAAAATGGTGTTGCGAATTCCTTTGTCGGTTGGATTGCATTGCACGTCGCGGATGATTGCTTCCCTTCGACGTGACCTGGGAGCCAGTGCCTTGAAAGCAGTGGGACTAAAAGGTGCATCGGCCACGGAGGTAACAGTGTTATCACCATGGTATGGCGTCGGAGCTCCGACGGGGCTGGAGAGCAATAGATCACCCATCTGAGGAACTCCAGATGGTGTCCGTGCCTTCGAGGGGGTCTTTGCATTATATATAGTGTTCCGAGCAGCCGTCATAGAAATAGAGCTTTCTGTACGCTCAACAATCGGAGTCATGAATGGCAGTCGGTTCTGGGCCATGATGGCAGGATCTCGATATGTCCCGCACGGTGCGTTGTAATCAGCGGGCATTCGTGGTACAAATCGTTCCTTTTCTGGAGTGCCATGCTGTGATCCATACACATCTTCCTCGCTGACAACGGAGTGGGAGGTAACATCAGCCCCCTCAACACCAGGGACATCCCTAGCCGTGAACTCGGTCCAATCATAGCCTACAACACTCTCAGCCCGTGTAGTGTCAGCGTATCCAGTATCATCAAGCGACCTGTGGAAGGTTTGTGTTTCTTCGTCTCCAAAGTCACTCGAGGCTGCTGAGATGCGACCAGTACCAGTGCTATCACAGTCATCGTCGTCATAGTCACTACCGTACAAGCTATCTGCCGCATCTTCCTCTTCCGCCTTCAAGGGTTGACTGAACATGTCGTAGATCTCATCGGTCGCAGCACGAGTATGCATGGTCATTGTGGGCTCCCGAGTACTCTTCCGTCGGACCTTGGAATTTGAGGGCGAGTCAAATTTCATTTTGACTACGTGATGGTCAGTCAATAGATTCACGAAACATTGGAAATGGATATCGATAGTCTTTGCTCACCGGTCTGAGTATTCCCCTGCTCTTTGAACTTTTTGGGTTTCCCAGATTTGTGTTCAGCGTGCCCCTCTCGTTCTCCAGAGTGGGATTGCTGCCCATAAATTGTTAATTTTTCGTCTGGTTGTTCTGGTAAATCGTCCTCGGGCCTTGCATCTTTGAAGTTAATTGGTTGGGATTCAGCTCCTACAGAGTTGCCCGAGATTTGCTGCAGGGGCTCCTTTTGGCGTCGCCAATCCATACCCATCCAACCGCGCTTCATCGCCCTAAGTTCTTCAAAGCTCATCTCATGCGCCGGGTTCCGATAATCGGGATATACTGCTTCCAGGTCGACAAAGACACGCTCGCGCCGACCGGTTCGTGGGTTTACCGCTTCCCTTACATGATGTTCCGGAATTTGTTTGGGAGCTTTCTCATCTTTAGGAGGTGAAATTGGATTGGACTGTATACACAATCGAAGCACATAGGTTTAAGCCAGCAATTAGTCCTGTGATCGTAAATATATGGAAGGTCTGAAAAGGGATAGGCAACGTGAAATTGCGAACTCACCTCGTCTCTGAAAATGGCCATTTTCTGACTTGGCCCTGATTTCTTTCCTCCAGCCTTCAATGTTTCTCCAACCCACGGCTTTGCCTCCACCTCGTTTTCCTTCTTGCGTTCTCGAATTGATCCAATACTATCCCACCCCTTCGTTGGCCCACCACTGGTGGCAGGTTGGCTAGATTCCCCAACGTCGGCATCCGAGAAAATGGCCATTTTGGCCTTCCCGGATTTCGTCTTCGGGGCGGCAGCTGTGGGTGATGGTCGTGAAGCTTGCGGATCAGCAGAGGCATCCGAGAGAGCAAATGGGTCCGTTTTAGCAGCCAGAGCTGGACGAACAGCTGGAAGAGCGGGGGAGGAAGGACCGGCGTCTTGTGGGCGAGCTTCGTATCGTTGTTGAAATTCGCTGTATTTGCGGAGTAACCGTTCGGCGGGTCGGGCTTCGCGGTCCATACCGAGTCTATAAACTTCATCCGCCTGATTCCAGCGTCCAGCGCCCTCGAGCCATGCAGCAAACTCCTCGTAGAACAGAGCCAGACCCTCACCAATGTGATGCCGCGCTAGGAAGGCAAATGTTTCGCGCGGGGCATCGGAGAACAATCGGATGTAGTGTAGCCACAGTCGAAGATATCGGGGGTCGTTCTTGTAGTGGGAGGATGAGAGGAATGACTTTGTGGCTCGTTCAAGTAATGGCAGGAGGCCAGACTCGGGGGTGGCTTGGGCCGAGGGGTAGGCATTGAGGGTCCATTTCACATAGCGGTCGTAAACATCGAGGGGATCGTCTGATTCTCCAATAACCTCAAGTTCTGTCTCGTATTCTTGACGAATTGCGCCATTGATTGTCCTTGTATCGTTTGGTGACGGTGCTGGGAGTTTGTCACTGTTGCTGCCCGCAGAAAATATTTGGGCAAGCTGTCGGGCTGATCGACCACCGGGCAGAGATTGGACGTTTTCCTTCTGAGCCTCGATGATGTCGAAGTCGATTAGGTCGTCGGCGGCGGCCATGATTCCGAGACCTGCGGGAGCTCCCTGGAGTGAGTGTCGAGGGTCGAGGGTCGAGGAAATAATTGTCGTTGATTGTCGTCGATTGTCGAGTTCGGAGGGGCTGCACTTGTGCCTTCCCAAAGTGGACAAGCTGGACCGTTTGGGTTATCGATAAACATCACGTGAGAGTTACCCCGGTGATCAACACGTGACATCACAAAAGGGCAGGTGCGAGTGTTCAGCATGTTCAGCACATGGAAGGAGCCACCGGTGGAAAGACTGTCAGGTGATTTGATATAGCTTGGCTGAATATCTTCAGTTTAATACGGGTATACACTTTCCACCACTTGTGCTGCTCAGACCACCTTTGACAAATTGTGTTCAACACGATCGAAGCCAGGCCTGACGACATTGCCCCTCCCGCTGAACCTCCAATCAGCTTGGAGATCCACCAGTCATCTGATAGCCAACTGGAATCGTCTCCATTCGACACCACTGCCATTGGCATCTCTACAATCGATTGACCTCCAGGGCAGTCTTGTACAATGTGTGTCTCTCATCCAGATGAGGAAGAACCCATCACGGCACCCAAGGGAGGCCACAAGAGAAACCTGAGCAATGGAACCCCAGAAAATTCCCCATTGAGACGAACAAAACGCCAAAAGTCGCGAGTCAGCTTGAAAGAGGCCTCTTCGGAAGAAGAATCAGAGCCCGAGGTCAAACCAAAGGCCTCACGAGCCAAGAAACTGCCGGCGAGATCTTCGGTCAAAAAGGAAGAGGCTGATGATACGGAACCTCCGACTGCCATCAAGTCTAACGGCGGAGACCAAGCTCCAAAGGTAGAAGAAGAAGAGCCTATCAGCAAACCCAAGGCTAAGGCTGCAAATACCCCCGCAAAGAAAGCAACGCCTGCCAAACGAGGAAAGAAGACCAAAGAAGAAAAGGACGCCGAAGCCATGCCTCTGGCTCCCCGAACACCGGGTCTGCGAATGTTCGTTGGTGCTCATGTCAGTGCTGCAAAGGGTAAGTTCTCCTCTCTGGTGCTGTAGAAATAAGATATTAACCAAATCCTCGAGCAGGTGTTTTCAACTCAATCCACAATAGTGAGCAGATTGGGTAAGTCATCATTCATGATCCCGCAAAATTATGACGGGTGCCAAAGTTAACAATCAAACCAGCGGCAACGCATTTGCCCTTTTCTTGAAATCCCAAAGAAAATGGGACAACCCGCCTCTTCAGGACGAGCACCGGGATCAGTTCCACAAGCTTTGCACCGAGAAGAACTATGACGCCGCCAAGTAAGCTCTAAATTCGGAACCTCCGAATTTGATCAAAACCTCAGACTAACACATCTACCAGATACGTCCTGCCTCACGGGTCCTACCTCGTCAATCTAGCCCAACCGGACAAAACCAAAGCCAAACAAGCCTACACCTCCTTCGTCGACGATCTCCGTCGCTGCGAAGCTCTCGGGATAAAACTATACAACTTCCAGTAAGCCCTTACCCCCAACACCCCACTGTATGACCATCACTAACACCACCCAGCCCGGGAAGCACAAACGGAGAACCCCTCCCAGAAGCCCTATCCCGACTCGCAGGGGCCCTAACATCCGCAATAAAGGAAACAACCACCGTGATCCCCGTGTTAGAAACCATGTGTGGCCACGGAAACACAATCGGCGGCTTCCTCTCCGAATTCAAAGACCTCCTCGCTCTAATTCCAAAGGAGCACCACTCCCGCATCGGTATCTGCATCGACACATGTCACAGTTTCGCAGCCGGTTACGACCTCGTCACCCCAGAAGGTTTCAAGGCCTTCCTTGCTGAGTTTGACGAGTTGATTGGGATTCAGTTCTTGCGCGCTTTGCATCTGAATGACTCCAAAGCGCCGAAGGGGAGTAAGCGCGATCTACACGCGAATATCGGGACTGGATTCCTTGGTCTGCGCGCTTTCCATAATGTTATGAATGAGGAGAGGTTTCAGGATATGCCCATGGTCTTGGAAACGCCCATTGACCGGACTGAGGGGGGGTGATGACGACGAAGAAGGCGGTGCCAAGAAGAAGAATTCGAAGAGGCCGGCTGGTGCGTCTGCGGCTACGGTGCCTGATCCTGGTGTCTGGGCCCGGGAGATCAAGTTGCTTGAGTCGCTTATTGGGATGGATGCTGAGGGGAAGAGTTCAAAGAACTGGAGAGGAAATTGGCTGATGAGGGGGTTGAGATGAGGAAGACGCAGATGGAGCAGTACGAGAGGAAGTTGGAGACCGAGAAGAGAAAGGAGGCAAAGGGGAAGGGGAAAGGGAAGCAGACGAGATTGGTGGATATGATGAAGGGTGGGGGGAAGAAGGATTAAATTGGATGATCAAAGTCCAGGTCGTTTATCACAATATTTGAATCCAGTTGCGTTGTAAAAGTTTAAAACCGCATGTTGACTGTTCTTGTCTCCGCCTTCAAATCACGAACTAGTAGCTACCTGAGATGGAATAGATAGGCCAATCTATTCCATCTCAGGTAGCTACTAGTTTCCCATTAGTTGGCGGTAAATCATGGTGGGCAATATGGGGTTTCAAATTTTTGCAACGCAACTGTAGTTGCAATACTAGTACGGTACTTAATTTCTACAGTGGAGGTGCCACGAGTGCAATAGAATTGAATACTGTCAAGATGAACGTAGGGGCATATTAGCCCTCCCGAGAAAAGGGAATTCCAATTGGTATCAATCAAACCGCCGCTCAGATAAATGATTCCATTGCAACAGCCTCCATGCAAAGAAGACACCAAAGACCCCGCCTGCCTTCTAACAACCATCCCCCCAAAAGACACACATTGCTCCGTAAGACCCAAGTCAGCGTTTACATGAGATATCAACAGCATGCAGCGGTCAGCAAAACGATGCGACCTTCCTCGTCAAAAAGAGTCGTCGACTCCCTGTCCACAAATAAAAAGGGGAGAAACCGGTGCTGGTAGCTACCGTCACAAAAAGAAAAGGGAAGTAAAAAAGTACCATTATAATATGGTATATAGATGAATGAAGTAAAGTAAGTTGGTATCATGAGAAGAGAAATGTTTTAATGGTGCGGAGTTTGGCTCCGGACTGGTGAGACGGATGAAGCGGAGTGAACTCCGGGTGAATCGTCCCGGTCTGGCAGGGGAAGCTGCGAATTGAATCCAGCCTCAGCCATCGTAGAAATTGTAGGAGGGGCGGATTTGAGAGGCGATGGAGGTCCATCATCTTCGGGGATAGTGGTGGAGACGCTGAGCCCGTGCATGGCACCGCTAGCGCGAACGCGGAACGAGCGCCGGTTATCACCAGCCGGAGAAGCCTGCAGATCATCGTTGAGCTGGCCAGCGGGAGAAGGAGAGATGATATCGGCCTCTTCGTCTGCGACCTGACGGTAATCACCGTTCTCCGGACCAGTGAGATCGCCATCATCGGTATCAGAGTCGGGAGTTCCGTCCCGGCTCCAAGAATCCCTTGCTGCCTCACTGCGCATCCGGGAGATTTTCATGTAATTATAAGTCGCGATACTACCGATGGTGATGCCGAGACCAGCCATATTGACGGGTGTAAGCTGATCGTGGAAGATGACCCCCGCGGCACTAATCGTCACCACTTCCTTGAATATGCCGCAAATGCTCAAAGTGACAACAGAAGAGCGCTTCAACAATGCAAATTCGGATGAAATCATGCAGAAAGCAAGAACACCCGGGAAAACCAGTAGGGCAGCGCCAAGCAAGTTACCGTGTTTCTCAGCGAGGGTGAGGTAGCCTTTGTGAATTTCCACAGGACCCTCGACAGTAAGCGCAATTGTAATAAGAGAGAAAAACATCACAGGCGTGAGAAGGAAGAGTGTGGAAAATGGATTCGAAGTGGCCGGATGACGCAGAAGAAGGATTTGTGTCAGACCCCATCGGAAGCCAGAAAAGAAGGCCGAAGCAATGACGAGGCCGAAGCCGAGCGCGTTGAATGCAGTTTCACCAGCAACCATCATCACCACACCAATCGTCATTGTGGCGATGACTATTATCAACTTGAAGGAGGGTGACTCGAGACGGAAAAGGAAAGCAAAGATAAGAACGAAAGCGAGTGCGGAAGATTTACACATGGTGAGGAAGGTGAGGGAGATGAACTTGAGAGACATGTTGCCGAGTCCGATGTCGAGGGATGTCGCGGCACCGCAGGGCACGAGGCGGGTGAAGTAGAAGAACTTGGTCATGACCGGTTCGGAGTCCTTCAATCCTTCGACGGGGGAATTGGCGAGGGACTCCGGAGGGTGTTGGGGTCGTAATGACGGGAAGATCCAAAGCAAGATAGCCGCCAATGTGAATTGGACAGCCATGTGTAAGCTAGTTGTGAAAAGAGGGAAGGGAAAAACGACGTCGCTTTCGGAGAACATCCACTTGTTATACTGTGAAGTGAAGTTGGTTGGTTAGTTTGATGGTTTCGGTTGAGATTTACCATGTGCCGACAGTCGGCATGTGATGCGCAAGGTGTACTTACTATGGAGATGGATAACGAGAAGAAATACCACATCAGAATGAGACCGACATTCACCAGGAGCTTGCGAGGACATTGCGATCGGCCAGACCCAGCTGGAAGATGGCATATCGCGATGATTTGGTGTCTGCGATGCGGGCATCGAGCTTACGGCGTTGTCTGCGCCGGCGCCGGCGCTGGCGTTTTTGAGAAGTGGTAAGGCCAGTCTCCTCATCGTATTGATCATCATCCGAGCTCATCTCGGTCAGTTCACGCGTTTCGATTGCAGAGGACGAGAGGTCCGACGCATCGGTGTCTTCTGCGGTCAAAGGCTCCTGTTCATCCCACCTATCTCCGAGCGGCCGAAGACTGTCATCCCTTCGCTCTGATGCACTCGGCTGTGATCGGACAGGGGTATTACCCGTGAGCACCGAGCTCCGCCGTCGATGATGGGTTGCGGCTGATAACCCCATTGTGTGTATGTATGTGTAGATTCCAGGGTTAGACGCGGATCGGAAGGAAAGGGACGGGGGCGCGAGGTGTTTGTGTTTGCCCCATGGAGGGTGCGACTAAAGGAGAGGAATTTCGGTAGACGAGGTTAAGTTGAGAAGCTGTAGAGCGTAAGACCCCTCCTCCGAAATATAGGGTCAAGTGATCAGTTGATCAAAAAGCACGAGGATGGAGTGAGTGAAGTCAGGCTTGGAAGAGAAAAGAGTAAGGAGAGGCGGTCACGGGGTGCCACGGGGGGGCTTCGTTGCTGCCCGCAAGTTCCTTTGGGCGGTGGATTGGTCACGCCTGGCCTGTTTTCCCTTTTCCTTTTTTCCTTTCCCATTTTCCCCCTCTAACTTCTCCTCCTTTCTAACTGGTCGCCACTCGATCCACTTGGGCTTTCCACCCAAGATCCACAATCCGGTCGATCCGGGGTCCTAAGGGAGGTCAGCTTGACCTTGCCAGTGCGGTTTATTGGTGGACTATGACTTCCGGTGACCCTGATATCTGGTGCTTGCTACGGCCGGGGTTAGTTAGTACCTTATGAGCGGAGGTGCTGAGCTATATCAACCGCAATTTGCTGCATAGTGTCGAGAATCAATCTGCGAAATTACACTGGGTCAACCGGTGGCTCTTCTTGAAACCGCTGTCTGTCCGAGGTCACACGATAAACAAAAACTTGCATCCGCTAGCACATCCTGGTGATTTTGACCGAGATTCACGGACCTTGGCAAACGAACAACCCGAGCTCGTGGGCATACATACCTTTATAGGAGTCTTCTTCCATAATGACGATGTGCTAGCCCAGCCTGTCGCAAGACCCCGCTATCTTTCCAGCTTCCTCCTGGTCAGCTTGGTGATTGGACAATACACTCAAACATCGTAATGACCTCAGTGCGATCCTTGATCACTGCGGCATCATCATGTCGTGGTTTCCATTGTTCCCGGCCAGCAGCCAGGCTCATATATGCCTCGCGGTGTGGGCGAGGAGTCTTGATCGGACATTTCCCTTTTCTCACACCCCTGCGTTGGAGGCTGTTAACCCCAAGGCTTCCAATAAACGGAATCAAGAGGCTTGATCTATACCTCTTTTAATTGTCTGTTGGTTCTAGGAGGTCATTGTACTCCTTGATTAACACTCGGCACCATGGCAGCTCCTCAATATAACGCCATTGAGGACTATGGTCTGATTGGAGATATGCATACGTGTGCCCTCATCAGCAAGGCTGGTAGCTTGGATTATATGTGTTGGCCGGTATTCGACTCCCCCTCGGTATTCTGTCGTCTGTTAGATGACAAGATCGGTGGATTTTGGTCGGTGGCGCCTTACAAAACCGTCGTCGACCCTCATAGCAAACAGCGATACCTGCCCTATTCAAATCTGCTCGAAACTCGCTGGACTAATGAAGACGGTGTCGTCATAATGCTGGACTACTTTCCCGTCACGCCCAAGAAGAGCTCCCACTCGGGCCGTATGCTCTCGGGTTACTGTCCTTGCAATGAACCTGGAGCTAATCGCTTCAAATCTGGGCTGCAGCATTCGGGTCTCATCAGGAAATTGGAATGCAGTCGTGGCTTCATGGAATTGAAAGTCGAACTGTTCCCTGCTTTTAACTATGCCAGGGACAATCACAATACCCGTGCAAAATTGGAGAACGATATGTCCAAGCACCGACTTCAGACTGTCCACTTTGAGAGTGATACAGAGCGACTGCAATTTGAGATCTTCGCCGACTCACGAGAACCGGAAAAGAATGGATTTCCCGAGGCGAGATTCACCTTGGAAGAACGTCCAGGGATGAAAGGCAAGGGTATGGTTGCCTGGCTTCGTCTCTCCGAGGGACAAACGGTACACCTTGTGCTGCACAGTCCCGAAAAGGCTGTCCCGAGCCGTGCAACAATGGCTGCCTACTTTGCTAGAATGGAGGAGGAGACCTCCGATTACTGGACGGATTGGACCCGCAAATGCGCATTTCGAGGACACTACCGCGAAACCGTTGAGCGCAGCCTGCTCATCTTGAAGCTGCTTACCTATAAACCGACCGGTGCAATTGTCGCAGCACCCACCTTCTCGCTTCCTGAAAATGTGGGCGGCTCACGCAATTGGGACTATCGGTACTCCTGGGTGCGCGACACGGCTTTCACACTTTACGTCTTCCTCAAAATGGGATACAGCCGCGAGGCGGAAGCCTACGTCAACTTTATCTTCGACCGGATCTTCCCGCATGCTGCCAAGGAAATGGAGGCAGGTAGCAAACGGCCTTTTCTACCACTGATGTTTACCATCCGTGGCGAGTGCGACATTCCCGAAGTGGAGCTGGATCATCTCGATGGATACAAGGGTAGCAGGCCTGTGCGAATCGGAAACGCAGCCGTCTTCCACACGCAGCTGGACATCTATGGCGAACTGCTCGACAGCATCTACCTCTATAACAAACATGGAAACCCTATCACCTACGACCAGTGGGGTTCGATCCGCCGCATGGTGAATTATGTCATTGGCGTGCGCGACCAGAAGGACATGTCTATTTGGGAATCTCGTGGCCAGATCCAAAACTTCATTTATTCCAAAGTGATGTTGTGGGTGGCTCTGGACCGTGGCATTCGTCTTGCAGAGAAACGAGCCAGCCTGCCCTGCCCTGATCGCTTCAAGTGGATCCAGGTACGCGACGAACTGTACGATGAGATCATGGAAAGGGGATACAATAAGGAACGTGGTCATTTCTGTCAAAGCTATGAGAGCCCTGAGGTTCTAGATGCGTCGATTCTGATTGCTCCCCTAGTATTCTTTGTTGCACCGAATGATCCCCGCTTCATCAGCACTCTGAAGATGATCCTGAAAAGTCCCGAGAAAGAGGGACTCTCCAGCGCCAAAATGGTTTTCCGATACGACCATGTGAAGGCAAATGACGGTATGTTCTAGCTCCGGATCTCCATGTATCCCCTGGATCTCCGGGTGGTTACTAAACGTTCACGTCGTACAGGTGTGGGTGGAGGTGAGGGTGCCTTTATCATGGTTACTTTCTGGCTCGTTGAGGCCATGGCCCGGGTAAATCATCTCCTTGTTGTGCGACCCTGGTGATTCAACTTGAAGTACTGTTGCTAACCTAGGAATCCTGATGCGTGTCGTGAAATATATAGGCTGCCGCTTTCGATGTCCCCATTCCGAACATCTGGAAACTTGCACTCTCGCACTTTGACAATATTTTGTCGTACTCTAATCACCTTGGGATGTTTTCTGAAGAAGTGGCTATTTCAGGTGAGCAGATGGGAAATACACCCCAGGCCTTTAGCCATTTGGCTTGTATAAGCGCGGCTATCAACTTGGAGAAACTTGGTCATTCGGGTGCTTAGACACGAAACAATGGTGTAGGTGTCGGTCTCAAAACTTTTGCTACTTTTCAGGTATTCTTTGAGCTTGGTAGATGGACTTATTAATTATGACTTTATTTGCCTTTGACCCATGTTGCCCAGGTGGGCATAGTATGCCAGTTGTTTGCATTCTCGATCTCGGGGTAGACCCAGGTAGTATATACTAGTTACTAGTAGTAGTACCCGTGGACAGTGCTCCGACGTCCATACTAGTAGCCGCGATCGACCCAGTGTATCTGTAGATAGCAGTGTTAGAGATTCAAACACTGCTATTAGAATACTAGTACTACTTGATATCCTACCCAGCTATATACTCAGTATTCAACGTCAACCACTATGCTCAAGCTGGCATGGGCAGGTGATCGACTCATGATTACGTAACGCATGATGATCCGCGCGGGTCGCGATCCGCCGGCCAACTCCACTAGCTTATTGCTTCCCCAGACCACCTTGCACACCTCCTGGGCCTCTTTGAAGCGACATACGGAAACCTGCCGACCCTCTCGGTTTCTGCTATGTTCTTCAGAGTTGATCCAAGCTCAGAACATCCAAGTCGACCCTCATCCCTCAGGCTCCAACATACCTAACTTGAACCCCATCACTGTTCCCCCTCATGGCGGGCGCTTGCTCGAATTGGGCCGATCGGCCAGCTTCCGATCGGGCATTATCTTCAGACGAAGAGGGGGAAGAGGACTTTGTCTCGACTCACAGCACTGCCTCACTGAATCCGGACGATCGTTTCGAGAGAAATCATCTTTCTACCACCTTGAACAAGGTTCATTTGCACCAGACCGCGTCGAATCATAGCTCCGAGGAGTCAGCTACTACTCGGACCTCAACTCCCTTGACAGCAGCCTCGATGCCTGCTACTGAAAGTGACCAGAAGTGGAGAGCCAAATCGATGAAGCTGCTAGATCTTCCCCTTGATGTCCTCAAGGATATCGTGAAGGAGGTATGTGAGAGTATACATTTTGTCGCCAGTCCAATGTTGTTGTCAAGGAACGTTCTAACATCGCTTTTCTCTTTCTTCGCTGCATAGATCACGCACACGAATGACCTCACCTCACTCGCCTTGACATGTTCTGCCCTGCATGGTCTCACTATCCCGCATATGTACTCGCGCTTCGATATCGTCTGGCCGGAGTCGTTAAACCCTTCAAGCGACGATTATTCTGGCGTGGACGCCCTATCATACGGTCTCTCTACGTTGGTTATGGGCGAAGATGTCTTCAACCAGCTCCCATCTCGGCACGACAGGCTGACCCACACTTGTTCGAGCTGCGGCTGTTCCGACCGTGTTCACCAACAACAAGAGACAAACAACGGGCCCCCCCTCGCGTCGCGGAAATTATTACGCGCAGTACACGCGGACCTTTTCGATCGGCAATGGTCCACTGAGCTGGGTGCAAGAATATTCGGTCAATAGGGAGGTGGGGAAAATGCTGGGGACGCTGGTCGCTCTAGCTGTCGCACGAATGGTCAACCTCGAGACATTCATCTGGGATATGCCGACCGGTGTGGTTCGTGAGATTTGGTTGGCGCTTGCTTCACTGGCGGATAGGTTGGGTGACGAATGTCGCTTGGAGAAGGTTTGGGTGCGCTGGCATGACAATTCGGAGAATGTCCTTCGGATTGCGCCGGCTTCTGAGGCTGCCACCCATCTGTTCAAGAGATACAAGCACGTGGAACATCCCTCGCTTTCTGTCTTGCCGGCTTTGAAGAGCGTGGCTGTGCTGGATATCGATGAACCGGCTTATGTGGAGGAGCTGGCAGTCTTGATTGAACGGTCTCGTCATCGTCTTGCTGAGTTGAGAATTGGAGTCTCTTTGAAGGCACATCTTTCCGATTGGCTTGTCTGTGCCAAAGACTCAGATGCCGCTGATGCTGTACTCAGCTGGCCGAGACATGGCGGACTGTTGAGTATTCTTTCCAAAGACAGCTCCAGGCTACATGAGGAAAAGCTGGTCCTTTCTTCAGCCTCCGATCTGCAGGTCGCTTCGGAACTCCCCAGCAAAGCCACAGAGAAGTATAAGGATGAAATGTCCCAGCATGATGAAAGCACACCTCGAGAAACCGAGAAAGGCACTACGGTGGCCAACAAAGAATTCAATGACCCACAACCGACAGCCTCTCATGCAACTCCCACCAAGCCCCATCCGCTCATGTCGGCTCTCCACGCCAGTGGGGATCAGCTACACCTGGAACTGCTTGAGTTAGAACGGATACCTCTTTCGATTTCAACCCTCCTCCCAACCATCGATTGGACTCGTCTAACAACACTCACTCTAATGCGATGCGATGACCATGAGCATCTATGGAGAGCTCTCCGTCGTAAATATGCACCCCCAGCAACACCCCCGAAAAGACTAGCGAATGGGAATTGGGGCCGAGGGAGCGTCAGCGCGGTCGACTATTCGCTCAATATCAAACATTTGCGAACGGATAATGTTTCATCGTTCCTGATGCTTTTCATTAAGGATGCTCTCGCTCCCAATACCCTGGAAAGCGTTTTCCTGCACGAATCACCCGGGCACGAATCGAACGTCCAAATCGACGCCATTTACCGACACATCTTGCGAAAGCATCGATTGAGCCTGCGCAAGGTTTTGATTGATGCCTCGGAACGACATGATGGCACAGACAACCTGAGCCACAAATGGCATAAGTGGGTGTTCAGCCACGAAATAATTTCTTTCATCACAAGTGGGAAAATTCCGCAATTGAGAGAGTTGGGAATGGCAATGAATTACCGAGACTGGGTGAGTGGAGATGACTTCTTTCAAACAACTTGAACTTACCTGAACTAACCATGTCTTCAGCACTATTTCCTCCAGCGGCTCCCGAATATGCCCCAGCTCCGCGCGCTATACCTTCCCCACATCAGCCACTGTGCCAAAGTTGACCTGAAGGAACTCGCTCTTCAAGTCCTCGACATAGTCAGCATTCGCCCCGAGCTCAAGATGACCTACATCGGCCTCCAAATGAAATGTTACCAGATTCAAGAAGGAGCCGGCGACGGGAAAGAGTTGGACTTCGACAACCAAACTGTCAATGACATCTCCATCGCAGGAGATGATAACCTCTCGGAAATCGATGCAATGTCAATTCAGGAAGATGATCAGGATATTCCCCCTTATACGGATGGCGCGTCCGACCTTCTTTCCAGTGATCTGGACGATGATGATGATGACGACGACGAAGCGGACGATGACAGCGCTGGGCGTGTCCAGTTTCGGCTGCAGGAGATCCTCTTTTATGACGACAAGATATCCATCTTCAAAGCACGACATGGGGTGCTTTGAATGGCGTTTTCCCTCCTTTCCTTTCTTCCCTGTTTTGAACTTTTTTGCTCAGCGCTTTGCGCACCCCCCTCCAACTGTTCCCTTTTCATTCCAGGGTGTTCTGCCTCCCATATTCAGGTGTCGAGATGAACTTCAGGTGTTTACTTTTCTTCTATGATACCACGTGCACATTAACTCCAATCAGACCGAGATTATTATCCACAACGTATCTCTTTCTTCGATGTAGGCTGCTCCTAAGTAGGCCTTGCTAATAGTACTGGAAGCTCTTTAGATTGTATCCTGAATTGTCATTGACATGGGTAACGTAGTTCCCGGCCGATCTGGACACCCGGCCGTCCTGGACACCCCATCCAAAACCGCCACTTCTTACTACCCTACCTAATTCAACTACCTACTATGCCACCAATTCGCACTGAATCCTCGCAGAAATTGGCGAATCAGGAGGGAAAGATCTTATTGGCCCTTTCCGATATCAAAGATAGCCGTATTAAATCCCTTCGCGCAGCCGCAAAGCTCTACCAAATTCCTCTCTCCACACTACATACGCGTGCCCACGGTCAACTCCCACGCGTCGATAAACGTCCATCAGGCCATAAATTAACCTAAAACAAAGAGAATTCGCTTACTGAATGGATTATCTCTATGGATACGCGTAGAGCAGCTCCCAGGCCCTCTACTGTACGCAATATAGCTAATATTCTACTGGCTGCGCGTGGTGATACTCTTCTATCTACTGTTGGTAAAAACTGGCTATCTTCGTTCGTTCAAAGACGTAAGGAGCTTCAGTCGCGTTTTTCTAGACAATACGATTACCAGCGCGCACTCAACAAGGATCCTAAAGCAATACTAGAGTAGTTTTCGATAGTGCAACGTACGATCGAGGAGAACGGTATCCAACCGAAGGATATCTATAACTTCGACGAGACCGGATTCGCAATAGGCCTTATATCAGCACAGAAGGTTATTATACAAGCTGATTAATACGGTCAGGCATTACTATTACAACCGGGAAATCATAAATAGGTTACTGCAATTAAGACGATATACACTGATAGGTATTCGCTCCCACCGTGTATTATATTCAAGGACCAGGTTTATATTACTAGTTAGTTTAAAACGAATCTACCTAAGGATTAGCGGATTAAGGTATCGAATAACAGTTAGACTACTGATGAAATCAGTTTACGCTAGCTGCAAAAGCTATTTATTCTATATACGACTTTACGTACACAAGGATAATTTCGGCTATTAATCCTTAACGGATATAGTAGCCATCTAACGCCTTAGTTCGATCGAATATATACTGAAAACGATATTATACTACTCTGTATACCTTCGCATTCATCATATCTACTACAACCGCTTAATGTTGGGTATTTCGCTGTTTTAAAGCGTATATACGGTTAATTTGTAAGCGATTTAGCCCGAACTGACTATAATCATATCGACAAGCTTGATTTTCTAGCAGATTATCCTTGCGCACGATTAGAAGCTTTCCAGCTAAATATCGTACAAAGCAGCTTCGCAGCTTCTAGTATAGTACCAGTTAATACAGAAAGAGTACTTTCTACGCTTAATATCTCTATCCGAACACCTATACCACCTAGCAGCAGACCAAACAGCAGATCTAGCTAATTTATACCAAAAACGCCTAGAACAGCGATTCAGCTAGAAAAGCAAGCTTCTATGCTTAAAGAGCTATTAAAGCAGCGATTACACAGCCTGCCTACACTATCAAAAATCATGCTTGATCAGATTATCAAGGGCTACTGTATAGCGCTACACAACACTGCGCTACTAGCAAAGGAGAACTCCGATCTACGCGCAGCGAATGAAAAGAAACGTCAAAAGCGCACTCGATCGACTAGGCAGATCGCTTACGAAGGGGGTCTATCGGTTGAAGAGGGCCTACATCTAGCTCAGCAGCCAATTAAGCCTGTAGAAGCTGATGAGGTAGTATCGCATATGCAGGACAATTTACCTACTCAGCAGGATCAGCCACGCAAGAGGGCCCTGCCTACATATAGTGGATGCGGGAAGATTGGGCATAAGATCAATCAATGTAAAAAATCGCTAGTTTAGGATTAATTAATGCGTTTTGGTTGCGATATCCTATTTTAACATTTTATCATGGGGGTGGGTGTCCAGGGACGGCCGGGTGTCCAGATCGGCCGGGAACTACGTTAGTAGGTATGAATTCCTGGGTTTCTTTATTGTAGTAGCAAGACCCTAGCTACGCTGTTTGATCAAAACATCCCGTGTGTAACTCTTTCCAAGGTTACCTTCTTAGTCTGAAAATACTAGTGTTCTATATACAACTTTGGACAAAACTACAGTAGTACTATAAAAGTTCCTAACCCCTGATTGTCTACTAGTATTATTGACCATCTTCTAAGACTAGTAGCAGACCAGTACCTACCTAAGATAGAGTAGATTAGCCAATCTATTCCATCTTGGGTAGGTACTTGTTGGGGCTCATTAGCAAGATAGCTGAGACTACTAGGGAAGTCAGAATACTTATAATTTTAGACTCAGAAGTTACCGACAGCCTTAAAGACGGTCAGGTAAAATAGCCCTATATACAGCTACTGACCACCTGCGCTTGCGGAGCACCGTATCTATTCTAACAAGACTGCAGCTACTTGCGCTGTTTGATGGTTTCCTGTCAACTGGACATAAATGGGTTCCACCCATCATCACTCCTTCTCTACCACCAGACTTCCCACACTTACCCACTACCTTAAACATCATCTACAGGATCTGCCTTCCATAACAAGCCGCCTTGACCCCACTACAAACGAAACATCCCACTACAACTGAAACCGCGACCAACCTTCAAAATGGGTCGCTGGGGCTGGCGTACGTCCTCAAACGCAAACCCCCAAAAAGAAAACCCTAGTTAGTACTAACTCCCAAATCAGGCCTTTTCAAAGGTGACCAGGATCTGGACATAAGCAGCACCATGAAGAATACCTTAAAGTCAATACTGAAGACTGGGAGCTCAATCTCTCCAATCTAGTCAACCAAACCGACATGCTAGCGTCGGAGGAGGCGCGGGCACGATGCAAATCGCCCGAATACGCCCAAGTGCTCGCCAACGAGATGATCCCCTGAATGCGCAACAAGCTCGGCACGGAAGCTCTAACCGATAGGCTCTTCGACAAATGTCGCACACTAGAGACCAATCCCACTAACGACTACCCATTCGATCGAAAGTACACCACTATCATCCTCGGCAACCTGGTAATGCGTACCGGGGCGAAGATTCGTGATCGGGATCTTAAGCACCTTCGCGACATTGTTCCTGATATTACCTGCCGTGCCCAGTATGCTGGGCCATTCGCCGACGGAGGCTTTCGACTCCCTGGAAAAGTGCAGTTTATCGCCGCGCTTGATCACTACCAGGAGGGTGTTCCGAGAAATTTCGCCGATCCAAGGTGAGTGGGATATTCGAGTTCTATATTTTGGGGCCATTGGGTGATTTTGACTAACTGATGCGGGTTGAAGTTGCTTTCGCTGTGGGAAGATGGAGTGTGATATTAATCATGCGCTTCTCCGATGCGGGAAGTGTAAAAAAGTCTGGTACTGTGATAAGGTGAGTGCTGAATACTTCCGCGGTTCGCTTTATCATGAAGTCCCTGGGCTCTTTTTCAGATGCGAGAACAGGATGAATGTCTGATAACTTTTATTTATGTGTATAGGAGTGTCAGAAAGGTCATTGGCCCGCGCACCGACTTCATTGCAAGGCTGCTGGGACTTACTTTAGCCTGAATGTTTAGAACGAGGGTTACGACTTTGTCCCAGTGTGTCTATCTCTACCAAGACTGCGTAGCCATGTGAACACAAGAACATGATAATGCGAGGAATGCTATTTCTAGATAGTTTGAGGGAAATATTGATGGTTCATGGAGCAAGAAGAGGCAGGGTGGAATTTCCAGGGTATCGATAACTACTAAGGTAGTATGTAATGATAAGCACGATGTCCACACGATGTCCAATATTATCCTATGACCCATGACCGATTTATCACTAACTGTTCCAGATGGCCTCGGCCGAGTAATGATTTATCGAAGTATGTCTCATACGACGCAAATAGAAAAGGAAGCCAAATCGATTTAATTCAGAGCAAGAACTTGTTACCAGCTAGTATGCACAGAAGAGCTCGAATGAGCCCAAGGCAATGGCCAGCAGATATAAAGCATACATTATCACCTCAACCAAAATATCCAACCACGGAGCATTTATGTCAAGATCCACCTGGCGAATCATATCACAAATGCCACGATCAAACTGGTTGGAGCTGACCAAAACCCCCAAAGCAACTCTGTCTAAACGCAGTCCCATTCTGTCAAAACCACCAAACAGAAGAGAAAGCGAGATCCAAGTAAACGTGATTATCGATCGATCAATAAACAGGAACACCATGGCCAGTCAAAGATCACGCGAATCAGATGTACCCTATCGACCTTCACTGGGCTGGCAAAGCTTCCACTTCCCCTTCGACTTGCAACGACCAGAGCAGCACTCATCATCCTTGCGACAGAAATCAAGGTGAACGCTGCACTCCTTATGCGGCCCGACCATGCAGTATCTAAAACTCGGCCCATCATGCTTCCAATGCTCGCACTTGTGTCCATCGCGACAGTCGCCGTCAGAATCACAGCCAGGATGGCAGGTTCCTTCAATACACCGGTATCCCCAGTCACACTCGGTGTTCACTTGGCAAGCATCGAGATAAGGAGGAGCCGATACAACACTGAAGCCTCGAGTCTCGAGGAGCGAGGCTTCGCCCTCTTGCCACATCTTCTCGACTTGGGCATCAAACTCGGCTTCCGTTGGTCGGACCATAGCGACGTGGATATTCGGACCATTATCGGAAGAAGTTGGGATTATGGCCGTCAGTGTAGCAGCAGTAGCTCCATGGGCCTTTGTTGTGCTCGTGCTTGTTGGACCATTAATGCGATCCGGCGAAGGGTGGTAGAAGACGCCGATGAGTGTAAGGAGGAGGACGGCGCCAATGAAGATGAGGGCCCCGATAAATATAGCCCACCATAAACTCCATTTGGATTTCTCCGCATCGTCTTCAAAATCGCCCTTCCACATGCGTTTGAATTCAGCCCACTTTGTGGGCTTTTCGTAGTCGTAAATTGGTAGTCGGGGTTTGGCCGTGTTGTTCGTGGGCGTAGTAGTAGTTGGAAAGGCGGGGGTTGGCTCATTTGATGGGCTCCCGGGTGTGTAGGTGGTAGCTGTGGAACAGTAAGTATCTTGAAGGTAGTTGTAAAGAATGGGTTCTGGCTGAGTGAAAGGCACAGTACTCACCTGCTGGCATCTGTGGAGTCTCCATCGGTTTAGGTGTCGTTCGGGTCACAGTGTGTAGTAGTATATTCAGATCGGAAGGGTTGAATATTGAACTTTGAAGCCAGCTATATATAACAAGAGTAGGCTTTCGATGTTATATGCCCAGTGGTTTTGAAACAGGTGTGAAGAGGACCGGAGGAGTTGTAGTTGTTGGAGGCGGCAACGGAAATGGAAGTATGACTGGAGGCAGACGCATCCATGGGTTCATTCATCGCCGCGTACATTTTGGGCAGCACTTTCCCTGAATTAGAGAACAAAATAGAGACTGCAATAGTACCAGTAAGTTTTATGAGGGAAAAACAATTATGCCATAACAAGACTCGGAGGTATTCCTACTCGGGACTCGGAAGTGAAACAAAATCCAACTTGAATACAAGCGCCATCAACTAGACTTCTTTGTATGATCCGATCCATAGTAGTGCCAGTATAAGCGAGAACCTTTAAATATCCAACCAGTAGAGCAATGAGGATGACGACAGGGGGTGTTACGGAATTTTTCTATTGAGAAAAATGTAGAGTTCTGTGCAAATCTCAAGACCAGTAGGTTGGTTAGTTTGAAGTATTCATTGTTTGCTCTAGGGCTATCTATCTCAGGTTGTTATGACGGGAATGAAATGCAGGGTCTGAGGATATGCAGACTCAAGAAGTGGTCCTGACGGGATTGGGAAGTCTTTCGATTGGAATTTTTGATTCGAAGTCTTTATTCAAGCGCAAGTTGCCACGACCTCATGAGCTAGGAGTTTGGCTTGAGGTCTGTGTTCTACTCGAAGTAAAATTCGAGGGCAGTGTCATACTAGTAGGAATATTGGTGTCAGCCATAAGACGTCCTGTATTGCCATATTCGGAGATGTGCTCGGAATATCCAGCTTTGATTTCGACGCGTTTGTGGAGAACTGACTTGGATGTGTGGGAGAAAAGGGCTGTGGTAAAGAGTCGACCGAGAATACTGGACACAAATTGAGATGAATCCATTAGTCAATGTCGTAGAAAATGATCACGGTAAAGCCGAGAAGAAGCGAAAGAGACGCCAAAGATGTGGCCAAAGTCGAAGATGTGGCGAAAGTCGAAGACGAAGCCAAATATAAGGCCAATGGCAACGATCAAGCCAAGACAAAACCCAAGGACGAAGCCCAAGGCATAGAAAAATACGGACATAGAGGTGAGAGTGAGGATGACGATGGGAGTGAGGTGAAGTTGAGGATAAAGTGGAAGTTAAATTTAGAGTTGGGAATAAACAAATGAACAGCATAGGGCACAGGGGAAAGAGCAAGCATTAACCTGCGGCTTCCTAAATTCCAATATTCACCCAGTAACTTGAAGTACTCGGTATACTACTTACTGCCAATTCTTAATAGTAGTACTCTATAATAATACAAAAAATAAAGACGACTAGGATACCTGGTAGATAATGGACCCCCAGATACCATATACTATAAGTACTAACAAGAAGAGATATAGCATGGAATCCTAGTAGAGTGCCGGGGCATGGAAAGTCTTGATCTATTGGTCTAGCATACACTCAAATTGGTGAATCCCAACTGCCAGACCAGAACGTGGTTTCAACCACCTCCAGTACCTCCTCCAAGAACTCACCACGGCTACTCGTTCCGACCATGATCTTATAAGTGCCACTGTGGCTGCACCAGCTGCTGCTCTTCTCGTCCCAGAAGCTGGTTGAACGAATAAGATTCAACTTAATAGTCACGGACTCCTCTGAACCAGCTTGCACTCGCACCTTTTTAAATTCCTTCAGTTCCTTGACTGGTCGTCGGATGGGAGATGATAAGGGAGCAATATATACTTGGACAACTTCAGCTCCGTCCCTGCATCCAGTGTTTCGCACCTTCCACTGCACTTGCAGTGTATTTTCGGACCCCCTTGTCGTCTGGAGGTCTGAGATTTTGAATGTGGTATATGAAAGGCCGTGGCCGAAGTGAAAGAGCGGGTCAAGTTCCAGACTGTCATAGTAGCGGTAACCCACGTACACATCCTCACCATACAGTACACGACCGCCTTCGGATCGGTAGTTGAAATATGTGGGATTATCCTTGAGTCGTCGTGGGAATGTGAGAGGAAGCTTTCCGGACTAAGGGTAATATTGTCAGCTGAGGTTATTATATGGCTCCCTGGATATTTTCTTACCGGGTTGACATCACCAATAATAACATCTGAAATAGCATGGCCCGTTTCATTTCCACCATACCAAGCATGAAGCACGGCCTTCGCATTATCGATCCAGGGCATCTCGACCGGTGTTCCACTTTGGATCACAACGACTGTATTCGGATTGGCCTCGAGAACCTTCGAGATCAACTCATCCGTGTTAGGTGGAAGCTTCATGGTGGTTCGATCCTCACCCTCCGACTCCCATTCAGAGCTCAGTCCGGCAAAGAGGACCACCTGGTCAACGTTGGAAGCTACTGTGACAGCTTCAGCAATGCCTTCTTGAGGCACGAGTTGTTTGCAAGCACCAAATCGGAAACCTCCATGTCCGAAATCTACGACACCGGGGACTTTGAAGGTGCTCGTCTTGCCACATCCCCATTGCGTGAGGATCTTGTATTTCCTGCCCGCCTCCATTTCCAAAGATACAACCTCTTCCATGGTTCCACTCCCAAAGAAACTAGTTCCCGCCCTCTGAACGTCGGCATTGTTGATCAGAAGCTTCCCATCCACGTATAGTCGTCCAGTTCCGTGCACTGTGAGACCAAAGTCATATGTACCAGAGGTTTCGGGAACGAAGTAACCCTCTGCGTCCGCATACCAGGTCGGCTGTAACTCTGGGTGGTTATAGTCCATGAAGATGACCATAGAGTCGGTTTCTTGCCGCGTCTCAAGAGGCTTTCGTGATGCATCCGTAGGGGGCTCATTGAAGATCTTCAACGAGAATCCAGGGACGCCTTCCTCGGTGCGAAGATGCTTTCCAAGGAGCGGCAGCATCTGATGCCCATAAACGCCTTGAGCGAACTCAACGCCACCCTGGGCGGCTTCCACGAGGCCATCATAGGGCGTCACAGCACGGTATGGGTTCAGTGCAGCGCTTCCACCACCACAATAAGTGGCGATCCTCGAGTTGGGGCCAATCACCGCAATTTTCTTATGCTTGTCCAAAGGAAGAATGCTATCTTGGTTTTTCATCAAGACGACTGCTTCTGATGCGATCTTTCGCAGAAGTTTTCTATCTTCGGGGCGATCTAACTGCGTCTCGGGTGCATGATCTGGCACGCCTGATTTAGCTGCCTTTTGAACGAGTTTCAGGACAGCACGGACGCGGTCGTTTAATGTCGCCGCTGTGATTTTGTTTGATGTGATCGCATGGTTTAGGGCTGCGCCACGCCATCTCGGCGGACCTGGCATTTCCAAGTCTAGGCCTGCGTTGATAGCCTCGGTAGTACTGTATGTTCCAAACCTAATCATTGACGTTAAATTGTTAGCGACCAAGGCCATTCCTTTTTGTTGTCTCGATGCTACTCACCAATCGCTCATAACCAAACCGTCCCAACTCCACTCTCCGCGAAGAATGTCACGGAGAAGGGTCGGGTTCTCTGCGGCGTGTAAGCCATTCACTTTGTTATACGCAGTCATGATGGCATCTGGTTGACCTAGGGCAATCGCAACCTGGAATGGAAGCAAGTAAATTTCCCTCAACGCGCGATCAGTCACAATTGAGTTCACTGCCATGCGCTCGTGCTCTTGATCATTGCAAACAAAGTGTTTCAGGGTCGCACTAATATTCTTCTCCTGGAGACCTTTACAGTAATGTCCCGCGAGGATACCCGACAGCATCGGATCTTCAGAGTACGACTCGAAACCTCTGCCACCAAGCGGGCCTCGAGCGATGTTGATGGTCGGCCCGAGAATGACATGCGCGCCCTTGGCCTTGGCCTCTGCGGCGAGAAGATGGCCAATTTCTAAGACAAGGTCCCTGTCGAAGGTCGCGCCGATCGCAGTTCCGCAGGAAGACATGCTGCCGGGACACTGCTAAAGAAATGAGTACCTCGTACTCCGTTCGGACCGTCTGAGACTCGAATCGACGGGACTCCAAGTCGAGGAACTGGTACGGTATGCCAAAAATCGTCTCCTTTAACGGAAAAAAGAACATTGTCAGTCTCTCTTTTCTTTTCGTTTTGCATATGCAATGGGTATAGGCGAACCTGTTAGAAGCGCGACTTTTTCATCCTGGGTGAGCTTCTTCAAGATTGCTTCGATGTCGGCCTCTGCGATCTGTGCAAAGGATTCGTCCACCACAGCGGGCGAAGTTTCAATTGTCGACATTGTGTCAATTCCCCTCGCGACGAATCGATTTGTAGGAGAGGAAAGGAAGAAAAAAATACATCGTTCAAAACCGCCGGTGAACGCAGGCTGGCTAAGTACCCTCGGGAAACCAAGAATCGGTACATGTACCCATAAAAATCCATCAGCGCGTTCAAATGGATCAATATTTCGCGTGTAGAGCTCTGCTCGCGCAGGAAGGCCCTACGCAATTACTTCAACCCATCGGGTGTGTACACTTTCAAGTTGTCGGCGGGTCACAGTCTCCACCGAGTATATGCAAACGCAAGCTGATTGCACCACAAACGCCCGAGACCCAAACTTCAACAACAGCGATTTGTTGACTGATTCTCCGTTTCTCCTTTTCTCCGTTTCTCCGCCTCCGCGCCGGCTGCCAAATTATCGAATGCCGACCCCGGCGTCCCCAGTCCTCCACACAATCATCCCGCATTTACGTTCCCGACCGGCTGGAGCAATGCCATCGGGTGACCATGTGGCCGAATTTTTCTAACTTGAAACGGGGATAGTTAGTTGCTTCAGTGGCTGATTGGCCAATTCCTTCAGTCCCTCGTCTGATTTCCCTTGGTTTCGTTCCGAGTCAGGGCGTAGACGTTCCCCGGAAAAACGCCCCTAGGGGGACGACGATGGAACCGTCGGAAAATAGCGGCACTTGAGGCATCTCGATTTCTAGTTAAAAGGGCCTCGTCGTTCCCGATCATCCCCTCGATTCCCTATCTGTTTTATTTGATCTTCATCTCCCATTTGCCTACACGATGGGGACAAAAAGCGCCGACGCCAGCAGCAAGCCTGCCGAAGAAGATCGTCTTGCTGCTGTTCTTCCACCTAATACAACACCATGGTGGAAACAGGGGCATCTTCTCCAGCTCAATTTCATCATCATCTCTTTGGTTATGTACTCGTCGGCCAACGGTTATGATGGATCATTGATGAACGGTCTCGAGGCCTTGACCCAATGGAAAGAGTTCATGAATCAGCCCGCAGGATCATGGCTTGGTTGGATCAATGCCATCTACTGGCTCGGATGTGGTGTTGGATATCCCACTGCATCATGGATCGCCAACCGTTACGGCCGCAAACCAGGCGTATACGTTGGCTATATCTTCCTTACGCTGGGTGTCGCTCTGCAAACCGCTTGTCAAAACGACACGACCTTTTTGTTTGCACGTCTATTCCTCGGATTTGCATCCGCCCTTTTTGGAAACTCCGTTCCTCTTCTCATCAACGAGATCGCGTATCCCACCCAACGTGGCGTTCTGAACTCCCTCTTCATGTCGGGTTGGTACGTTGGCGGCACAATTGCCGCCTGGGTCGTCTTCGCTTCACGAACATATACATCCTCCTGGGCTTGGAGACTTCCATCTCTCTTGCAAGTATTGGTCCCTCTCGTCGGTCTTCCTGGTTTCCTCATGGCCCCTGAAAGCCCACGTTGGTTAGTCTCCATGGACCGAGAGGAAGAAGCTCGCGCAATCCTTGTCCGCTACCATGCTGGCGGTGATGTTAACTCCCCTTTGGTCAACTATGAATTCCAAGAAATAATTTCCACGATTCGCGCGGAGAAGGAGGCAAATAGCAACGGCAGCTATGCCGAGATGCTCAAGACACCGGGTAACCGTCACCGTCTGATGATCTCGATTAGTCTGGGCATGTTCGGACAGTGGGTTGGCAATGGTGTCATTTCCTACTATTTATCCCTGATCCTAACATCGGTCGGTGTCACTGAGGTTCGCGACCAAACTTTGATCTCAGCTTGTCTGCAAATGTGGGATCTATGCTTCGCCATCCTGGGTGCATTCTTGATTGACCGACTCGGCCGTCGACCACTATTCCTCGCCTCTGCCGGTATCATGTTCATCAGTTATGTGCTCGTGACGGCACTATCGGGCTCTTTCGCAGTGACGAATAACACTGCAACTGGCGGTGCCGTGATTCCCTTCCTCTTCATTTTCTTCGCTGGATACTGTATCGCACTGTAAGTTCTATGTCCCGTCTTCATTCAAAAGAAAGTCTCTGTCTCTTCCTTCATTTTTCTAACTACCTTTCGCCTTCCAGAACACCATTCTTGACCTCATACCCCTGCGAAATCTGGCCCTACCGTCTCCGATCACGCGGTCTCACCGTGACTTGGGTTTCAACCATCTGCGGCATGTTCTTCAACACCTTCGTCAACCCAATCGCGTTGGCTGCAATTGCGTGGCGATACTATATCGTATTCATTGTGGTTCTTGTGGTGTTTGCTGTTACTGCATTCTTCTTTTACCCGGAGACCAAGGGCTATTCGCTCGAGGAGATTGCTGTCATCTTCGATGGCCCCGAGGGATTGCCGAGTGATGTTGCCGAAATGGCTACTGGGAATGGCGATATCAAGATGGATAAATCGAACATTGCTCATCATGAGTCAGTTTGAAATCTTTCGTTATTATTAGAAGCAGGCAAAATGCAATAGAAATTTCAACCTTCACCTTTTTTCTATCTTCACATTTATTATCCCCAGGAATTCGATCAGTGTCCACCCAAGTTGGGAGATGCATCGTATTGATTCCCTCACTGCTGTCCAGGCGCGATAGTATATTCGTAGATTGCTGAACATAGTCGGCAACTTGCTTTGATATTGGATCGTCTGGATGTAATGGACAAGACAGGAGACTTGCTGCGATATCTCGGACTTTATTCGCGAGGTGCAACCCGTTCGCTTCCAGGGCTGTAGGCGGGGAGTTGAAGATGATAAGAAGAAGCTGACGAGACAAAGCTTCGCGGTCAGCCCACAAGGCTCGCACGTCGAAAGAAACTTGGCAGTGAGGTTGTGCGGCTTCCAATAGATCCATGATGAGACTCTGTAGCCATAGATGAGTAACGTGTATATTCACTCTCATTGACGAAAATTGTGTGCCCGAATCATTCAATTCCCCGGCAGCTGGGGCCCCATTTGTGTGCGCCCAGGGTTGGAAAATGGCTGGAGCATCATCTAAAAGATGCTTCAACTCGTGAAGACGGGTTTGATAATATGCCATTTGAGCGTCGAAATCTTTCACTCGCACGCACGGACAAGGTTCATGTTCTGTTGTATCCGAATCAAGACTTCGGATCGACGCCCAAAATATGCGGGAGTGTAGAATAAATCCGGATGTGAGGAAGGGAGTCGGCTTGGGGGGAATACGACTTCGTGTTCAAAGATAAACTCATCGTCAATCTCCAGAGGGATGAGATCCTCCGCCTTCACTAATTGTAATACGGCCGGGTCCAAGTACGTGAGTCGCTCCCCTTGTAAATTTTGCAAGCTGGCATGGCTAAATGGTAATTTCAGCTACAATTCGATCAACGATGAGGAATAGATATCGTAACTCACACATAGCAGTAAAACACTAGCCAGAAGCCTTTTTTGCGGAGCTGGGTCTCAATGCAGTTCAGGCCTTCATAATCGGAGATGCGATGCAAATTTAATAGCCGCGCGATTTGCATAGCCTCAACACTCAACATTCGCGACCAGTTGTGGTCTCCAAGCTGTAGAAAGGCGGCAAAGAAGAGATAGGGTATGGAAAATTTCTGAAAATTTAGTTGATCAAAATAGGAGGAGCTCCGCAAGGCCAATACTTTCTTATAGCAAGAATGAACAAACTCCTTTCGAGATGAGAATTTCAATGGGTGTGCATGGCTTTTATAAACGGGGAATCTGCTGGCTAAAGTGGCCACGACCAGCGCGGCGATGGCAAGCGTAACGGCGCAAAAGCCTTCATCCTCGCAGTCTTGATCAGCTAGCAAGGCATCACGAAAAGATGGACGATGAACAATTGGAACTAATGGATATAGCCGATCCAAATAGTCTTGCATTAAAAGCTTGAATAATTCGCGATTGTAGAGATCATCGGTCACATGTTGTAGCTTTGGGGAACGTAGCTCCTGCGTGTTCGCCCTGGCAGCCATTCCAGGCGCCGTCAGTACTTATTCTCTATTGCGAGAAGCCAAGCCATACCTTTTCTTAGGACCGCGTGTTTTCGAGGGGGAAACGAATGTACATCGCAGGTTCAACCTCTTGCAGCGCTGGCAGTGTGATGGAGCCTGTGAGGATTGCGACGGGAGAAGATGGCATTTGACCTTGCGTTTACGGCACATGTCACAAGCCTGTGTGGCGAGATCTACCCTGGGGATTCCATTCTGGTATAATTCGTCAGACATAACGGCTACACTCGCTCCAGACGATGGAGATGGAGAGCACTGGGGAAGGTAGAAAGTTGGCCGTGGCGGGTAGATTCTCCGATGACCGCCCACCTGGCCAATCACAGCCCAGAATTCTATACAGCAAACATCGATCACCACCATGCTTCCATTGAAATAAATGCGTAGGAAAATCCGATTCGTATCTATTTAAAGATAGCCAAGGTGGGAATTGAGTGAAATGCTCACTATCCCTGGCCGATGAAGGCTGCGAGGATGAACAGGTTTATTTTCTGACTGACGCCCTATCTCGTTACTACGTATATCGATCAACGAAGAGAATTTTCAAAAAAAAAAAAATTTACTGGAGCTAGCATCCCACGCCATGTGTCGAAAGTAGACACCACCTAAGAATCAGATACGGCATTTCAAAACTGCCGGGTGCATGACTCCTCCGATTTTCAACTTGGCCCAATCATCCTCAACACCCTCTTCAACGTCGGGAAAAGGACCCATTGGCGTGATAGCCTTGGGGTTGATATCATAGTGACTCTTGGTATACTAAGAAATGTCAGAGTAGGTAATTTGAATTTCACGAAATCGGCGAGACTTACATTTTCCTTGATATGCTTGAAATCTGTCGATGCCTTCGCTGCATCAACATTCCAATACAAACCCTTCAGCCAATTATTCAACACGGGATAATCATGTCGGATTGTGCCCAAGTTGCACTTAAAATGTTGGACATAGACTGTATCGAAACGAATCAATGTGGCATAGAGTCGAATGTCCAGCTCGGTGATTTGTTTCCCAAGTACAAACGGACCGCCATTCTGAGCGATGAGGCGTTCGAGCTTATTCAGCGTAGCAAAAACAGGCACAACATTTTTGTCGTAGTCTTCTTGTGTGGAAGCGAATCCAGCTTTGTAGACGCCAGCATTTACGTCGGACTGCATCCATGGCGTGATTTCGTCGATTTTCGCCCGGAGATGGGCTGGGTACAGATCGATTGACGCGAGTGATGGCTCGAGGAATTCATCAAATGCATTTGGGAGCCAACGCAGAAGTTCCGCACTTTCCTATAAGCAGCAAAAATTTATTCACTTTTTTCCAAACAAATATGCGTGGAACGATGCTTACATTGCAGACTATTGTCCCACCTTTCTTGTCCCACAAAACAGGTACTGAATACCGCCCTTTGTAGTCCGGATCGGCGCGGAAGTAGATTTTGTGCATGTAATCCTCTCCAAAAAGGTGATCGACTGTTGCGCCGGGATACTCGTCATCGGATACAGGAAACCGCCATCCCGGCCAGCCTTGAGCGTCACCTTTCGGGTACGGCATCACGATGCTGAGACTAATGAAGTCGGTAAGGCCTTTCAGGTGGCGCACAAAGTTTGCTCTGTGTGCGAATGGACAAAAGAGACCGATGTAAAGATGATACCGATCCTTTTCAACCGGAAATTCAGTGCTTGGTATGACGCCGTGCCATCCATCGGCGGTACCGGGCTCGTGAATTTGCTTGGCGTTTGTAGACATGTTAATATTTCGAGTTGGTATGGGCTTTCCGGAGTGATTGGAGATAATAGCGAATGTGCAGATATAGCAATTCAAGAAAACATCAATGTGTGGGGGTCGGAGCTATTGGACTGACGTGAGATGGCGAGTCCCGGTCGAGGGTTATGCTGATTGATAAGAGCAAGCGGAAATATTCCGTTATCGCATACCATCAACCTTGCCAGGGTGGAAGGTAAATTGATATATACAACTGGCGGAAGAGGCCAAGTGCAGTAAGCTTACCATCGCAAATATCTGCAAGCTCTGCGGCAAACTTAGAATTATCCGCACGCCCTTAACTCGAATTTGCAAGAAGCAAACAGTGACGCTGTTGATGATCGAAGCCCACTGCGGCCACCTATCTGACTCCTGAGTACTCCCATCAAAGACATCATGATCTCTATTGATTCTGTCTCATTTGATATGAGCCAAGCCCCCTTTGGAATACCAACACATCTTTCAGCATGCCAGGCACTACCATTACGCAAAGAGTGTTGACATTTGAAGCCTATCTAAACCCCCTCACACATTCTACGCATACAATATAGAATTTTGAATATTGCTGATCACCCAGGTCCTCACCAGGCTATTTCTTCAAAAATGCATGAGAAATCTATACAGAAGAAAACAAAAATAAAAGAAACATGATTTATATTTCTTTTAAGATTCCCAGATGATATTCGGAGCGGGGCGCCCGGAAAGCATGTCGATACGGCAATCGAATTCCAGGGTCTGACTCGCGTCTTTCCTTGTTGTATTGCATCCTATGCCTGGTCTTGCTTTTCCCTTGTTTATTGCTTGCATTACCATTTTGTGCCCTCTCCAGTCCATTTTATTTTCTTTTCCTGTTTTTGGTCTTGTTCCCCAACCTGAAATCCGATAACAGAAACCTGCCCAGAGTTGTGCCCCATAGCACTTCTGCTCCCGTAGAACACAGAACACGTGGGTCGGAACTCGACCGGAAGCCATATAGAGCCCTTTCATTATTTACCCTTATCCAGTGCGCATTATCGATCAATATTTCCCCCTTCCTCTTGCGTAAGCTAGGAGTAGAATCGTCACACTGAGACTGAACATGGCGAACGCCCACGTTAGTAATCAAATAAGGCCCGTCCGGCGAAAAACTCATCTGTTTGGGAATTTTATAGAAAGCAATCGTCTGATGCAGCGCGCCTGTGACCATGTTCTACAACCATATGGTGTGATCCGGATAGGTAAATGCCAGCAGCTGGCTATCGGACGAGAAGGCTAACGGTAACGTCAACGCTCCCTGGGAATGGATTCGAAGTGTCTGTTGCAATGTGCCTGTAGCTAAAACGATACAGCAGCAAGAAGCACCGCCGAAGGCCCGGATATGTAGATGACGAAGGAAAGAAGATTGGCAACGACGACCGCAAGTGACGATTCCAGGGAAGCAGCTATGATGAAGGAGAGTTTACTGAGGACGGCCTTTTTGACGAGGATCTGCCTTTTGTGATATGGAGAGCGAAGAAACAGGGATAATACTACTACTATAGAGACTTGCATTGTTGCAATTGACGTTACTTTTGCCAGAATGCTCAGATACTCACAGAGATTAAGATACGACGCAGTGATCAGGCAAGGCAGTAGTAGCGGTTCGATGAAAGTAATAATAGCCTGAGTAGAAGAGGAAGAGACGAAAGCTAGATACAGGTGTAGCCAGTGGCTGGCCTACGTGAATTCCATCCCCGTTAAGCATCAAATTGGCAACAACCAAGTTCGTTACAGCGTGTAGATAAAGTCTTGATTTTCGCGATCGGTAAGATCAAGGAACCTGTGAGACTCAATTAGCTATCCACTTCATTGGGAGGCGGTAGAAATGGAACAACTCCATTATGAATCACTGGGCAAACTAACTCTTGGTTCTCAAGTCTGACATAACCAGGGTCTGATCGGATAGCGCCCTTGCGTCGGTTTTCCTTTTTATACCACCACCAAATGAACAGCAGAATGAATAGACATACCCCCCAGCATGCAATAATAGTAATTTCCGCAGAGACGTAGCGTGGAGCATCTTGGGGGCGAAATGTGAGGGGACCTGGACAGATTAGCCTACAGTTCGCCGCCGCATCGCAATTAGAAATAATAGTATAGGACTTACCAATAATATTACCAACGCAGTAACCGATCAAATATACAGCTGCAACAGTAGTTTTCTTGGTGTAGCCAGCGACGTTGGATGAGATCAATGACAGGAGAGCCACGAAGGATGTTGGAAAAGCTTGCGTCAGGTAGTATCCGACTAGTCGCCCGGTGTTATTATGAAGCGGGAGAGCCACAATTAAGATTATTCCCACAGTAGCAGTGGCAAGACCCCCAAGACTGGTTAGGATTCGCTGGCCAGTTCTGTCACCGATATAGCCGTTTAGAAGCAGGGCAACAACTTCTACTGCACCGGCAGGTGTACCATAAAGTAAACTTTGCTCGGGCGTATAACCGAAGCTCACGATCTAGAAGCGAATATAATTAGTTCACCGCCAGGTAAGATCGAAACTACAATAGTAGGTGTGACATACCAATTGGCTGAAGAAGTTCGTAATACCTCCATTAGGAATATCGGCAATCAGTGCGAAGAAAAAGAATGCCCATGTCATCGGGTCCAGTAAAGCCTCTTTAACTTGGTACCACTTGAAGTGCTTATTACCAATACCTTGCTGGTTAATACGCACACGAGCAACAGCCAATATACGATCCTCTTTCGACAGCCAACGTGCGTTCAACTGACTGTCTGGTACCATCCAGAGGAA